GTGCATCGGCTCTATGGTGGGGAAAAGTGAACTTTTCTTGTCCATTCCCTGCCGATAACTTTAAGCTGCTTGTACTTGAGTCTATTAAGCTATATCAAAGGTTAGGATTCTGTTTCGGTTAGATGAAGCAACTTGTGCCGTTGCACCAACGGCCCAGCGTTGCTTCCTGTGATGAGGGAATGTAGCCTCAAGACCCGATTTGATGAGGGATGTGGCAACGTCCGTCTTCTGGGAGAGCATTTTCATTTTAATTGATGGAATGCATTTAACATATATATATATATATAATATATCTATAGTACTGCCCAATCATATCGAACCACTCTTGGTCGGAATCGAACTCTAGTTTGCTGCTTCAAAAACCAACGCTCGTTGCTCTTAGCTTTTTTTTAAAGGTATCCATTAGTCAGAATTACTTTTTCAATTTTTGCAGGGATCAGACAAAACTGACTCTACCAGAAATAGGCAGGAGGGTGCAAATGATGTCAGGCGTAAAGATTTATCCATGTCCTACCAAGAGTATGTTTCGCCATGGTTTGCCGTCGGCGGAAGCTGCGTCATTTTCACCAGGTAATGTGTCACCAGAAATTTTGTCATCAGGACATGCTTTGTCATGGTTTGTGTCTGCAGAAGTTGCGTCATCGTCTCTGGTTATTGCATCACCAGGAATTCCGTCACCAAGACATGTTTCGCCATCGCTTGCGTCAGCAGAATTTGCGCCATCGCCTTTTGATGTCACGTCACAAGGAGTTTCGTCATCAAGACATGTTTCGCCATGGTTTGCGTCAGCGGAAGCTGCGTCATTTTCACCAGGTAACGTGTCACCAGGAATTTCGTCACCAGGACATGCGTCCCCATGGTTTCCATCAACAGAAAATGCTTCATCGTCACTAGGTATTTCATCACCAGAAAATTTGTCAACAGGACATGTGTTGTCATGGTTTGTGTCTGCAGAAGTTGCGTCATCGTCTCTGGTTATTGCATCACCAGGAATTCCGTCACCAAGACATGTTTCGCCATCGCTTGCGTCAGCAGAATTTGCGCCATCGCCTTTTGATGTCACGTCACAAGGAGTTTCGTCATCAAGACATGTTTCGCCATGGTTTGCGTCAGCGGAAGCTGCGTCATTTTCACCAGGTAACGTGTCACCAGGAATTTCGTCACCAGGACATGCGTCCCCATGGTTTCCATCAACAGAAAATGCTTCATCGTCACTAGGTATTTCATCACCAGAAAATTTGTCAACAGGACATGTGTTGTCATGGTTTGTGTCTGCAGAAGTTGCGTCATCGTCTCTGGTTATTGCATCACCAGGAATTCCGTCACCAAGACATGTTTCGCCATCGCTTGCGTCAGCAGAATTTGCGCCATCGCCTTTTGATGTCACGTCACAAGGAGTTTCGTCATCAAGACATGTTTCGCCATGGTTTACGTTAGCAGAAGTTGCGTCATCATATTTTGGTATTGCATTACCAGGAATTTCGTCACTAAGACATGTTTCGCAATCGCTTCCGGCAGTAGAAGTTGTATCATTGCCAGCGCGTAATGCGCCACTAGAAATATCGTCACTAAGACAAGTGTCGCCATCGCTTGCGTCAGCAGAATTTGCGTCATCGTCTCCGGTTATTGTATCACCAGAAATTTCGTCACCAGGACATGTTTCATCGAGTGTTGCTTCACTAGGGGTTGCACCAAATGGGATAACATCAATTCAAACTGTTTCACCACAAAGTTTTTCAGCACGTTTTTCTGCTATAGCTGCATCAAGCCATACTAGTTCTCTAGACAACTACTTAAGGAGCCCAGAAATTATACATTCAACTAAAAGGAAAGCATTACAAAACGGTGAACTTGGCAGCTCTTCTTTCGTTCTATCGACAGCTGCATCAACACACAACACCCCACTGACAGAAACAAGGTTGACACCGACGTTAACACCGAGTAGACCAGTGTCTTCAGTACGATTTGAGGAATCTTCTTCTTTGCAAGCGTTTTCAAATTCAGAATTGGTCGGGTTTAAAACGGACAGCTCTGTAATTGAACATGAAACGTGGGTGAGTTCCGAGCTTCTTTCAGTCAGCAAGTTTGATTTACAGGCTTCAAAGAATCTGGCCTCTGCTACGAAGTTTCAAAGCATGTACTGGGAGCCTTTTGCTAAAGCTGGCTATTCCCCGTTGCCAACTAAAACGTTAAAGATCCAACATTCAACTGTAAATGATGTAATCGAAAGCAACAATGCACTGATAAGCTGTAATCTAACTGCCTTTCCTTTAGAAGAAATCTTACTCAAAAACCAAGACTCAAGAATGAATTACAGCGTTGCAAATAAAAGTATGGTTTCTACTCAGATGCAAGAACAATGTTTTCTAAAGGAATGTAGTCCAAAATGTACTGGAAAGTTACGTTGCTTGCTTGCTTTTGCTTCAGTCCAATACACAAATAAAAGTATGCAGGTTATTTGTGCAGAAGTGAATGCTAGTATCTCGCTGAAAAACGTGCACTATGAGGGTAATACTGCAAGAAAGTGTGGCTGCTTCTTCCGCCGTGCAATCTCATTCGAACTTGATTCTCATAAGCATTGTTTAGATGAAATGCATTGCTTTCAGGGACTGGCTTCGCTACTGCCTCGAGTTTTGCATCTAATTGGACAGTATCAGCAAGCAGTCTCTCCCTTTTGGTTGCTGGGAGACATAAAGAACAATTGATATTTTCATTCATTGCAAATACTGTTCCAGCTGCAAGCCTGATTAGTACAGTCATTCCCTGCGTCGTGCAGATAATAAGTAGCAGCTTAAAACCTGACACATTTCTTTGCATCATGTTCTCGGTGGCTCCTTTCTTCAGCTTCAATGTTTGGCTCTTTACCATCCTCTATGTAAGCATTTTGATATCTATCGAATGGCCAGGCAATAATAATGCATTAAAGCAGACTCTGTTAAGAAGAACAAAGCTTTTTATGCTTAGCATTGCTTTTCTGTCCACCTTGCTTTGCCTTGCTGTGTCCAACTTTTCATTCTCTCCTTGCAGTCCTAGTAAGGCCACACCTATTTCTGGGCAGGCAATGATCTTTTTCTACATCTACTCTGTTATTGTTTGTATTGCCATGATAGCTCTTCAAATGAAAGCACTTTTCCGACAGCAGGTATTGTGTCTCAGAAAAGTTCATCCAACTGATTTTCAAGTTCAAATGCATGAAATACCAGCTCCAATTTTTTATGCGAGGCAACAAAGTGCAGAGCTGCTTACCAAGGACACACACCTTTCTCTATTGTCTTCAGTTATGCTGTCAGCATTTTTCTGTATATTGTGGATTCCTTTTCTTTTGGCCCAAAGTAAGAATTTTGTCTCATCGGTGAAAATTGCTGAAATTTTTGTGATTGCGGCAGAGCTTCTTGGCTACGCTATGGCTACCATTGCGCCGACCGCAATCATGCTCACCTGCTTCATTGTTTCGCGACGCTGTCCGTCTGACCAATCAGCTTTCAGAATGTCTTTGTCAAACTGCTCAGACGAGAATGCAAACGAGGATGTTTAGATAACGAACAATAACCACTGGTACTGTATCATCTAGGACATCGCCTTTGTAAGGGAACGATTTAAATACTTCTGATGATCTATTGGCATTGTAGAGTGTAGTTTTGCGAACTTTTTTTAGAGAAAAAGAGTAATTGTTAATTGATCGGATAACTTGTAGTTGAACTGACTTGCTAACGTTCTATGTTTTTATTGACAATATGTTTAACCTTTTTTGTAACTTTTAAGACCAAGGTTGTCGCTGGTTCATTGTTATGTAATTTGCTACTTGTATGATAATGGATGGAGGTTAAGGGTAAAAAATTTGGTTTATTTTTTGTACCGACCTCTTTATCAATTGGTAGTAATCACACCTGCCTGATAACTGCGCGTTATCACATATGCCTGGTTGCTGCGCCTTGACAAGCAACACACAGAAGTTATTTTATTGCAGAATTTTATTTTTCTAAAGGAAAAATGCTAGAGAGCTACTTTTTAGGAACAGAAAAACGTAACATAGGATAGCATTTAACAACAATAGGTGCCTATTGTCGAAAATAACAATTTCCACTCTTTCTTTAAAAAAAGGCTCCTCGAGTAGTTTCTTAAAGGCTCTTGCGCAACCGGCATGCTTAGCGGCAGCTGTGGTGAGAAATTCATTTTGTTTTGTATTTTCAGGCAGTACGATATTAGGCCAGTTTTGAAAATATAGTCGTAAAGCATCTTTAGCCCAAATCCAGAACACGTGGAGACAGGGCATTTCCAGTCACCCCTGCCAAATTGTGGAATCGCCTATCTCTTGAATTCTTAACTCGCAGAGCATGGATATTTTCAGGTCGAGATTAAAAACATTTTTATTTTCTATTACTTTTTAATTGTATTTTTCTATAACTTTCTCCTTACTGCTATGAAAATTTTTATATTTTTTCAAATATAGGTCTTAGGTCTTGGTCTTGTACAATGCTAAAGAAGATATGTTTGATAAATTTTCGTGCTTTATGAATATATGATTTTTAATTAATATTATCATGCCGGTTGAGCAAAAGTTTTTAAGGTTAAGGGTGATTAGAATTACGGTTTCTCAGTTTTCTTGCATCTTAGGGCTAGGTTTTTTTAAAGCCAATTTCTTATGAGAAATGACTCTTTCTCGTATGATAAAACTGTTTAAGCTTTTTGTAAACATATGCTTTGAAAAAGAGCCAAACCGAATAAGAAAAGCGCCACCAGCTTTGTACCTTTGGTGTTTCTTTCTTTAGTTAAGACAACCTCAAATCTGCTTAGTAACATTTCAGTATCAAAACAACAAGAATAATAGCGATGTCTCCTTTTACAAAGGGCTTGGTTTCAAAGACATTTTCTGTAGCAATTTTAAATTTGATTCACTGATGATGAAAATGGCAACTAGGTGCTCAGCCTTCACATTTCTGCAGACGAATTTCCAGCGTCCTAATTATAACTCCTAATAATAGTCCGCAACGGCCTCCGGGTACAAATCTCCAAAGTTCACTAAGCTAGATTTCCACAATCCACAGATTTTCTGCTGCTAAAACGATAAGTTTCGTGTTTAAATGTGATACAATTTTTATCCCAGTTCCAATTAACGCCCAGGGCATATAAATAAAGTATGCGATAATTGCCACAAGGATACATTGAATCTTGAATCAGAACGAGGGTGACTTTTGTTGGCTTCTCAAAGCGAAAATGGCGTACCACGGGCAAGGAGGATATGGAGGTTATGGACAGGCACCGCCGCAACAAAGCTACGGCTATGGGGAGTATCGTGGCCACCAGCAGCAAGGCTACGGACAAGCACAACCTCAAGGTGAGTTTTTCCACCCAGTGTTAATGTTTACATCACATTTGCACGATCCGTTTGTTGTGTTGCCTCATTCAATATTCGAATTCGGACATTTTTAATCTTATCAAATGCAAAAGAAAAATAAACTATTTTTTCAACAAATCTAAGTACAGTGTGTATCTCTTGTAAAAAATAGTATCAAATGATGATAATAATGATATAGTTAAGAGCGGGTAGCGTGTATTAATTGTGCCACTGTCAATGCTCAATTTTCAGGAATTTCTCACAACAGAACAGGGCTCACTATATAAATAAAAGATGACTATTGGTCGAATCGCTTGAATCGCAATTAAAAGAATCACCAGAACCACAAATTGAAATATATATGATAAAAGATGTAGCTTTATCAAAATATTATAGAAAATATCAAGATACAGATTTATATTTTCTTGAATGTTATTTGTTGTATTCCCTAGTAACTGCCTTACTTTGTTCAATAACTTGATCCAAGGGCTTGTGCTTGTACCAAAATTCTTCTTCTGCTGACAAGGAACACTGCTGAATAAATTCATATCTATCTCAAGTCTCTGAGGGGTCAAATCTTTCTCACAGTTTTGAATAAAGACTCCTCTTCAACATTATTGAATACTTTTGTTAGGAGTAGCATTCATGCAGACTTGACAAATAGAGGAGATTTAGAGTATTTGCACTGGTGCAGACTTTCTTGTATCCACTTATTTTGCAAGACTTGTGCCTTATTTTACACATCAAATCGGGCATATGACCTAGATAGCTCCTTGTAAGTTCTTTTCATATGTCTGACATTTTCATCTGTCAAACATATTAAACTTCAAACTACTTACTGTGTGTAGTTTTCCTTTTTGTAAAAAGATAATTGTTATTTGTGGTTCATGTATTATATATAAATGTAGTTGAATGTTTAAGTTGAGTATTAAAAACTATTTGTCTTTAGAGCCAAGAGCTGTCTTTCCACGATTTTAAGGAACAAATCACAACTATGCCTTTTTCATCATATGTCTTTGCATGCTAGACATTGAATCAGTTTGATCATGCGAGACATGTTACCATTATTCTGTCAGTATCCTAGCAAGCACTTTGGTGTACAAATAATTAAAATTCAATTTGAAGCCATTGTGCCAAAGATATAAGATTGCAAAAAGGTGATTCCCTAAAGAAGTGTCAGCATCCTGGATACTAGAGAATAAGTACAATTGTGGAGCATACTGGATACAATTTCCTCTATTTGGAAAGTCTGAATGCAGGCTAAGTTTGGAAAAGTAAGGACATGTTTTACTAATGATTCACAAATCCCCTTTTGTGCCCAAGGAAATACTTTGAAAGAAATACTTTGAATTAATTCAAATTAATCATCAGAAAGTATCAGTTGTAAGTAACAATTCCCCCAGCTTGTCAATTGCTGCCTCTTCAGGGCTTTCCTGTGGTAAGAGTGGTGTGGGCAAATCAAATTTACCTGATAACACAGAACAATAGAGTTTAAATGCTAAACTTAACAAAACTTTTGAAATGAACAGAATACTTAATTGTATATTTATATTTATGTTTCCCTGGCCAAATTTCTAGCTTTTAACAGCTTTAGTAAAAAAAGCTAAGGGCAAACATTTTTGACTAACAAATAGCAAAGGGCAATTTATGATGTGTTATTCCATTAGAAATTAGGCCTTGTTCCCATTTTTCCTCCCATTCATCATACAAAAACGGAGCTGCCTGAATTGTTTCTTATTTTGTTTTCCCATTGTTATGCTCAAAAACAAAGACATTGACAAGACAGTGTAATGGGAAAATTTTCTGTTTTGTTTTGACCAAAACCATGTTGGCCTGAGCAATAGGAATGGCTCAAGAACATACAAAACCGAATGGTCAAAAAATGGAGACATAGATATGAAACAAGGATTCAATGTCAAACTGTTTCCAAAAAGAATTTCTCAAGTGGATTGGCCTATCAGTCTCTGATAATTGCTCTCTGCAAGAGAAATATTGATCACTGGACGCACAACTAATCATTCCCGAATGAAACATCTGTGCATGCCTGCCAAGCCCCCCACTGAAAGTCCTGCTCTTCTTTAGCATAGTCCTTAAAAGTCATCCATGTTAACAATTTCAAGCATCAAAAAGTCTTCCATTTCATTTGTTTTTGTTGGATCAAGCTCTTTGTTGGATCAAGTTTAGGCTGTTCAGGGCTTGGAAAGCTTCATAATAGTTGGGGCTGACAACAGCCAACCTCTATCATTTGGATGGCCAATGTATCAAATTGCCTGTTTATCTTGATTTTCTGTTTATCATTTTTCTTTTCTGGTTCTGGTCTCTAGAGGTAGCTCTACTATGAAAGGTACATCTACAATGTTTTCAGCCTACACACTCGAATTTTCGTATTTTGTAATACTCCCACCCACAAAAGTTATAAAATTATACAACCTTTTTTTTGTCTCTGAAGAAGAATAAAAGTAGAAGTGAAGGTCAACAAAAAATTTTTTTGCCTTAAGGGCGACACATTTCCTTCAACCACTCAGAATCTTTCTGAGTCTCTCTTGCTGTGACATGTGCCATATGACAGGAAAAACTCATTAAAATATTGCTTTAACTACTTTTTCTTGCTTCCAAAACCAGTGAGCTGCATTTTCCAGCATCATCAGAGATGTTTTCAACTCCAAAAGATTCACAGCTGCTCTGCCAAGAAACACAATTTTTGACAAAAGCATCCTAAAAAGTTAACAATATTGCAACAGCTGTTTATGACTAAGTAAGGCACTTGGTGAGATTATTATCACTTGGAAAGTCTCAACGCAGGCTAAGTTTGGACAAGTTGCAAACAGTTTACCCGAATATTTTTCAACTTTTTCTCCAACTTTTCAAACCTTAAATTAGGGGTTCCGCTAATATGTGGGGCTGCTTATACGAAGGGTTTTTTGCAGTAGTTAGTTTGAATTACCCTTGATTGATTAACGTGCAATGACAGTTAATTTTTCTCATATATTTTGGTATCGTGCAAAAATTGTTTGTCTGGAGGTTTTTGTGCTAATATTTGTTTCCGAACTTTTCGGTTCGAAAGTTTTATGTGTTAGTTGTGTCAGCTGAGCTACCTGAATTAGGTATAATGATGCAAGTTAGGTATGCAACTTTGATAGATCACCAACACTGTCAAATATTCACTAGATAATCCTGTCACTTTGATCCTACATTATTCTTTCGTAAACATGCTTGATCTACTCAAGAACGTTTTTCATGTCAGTTTGTTTACTGTTCGACTTTAAACCTTACAATAGCCTTGTAATTAATTTTAGTTTTATTTCTTGACCATACACCCCCGTTTCTTTCCTTTTCAAAGGATATCCTGGTCAGCAAGGAATAGTCTCAGGTGCCCCTCCAGGGGCCGATCCAACCCTTTGGTCGTGGTTCACCACTGTTGACAGGGACAGATCTGGCCAGATTTCAACTGAAGAGCTGCGGCAGGCACTTATGAACAACAATTGGAGTCACTTCAATCTAGAAACATGTCGCCTTATGATAGGTTTGTTTTTATGTTCCTTGCAAGAAATCGTTGTTGCTGCAAGTCATAGTTAATCGTATTTATTCATACATATATATTTCGTTTGAATAACTCGTACCTATAATCTTGCTCTAGGCAGGAGGTTCAAAGGGGTCTATGCGAATAACATCAAAATGATATCTTATGATCTAAAAATTGTACTTGTGTTGACATCACCGCTAACTACTAGTAATATATTCACTTAGAGCCTGACTATATTGACTATATATATATTCAGTTATCAGGTTTTTTGTAATTAAACTTAATTGTTTTGTTCAATGCAGTCAAAAGGGTGTCCTTTTTAGTCAATCTACAAGATAGCTATCAGGACCCGCCCCACCTTTTGCGAATACACAGCCGAAATAACCAAAAGGGTAAACACAGTGGCGTAGATAGTAAAATTCCTTGGTGGGATAAGAAATGTAGATTTTCCGACGAAAATCTATAAGCGTTCTTTTTTTCATAAATCTGGTCATAACATCACAACAATTAGAACCGAAAAAACAGAAAATAAACTTAACCATTTGTTCAATTTCAAGTGTCCTGAATCATGCTACTTAATTATTTTCTGGTCTTCTCCTCTAAATAAAGGCTTTTTAAAGTGCCATGCCTAATTTTGAAAATTGCCAATCTGATTCAGAACAACGAAAAAAATCGTTATTCTAAGCTTAACAATCTTTCCTCTCAAAATGTAACACTTAGAAAGGCAGACAACCATGTTACATTTTCGACAGGGTCAGAGTTTTTCCAACAAATAGTTTTCTAGCTTTACAAGGGGTTTTCCGCCCCTCTGACCCCCATCTATCTACGCCACTGGGTAAACTACATGGTGAAGAATTCACAGTAACAGTAATTCAATTTTCATATTTTTGTTTGCTGACAAGAAACACCTTTACTGTTGAACATACGAATGAAATATTATTTTAATTGCTTCAACTATTTTTAGGTTTGTTTGATCAGGATCAGAACGGAACGATAAACTTCAATGAATTCGTTGGCTTGTGGAACTACATTCAACAGTGGAAGGGAGTATTTGATCGATACGACGGCGATCGTTCTGGGAGCATTGAATCCAACGAACTGCACCGCGCATTCTCCGACATGGGTTACAGAGTTTCATCAAATTTTGTCCAGCTTATTGTCGTTAAGTAAGTGTCATAATGCTTAGGTACCGTGATCCGTTCTTTTTTGTCATTTACAATGCTAAGCAAGATAATATTTGGCGTTAGAGGCCTAGCGGCCAAAAGCCATGCCTATCGTTAAAATTAAGCGTACTGGCCTCTCGCTATGCTTTCACGTCGGTGGAAATATGCTCCCAAACCCGTTAACCGCTCTCGCTGAAAGAGTTACCTCTGAAATTTCTATAGTAAAAGTCAGTTATTGTGCGGAGTGATAACTAAAAATCTGTTACTTGTATGGACCTTCGGGGCAAGGGGGCAATTGCCCCAGGGCGTAGAGGTCTATAATGCTTCATAAAGTAATAAATTCCCTTTTAAAATGGAATTAATGGTAGCAAAAGTATGCTTACAAATAGTAAAAATTATAAAAACGATTGCAAGAATTTGCTGCAAGAAATATTCTAAAATGCATTTTAAGCAAAAATTATCTGCTCGTTCCACTCGCAGGGGGCAACGTTTTCAAAACTTCTCGGCTCTCGGCGGCCCTGTCTGTGCCTGCACAGAATTTATTGCTATAGAGAACCAAGTCTTCCCCTACCACTTACGTCTGCTCTCCTTGTCTTTTTCCTCAGATTTGACACCTATGCCAAACGGTCACTGAAGCTTGATGACTTTATACAGTGTTGCGTTATGCTGAGGTGCCTGACGGACGCTTTTCGGCAGAGGGACTCCAATATGAATGGTGTCATCAACGTGAGCTACGAAGACTTTATGTGCATGTGTATACAAAACAAACCTTAGTATACGACGTAGAAGCATTCAACTGTCTTACTTACTTTTAACGTTACGTTACGTCTAACGTCAAAACCCTACTTTCTTTCAAGTATATTTTTAAGGCAAAACATTAATTGTTTCTGCTCCTTTATGAAAGCAGCGGATATCGTGAAAAACCATTCGATCTATCTACCTTTTATCATTACTGTTACGTAATTTGACCTTCAAGACGAGGATCGATGGTGTAAAATTTGATGAGTTAGGACATTCGTAAAGACAACCTACCACAAAGCAATTTCACCAACTAGCTAACACCAACCAATCAAAATATAAGGCTGCCATACACCCCAACATTACCTTATGAAATTCACTTCTGTTTAGTTATCCCATTATCCTCTTGTAACCCTGAATAAACATTTTTTAAATTTTATCACTTTTTATTTTCCTTGGCTTTGAGGTTCTCAGACTAGGAAAGGAAACAGGTTTTTTTAGCTTTCAGTGGATTTAAATGCTTTAATTTATATTGAAATTCTCAAATACTTTCCATTACTTTTCTGCACTTAATTTACTTGTTTTTATTGAGTCGATAACTCTTTAAATCAGCTATTTCTCAGGAACCAATGTTAGCAAGTATTCTAACAAATAAACTCATTTTGAGAAAAGACGAACTTCTCCAGTCCTGTCCATTAGCTCTTTCCTGTTTGCTTTTTTAATAATTTCAAGTACAAAACCCATTGCATACATACAATGTATCTGAAACCCCTAACGACTCATTTTTCTACGTCATTTTTATATTTGTTTTGATTACGAAAACATCTGTTCTCCCGTCTCTCCATTCGGCAAATATCCTATAGGTTGCTTGAAAAACACGACACTTCAAACTTTTGTTCCTTACTTTCCAGTATTAAAACATTGTTTAAGGGGGTTTACGGGTTATTTAACACAACATTGAGGGTCTCCCAGGGGTTTTCGGGAACAATGGAACATGGCAACAAATGATACCGAAACACGAGAACAACTTAAATTCTCCACTGGGAACATAGGAACATTATTACTTGTTTAAAGGAACAAATGAAATTTTTTTTTATTTTCAACGGGGAAACTGGAACATTGGATGTTTTTCCAAAGGAAACACGGATCAAATTCCCCCTGGGGGACCCTCAACATTGTAATTTGGAGTCGGATTACCAATACAGTAGTTATCGTGGATGTTAAATAGATCCATATCTAAGGGTAATCTTAGTTGTGAATTAGCGATATTATTTGAGCACAAATAATCATTTTCTGGGAATTAGGTCGAATCTTTGCGTCAGACCTTGCCAAGCAAAAAACATTTCACTTGAGCTCGCCAGTTATAAAGGATGAGAGAAAACTGTGAGAGAATGGAATGACTTCCACAATGCTGGTGAAAATGAAGCGACTTCTACGCTATCCTTTTATAATGCCCCTTCAGTCATTGGCGTTTCATTTGATGTTCACTGAAATCAAATTTAGGTTTATTTTGTCTTGACAAGGCAGATGTTCTGAGTATGTTACTTTGTCTCTAAATGACGAGGGCACCAAGAGGTGTATGTTGCTTTGGAAAATTCTCTTTGTTAATTTTTCTACGCTGTTTCGTCTTTCTTAGAAAATAGCCCCTAGTTTTTAGGAAAGAAGTTCATAATAAGAAAAGGCCTGGGAATTTACTTTAGCTTTGACCTTGAATGTTTAGCCCCTTTTCTTGCCGGGAATGGCGAAGCCTTTTGAAGAAAATCCACTGATATCCCGCTTTTAGAGAGACAAGGTCACCATATTACCCAAACAGCAAAACACTTTATTTCAATGATGCGGCATCATTTGCAATCGATGCGGCGAGCTGGGTGGATTTTTTCTAAGTAATATCTGCTTTCGGTAAAAGTGAAAATATCATAGTTTGGAAAGAGGTGGAAAGGATTTAAAACGATCTTGCTTAAAGTCTTGTTTATTCTAATTTCAGCTTGATTTAAACTGGGTATCTATTCTTTTTGTGAGTTTATGCTGAGATGCCTGTGCGTCTTCACGAGATCAAAACAGGCAGATATTCACAGACAACAATAACTAGGGGAAATCCATCGCGCCAACTTTCCTTTGACGTTATAGTTTGTGACACTTCAACTCTCCGCGAGTGTTGTTCAGCTTGGCAAGATAGATGTAAGGAAACTAGGTGTAGTCGAGAGCACAGAGTTTGTTAACAATAACACCCTATATTACTGATAAATCGGTAGTTGTTTTCGGGGTTTCACAAGCTTTATTTCTCATAACCTTAAAGGTAACGTGTCCATATAAAAGGACTGCGTATACCCAACTTGTCAAGCCACCCATCAAAATAACGGTTTGCGATTGGTGAGTTTTCTTGCATGTGGATTTTCTTCAAAAACGTTCGTTTGCCTTATCTTCTCATGAGAATTTACTCTGATCAATTCTCGAGGCAGATCTTTTTGGCACATCCATAACCTTTCCCCCCATAGGATTACACAAGCATGAGATGCCAATTCCATTACGTGTTTTTGTACTTCTAAAAATGGATCCAAAAACATTTGTCATTTGATGTAGCAAACAATTTGAGTTTATTACGCTTTCCAGACGGAGCTCAGACGATTCGGTGAGTCTTTTTGCCGGTGAACTGCATAATTTATGTATCTCTATTTCCATATCTTTCGATATAAATTCAAAACAGAGGCACCGGTAGGCCTAAGCGATTGGCGGCAACGCCCTTTAGTTTTGCATCTGTTGCGGCACTCATCGTTTCCAACTGCGCGACTTTTTCAAGTGATGAAGCCATTCAGTTTAAACAATTCACTCTTCCTAATCATCAGTCGGCTAGAACTGTGGTACTTTCTGTCTTTAAAAACCCGGGTTTTTGCGTGCCACGGTAACATATGTCGAAAGTCTGGACTTTTCTTTAAAGGGCGACTGTTAGAAGGACGACTGAGATGCTTGTTAGAGACAGGTTTAAGTGGGGTCCAGTGTTGTAATATCAGTTGCTTTCAAGGTATTATTAATTGGTCTTCAACCCCTTGATTAGAGGTGCTCTTTGTTCAAGAGGGCTCCATCCATTTTTGGAATAGTCCAAGTACGAATAAATTTCTAGGTCAATGCACGTGACATCCATTCTTTAGACAAAAAGGAATGTACGCTACGTGAGAAAAGTATTGGATCATCCGCCACAAAATGGCGGCACTGCTGCAAGATTTAACGGGCAAAAGTCTTCTTGAAAACTAATGATCAATGCAAAAAGATTGTTACTGTTAATGTTGCTATTGTTGTTATTATTATTATTATTACTTTTCATCACCATGTATCATAACTGGCGATTCGTTCCGTCCCGACATGCTTATCAAAACTGCTTCCAACTGTCTGTATGTCATCAAATTAACTGTTGGTTCGAGACTAACCTGGATAATAACGCTTCGCGTAAAGTTGAGAAGTACCGTTCCCTTCTAAAGGAACTACGCCCTAAGTTCAAAAAAGTAAACTTTGTTAATCTATCCATCTATAATATATCCGATAGTAACTACCTGCAAAGTGAGGTTACAGTTGTAAGTAGAAGAATATAAAATAAAATTTTGTTGATTATTATTATTATTTTTATCAACTACGCCCTGACCTACTTCTCAAAACTAAGGAAAACTGTCTGTACGTTTTAGAGCTCACCATAGGCTTTGAAACAAATCTCAACTGCAATGCTGTCAGAAAGTCAGAGAAATACGCCAACCTCATATCTGACCTAAAACATCGGTTTAAGGTTACGGTAAACGTTTTGAACACGAAAATTGGTTTTTCCTTCCTAAAGGCCAAACGGCTCAAGAAATCTGGATAAACTATATATCATTCGATGCACAAGATTATGGCGTATCTAGCCAGATAACAATTATTGGCAAATAATGTTAAATGTTATTTTCCATGCGAATTTACTTGTCAAAAAGTGTACCACCTTCAAAAGCTATTATATACCCTTGCGTTTGAGGTAACAAAATCTGACTTAGACCAGCAGGAAGTGCAGGTCCTAAGCTACCAAAGTGTGTCTCAGATTTTTTAAATTCCTCCTCTTTATGAAACTATACCCTGTCAAAAATTGGCAAATAATTTTTCCACCCTCCCGCAGCTGTATTTGGGTATAAAAGACGGACCAGAGAAAATAAAAAAATTTTGAGACACACTTTGTTTGCCCAACGTCTGCCCTGGCCGTGTGCAAATTTTCGAGCCATTCGATTGGTTCCTTGGGTACATAATAGCTTTTTCGTACCTGCATGTAGAGGAATTTCGAGTCCGGAGAAAACGGGATTTTACTGATCGCACTTGCAAGATACACTCGTAAACCACAGTGTAATCCGGGTCAAGTCACTTGAAGATTTAAGATCAATAAGCCTGTTTTAAATAAACACGGCCGTACATTGGATATATGGATGTGCCATGCGATATTGTAAATGAGACATGCGACCACAACCGCAAAGCAACGATAATCGGCTTAACAGGTCAAGAGATTTTCAGGCTTCAACTAAAAGTTTTGATAAAGAAATTATGGAAACCTTCGGTTACATGGGATTTTTTCCACTTTCAAAATTTCTGTTTGTTTCAAATTTGGTATCATTGTGTGCCTTGAAAGTTCGGCTACTTGAATGTGAAAAAATCGAAAAAATGATGTTTTCATCAAGAAAACGTTTACCGTAACCTTAAGTCAGTCTCGTTTGTCAATCTTTCCATCAGTTCACTTGGTATTTTTGGCAACTCCTGCAGCTCATTCATCGACATGTGTGACTCTTTGTCCATTGATCATCAACAGAAACGCTATCTCATCTCCAAACTTACAAGCATCTCCATTCGCACCACATACTATATATTCTGCTGTAGAAACAAAACTTGGACTAATCCAGAGCTACTCCCCTTTTAACATTTTTTTTCCTTTTCTCATTACTACGATTGTAACAGTTTTATTTTGTAAAAACAGGCTAGCCAGTTACAAATTACCTTGTAATAGTGAGATTTGTAATTGTAGTTTTAACTGGAATTCAAAATGAAAAGTTTCCATTGTCATTATTATCTGTTTATTTAAAGTAGGCGTTTAAAAATAGCTACAAAATAAAAGCTGATCAAAGCCTACTACAAAGTAAAATTGTTTAAAAATAAAAAAATAAATAAAAATACATATATATCTAATATAAGAAATAATGGTAATGGAAATGTTAATGGTAAAGGCAAAAACTTCATTATTTGATTTTGTAATCAGGTGAATCGATTGGCTAGATTGTCAGGCTGATTGTGCATCATTATAAAAATCTCATCAAACAACGATCGGTATTACACGATTCTTCTTGTTGATGGCTGTATCGATTTAAAGGCGATTGAAAGCGATTTCTCATCTTCAGCAACTTTGCCAATGTATTCAGTCAATGTTTCCAAAATTTTCTGTTTTCAGAGTGGTCACAAATTCTTTCTAGATCATTTTTGTTTTCCAAACTTTTGATTGGAAATGTTGGATTTTTCTCCAATGACTTTTTTAAGGTCGTTTTGTTAAGTTGTAGCAATGGTTGCCCAAAATCGACCACGAAACAGCTTATTAGTTGTGCTTTTTAAAAAAAGTCCATGGCTTTATTTGCTGGGCAATTTCAATCTAATCGGAGAACGTGTCTAAACAACCTTCACCGAGATCTCAAAATAAACAATGATATTGGGTATGATTTGCATCTTTTGTATAAGTTAACATTAGATATCTTATGTGGACAACTCTTTCCCATTAGATGACGAAGTTGTTTTCGATGGAAAGAGTCCAAAATTTCTTCATCTTTCTTGCTAAGTCCCCAAGTTGCAGAGTGGTAGGTTAGAACAAGTTAGAACAGGTTAGAGCAGGTTAGAACATTTATATGATTTCCACAGATTAAAAATGAACTTTCCAGGAAAAGTTTTTATTTTTCTGGTGGAAACATTTCTAATATCCACAGGAAGCTCGTACCTTTGGTAAATCAACATTTGCAGATTCTTTAGAGAAGTACTCCAAGTAATCTCATTTTTATGTTTGCAGTCCCTCCCCTTTATAGTCATCCCATTGTTTATTTTTTATGGCTCTCCAACATTTTTCGTGTCTTTAATTTCTCTTTGGTTTTAGTTTACTTTACTAGTCATTTATTTATAAGAGCTTTATGGAAGCTGAAGTGCTTTGATCCAGTCCAATTTTTTTAAAATACACTGCCAAAAGCATGGCTATAGGAAATGCGTTAACGAATAATCCGGAGGATGCACTTTGCAGTATTTGTATCTCGTTTTTGTGCACTACACTTCCAGGAAATTTTCGACTGAATCATGATAATCAAGTAGACAGTTTCAGTAATTCTGAAGACCAAATTCTGAATTTATGAATTCTGAATTTATGACGTCAAAAAAGCTTTCTGGAATTTCAAATTTGGACCGCGGACCATGAAAGAGCTTTATAAAAAAGCACCTAAATGTGCGAAAAATGTTACAAACGTTTCAGTTATGATTACATGAGCACAATTTCATCCCCCTGAAATCACTGGAGTTAGCAAAAATTCTTAGAGCAAGCAGAAAGTCCATCATTTGTTGCCAATTGTGTACAATTAAAGTAAAGCCTAAAGAGTATCGAAACAAATACGCATTCTTATGGTACCCCCTTTTTTCTAATACAATTGACAAACACACTTAATATTGCCTAAAATTCACTTACATATTTTGTTAGATCAATTTTTCTTAAAGAACTAAAACCCACGTCCACGAAAATGCAGGAACCCAAATTTTACGAGCACTTTTCAGTGTGGATGATCTGTTTGAATAGCCATTCTAAAGATAGGATGCCATCAAAACGAGCGAAGACAGCCTTGCCTAGCCGTAATCCTGTTGCAGAAACTTCGAAAATGATGTAATAGGTTCAGCATGTAATCTGAAGATTCACAAAAGAAGTCGAGCTTATTTTTCTTAGTATCGTCTGAGATTGCTTTTTACGAATACCTTCTATAGCGTTAGTTTTAGCCTTCCCAATAGATAACTATTTTCTGATTCTAAACTTTCCTCCCATACTCAAGTAGAAAATCATTACTCTGAAGTGAATGCGACTAATCCTTCAAAGTTTCCAGCTCTTGACCATTGCTATCTACGCAAGGCACTCGGACGTAGCTTCTCTCAATGTCGCTATTGGGCTTTTGGGCCCTTACCCTGGGTACCAGACCTACATAAATTCGAGAGCGTAAATAGAAGATAGGCGTGGAGAAGTAGTGGAGCGTTTGCTTCAGACTGGCCAGAAAATATTGTTACAAACGACCTTAATGTAGATGAGTGCGGTGAGGTTGCAAGGGAATTAGGAAAGGGTAAACCACTTGCTTGGAAAAATTGGCATTCTGTTTACACGCTTGAAATTCTGTGGCTCTGGTACTGGGTCCTAGACATTCTACATAAATGTTGACCACATAAACAGGAAGATAGGATAACCTACATTATTTCTATTTTGTGAACATCTGCTTCATCTATGATGTAGACACATGCGTTTATTCTAACAACGCTTCTATTCTTACTTCTGATTTCCCTATCAAATGTGAGCAAAATTCGTGATAACAAGATTTCTCCAGATGTTGCATTGTTTCTAACTCCGCCTTTCCGTGTTCCTAACCTCCATGCCTTGCGCTTCAACACAGCAGTTTCACATCAAAGATCATGCCTTATTTTGTGACGCTGGACAATTGAACTTCGCTTGATAAAATCATCGAAGCATGAAAGAATATTTTAACACATTTCATACATTATTTAATCTTTTGGACAAAGCCACACATCCTACGTCCCTGGGCAAGCTATAACGGGGTTATAACCCTGTTCTCCCCGACTTTATCATCCGTGACAAATGTACTCAACCAACATTTAAACCACACTTACTTAAATGTATGAATTCTTCGCATTATTTTTCCTCAGTACAAATGAACCCCACTTCTTATGACTGTAAAGGGTCCAAGAAAAATCGGGAATTCCAGAAATCAGGGAATTTCATTATTGTTTTGACAGCCAAAGCTAATAGTTACATGAACAAAGCGATTTGTGAAATCGTGTACCTGAAATACTCGACGTGAGCAGAAAATAACAAAATATAATTGACGTTCTTGTTATAACACAGTTAATTCAAAAAACTATTTAAAATGCTTGCTGGTACTCAAAACACATTCAAATATATGATGATAATAATAATAATTTAAATTCCACATAGATGTGAGTAAGCAATGATATATAATGTATAGGAGACACCCAAAGCTCAAACAGCCACAGAAACTGACTGACAAGGGATAGAAGCTGAAGGCGGGGTTTACGACGAAAAAATGGTCAGATGAAGAGATAAAAGAAGTAACAGGTATATAATAAGAAAAATATAACAAGAAAGGAATGAACACGAATAGATAACTTGGGATGTGGGAAGGGGATAATCTTTGGGTGTCCCCTTTCCAATGAAAATAAGCTCTAAGATTGTACAGCAGAAATAAGCGATTACCTTTGTTGGAAAAATAGCACAAATTGATGTTTACCAAAAACAGCGGTAGCGTTGACTTCTTACGGTATTGTATACAATTCTAATGCCTAGAACAACTATTTGTCCTGCCTTGGACAGGGTGATCCGGGAGTTCAAAACAAGGATGATCTGGTAAATAAAAAACCCCGGTATAAGGGAAAGTGGCATGATTCAGACTCTAGTAAAAACCTGAATAGGATAGATTTAGAAAATTAAGCTTAATTATAATTCGCAACCCTGGTCAGCATGTGCTACGGCAAAATCTGAAGATTAGATTTCTCTAAAAAGGGTCTTCTTTATTTGAAAGGGGAAGAACCGCTGTTCATCAGTAACCATGTGCTTCTAGCTTCATTAAGACAGGTCACTCAAAAAGGCATCTAACTTAAGCTCTTTCAATTACCCATCCCCAAGCAATAATCCCTTTAACATGTTAACAAAGCAGTTAAATAATTTCGGTTTCAAGAAAAAAACAATTAACGGTTATAAATCTATGTTATTATAAATTACTCCTAAAGACCAACCTGGATCCGCCAACAACAAATACTGTATGATTATGACTACGAATTAAATTTATTCTGGTGCATAAACCTGCTGCACCTTTTAGCCAGCCTATGATCCTTGCCAAGATTATTGGAACACATCCAACAAGAATTTGACCACCCACACCCCCTTCTTACATGTTGCTATATCATGATATTCTGCAGATAACGGTGAAAATACTTCAATAACATCGTTGGGTAGTAAGAGGTAGAGAAAAACTTAATGATAGCGTTGGTTCTTCTAGGAAGAGGTAAAATCCTTGTTTCGTCAATAATTCAACGGAGCATCACAAAGTTTCAATTACTTTTGGCAAGCATTCAAAATGTTCGACATCAAGTAAACTTGTCTTGACGTAATTTACACCCTAAATAGAGGATGCCAGTAATTATATCTAACTAAATACAGGATGGACAAAACAAATTTTATAGTTTTTCAAATAGCTTGTAAAAAAGCAAAATGTTTATAAAGTTCTCTTAATAGACTGCACATTATTTTCCTTCGTTTCTTTTTATAAGGAGCCTTACATGGAAACAAGTTGGGTTTTGATGTAGAAGGAGTTTTTAAGTCCTCCCAACAATCTAAGCCTAAGATAAATCCCTTAACATCTACAGGCCATGAAAAGACAACACTAGATTTAAAATACAAATAGATACAAATTTACTTCATATAATTAGGAAATTCGTGTCATTTTGCATGAACTTGAAACCAATAGAACTTTGCTTTAAAAAAACACAATCTTTGGAGCAAAGTCTCTACACAGACTTTTCTGCGTCTTTCTTTCCACCTTCGAAACGATTTTTTTTACATCGAATGATTCGCTCTACCAATGAGCTGATTCAAAGTGCAGTCATTGAGCTAGTTGATGCTTTGTTGTAAATACTGGCAATGTGTGCTGCCTGCTGCCAAAACTAGCTCCAAGTCACTGTCTGTAAGCCTGTAGAAAACAAAACAAACATTTTAGAGGTTGATAGAGACTTACACAATTGATTATAGAGTTCCTGCTCTAATAAAACTTGTGGTTTACGAGGTTTAGTCATACTCACAGAGAGAGTCATGGTACTGCCAAAATAGACATTCTCAGACAGACAAAAATAAACATACTGCCAAAGTGCTCAGTATCTTGGCCGTTATCCTTAAATGCTATGTTTAAACAACAGAAACCCCGTGCTTTGGACGAGCATGGCACCGAGTGGCAAACCCGACTCTTCGCACACAGTAATTCAAGAGCATTTATTTTCATAATCTTTGCTATTGCTATGCCAGTATGGCAGTTTGCGACACCAAGAATATACGTTGGTCGTATAACTATGGTGAGCCATCCCGAACGCATATTACTGAACTCAATAAATAATTAGTATTATTGAAAAATATACCTAGAAATTTCGATGAAGGTTAATTAGAAGTCGTTGGAAAAGAGAATGACAGGATTAAAAGGTGACAAAGCACATGTAACCTATCAAACAAGACGCGATCAAAAATGCATTTTATGACAAGAACTACAGGAAAGGGTTGGACATACCTCATTTTTCTTTTTATCATTTCTTTTGTTGTAGCATCGGGTTTAGTTCTGGCAAACTCGGCTAGCACCTGTTTTGCGCAAAAATACATGAAAACTCAATGATATTCGTGAATTTATTATTAGAATGAGGAATGAAAAAATATTACTCACTGGTATTCAATACTTCGCGGCATAAGCAAGGGGGCAAGAAGAAGCAAAAAGTGACAAACAAGAAAGCAAGATGGGGGCAATGGAGAGATAACATCGCTAAGGGAAGTAAAATGAGAAAGTAAGGCAAAAGTAGGAAAATGTTGGGAAAGTAGGCAAAATGGGACAGTAGGAGGCATGAGCCTAAAACAAGAAAAATTAGGAAGAGGGATTGGTTCAATAGACAAAAATGGTCTTTATAAATTCAACATTTCATGAGAAATACAGGAAAAACCAATCTTTGGGGCTTGGAGGCCTGGTCTTAAGAAAGGATGGCAACGGAGGCAAGGAAGGAAACGTAGGTAAAATGGGGGCAATAGGCAACACGAGGGCCAAAAGGGGCAAGGGGAAAAGAAGGGTAATAATGTAAATTTATTGATTAAAATAATACCTTGCTTGTGTTATAGATGTCTTTTAAACGATCTTCTAAATGCATCAGACACTGCAAGAACAGATAAATTTTCAAAACAGAATAAACATAAAACTTCTGGTGATAAAAATTTATGACAAAACGACATCAAGTCATTTAGCGCCAACCTAAGGCCGAAATAATTCTAAGTTGATGCACCAAGGCTCTGTCTATATGACACTGATTACTCTTCACAGCCGTAATAGCGCGATAGTGCTGCGTCTTTAACGGTATCGCCGACAACCATTGGTCAAATACAACACATGCATTGTTCGACACTGTCCAATCAAGACTTTAGATTTCATTTTAGCGCCAAATCCGAAAGAAACTGGTCAGAATTGGTCAGAAATAATTTGTTCAATAAAACGAGAAATAGTATTTGAACTCACAAACTGAAATGGAATATTTAGATGCCAAAGTCCTTTGAGTGATTCCAAGAGCTCGGAGACGATTGATGAACCAAAGAGATCTGTCTTAGTTATTTTTTCACTACAATTAGAAAACACTTCATTTAACATCAACTCACTTCGAAAAAGTTACATGGTCAAAGCGACATGAAATTATTGAATGTAGCAATGCAAAAAAAAAGGAACCAGACGATGGGTCCCTTTGTTAGTCTAAATGTTTCAATTGAAATATACCATCCTTGATAATAATTCCGTATATAGATCAAATCTAAGTCTTTCTTAAAATATACACAACCGAATCACCTAACAAGGATCTACTCAGAGGCCACACACATATACGTAAAAAGGTTTAGCATTTGTTAAAAACTTACATGAAAAAAACATTCACAAATTTGACCTCTTAATAAAATGACTATATATTTTTGTAATTTTCTTTGTTCTTTATCGATGCCTAGTTAAGGGGCCAAAAAGATAATCTTTTTGAGGCAAAAACATTTTTTAATTTATTTTGATTAATATTGTAGCGATGATAGAGATTTTCCAAAAAATGACAAATTAATGCGTGAAAGGAGGAGAAGATTTGAGGAAAGATACAGAGAATAAGTGTGAGCAAATGACATGACCAGGGCTGAACTAAACTGAATGAGAACGCACCTTCCTAATCCTGAGAAAAGCTCTTCGTTTCTTGATATAGAGACAAGTTGACACGTTCTATGAAACAATTAGTATCAAATAGAGCAAAAAGCTCAACAAAAGATTAAAGTTTGCAATATCACATTACATGAAAGATAAGAGAGAGGAAGAGATTCCAATTAAATTTCCACTCGCTACAAAAGGTACGAGAAAGTATAGTGGCATGTTGCCAAAGGAGCGGTTGACCATAAGTTTTGGATCATCGAAAACAGTCCTAGCTTATGACAGTGAAACAAATGCAAAGCTTTTGTTTTTCAATCCATATCCTGAGCAAGAAACGGTCCGGAATCCCACGTTTACGTCTAGTGAATCTAGTAGGCTGTATTGTTAATTTATGGACGAAGAATGAGTAAATATATTTTGTAAGAACCATCAAATTTGCTGAGGCTCTATGCCACCGTCATTTTGTGAGGCCTTGATTTTCTTGTTTTTCGTATTTCTGCATTGATTTTTCTACAACTTCGAACTAGAAAATGTTTCTAAAACCATTAAATAGCAGCTTTGCAAAGCATTTTAAGTAGCACGGTTTATAAGCTCATAAATCTGCTCTGTTTGGTTAAAACGAGAGAAAATTCTCAAAACACGTTGCTTTTCTTCCGGTTGTCATGAGAAGCTGGACATGTTCTTGCACAGTTCTTATTTTGGGGGTATCTTGGACTAGGGCAATATATACGCAATAATGCTAAAAAACCGACAGATCTTCCAGGAATTAATGAAATATAAATGCTGTTTGATTGATAATTACCTTTTATCGATATCTGCAACTATATAAGCTGCATCAGAAATTGTTTCATCCAGCACAGAATACTAAAAGAAAGACGAGTGCTGCATTACAAAAAGCTACAAAATATCCTCGTACTATTTTGCCATTGGTCATTGGAAAGCAAGAAACGGAGTCAGCTTGGGAAGAAACGTTTTATCTTTCCCTCTGATTCAAACCGAAAGTGTAAAAATTCTTAGACCTGCTTGTCTCAAATTTTTAGAATCATTCAATGATGCGAATATGGCGAAAATAATAGTAACAGCTACGTCAGAAGATACAAAGAAATTATGTAAGTTTTTTTCTTCTGTGGGTCAGATACTGAAAGCAATACAGAGCCAAGCAATGTGTTTTCAACGCAGAAGGCGTTTGGCTGGAATATACAAGGAAAATCGGGAATTACGATTTGCTTCCAAACAAGTGGTTTTCGACTCAAGTAATTTAAAATCATACGACGTCATTTTTATAAAACATCACAGTAAGATGTAACTGCTATTTTTGGGCCCCAAAATATTTCAATAAAAGCCCTCCTTTTCCAATTCAATAAAATCAATGAAAACCATCAACAAATTACAGAACACTTACAGCCTATACTGGGTTATTGGTGAAGAAGTAAGGGTTTAGTGCTATGAAAAATGAAAATGTTGCAGAAAACATTACGAAAAGTAGCTACAATACAATACAAAATTGGCTAATTTTCGGCATTTCACGGGACTCAGATCCCAGAGCCACCCTTGAAGCAGGCAAGTATCATCAATTATCTGGAACACCGCAGGGTTGGGGATGTTTAGCTGCATTGCGCATTTCAAGAAAGTTCAAAGATATTAAATGAAGCTTAAACAGTAAGTTAACAAAACAGTTCTTACTTTGACAGACATATGTAGTTCCTTCTCAAGTGCCTTCATGTCTATTGACCTGACACCGTGCAATGCAAAGTCACCGATAAACTTGTCGCAATATCTGTCCAACAAAAATGCAGTTTTTTCATCAACTTGTTTTCAATATCTTTTATATACGCAACACAGAGAGCATGATAATTTTTTTGTGGCGAAAAATAAGAATAGCTTTATGTCAAGAAACAAAAAAACAAAAAACAGCGATTTGTAAATTCCAGGTAGAGGCAAAAACGTAATCAAGTGGCTGCTTCTACATCCTAAATCGGAAGTAAAATAAATTTGTTTAGGCCAGTGTCCAGGAAATTGTCCATCCTTCCTGAGGCACAAGAAAAAAACTTTAAAACCTATGTCAAAAACAATCGAAACAAAGGGAGTGATGACTAAAAACTGGAATATTTTCAATTTTCAAAGATATTCCTCAAAGTTATGATTCGCTGTGTTGATTTGAAAAATATTGCAGTCAGATGCATACAAATTCATTGCAAGGTCCACTAATGTTCAGGCGTTGAGATCTATTAACATATTGTCGATTTTCATCTTTAAAAAAGTATAACGATAAATCTTAAGCATAAAGTATATAAGTAAAATAAATTGTATAATGTTAAAAAAACCAATAGTCAGCGCTAGACATCAGCAAATGATAATATGAAAACACAATTGAACATACCCAGCAAGCAAGGATCTTCCAAAGTTAGGAAGCTCGACTTTATGATCAAAATTTCTGAAAAGATAATTTAGTTAGTTATTAACTAAGATTAGAAGACAGATTTTCAAAAACTATCGTTAGCATGTAGGAGAACTGCTAAAATTCTATTGGCTATGTCGCATCAGATGTGACAGCTTTTTGATGATCTATTTCAAGAATTCTGCTAGCAACTTTAACCACGGTAATTTTCAATATGTTCAAGAGAAGAAGAATCCCTCAATGGCTAATAATTTATTACGAGCATCCTGTTTACCTTTAACAGAAGCAAGCTATTTTCTGCATTAATTGACTATCGTAAATGTAGAAGCCAAGATAGAATGTCAAGTCATATAAACTAATTAACAAAAAACAGCGAAAATCACAAATACTAGAATGAAAGGTTTTGCTACAGAAAAGTAAAAAGTACCTCTGAGGAAGGGCCTCGATTTCTGATCTGCGAAGTAAGACAATCAAGGATAAGTTTTAAGAAGAGAGAAAACGTTTTACAAACTGAGAGACATGAATCATCACAACAAGCCGAGGTTTTTTAAAAGCAACTTGAACTCGAATGGTAGCTGAGCTGATTCAATGATTTATTAGTAGATAAAGTTTGCAAAATTTGCTGGAAGCTCAAGTGTGCAACTTTGATAGTTCGACCTTTTAAATAAAAGGAAATAATTTAAAATCATCAGAATATACATGCAAATAGTACAGGGCTTCCTTTATCGAAAACTTATAACAGGCACAAATGACCGAAAGACGAAAACCCGGAAAACAAAATACAAAATATGTGTACTCACTCTGGTATCTGCAGCTCTAAAAGGTTCATTGATAACAAATCATCGTCGTCCTCTTTTCGCATTTCCTCGTCTGCAACATCAATTTCTCGCAAATCCAACTCGATGCCATTGCCCCACTGCTCTTCATTATTTATGCTGGCATAATCGGAATCTTGAGATCGAATCTCGAATTTCCTGAAGGCATCAAAACATGATATACAAGAACTGTTCCTCGACAATGTACATTGGTTACTCCTAGTCTCGGATCCATATTCGCTCGATTCCATGTCTCCGCAAACACACGATTTAGGCTCATCATCCTGTAAACAATTCTCACTACTTCCACCGCTATTTTGACGAGGAAGGCGTCGTCCTAAAGCATCTACTGTGCCCTGCTTGTTGGTGTGTTGTTTATCCGGACAGCAATAACAAATAAAAGAAGGCTGTTTTTGAATGTAATTATTATAGTCGTTTAGACCTGAATCTCTATCTGCTTCGATGTTTTTATGAAGCGTATCCTTATCTCGATGTTCCTGCACCGAATTTTTGACATTCTTAAATTCTACGTGCCTACTCTTGTCTGTTTTTATGACACTGGACAACTTTTTAAAGTTACGCAGTCCTTTTGCACCTATATAGTCAATACTCTGGAGGACAGAACACATGCAATTGCAAATTTCTTCTTGATCGTCTGCCAGTTTTTCACTCTCAGTGACGGTATTGTCCCTCTCCTTCTTGTCATTGACCAACTCTCGATTTTGTTTCGATGGAAAACTATCTTTCCACTGACTATTATCTGGAGTGTTAGTTGGTGTAACTGTATATGTGCTTAATTTATCACAGCACCTCAACGAAAAGTCATCGTCATCAAAATTTTCTAATATTTTCAATGAATACTCTTTAACTTCGCTGCAACGAATGAAATAACTTAGTATATAAAGTATTTGTCGAACCAAAGTCGGGTCTTTGCCAACTACCACAGTTTTCGTAATTTTGGGAGGATAACCAACGGTACCAAACAAATCCCTACAAAGAACAAAATTAATCAATAAAACATTCCATGTTTGCAAGATTTCAGACTGCATACGAATGAAGAATACCCAAAGCAACGGCTCGTCCTTTCGAACGTGCAAATACTGGACAGAAATATGAAAACTGCACTTGTATATAGAAAGCAACTTTCTGTTAACAGATGTTTTTTGTAAAATCATCGTTCTTGTTAAGAAAAATACTTCCAACACGGACAGGTCTTCAATACAGGTAATGAAAATTTCATTTTGACTAACATATTCTGATATAGTTTATTGATTCCGTTTGTAGTTTTACAAAATAACTGCTACCTTTCTCTGAAAATCAGAAACTAAAAACAGACAGCGACAAAAAAATTTTGAAAAATCAACGTAAAAAAGACACAGCGTACCCTAGTTGTGCCCATAAGGGATTATATGGGTGACATCTTGCAAGTACATCCAGCTAAAAGATACAATGAAAGTTGAATAAGAGTTTTTAAAGAAATAAGAAAAATCATATATACTAGTTATAAAAGACTGTACTCCGTAATTAATGAGGAGAAATCTAAAACTTTAAATGTTCTGATGAAAATCGAGCCCTCTAAAATGTGACATCTTCACCTACGAACTGCGAGAAATTCGCAACCAATCGAGATTGTCATGTGTTATGTATTTTTATATGACTTTAAGAATCTTCAGTTTTGTTCGTTTTGTCTTTATGTCTCTCCATATGCTTGCCATTTCCATTGCTGCCATTTCATCTACTGATAATATTGTAATAGAACTTTCACGTAAGCAGCTGCTCCAGTTTTAAAGTTTGTTTATCGTATTATCTCAAATTGTTTATACTCATGGTGCTTTGGTGTGAAACTGAAAATTGTAAAAGAAGACAAAAAAAGCCTAACCATTATGCATGCACATCAAAGAAATGGGCTACAAGCGGTGCACGAGTAGTAAACACCCCAAACCAATCTTTTCAAGAAAATTTTGTAGTAATTTGTAGAAACTTGTATAGAGACACCAAAAATGGTAGCAAAATAGATATTGAGCCCAAGCTTCTAAGAACATTCCTTTTACAGCAAAATAAATTTTAAAATTTAAAGAGGAGATAGCCAGTACTAAAGTGTTGCTGTCAAAAGAACATTGTTAATTGCTCTTGTCATGAAAGCTTTCCTAAGCAAACAATAACATGAACAAACCGTCATTGACGCATGTTTGTCTAAATAGGCCCTGTTCGGGGCAGATCCGCCAGGCATAACGGTGGGAACCCAAGCCAAATGATGTGACAATACCGCAGTCAGTAGAGAAGACAAAAAGCTAAAAAATATAATGCATTGGTTTTAGTGGCAATGCCAGCAAAAGCAGAGAGCTGACAGTCTGTTTGAGCTACAAATTTCGATCATAGTTGCGTAATCATTAAAATACTAAGACAAAAAAGTATTGAATTAAGCATTTCTTGATTTAACCCAAAGCAATGGAAGAAATTAGGAGCGGGATTATCTTTGCTGCTTTAGCTTAATTTACGTGGGGAAAAAATCTTGAGAAATTTGTGACCCATAAAGAAACAATCAACAGGAAATGGGTCGATTGCTTAGCCGGCGAAATTCAACAATGAATGTCTACATGAATAGTTGAGGCATATCACTGTTTGAAAATCCTTTCTAAGAAAGTTATCACTTAAGTGGCACAATCAGCTGCTAAAGTAGACAGGCCCTAAAGCATACACAACTTGAACAATTTTCTACTGGACTATAACAACTAATTTACACAAGACTCCCAAAAATGTCATTTTTTACAGGAAGATCGACAAGGCATCACCCCTGACAGTAGCGACAACAAGCTGCAGCTTGAAGGAGATGGGAATAAAAATATTCTATGTGGAATCCTAGTGAGTACTTACTAGCTCTCTTCCTTTTTCTCGAAGGTGTCCATTGCCTTCATTAACGTCGTGATAAATCGTTCAGCAATCTCCTCTTGCTTGTCTCTGATATTCATCATGTTTAACCAAACAGGCTCCTGTAAATCGAATGAAATTTCAGAAAAGACGAACTCCGAAATAGATATTTACTATGAAGTTATTTAGGTAAAACACAAATAAGACTACTTATTCAATAACAAAACAGAGAGAATATTGAAAACAACGCCATAAATATATGCTAACTGACACTAAGTCTTAAAAGCTCTGGGTTCTAGCATTACGTAATCTAACAACAACAACAACAACATTATAAACAGGAGCTCCCGTTGGAGGCCGACTTACCAATAATCGTGGAGCGGAGTAAAAACTAAGGATGTTTTGTTTGAAATTTTCGACAGCCTGGAAAAGAAAACGCTACGATTAACTTTAAGTTATACTTGAATTTGAGGTACCATAACATGATTCTAAACTGGTCATTATGGTTTTTGCTTTAGCTGACTCTCCATGCAACATTTAGCTGCATCACGATCCCGATTGGTACCATATAACAGAAAATCAATTATATCACTGAAACCATAGGGGCCAGATCTGAAGGAGGTGGTATATCTGTGCTGCTAAATCTGCAAGAAATATTTACTGTAGCTATAGACGGAAAGGAAAACGTATTTGGGTATGACAGAACAATTGATTGATAAAGTGGTGCAGATCTATCATGGCTTTATAAGTGAAAGACTTCTTAAATGATTAAACAATAGGATATAAGCTGGATATGAAAAAGAACAAGTATTCAGAAGCAACCAGCACCTCAATCACCGATACAAAAAAGTTCTTCTTGGAATGCAAGCTCTTTTCAATAGCTGATCTCAGTCTTTGTACATGCTCTTCAAATATCGAGTAATGTGTGAACAAAAAATTTTGAAAAATCCTGCAAGAGAAAGGCAAATTAGGATAAGTCTAAATACACACCAAATTGTTTGGTCATTAGAAAATTTCAATATACCAAAAAAGTCAAAGCAATATTCTTTACAAAAGCTTTGCATTGTTTAATAGAAGTTTCGCAGCAAAGCTATCAAAATTTGAACTGTTTTGGGTTTTATGCACAATTGTTGATGAATGCAATTACAACATGGGTCTATAACCATAGATACACTAGTAACAAGATATTACTGTAACAAAAATACACTAGTAACATTTGGGAGACAAATACCTATTTTTTTCTTCTTTCGATTCCCATAGTTTAAATATGACTCCCACGCCTATTTTCGGTTGTCGACGATAATATGTCTGCATCTAAAATAAAAGATATGTGTTTCACATACAAGTCCTCAGACTAATTGCAAAAAATTCATTAACAACATGGAAAGCCTATTGTGTCAATATTTAAGTATTATTAAATAAGTAAGAGCATGATGTCTTGGTCGACGTTGAAGGCAATGACAGAAACCAAACAGAAATGCCCGACTTGCCTCATCCGAATGCTCCATTTTCAGTTTTGAGTGCTGATAATTCTCAAGTCGAGTCATCTGGCTCCTCTGCCATCTTCTGTTCAAACTACAACGCGGTGACGGCGTTGGTGAATGCAAACTTGAAATGCTGTCCGAAATATTTAGGCCTAAAAAAGGCAAGCTTAACGTTAGTTGCATTGGGATAAAAGTTGTCTCGGATTCCACAACTGATTAGGCAATTGTTAGTCGAAATGGTTAAGGCAGGGATACAGATTTTCGATAAGATGATACAGCCCGATGAGATTTTCGCTGATTGCTTTTGAAACTAAAGATTGAGTGGTCTTATTTACTCAGCGTGATCTTAAAGGTGTGAGTTGATGTAAATTTGTACAGTCTAAAAAAACACTCACATAGCTCGATGAGATTTTAGTTGATTGCTTGTGAAACTAAAGATTGAGTAGTCTTATTTACTCAGCGTGATGTTAAAGGTGTGAGTTGATATAAAAGAGACTTCTACAAGTTAGTTTTTCTTCTGACAAACTTTTTAGAAGTTTTTTGGGCTTTTACAAATTTTCTGTTGTAGCAAAAGGCTACTAAGTTTGAAAGCCTAATCATGTATATTGTAAGGTAGATAAGAATAACTATGAAGATGAAAAATACATACTGCTTTCAAAGCTAGCATTGGAAGTGAAGCTGAGATTGGATCTGCTTGAAACCGAGGGTGTGCTCATACGAGGTATTGTGACTGAGCCTGCAAGTTGAAAATTGTATGATGTAAACTTGATAACGACATGGGAATACTAACAGATGGTTCTCAAGTATTCAAGGTCAGCACTATAGATGGCAAACATTACTTTTAAATGTTTAATAATGATTACTTTAGAAAGTATGTTTCAATTACTATCCATATAAGCGCATTCTTTCAGCTAATTCATAATAGTTCCTTTCCACATTTTATATTTTTAATCATGTGAGAGCGTAAGACCGTCCTCTCACCTTTTAACTCAAATGCCTAGTACTTCAGGTAACGACAAATAGCAGCCATTCCTCCTTGCCGGTTTCCTACGATCCCCTGAGAAAATCTTGGCAACGGATTCAATGGTATGGATAAACTAGCCTACTTCATGAACTTTAACCAAGCCTTAAAGGAATTTTTGAAATCCGAGAGTTAAGCAATACAAAAAACAACGTACCTATAATCCCTCGATCTGGACTGTTGCTCATCGAAGGAATTGCAATTGAGTCAGACGACATGCTTCTTCCTTGGTTCATAATAGGATTCGACTGATTGAAACTACCGGACTGATTTCCATCGCTAGAGAATAAAAAACAGACAGGATGACGCAAAACAAAATTTAGAAAATTGCAAGAACAGGGCAATAAAACAGAGCTTATTTCATTCATTCACTTTTTGGAAAGTTGGTTACCTTATTGCCTAGGTAAAAGGTAGCCTAGAAGAGACTACTTGGACGATTTGCAAATGGGAGTCTACCCTTTAATCGAAATATAATAAAATGTAACAAAGGAGAGCAGTCTTGCAAAAGTTCGTTCAATAACATAACGATTGATAATCATTTATTACATACATATATTTATAAAATAAACACAGTATAGGATAAGATATTTTAATTAAGAGTTACCAAACAGCCTGTGCTGAGGATCTGGAGCGAACGGCAAACACCTTGCTCAGTAGAAGCTGTGGGGGTGTTCTAGGGAAAAAATATAGTATTTTTAGGCTGCAAAATGTCAAAATTTTGATGAAATTATCAAACACACACATTTTGTAAACTACAGGCATTTTGATAACAAAGGCTAAGTGTGATCTTGTGAATTGGTTCTGGAAGCACCATGCATTTAAAATACTGTTAGTGATCCTATTGATATGTAAGCAAAATTCACAATAGTCAATTACAGATGCGAACTCTGGAAGTTTAAACCACAATAATAAGCGAAATTTTCTAAATAAATAATTTATTTGAATTGAGCTATCGCCAATACAAATTCTTTGAATTATAAATTTTCATGGAAAATCTAAGCAACCTTTTACTGCTAAATTTTGATAATTTGGTACTTTATTTCCTCAGAATTCTGATCTTAAAATTCCCCAGGAGAAATTAAAGGCTGGGTCTAGATTGAGAAGAATATTACTAGAGATTAGATCTACCTTATATGATGAACTTTGACCAGCGATCCTCGGTATGCCATTGTTACAGAGCCAAATATCATCTCTCCAAGCATCTTGATGTCCGATTTGGGCTTCAAAAACTAAAGAAAAAAGGGCCAGTACATTGCATCAATTTCCATATATTAAAAGGGCCAGTACATTTATTTTCCAGCCCGCATAGAAAAAGTCATTTTCCCAAGTTCTTCTGTGAGCGATTTTTTCTATCACAACATTGTATGTGAAGTTCAGGCCTTAAGTCTTCAGTCAAAGGAGTATTTTTACCGCACACACATTTTTGCTTTGAGGGAGGTTTGGCCAGGTGTCAACCCGGTGTCAAATACAGCGATTGGATATTCTTAAAGTTTGCAAATTAGTATCATAGCGGTTTACTTTCGAAGAAACACTGCACTATAAATATAAATACCTTGAATCTTGAAGGCAAGGTGCGAGATGACGAACATGGTGGATGTGTGTCCTTTGCGTTTTGTATATTTCTTGCTACGTTTGGCGACAGCTCCTGCAGAAAAATAGATTTTTGTAATCAATTCAGATAAGGAAGCTGTTACAAAAACATCTTCATTTACAAAAACATACTGTCTGTTTGCTTCTTCTTGGTTCCCCTGTGATTGGGTCTACGACACTTACAAGCTAGGATTTTCTAAGCTAGGCTTCCATTTGATGCTTGACAATGTCCAAACGAAGACAACAAAAAATTGTGACTATAATTTAATGAGTTAAACAAGCCAGAAACAGAAAGTCTCTGCCTGTAAGCAGATGGTTTAGAAATTGTGTCAATAGGAATAATTCATTACAAACTGCCAGGTTAAATGAAACGGAGCCACAAACCTCATCTTCCTTGACCTCCGCGACTGCATCTGAATCAAATACCAAAGATTTCCCTTTCTTGTCACAGTCCTTGAATACAAGGACTCGAATGTTTGATCTTCCAATCTTTGGCAGCCTTGAAAGACAATAATTATTTGCTTAGGGGATTGAATGATTCCATTCGTGGATAAATGTACATTATAAATTATTTTATAAGGCTTAACCTGGCTCTATGTATACCAGAGGTTCCTGCACACAACATTAGAAAGGCGATCAAGATATCAAAGAACAAGGGTGAAAATGGACCAGGAAACATGGACCATCAAGGTACTGGTTGAGGACCAAGAAATCTGTTTCGGATTTGAAACTGGAACAGGTTGATGACAAAAGCATTTTACCATGAATCTTTAATAGGGTGCCATAAGAAGCACAAAACCAATGATGGTCCGACCCTTAAATTAATTTTGTGTCAGAACTTTTTTCCCACGAGACTAACGCAGATGAATGGCTAGCATCGTGGAGTTAATATAGGCAGTCAAATGACGCAACGTCGGAACAAAACTCAAAAAGTCTAGTTACACATGAAGCTGACAGGTTGCAACTGAATAGATATTTCAAAACTGTCAGTAACGATAGTGGACATATGGCGTCCTGAATAAAACCCGTGTGACTAAAACTAGGTGTGGGGATATTACATACATATGCGTATGAGACATAGGGGCTGAGGGGGGGGGGAAGCCCCCTAGCAAGCCAAAACCTATCGAATTTCAGGTCCATTCGGGCAATTTTATATCACTGAAGCAACAATATTCGGGCAAGACCCATACTAAGCCCCCCTATACGTTTAATCTCCGCTATGCCCATGATTGCATATCTTTTATATCTTCAGTAAACGTACAAAATCGGGATAGAACTTTGTTAGAAATATCAGGGAAGTACTGCCTAAGGTTAAAAGAATAAAATATCGCAACGGTGAAGACCCAGGGATAGGTTTATCAATAAAGTACACAAAATCTAACAATCGTTATTCGTTGTTCGCAATGATAATAATTCGGCCACTTCAAAAATGCTAGTTAAATAGCACAAAATTTTTCCGATAAGAGTGAGCTAATAAGGCTTACTGACTTTATATCTGATAAACTGGTCAACTAAGTGCTCAAAGGTACGACCCAAAAAGATTCACCAAAAGATCAATCATGAATACGGCAGGAATAATTACGAGCGAATATTATAGTTATTGAATTCTGTGAACTAAACGAATAAAGGGCGACTAATTCAAGCGATCCACGACACCTAATCGTCAGGAATAAAATATCACGTTCGATTTGTGGTTGCTAATAGGGTTCTTTGAAACAACGGGTACGGAGGCCAGAAGAGAAGTTTGAAGCGTGCCAATGACTTTTTGACCACCAGGCTAAGCAGGAAATATTCAAGAGATTGCGGGGAATTAAAATGGCATCATAGAGAAGTCCCTCCAAAAGACATGAATGATGAAGAAATGACAGCTTATGTTAAAAAAGACCATAAACCTGGCTCGTGATTTTAAGACCTTACTAGAAGGTCTGACATTGATTGGTCAATGTTTCGAACCACATTCACATTCGCATAATAGCAAGCAGGGGTTCCTACTTTCCATTCTTTTTTGCTTAGCTTCCTAGTTACGTGGGCTCACAGTTATTCAGCTAAACACCCATTTTCTGCTTGAGATGATGAGTATATATACAAAAAACATATTTGTGTATGGTTTTTCATTCAAAAGCTCATTCTATAAAATGTTTAAATGATAGAGCATAATCGCTTAATTGATGAATCAATGATGAGGCGAAAGCGAAACGTCTTATGAAAATGGTTTCTCGGAGGTTTTATATATAAACATATTTTTATAAAAATATAGAACAGGCCGGTTCTTAGTTATTACTCTGAGTTTCACAGTCATCCGACAACGGTCGTCCTTTACCACGAAAGCTTGTACAGCTCAGCCAATACGGCATCCAGCCCTATAGACAATTCTATTTACGGTCTGCTTATCTGGAACAGAGAATTCGAAGGCAATGTTGCCTTAAAAACTACATGAAACCTTCCTTATATATTCGAAGCCTTACACATTAAAATTGCAACTTAGCTATGCTTGGGGGCAAAGCAGCCATGTTTGAACATATTACGAGTTACCGCGTCGAGACCGAGTGCCTCCTCGTGACCTTTGCGTGAACTTCCTAAACGTGCTACCTATTTTAACTGATTCGCGAATATGAAGAAACCAAGATGATAACTTCATAAAGGGAAAAATAATATTAAGAAAGTAAACAGCACAGTACCGCCAACGTCGAAGGGTGAAGCAGTTGGAACCAAGACTTATTTCATACGACTTCTAAGTTACAATGATGTTTCGACAAATGGAGGTTAATAAAAGCCAGCTTTCATTTAAAACGGTTTTGGTGGTTCTGTGAGAAATTACATCGTGGCTCATTATGATCAATGTGACATTGACTTGATTTTATTAAAACTGATTCTGAGAAATCAGAACATTAATTACAATGTCCTGGGGAAATTGAATATTTAAAGACAGTCGCTTTGCTGATGGCATGCACGTTTATTTGATAATACTATTCGGGATAGTACGATCGAAGAAAACAAAAAGTCAATTGTTCAATTGTTCAATTCTTGTCTACAAAAGTTTCTCATGTGACCGCCACAATCAAGTCACACGACAAATCCTTCAACAATATTAGGCAACTGGTCATGCCATCACAGAATTCGATGGGTCTGTTGCTAGGATACGGTGAGATTTTTCGGTAAGCTCCTTCTCATCGGACAGACGCCTGTTCCTTATTTGGAGACAGAAACAAAACAAGTCAATAAAAATAGCGAAAGTGTTGTGCTGGAATAATCAACTGGCCATCATCATAAACTCAAATTAGACAAAATATGTAGAGATGTCATAAACCAAAGAGCAATACTTCTTTGATTGGTTTTTTTTTTATTGAAGGTTTCTGTTCCCTTCTAGAAAATTTTTTGGGACTTTCTTGACATTCAGAATACAAGTCATGTTAAGTGCACTGATTGCCTGAGATAACGAAATAAGTTACAAAATGAAAAACATTAAAGTCTTGATATCTTTTTTGATAGGGTCCAATTCAAATTGTGATTAAGACTAAAGGATGCTAAGATTGCCCAAGTTGGATTCCTGATACCATTATAACGTATTTTAGGAGACCAGCATATCGAGTACATTAAATCCGAAGTACCTTGTAACCAGGGTAAGTAAAAATCGATTAAAACCAAGCAAACCTTTTGCCTGGACCAAGCACACCAGTACATTATATCCGAAAGTACGTAATAACCGAGTATGTTATAACAGGATTCTACTGTATTTGCAAGTAACAACTAGCATTTTGAGAGGCTGCTGTCAGTAGAAAAATCAGAATATTATATGCAATGAGCAACATTTTATCCAAAATAATGAACTGATATCTTTTGCAATACCGGAAATGGTTGATAATACTTTATATCTTAAAATACAAATTTCAGTCTGTTATGGAAAAATGAAAGGGGTTTAATAAGCTGTTCTTCCATTTGTCTTGTTCAGACCAAAAAGCACCTTGAATCTTCTATCTCTGAGACTAACTATTGTTTCCTTGCATATTCTGATGACCCTAAATTTCATTCATTGGAATTATAAGCAGATTTGCATCAAAATGAGTCTTGAGATTTCCTGATAGTCCCTCAACACAAAAAGTAGTAAAAAAGATATGCATAGCCCATATAGGCAAAGCAGAATTAAACAGATGTGTGCATGATGAAGAAAAATAAATAATTTGTTTTTTGGAGTGGTTTTCAAGATACATTTTTATAAATTTCTTATCTCAGTGCATCCTGAAAAGTGGCATCATTAATTATTTCATCTTCAAATATGGCCTTCTTTAACTAAAATATGTTAAAAATACCTCCAAATCAAATTGCAGAAAGCAAATAAGTGTGCTCTAGCACAATCCAAAGATTAGAAGAAAATGTTACAAGAATTTCAAACATACCCTATACAATACCGTCTTGCATAATTTCATTGATATATTTTGTCCAAAATGGGGAATAAATACCAAACATGTACTAATTTTAACCCTACACCAATAAAAAGGTTTTTGGAATATCTGCGACCATTTGGAATATTTTGTTTTGGATTGAAATCATTTCTAATAATTTTTTCAAATACTTCACTAATTTCGCAAAAAAATTTTGGCTTAATTTGCAATTGCAAAATCCAAACTGAATCTATTTTGATTTGTTAAGATCATCATCAATGTTTGCCAAATTGAAAAAGTTGATCGAGGAAGGGGACAGGAGGGGAATACCTGAGTTTTATTACTGCTTGTATGCTATTCATATTATCGAAAACAAAACACGAAAATAGGAAGCAAATCGAGTTTCTAAATACTCTTGTTAAAGGCCAAATCCTACTGAAATTTTTTAAGGTTGCTAAAATTGTTCTATTTATTCTGTTATGTTTTATTGAAGTCGAAAAGACAGCTTTGCTGAAATTGAGAATCAAAAATTGTGGGTGTGAAAGAGGGTTGCGCCGATGAAGAGATATCATTCTTCTTACCTTGGGGCGGCTTGAAAATCGTCCAGGTTTACATGCCTAAAAAATAGCACAAAAAGAATCAGAATAATAATCTTGCTATTGCTACAGTTGATAGTGAGAATCCGACAAGCAAGAAGGTGAAAATTTGCCCAAGTAAAAATCTCTGGCTATTGGCCTAGCATCGGTAAAATTTGATTTTCAACACATACCATTCACAATGCTGCTCCTTTTTCTCCTCTTTCTTTGGCAGGTTGAAAATTCGTGAAAACATTTTGCACCATGGTATAATCTGATGAACTATGGTTCAGATCAGGTATTCTTTACGTTCATGTGATGTAAAACAAAACATTTCCAAGTTGGAAAGGTCGCCTGAGTAGCGCGAATCATGTGATAGTCTTGATGTAATTCACAGGGATACCAGCTGAATCAACAGCCGTGACTGATTCATTCTGCCATTCTGATTCATGAAGTTATATAATACGCCCTCGCTCCTGGGGGCTTCTTTAGATGGTGGCTTTTGAGGTGGTTCATAAGAGGGGGCTTAACAATCATTACTGTTGCCCGAAAAAGGAATGAAGAAATTGGTAATCTGTTCTTTCGAAGCATATTGCTTTAGACAAAGAATCCAGTTTTTGGCGTCCAAACTCAACGCTGACAACACAGAAATTCTGAGAAAGCCTCATTTATTTTAGTTTTTTCGTTATCAGCTAAGCTTAAAGTTTTACTAGCGGTAAACAAAATGGTGTATTTTTGCGTTTAATATCGATTAAGCACCTATGGGGCTTATTAGGGTAGGTCTATTAGAGGATTTACGGTAACCCTACGTACCGTAAATCCTCGAATAAGCCCCCACATTCAAATAAGCCCCCCTCGAATAAGTCCCGACCTTAAAAGTCATTTTTGCAAGAAAGCCCCCTTTCTCGAATAAGCCCCTCTCAAATTGCAGAATAATATATAATTTCAAGAAAGCCCCCCATGGGACAATAGCTATACAGCATTACTTCCTTTGACTGGAGACCAAAAAGCAAAAAAGTGACTTTTGTGATGGTAAAAAATTATAATATTTGTTAGCTTTTTGTTAGATTTGTTAAAATATTGTCGTTTTATGTCAATCTTTGAGGAAAATACTAAACTTTGAAATAACCCCCCTCCCCCCTCAAATAAGGCCCCACCCAAACATTCATTTTATCAAATTAGCCCCCGGGGGCTTGTTCAAGGATTTATGGTATGCTTGCAGATCCGATCGGTATCAGCACTTTGCACCAAGACCTGCTGGCTTTCAAGAGCTTGTACATGGTATAGCTATTCAAATAAAAAAACAATATCGCGAGTTAATCCCAAAGCACATTTCGTATATTCTAGCTGGCTCACGTTTCCCTCTTTGTATGACAAAGCTGGGCAAACTTAACAAATTCAGATAGCTTTAAAACTTTAACTGCAATGCAACATACTGCTTACTGCACAAAATGGTGTTCAATGTTTTTTATAAAGAAATGAAAAGTTTATAAAAAAATTGTGTCATTCCAAATAATACCCTGCAATAAATACAAGCTAGCAAAGACTTGCACAAAGACCTAACTTTCTTATCTAGAATTAGAACAGTATAAAAGACTACCAAAAAAATTCCTTTTCTCAGAATTCTAGCTTTGAGACCACCCTTTCTCAGAGTTTTTCGGAACTCACACGACATACGTTTGATCAACTGTCTGAGCCCGCCGGGTAAAGGACTAAAAGAGAAGTCAGTTGAAGTTCAGGATGGTTGTTTTTAATTTTACGAAAACCTGCGGCTGGATTGTTCTTAATTTGTCTTTAATTCATTAGGGTGTAAGCAGTGCAATTGCTAGGTTTCTCCATTAAAGTGAGTGAGACATCCATTATTTGCCAAAATGTGCCTCATTTTTAGATGTAATATTCTTCAAAACTGAATTTCACAGTAGCTCAGCCCAAGCATGTGTTTAATTTGCTCTTAACATTTGAGCAATTTGAGGCTCGTGTTCTTATTAAATTGTCCTTATAGAAAAAGTGTACACCTGTCGGGAATGTTTCTTCCCCTCCAGACAAATAAAGTAGTTGCCTTTACCGTAAGATGGTACATAAGAAAAAGTACAGCACAGCACGTACATCACAGCACGATCGCTCAGGGGCGGCGCCCAGAAATTTAAAGTGAGGGGGATCGACTTGATAACATTATTAGACTAAAAAAGCAACTTTTGAAAAACGCACTGAAATGCTTCACGATACTTTATGCATGATTTTACAGGGGCACTCGTTATGCTAGCGGAACATTGGAAGAACTGCGAGAGGTTATCGGAGGCCTTAGGTGTATCCAAAGATGAGGCTTCCTTGCAAGCGAAGCGAGCAGATAATTTTTGGAACCACGCCATCTAGACTAGCTTAAAGTACACTTCAAAATATTCCTTGCGGTCATTTTTTTGCAAACATTTTGCTATTATTAAGGCATGGTTTAAAATGGAATTCGTTAATTTATGAGGCACCTTAACTCACTACTGCTTTAGATTATACCCACCTCTGGCTTATGGAATGATATAGCAAGACTTAAATTGAAACGTCTTACAAATGTTATGTTGGAAGATAGAACCTTCCTTTTGTTGGGAAGATGATAATACTTTCGAGAATAGCATTACTTCTTTCTAATGAAGTCTCGGGTTTAGGACCTTTTATACTCAATAGGAGATTGTCAAAAATAGGATTCCATGATTATAGGTATACCTTGATTGGCTGAATCTGTCAGTTTATATTTTTTTTGGAAGTCCCATGAATAATTAACTTGTGCTCTATTCAAAAGATTTTATTTCTCAGATGATTTGCTTTATAAGCATACCCTGAATAGAATAGAGAAGTTAAGAAAATGATTTACATTTCAATAGGTTATTGAATAAAAACATAAGTGAATTTGGCTCTTGAATGTATCACTCAATGTTTGTACTGTCTAAATGCTGTTAAGTATCGCGACCAAGGTGTTCAACTGAGGAAAGCAGCTATCAACATATGAATACAAAATCTTAATGCTCTATTCAGTAACAATTTTTATAGCGTAAAAACAAGTAAAGATAATGTAGATTCTTATGTATAAAATCTTTCACCTGCCTCTTTCAATTTTTTCATTTTAAAATTATTTATGCACGGTACTCCAATCAGGCAGTAGGGTGGATTTTCAGGATGAGCTTGTCATTTGCTTCTTAAAGAAAAATTCCTCTAACCAGTGGTGGTGCAAGCTATCGCAGAGTGGAAGGATAATGGGCGTGACCAATGCAACCACGCCCATATTGCCTCGTTTTAGTGCTTTGTACCAAGTTAATTTTTCTTTAGGAAAAATCAACTACCCCTACCTAACACTTTTTAATCCGTTTTTAGAAGAAATATGTAGACCATGTTTTGACAAAAGTAAAGGGGAGAAGTACCCCTCCCCCCATACCTCCCATTGGCGCCGCCACTGCCTCTAACAATTTGAAAAGAGAATATCTTTGGCGCAAGAAGATACTAAGGATTTTGAAAATATGATATGAAAATTGCTGACAATAGTCTAACCGATTTTATTACACTTTTTATCATATTCGAAACATAATCAATTAGGTACAGAAAATCTGTAGCAAGAATACTATTCGCTAAAGTGATAAATCTGTACAAAACGCTTTTTAAGAAAAGTTGAAACCTTCTTCTGCATAGTCCTAATTAGTGTACGTATATGTAGTGAGGAAGACAAATACAAGCTCAGTGTTCATGTCATATTCAGTCCAACAACTGATTTTTACAATTTTGATCTAATCATTCTATACAACATCACAGTTTGTTAATCAACACATCAAGACAAAACAACAGACATACTGTACAAACAACAGAGTACAAAGATTCAGTTAGAGACCATAACATTATTAAATTAAATACATTGACAATCAGTTCCGAGGAAGCATATGCTACATTCACAACTGAAAAAATCAACATTTATAAATCTATACAATTATGCAATCTATACGATTGTTTACAATTGGCCTAGCCAAAGAGGGAGAGGTGAGAAGGTGATTAAACTAAAATGAACAACAATTAGAAGGATGTAGTTCCCCGTGCTGACTCCAGTCTTCTTTAGCTCTAAACAAATGTCAGTCCAATGCAACGACAAAATTATCCTCTCTTTTATCCTTAACATGAAAAACCTACCACTTCCAAGAAAATCTAGTTTTATAGAGAACACTTTAGTTTTCAACTGAAATAATCTTTTGGCAAAAATTAGTGGTTCCTTCTTCCTTTTCTGAGTCATTGAGACATTCGTTTACGACGAATTAAGCAGAAATGACTAAAACCAGAGCATTTTCCCCTGAATAAATCCAGTCTTTCATGCATTTGTCGTTCTTATTCAAAAGGTGCTTCGATGACACCTTTTCCAATTAAAATAACCTTTTCACATATAGAGCTAATCTAATAAGGCTGTTAGGGTCACATTATTGATGCCACTGGTATTGTGATCTTTCCAGTTATGAAAGCTTTTCTTTTGATAGGTGAAAATAGGCTTCCTTTACTGATAAATGAAATTTAACCGATAAATTATCTGTTATTTTTCTTTTTCACAAATTGTATGTTCTGTGATGCTCAAAAAACATGAAAATTGCGTTAGAGCTCTTGCCTCCGTAAAAATTTTTAAAAGGGACAAAGGAATTTCTTGTCTTAGCAGTAGCCTGCTTACGACCACTACTGGTTCCATCACTTTAGGGGGCATCCTTGAGCCCAAATCTTCGTGGTGGAAATGGGAAATATCGTACAGATATAATTTAATACGCGAATGTCTTCCTTGTTTATTGGGGGAAACACAAAAATTGGTGCAAAGGGAAGCGAAAATTTTACGTTTCGTTAGACAGCCTCACATTCACTAAGAGGGTTGCTGTTGTGGTTGTCGTTAGGGAAATGTTGTGAATGTTGTTTAGGATTATTTGGTAAATTGCTGCCTAATACAAGAAGAAGACAGATTTTGCCTTTCCTACCCAATGTTATGACAAGGCTACACTATCGCATGAGGAAAGTTGTTATTATTCTGATATGTGTTTCATTCGCAGTGTCATTGTTTATCGGCTTTCGATTGCATACGAATTTTCACCAGCACTTTCCCGACTTCCCGGTAGTTGAAATTGTGCCTGAAAACCCAAACGATTCTACAAGTAAAGCACAAGGAAATAGGCCGAGTGGACGCCAGTCCTTTTTAGATGTAGTCAACGAAGCAGCTATTGAAAAAAGCAAAGAAATACATGAATATGCAAAGAAAAAAGCTTTCGAGAAGTTAGCACATATTGTGAAGATTGAGAAACATGTTCACCCAACAGGGGTGCCAAGAAACAATATAAATAAAAGATTGAGAGTGCTACGAGGAATCAAAATTGATAGACCTATCGATGGTATGTATCCTTCCTAATGATTTATGGAATCAGTTATGATATGGTATAGAGATTGTAGCCTTCTGGTGCTATTGCTCCCTTACTCCGCTTTTTGTCTGACTTTTTTCAGTGCATAAATGTTTAATTATGACCAAAAGTAAGCTCAAAATTTATATCCACATAGGAGGTTGAGAGAAAGGAAAGAGGAAAAATTGGACTGGCAACATTTCAGCAAATTTCAAGTCAAGCCAAATTAATAATAAGTCAAATTAAATTGCCATCACCAATAATTTTCCCACTGTCAAGCCTTATGAGGTCTATAGTACTAAGCTCAAGATCCCATCCATTCAAAATGATTACCCTTCAACCAAACCAGAAAGATTTGAATGTGTATCATGTTCATCTCCATTGTGTACTTGGAATGTAGGATGCATCATATATTAATCGATAGAATAAAACAGCATGTTCCCAGGATTTTCTTTAACCAATTTGAAGTAATGAGCACACTTTTAACTAGCACACAAAATAAAACTGGTCCAGAAAAGAGAACAGCCTTATTGTTCTTGCAAAATCAGAATGCCTGGATAAAATATGATTCAGCTATAGGGTCAGGATCTTCTGTTAAAACTCTATTAAAGCCCCCTCTATTTTAAGCCCCCTTCACTTTTAAGTCCCTTTCTCTTTTAAGCCCCTTGCGGAAACTGAAAAAATTAAAAAGCCCCCCAGGGGCTTAATAGGGTTTTTATGGTACTCAAGAATTCAGATAGCTTTTGAACTAGAAATTGTAACAGTTTTATCTGTTGTTGCAAACTATCTATGTAAAAGAAAGGTTTGTCATTGTAGTGTTTAATTGTTATTTAAATGAAAGTTTTCATTATTATCATTTTTTTACAACTATCATATTGTTTTTCGTTTCAACTTTGGCCCGCTTTAACAAAAGGTTTGAAAGACTTGGCCCAGTCTCCAAAAAGGCTGCCAATCCCTGCTCTAAAACTTAAGGCTGACATAAACTAAAAAGAATGTGGCTCATGAAGCAACCCAGTCAAATGCAATGTTCATGAATCCCTGTCTAGACGAATTTACAGTATTCTGATTAGTAATTAGTAAGAATTAGTAAGAATTGACATTGAAATGCTAAATGCTGTAGACTAATTTTGAACTATAGATTTACTATTTTTTCATGCAATTTAAGAACTGTATGGAGTTGGTCCAGAAATGTCTTCACATTATTCCAAACTCAATGGGAAATTCAAATGTTTGGATGGCAAGCAAATATTTCCACAGACTTACATAAATGATAATTTCTGCGATTGTGATGATGGAAGTGATGAGCCTGGAACATCTGCATGTGTCAATGGCAGGTTTGTTGATGAGATGAATAGACTTATTAAACATTTAAAGATTCCAGTTTAAAATAGTTTGTTGTGCCTATGCCTTTAAAGTGCCTATGCAGCGAAATTTACCATTCCAACATTTTAAAAGAAATCTATAGAATCCTTCTCCCTTGTTCTTTGACAAAAAACAGAATTTCGATAAGTTAAATGGTTCTTTTTCTATTAAATGTTAAAGTATGCACATTTTGCAGTTGCATTGCGAAATTTTATTTCCTGCTGTGACGTCACAGTGATGAGTCAAGGCAAAGAAATTTTAGTCAGGCTGTTAAGTCACTTTTTGGTTGAATTGTGCAAATTGTGATACTAGCATGAAACTTTGCATTAAGGGACAGTTTGATAAGCTGAAAAGATAGGATATGGATTGTGTGAAATAAGCAAAAGTCTTGTTAGAAATTTAGAGTGGAATAAGTTGAAAAAAATGTTAAAGAGGTCATTTCCAGTCGTCTGCGTTCACCTCTTACCCTTACCCATTTAGCTGGAAAATATTACTTTGTGCCAAAAGACAACAAAATGTTTGGTATAGCCGCAGCCTCACCTTCGTAAGTGGTCCCCTCATTTGAGCCTAATTCGAGGAAACAAGGATACCTCAGCTTCAGCAGCACGACATCATGTTTCATTCATGTTTAATTTCATTTTGTTCATTCCTGCCAATCAAATCAACGTTTTTATGTACTTAAAGCTGGTATTGATGCCCTTATTGGATATTAACCATGAATTACAACGTAAGTTTAAATTTTAATCCAAGCTGTTTTTCGTAGATTTTTCTGCAAGGGAGACCAAACTTACATCCTTTCGTCACTTGTGAATGATGGAATTTGTGACTGTTGCGATGGCACTGACGAGTGGCGCAAAAACAAGCCTGTTGGATTTGTCTTACCTGAAAGAGCTGTAAAGCAATATGCGCCATGCAAAAATGTATGCAGTTGATAAACAAATTGTCTTTGGTACTAGAGCTTTTCTAGAGAGAAGTCTCTACCGAATAATTTCTAACCGAAAATTTCCTGAGTAATTTTTTATTTTTTGTAACCTTATTTGTAATGGACTAAAAATCGACCAATAAAGTTTTAGGTAAATGTAAGGAAGTTTTCTCGGTATTTTTTTAGAATGAGATAACTGGATAACAACACATATTATAGCACAAATCACATTAGGCATGTTTACAAGTCAATCAAACAATTGGCACATTTAGACCGTTTCTTAGAGTCCATGCATGTGTGACATGTACAAAAAATTTCAAGCTTTGAACCGTAGAGCTATTATTTTTAATGGAATCAAGCCATTAGACCCTATCAATGTATGATATTTGCAAGGTTCTAACTATATTTATAGCTAGGAAAATTAATCGTTCCATTACACTATCAAGTCTCTCTTGGGAAACAAATTGTGGGCGTAAAATATCCCCAGCGTTACATGGCTGTTCTTATTCAAAACTTCTTTATTACTTTAAATATTAACAAAATAAAATGATAGAACTATTACTTCATCATGATATTAATATTTCTGTTTATGCCCACCCATAGAATTTTGTGTTTCGTCCATAATAAATTCTGTGACACGGCATATCGCCCGCATTTCCAATAGAGGCCTGATTCGTTTAAAGCTAAAACATCCTTGGCATCGTTTGTTGCATGTTCAGCATTGACTCTTTTTCTTACAGTTGTCGCTTTAAATTTTCATTAACGATCATTATTGCCAAGCCTTTCTCTCATTTATTTTATGGATCTCTCCTGAAAAACACTAGGCATTTTCCTGCGGCCTGTGTTTCAAGCTCTTTAACACTCCTGCTATTTTTTGGAAAGATAATGAAAGTCAAGAATTAATATAGTGTGCTTGCTTTTAGAGAAAGCCATCTTTTGCGATTTTTTATTTTTCCTTTTTGCGGGAACTTTCGTCTATCTAGGATGTTTTCCGTATTACGTGTTTACTTTTTATTTTCTCATCTCATTCTAGTCCAGCAAAGTCATTTCGGTAAAAGGCATAAGCATGCTGAGCATACCCCTTATTGATTTCAAACCTCAAGAAAGGTCCTTTGTGGCCGCCATGCTCATACTGATGCTACAAATGTTTTTCCTGGAAACAAATTTTCAAAATTGCTTAAGCCATATTCGAACATTGTATACCATGCATGATCCATCAGTTGTTGTTATTGGGAGAGAAATATTTAAATTGTTCTCTGTCTCTTTTGAAGTTAATTGAATTTTTATATTTGATCGGTAGTTATTTTCGCCAGACATTTTGCAAACTTGTGTACCAAGGTATATTTTGTCGAAATGTACCCAGTCTCATTAAAGAAAATTTACAAAGATGGGGATGGGGAATAAGTGTATTTTTTTAGGAGTTTCCCCGTAGAATTTAAAGGGCTTTGGAGGATTATGGGGTTGGGCAGGGGCAGGGTCTCTAAGCCAACTGTTTACCTGGACGTGTGACTTGAGATTTGTGGGTCATTAGTAAGTTCAAATGCTAACTTAGTGTTGCAAACTCAATTTTTTACAATTAACGTGTTTTGCCCGTTGATCGATTCTAGTTCTTTTTTCTAATACTAAATTCCAATAAAATTGTTGTTACTTTTGTTTAACTATGAAAAGCAGAAATCGAATAATTTGCTCATTTCATGTGCATCCTAGATCTGAAGGTCATTTTCACATAGAATATGCCTTGATTTTGATTCAAGGGAGTAGAAATTTTATGCTTATCAGAGGGTGTGACATAACGATTAACATAACACAGGCAAAACTATAATGTTTAAGAACCAATTTATCCACTGTAGCCGCTTGCGTAGTGGCCTACTTACTAATACTAAAGGACTACTAGTTGCTGCGGTTGCGCTGCCATAACTGCTCTCATGCGCTGATGTGGTACCAAATAGGGCGTCAGCCTTAGTTTCAGTTGAGTGTTTTGACTTTACCTCAACTGGAACAAGATGAGATAAAGGTTCAATAAAAATGTTTCCACCCTTGTTACCTTTACCTTTGCAGTTCAAACATTGCCATCTCGTCCTGTAAAAGTTCTTCCAAGTTCCAACTTGCAAACCTTCCAGAATGGGCGCTTTGTGTTCTCGTCAAACAACGACATCTCTTACAGACAGTGATGGTAAATTAGTATGTTGTCTCTACTTGAAAGCCTCAATAAGGCTAGAAACATACTCTCGCTTCCATGGTTTACTGAACTGCCACAACAATCCAAAATGATATTTGGCATGTTAAGAGAATGTTTCGTAAGTTCTTATGATTTCTCCAAACCTATTACTTGGCCTCTGAAACAAATTTCTTCCATTTATCATATGGGAGGGCGTTAAAGGAGAAGAGACGCCTTCAGTTTCATCGAAAATGTACGTTAATGGCCTCAAATTGATAACCCCATCTATCTCAACAAAGGTAGCACATAATTCGACATAACTTTACATTGCTCTGCTCTGCTCTGCGCGTTCAGCGTTCGCATATGCCTGGCCTATGTCAATTGTAAGTGATCCATAAAAATTAAAATGCAATCGAAAGTGTCTTTATCGTCTCTGTCCCGAGAACCAGAAAAAGAGGTACAACATGTGGCGCCCAACGTGTAGTTTACATTGTGGATCAGAACTGCAAAAAGAAATAATATCTGTCTTGCAGTTTTAGCGTATATTGAAGCATAATTATGTACAGAATTACATACCGATTACCGCTTAGTCACCAACAACACTGACTCTGTAAACAAAACGTGCTTATACAAAAGAAATAAAATGCCACTTGACCACGTCCAGTATATGACGTAATCTTTACAGCACTGGGTCTCCCACAAAGGAACAAGTATAAACCATACCATAATTGATGTTTCTATAGAGCCTGAGTACAGTTTAACTGATAAGCTAAGGGTAAATGCCTTTTAGCTCCAAACATCAGGCTCTGCAAATAAAAGATTTTGAGATGAGATGAAGCGGACGTGATGATGAATTAATTTTCAATCCTAGATGAATTTCAGAAAGGAATTTTTTAATTAGTTTTTTGTTGTGTTACAATTTTGTTAAGTAAACATCTTTGGTTTTAAAATAAAAATGCTTGTACAATTTTGCGGAGATAACCCCCCCCCCTTACCACTGATCTATAAAATAGATCAATGCCCCCACCACAGGATAGAAATTCTATTCTGTGCTCTACTGCCAACGGGCAAAAGCAACAACAACAACACTAAGAGCAACAACAACAAAACTTGAAGGGACAGAAGTTTTCTAAACACTAAAGTTTAGGTAACAAACTGTCTCAAATAATGTCACCATATCGAATAACAATAGTTGGAGCAGGCCTGACAGGATGCATAACAGGTTGCAGACTGAAAAAAGCCTTCCAGGATGACATTATGGTTACGATACTCGACAAAAGCCGTGGTGCCGGTGGAAGGATGAGCACAACCAGGTCACCTTCAAATCCGCAGCTGACATGTGATCTTGGCGCTCAGTATATCTCAGCAACCCCCGAAAATCAAGAGAAGCATAAAACGTAATTCAGTTAAATCATCAAGTGGTGTTCTCAGGGATACTTTGTTAAAATGTTCAGGCCTCAAACCATGTACCAAGAAAGTAAATTCAGTGATCAAAAATTGAAATCCCTACTATAGAAGCTTAAATCTTTCTCTTTCAAAACGTCTGTTCTCGAAAGTTCTGAGCTGGTCATATTTTATGCGCGTTTCACTCTAAATACATAGGTAGAAATTTTTTATTTTGTTGAATAAAATTTAGAATTTTCTTGCTTCCAAAGTATCTTACTTCATATGGTTAAGATATGAAGTTTTAGGGTACGACTGCACTTTAGCGACCCACTTTTCTGTTCCCTGGTCAGAAGTTGAATTGAATTACAATCCTTTCGATCTAGTCTGGCTTCTGAAACAATCAAAAGTTTGAATATCAGAAGTTCAGCCAGTTATGGATTCACTCTTGCACAATTGCAGCTATACATCAGTTTCAAAATCAGTTTGGATGACTTCGCTCTTTGATTTTTCTAGCTGTTTTGAGGGCTACCATCCCTACTGATTCATTTTAGTCCATATCCAGTTACAACAAATATCTTTGTTTCTTCAAATCTTCATTCCCACTGTTGCTACAAACATAAGTTTGGCAGGTCATATGAATAGGTTTGACTTGCAACAATTTTTCTTTTTCAGCTTTTATAATCAGTTGTTAACTGATGGTACCTTGAAGGAGTTTTCAGGCAAAATAGTTGGCCCAAATAGATTTGGAGGAAATGCAAAACACTATGTTGCACCATCTGGAATCAACTCTGTTGTGAAACACTTTCTTAAAGAGGCAGGTAAAATCTGTTTGGATGTCAGTTTTTTGGTTCCTTTGATCTGATTAGCACTAGCAGCTCATTATTTAATTTATGGCACTTGTGATATCCCCCTGTAGTTCGCTTTTTGATGTTAGATTGGGGGGAACCCACTGTATGCCAAGCGGCCAGTGCAGGACATTGTATGAACAACCCTTTTTTCTGCTAGTGTTGTTGGCTCAGCAATGACAACCTAATCCTTTATAGGCCACTACAATTTGCCAATTTCAGATAATATGTAGGTCAGAAATGCTGATGTAAATAAGTCTTCATGCCAGCAAAATAAGTTAGCTTTTTCCTTAACCATTTTATAGAAAAAAGCTCTACACAATAGGACTATACATTAGTGTTCTGTACTTAAAAAAAAATTAATCCAGAATATGTAAAGTTTTTGAATTGCCATTTGCAGTTTTTGACCTGCTGACCATTTAAAGTAACAAGGTTGGTATAGAAAACCTGATCATGAAAAACCCGATATGAGTGTACTAAGTCTTCCTTTTTCTTGGCATTGCAGCACGTAGACCTAGACAAAAAGACTTTGATAAACAATGTAATGTGAAACAATATTGTAAGATACTGAATATGTTTCACTCTCCTGGTTTTGGTTTTTTGAAAAATATTTTTCTTTTAAAGAACTATTATCTTTTGTTTCTTAAGACTTGACACCAATGTATCAGAAGACAGTAGACAAGGTTGATGTATCATCTTTGCCAAATGGCAATTGCAATTTGAATTTCAAGGAAGGTGGAGAGCCAGTCACTTCAGATGCTGTAGTATTTACAATTCCAGCACCACAGCTGCTTCAGCTCAAAGGAGACATTCAGCATCATCTCAAGGTTCAAAGACCAAAATTGGAAAATGTTGTTTATTCATCAAGATATGCACTTGGCTTGTTTTATGACAACACAAGCTCAATAGAAACATATTGGGATTGCAATTATGTCACAGATAATGAGTGTGTCAGATTTATTGGCATTGACAACAAAAAGAGGGGAAGAGGTATAACATCATTCAGATATCAAGCAGCTTTATCTTCTTTAAGTGCTAGACATTTGGCTTTGGCTAGTAATGTTGGGCTGAGGCTTTTATTTTGGTTGGAGGAAACTGGTCTTAGAACTTCGACAAAAATAGAGATTTCAATGCAAATTGAATGAGATTAAATTAGGACCTTAATTCAGGGTTGCAATCATAACTATAAGCATTAATTTTTAGTTGGTGTACACATACAATTACAATAGCAATAACAATTAGGGGTGTACATAAAATCTGGTATTAATAAGGTTTCATAAGTGTTTGTTAGAAACATATTTCTTGTAAATAACTTGTATAAAAAATCATCCATTAAGGATAGGTATCCTCTTCTCTTTGTCAGTTCTATGAGAAGATGTTAAAAGATTTGAAATAAAATTTGCTTACCATCATAAGACAGGAAGACAGTTCACATGTTTAACATTTTCTTTTTCATTCTTTTTGCTACAACTTAGCTTAATGCCATAACTTAATTCAGATAAAACTTCAATAAATGGCTGAATAATCCAGCAGGCTCCTATTTAGAATATGTTCCAGACTCATATTAAAAAACCTGATCAAATACACCCCTATTTACAATACAATTGGTCAATGATGTACAGTTTTTAAATTGAAGGTTTATGTTTTGTCATATTTTCTTACAGGTACTGAAAATGGGAATTCAATTGTTGTGCATACTAGCGTTCCTTATGGATTGAAACATCTTGATGAGAGCATTGAAAATGTTGAATCATCCATACGTTCAAATCTAAAGAAACTTTTGCCATTCCTTCCTGACCCTACTGCCACAAAATGTCAGCGTTGGAGGTTTTCACAAGTGTACAAGCCTTTTGAAGGCACTCCAGGTTGTATAGTGTTGAATGAGTCTCCCTTAATAATTGCAGGAGGTGACAGTTTTAGCTCATCAAACTTTGATGGTTGCATTGAATCTTCAACATCTATTTTTGACTGTCTTAGTAATCATATCAAAGCTAAGCTGTGAAGTGTGGTCAGATTTTGGTACTAGTAATTCAAAAAAATTATGGGTGGTATTTTTTTGTGATTTATATGAAGTGTGTCAAAGGTACAAAATTTTATTTCCTACACTGTTCTATTCAAATTTGTTTTAACTCACCATATTTTCCAGTTTGTCTATAATGCCTTCTTGCAGTGGTTACTATAGTGAAAGTTCTATTTGTTATTTTGATTGAATGCCAGCCTGTAGATTTATCTCTTTGAATTTTGGAAACAAAAGGACTAATTGTTGTTTTACTTTCTACTTGATTATCAAATCAAATCTCAATGTTTGGTTAATGTATGCCACTTTGCATCTATATAGTATAACTTTGAAGCTTGAAAACACTGTGACACTGAATGTAAAATTTGTTGCAAGGATACTAAATTTAAACTAGATTATTGCTTTTGGTAGAATTTGGAAATTGAAGTTTTGAAATAATGTCTAAATCCAGTTCACAAAAAGGCATCTCTAGGGTTATGAAGTTTTGATTTACAGTAGACTCTAGTAAGAGTCACATCAAATGAAGAGTTGTAATACCAAGCAGGGCAAGGGCATCTGAATTGTATGTGACTGTAAACAGAGTTTGCAATCTAATGTGAAGTTCTTTTAGCTAAAAACATCTGAAGATGCTTTTTACAGAGCCATAAAATCAAGAAGAGAGGAACATAGAAACCATGGAACTTATTAGGCAGCATAAATCTCACGCATTTGAAAAACAAAACTTGGTAGGACATGGCCTTTTATGACAAACTGGGTTTGTTTTCCTCTGACGTTATTTCCTTTTCCTATCCTTTCAAGAAGGATATCAAAAGTAGAGAAGCTCAACCTTTTCTAATGACAGTTGGTGGTGTGAGTGGAATGGGATTTAATATCACAAGAACAGGTTATTTCCAGGCCCTCTTATCCCAGCCCCTGGCCTTAAGCATTTCTCTTTGACCTGAATGAATTGCAATATTTCAATAAGGGGGATTTGCTGCAGAACATGGTATCTTTTTTAGAATAAAAATTATGCGACTGTGTTTTATGAATCGCATAAAAATTCTAGCCCAGGGTATCAAAATTACTGACATTTATAAACAAGAAATGTATGAGAATAGCTTACTCTGTTTTTTGGAGTTTTCTTAGAAAGAGCATGTTCCAGTTACATTTGCTAATGGTAAATATCATTGGATCTGGTTTATTTTGGCATAATTGTGACATATTTTTGGCAAAACTTTTATGGGACAGGGTATGATTTTGGCATAATTTTTAGGTGAAAGGGTACTGAATGCTTATCATATTCTTTATGAAAAAAGTTTTCTGCACATCAGTTCACTTTCCTGCCAAACCCGGGCATGTCCCTCGCTTCAATTTCAACTTCCAAATGATCAAAGCAAAGGAAGCCTTTTGTTTACAAACAGCTTGAATATTCCCGCGCGCGCATAGAAAATCCTATGAGAATCACGTGAACATATGGAAACGAGACTCGTTTTATTATGATGAGAAAACATTCCGTTTTTGAAAAAATCTGCTTGAGGAATTAGCAGGCTCGAAGAACTTAAATTTAATGGTTTATTTGGAAACGTTCTGAAATGGATGGGACTGCTAAAGGATTGAATTCTGCTGAAGGCATCGATGAGCAAGGAGCTGAGGCGACACAGGAGGTCGACTTGGACACATCAATTAAATCGGAAGAGGAAGAGGCCGCCATTGAGCAACGAAAGGAAAAAATCAGAAAAGAAATCAAAGAGGTATAACGAGTTCTGTTTAGAAATAGTATCTGTTACCCTAGAAAAATTTTTTATAAGGTACCATTTTGTTATTTTACGGGCGTGTATGATTTATAATAGCAGATGGAAAACCACAGGTCAATGTGTTTGTTTTCTGTGTTTTGATTTTTGGTACACGTAGGTGATCAACAGGATTAAGACGATTTTTCCTAATCGAAAATCTTTCAGTGGTGAAGACCAGGTTTAAGTCTTTGGCTGGCTTTCTTTATTGAATCGTCACCAAAATCCAGTCTTTCCCAGAAGAAAAAATTTCTTTACAAAGCCTAAAATTGCTCCGTCTCTGATGAATTTCACAAGGAATAAATTAGAATTGAAAAATAAGTTTAGAAGGCTATGTATCTGTGAACATAGCGCTCAGTAACCCAATTCAGTTTTGAAGCTCCGTATGGAAATATACTTGCAACTAGCTAGATAATCTTTATTTGCTAAATTAATTCTGAGCCACGTGATGCTGCAGACCATTTATTCCATCGACTATTTTTTCAGCTAGAAGATGATGTCCAGACTCTGAAGCAAGCAGTTTTCAGGAAAGAAGCTCATCTTTCTGCACTAAGAAAAGAACTGGGTGTGACAAGATGGTCTCAGTTCAAAGATGGTTTAAGTGAAAAGTATCAAGCCTATCAGAATTCAGAAATGTAGGTTTTATTGTAATAACTGATAAAATATTGATGTATCTTTTAATGCAAAGATAGGAGTTCTTTCAAAAATACAATCTCCTATTCAGGTGATTTTCAACCTAGAGTAATTATAATCCTGCTTTTTTTCACTCAAAACAATGTCATTAGCAGGCAGTTATGATTAAATGTCAAGTTTCGTTAATGAATATTTGGTTTTTTATATTGTTTATTGTTTAAAAATATGGCAAGAATAAGGTAGTTAATGATCCACTTTGCATGCTGATTTTCTTGAGTATATTGAGTATATATACACCAAACATGCAATTTTTGTCAAGAAACTGCCTCAGAAAATATTTTGAATAATTAAACTGTAGTAAAATTTTTTATAACTTGCTGTGTCATTTTTCTTTACTGCATAAACCATAAAAATATGTTGGATTTTTGTGTCTCTTTATAAATATTTTCTTTCAGATACAACAAGCTATCAGCTGCCTCTGCAAGTACAAAGCAAACTCTGGGTGCTGCAGGAGAAAAAACATCAACGGCTCTAAAGAATTTTGGAAATGCAACTGCTAAGAAATGGCAGGATATAAGGTAATGGCTCTTTTGTAATCGCTTTGATATTTTCCTGTCAATTTGAACCTTTTATATATATCCTAAGTTGTCACATCGTAAGTTTATACCAGCTATTAAAATTCAAACACATGATTTTGTCCAATACTACCTTTTAATGAAATTTAGGTTCTCATCTTTCTAAGAAATCTTGCCCAAAAATCTTGAATACTTTGAAAAGATGTTTGTGAAAGTGTTTGTATTTACTTCATATACGGTAAATCCTCGAATTAGTCCCCTGGGGGCTTATTTACTTTTGATATTTTTGGATGGGGGCTTATTTGAGGGGGCTTATACGAGGGGGGGCTTATACGAGGGGGGCTCATAGAATTATTGTAGACATTGAGAAGACATTATTGAAAGACCTTGTTTTTTTAGTAGAAATTTCTTTATGAGCATTTAATTTATTACTACCAAAAGTATGAATTTGTTGTGGTAATTCAATAAAACGCCATATGCGACCTCAGATGGCAAAAATCATCAAATTGAGGGGTCCAATTTGAAAATTTACGGTAGCAGTGGGGGCTTATTCAAGGGGGGGGCTTATTGACAATTTGTAGTTTTAGGGTAGGGGCTTATTTGAGGGGGGGGGCAATTTGAGGATTTAAGGCATGAATATGAGATGCATGGTGAAATTTCTAATGTGCATGTTAAACTGTGCCTCCACATGCTTTTAGTATAAACAGCATGTCACAAGCCCCATAACAAGCATCATAGGTGACTGTTAATTATCAATAGCCACTAATGGTTATAAAAATTTGAAATGTGTTGCTCATTTACAGGGAATCACCTACCTTTCATTCAATGGAAGAAAAAATGTGGGCCACAACTGGGGCCATTAAGGCAAGTGTATGAATTGCTCTATATTTTCATTGCAAGTTTACTTTGTTTCTTGATGTCAAGTGATGCTCAAATACTATCAAGCAAGCAAAGTTTTGGTGATTGACTCATCACTTGAAGCTTGAAACACTTCTTACCGATTTCATATTTTTCTTTTAACAGCTTCACCTTCTTAAAGCCACTTATATTTTTAGTTCAAGGTTTCAAATAGTGATTGTAAAAGTATATTATCATTTTTATTATTTTTTTGTAATAAGTTATCAGAAAAAAGTGCCAATTATAGAAACTTTCATTGAAGTCTTCTTCACAATGTCATCATTTTCAAAGACCCTCTAGACAGTCTTTGTTATTAAATACAACCTTGAACTTCAAGTTTCAAATAAATCTTTTTCAAACTTTGTTATAAGAGTTAAATCTTTTCTTCAAATTTTGTTTCTGTCAAAATTACAGAAAGCAACATACCACAGACTCCAGAATCTTTAAATTTTTTAGTTTGACACAAAACTCTTTTTATAAAATGGTTTGTTAGTTACATAAAATGAAGTTCTAAAAATATCAATGAGCAGTTATAATTTCCATCAGTTTTTTTTCTGTGTAGATGAAAATATTTAACTGTCTAATGTAATTCTAACATTATTTGTTGTCTGCATATATTAAAAGTTATGTTTAACATTGACCATAAAAAACTGAAATCTGCCTTGCGGTAGCTTCAAATTATGCAAACAAATTTGTAATCTGTTGAAAAAAGGCAAAATCTGCATAAATTTCATGCTCCAGTGCATAGTCCATTTTATTCTAAGATGGTATCATTTTTCATATTAATGCTAGAGGGATTTTTCAAGTAGGTTGTATTTCTAAAGCCAGCATTTTATTTCTTTGTAGAAGACAATGCTCGGTGTAACAATGTCATCCAGAAGAGCAATAACTAGAAACTAGCTTATAGCAAAGCACATGAATTACATATTAAATTATTGTTAAAGCATGTATGTTGTAAAATGACTTGTGAATCCATATTACAATTATGCATTATGAAAGGTCCAGGTCATTATACTGTTGATGAATAACCATTTAAGCTCTGGTAATGCAACTTTGTCCAAACATTTAGTGTAACAAAGATTAAAGCATCTAACCAAATAGTTTTAGTTGAAATTAAGCTGTGATATGAAAGTAAATCAATTTTAAGTAACTTTATCTCAATGACTTGTTATAAATTCTACACATAATATGTAAAGCTCTCAATTTTTTTAAATTAAATATTAGTGTATAATAGGGTCCTAAACTTCTACTCATTAGTCCTTATATTGGAGGTACTCAGCTGCTTCTTCACTTTCCAAAACACCTTTTTGATATGGGTATTTACCTTGCTTGCTTTAGTTGCTTAAAATGATATCTTGACTTCACACGTAATATGGTTTAAAATTTTAATCATTCATTGAACCATTAAATCTCAAGTTTTATTTGTTTACAAGAAAGTAAGCTTTATTAACAACGTATTTGGCACAATGATTTCATATCCTACAAATAGGAGCCCTTTTGCCTGAAATTCAATAGCTAAAATATAAATGTTATTTACAGCTTCTTATACCTTTCAAATCATTTAGGTATAAGCATGAAACTCACCTAGATTTTTAATGAAGCTTTTAAGCAAATGATCTTGCTGAACAAGTACCACCTGTTGTTCATTTTGAAGCCTTTCCAAGTTATTTAAGGAATTGAGCTACAAGTCTTTTTGTTTTAGAATTTCAGTATTTTATTTTTCACCTTGTATTTTTTTGTGCCTAAAGGTCATCTCAAAACCCTGTTAAAATGTAGATTCTCCATTGTCCTTGCATTTATCTCACATTTCTCTGTTTTCTGTAAATAATCAATTTAAATTATTTTCCATATGTTAAGTTAGACACTGTTGCATGTTTATTTGTGTGGTTCTTTTGGAGCATGGGAAAAACGCAATAAAAGTAACATCGCTTCATCACCTGATATGACTGGTGAAAGTAAGCCACATGCGAATATGAAGTTCCCACAATAAACCTTGATGAAATTTGAATAAATGAGAAATGTTTCACTTTTGATGAACACATAAACAATTTAAATGTGCACATTTCAAATTTGAACATATTGAGTGAAGGAAATTAGACCAGGCCTGTCGCTAAAGAGACTCCACACGAAGAAAAATTCCATTGTTAAAATGAGGAGTTATTTGTCATCAATGCACTCTAAGTCGGCAGATTCTAAACTTGTCAGCAAATAAAGGATGGCTTACCCAATTTGTCAGCAAATGGTACTTGGAAACCTCCTTTGATTACAATACCTAGCAACAAGCCTGAACTAGACATACTTTGCAGGGGATTTAATTTACTTTTGGGAAGATCACTGTAGTTTATTTTGATTTCGGTTCATCTTTTTTATCTTATTTATCCATGGTGATCATAACAAAATATACACACAAAATGCTAAAAGATGTATGCAAACCAATGATAATAACTATATTTAAAGCTATATTTAAAGGAATTTTGATGGTGAAATTATACAAATATATCCACAATTTGAATGAAAGTATTAAGAAAAAATTGTAAGTTTTTCCTTTTTCCTCATAAACAGATAACTATTTTATGGTTTATAACTGGCTTTTGACAGAACCTTCATTTGATATCTCTCAAGTTAACCCCTTGTTTTCAAGCGTAAAAATTATTACTCAACAAATTTTGTTTTAGCATGACAAGATGCCTTTAAAACCTTTATTGTTGAATTCAATCATTGATGAATGAGTGGAATTTAAGTGGAACAAACTAGTTGATCTAAGCATTTTTATATATCCACAGGCCAAAGTTGCAAGGCAGAAGTCACAGCAATCTTTGGAGCACCAAAATGGAACATCAGATCAAACAAAAGAGGCACCTTCTGCTATTTAAGCACTTAGTCTAAATAGTGAAAATTTATAATAAATCACAATCTGTTTTTCTGTATCTTAAGGGCCACTCGCTTCCTTGATAAATGTCAGAAGTTTAGGGTCATTAACATTCAGAACATAAAGTATTGGTAGGGAGGAGACTTTTTTATAGTTAAATGACACATTTAGCTTAGTATTTCACAGAGATTAGTTTTCCTTTTTAAGGTACCATATTTTATTATTAATGTTTCTCTCTGTCTGAAGTTTAGAAATAGGAATACATCATCACTGGAAAAGCAAATATTGTAAAGAAATTTTTTCCAGATGGGGATGGAAAGGCAATAAGCATCGTCTTCTTGAAAGTGTTAAAGGCATAGAAGAAAACATGTAGTTTTTGCTTCAATTTTATCACATTTGTTGTGAATTGGATTTATTTTTATATGTTGAAGAGTTAAAATAATGATTAGTGATAACTTTCAAAGACACAATCTTCTTTATTGAGTTTTATCTGAGTTATTATTCTTAACGTAACATGGTGCGTTTTTTCAACAACCACAGGAAAGCATGATTTGTGAATTGAATTGGTAATTAACTGTGGTTGGAAACTAGTGAACCCCTTGTATGTTCTTATGTGGACCTCATGAACTAAAACTAAAACACAATCACCTAATTGAGTCTTGTTCAGTTCTTGATTTGGTTTCTCACCTTCAGTTCACCCCCCCCTCCCCAACAAAAAGTTGTATCTCATTCTTTGCCTGATGAGAATAAAAAACTAGCCATATTGTACTTTCCTATAAGTTGGCCTAAGAAAATAATTTCTGTAACAAAAACTGGCTTTCTAATGGTACTTGCTTTGTCAATATTTACCCTGCAAAGAAGGTGGCCTCACAGAAAAGGGGGCAAAATGATAGTTATGACAACATTTTTTATATTTCATAAGGTCTGCTACAATTTATGTAAAATAACTTTTTAATGACCTGCACAATTGATGCAAATAAAACATGATAGAGTGACTAATCCTTTTCTTTTGAAAAAGTTTGGTTCAGTTACACTACTATTCATCTGAATATCATCAATTGCGTTTAAAAGTATGTCCAGTTCCTTTGTCTGAATTGTGAATACATTTCAAATCTGAATTGCAAAACAGACAGAAGAACTGGACACGAACAATTGATTTTATGTAGATTAATAATCAAAGAATCAATGGGAAAGATAAAAAATGCTTAAGGCATTTTTCTATCAAAGCTACATTGTAGACAAAACTCTCTGAACACTTGTGATTTTATTTATACATTTTTAAAGTGAAATTTTACCTAGATGATTAATAAAATTTATTTGATAGCTGGACGGAATGTTTTAATTGTTATAAAGAAAGTTTTTAGATCCTAAATTAAGGTAAAAATACAACTTCTATACATATACTATGCATGCCTTGGGGTCCTTCCAAACATATACCATAAGACCCCTACAACGATAAGTCCCTGAAATCCAAAGAACACAAGTGCTAAAATAAGCGCTACTTGAAATATCGGTTCAATTACATGATCTCCAACATTCCACGGCCTTAGTCCAAAATCACTGAGCTTTTCGTTGAGTGCCTGAAACGGCGATGCCCCTTGTTGGGGATTCGCTTGTCCTTGTGCCATCGGGCCTTGTCCCATCCTTCCAAACGCACCAGCAGGTGATTGCGTTGTTGACTGTTGCTTAGAGTTATTTCTACTGTTTCTAAGACGTGGATCATTCCAGCCTTGTCCCTGTCGTTGCTGTCTTTCCCACTCAATCGCCCGTGGGTCATCATCTTGTACGATTTCCCCGTCAATTATTTTCACCATGTTTTTTCCTTTATGCCCAAAATCAAACCAATTGATATTCAAATAACAGATTGCCTCAATCCAAAAAAATTCTAAATAGTGTAGTATCTTCACTAGTAATATTTTAACATCTAACCAACTTTGTGACAAAAATATGTGTTTGTGTTTTTGCTCCACGTAATGTTTCTCGTTTTTCTATACGAAAGTTGGATGGGAAAGAGGCTGACCGTGCAACCAAGACAGGTCAGAAGCCAAAATTGTCTCCCATGCGAAAACATTCAGTGGAAGATGCGTTCAGTTTTCGCTACTGCTGCTTTTCAGGTAATTGAGCTTAAATATCCTCACAAATGGGGTCATGTTTTCTCTTTGGAATTTTCATCAGCAACCTGCCCATATGCTCCAGGCCACTTCAATTAAGCCCCTCTAAAACATCCCAAATTAGGAAGGGGCTAGGGGGGCTAAAAGGATTTATGGTACAAGCGCCCTCGTCCATACTCATTCTCATGCTTAGTTGCAAGTCTTCAGCATGTAGTAGCATTGAAAGAAAAAAGAACAAGGTATCTCCAGGGTTTATGGCCTGCAATACTTGAGTACAATTTCCTTGTTAAGTTTTTCGGGAGACGAGCAAAAAATTTCACACAACCAGATTTTCTGTTTGAATTTTAAGAATTAGATAAAAAAATTTAGATCATAATAGTGGTGAGGTTAGGTATCTCAGGTAATGAAGATGCCAAGCCAACATTTAACCTTTGCAAGCCCTTTTGATTGCTTTTAGTGAAGAGAACCAACAGAAATAGGCAAAAAATGGTATATAATTGCCAAAATGGTTAACCAAAACGAATTTGCTCACAAATTACTCAAAAGCAATTTATACAGATGTTTCAAAAGTGAAAAGAAAAACATACTAAAGCGATTAAATAGTTAATTGTCTAATAATTTAGAAATTGCACCTGATAGATTCGATAGTATAACAATGGGTGTAATATCTTACAGACACTTACAACTTTTGAGACTGATACACAATATACTAGTGAAAAGTAGCTGAACTGTGAAAAATAATATCAAATTGATTTAATGCTTTTTAATTATGATACAAGAAAATATGAAATGACCAGCAAGTAGGAAGAACAATGCAGGGTAATATTTTTAAGTTGTTCCCAATTATCAACAATTTACTGAGATATGCAAGATTTGCCATAAAAGGCTTGAATCCTAGTAGCTGACATACAAGTAACTAAATACTTGGATGCCCTAGGCAAAAAGGCAAAAAGGAGGACTTGAGGCCAATTTTAAAGTAAACATTTATGTGCCATTTAGTAACTATGACACTGCAGTGTCTCAAGTAATTAACAAACTGCCATTTTCATACAGGTAGAGATCACATGATCTTGCTTCTACATTAAGAGGCACACCTGTGCAAAGGGAGGAGGGGCTGTGGCCCCCCACATTTTTGCTGAATTATGATATTAATGTTGTTGCATCAAAGATAATAGTGGAAATGCAATCATAAAAAATTGCCAATATATCTCAAGCTCTGCTGCCCCCTCCACCCATAAATATGTTCCGGCCTCCCTGATTAAAGAAAAACAATAATTCAGAATGCACACAAATTTCACCTTTGATAGAGAACTGATCCACATGAAATGGAGAAAACACATCTAAATGCGCTTTAGAATAATTTTACCAGCCAACTCAAAAGAACAATTTTTCTTCAAAAGACACTGCAAACGAGTAGGCAATATTTCCTAAGTGATTTGGTGACCACAATTGTAGAATAGGTAAGTATTGTTTTTAACTGAATATTGAACTTATTACTTTTCTTTTCCAAAGACAAAATGTGTTTTGCCTACACAGCAAACATAGTGGTATTTCTTAAGCAAAACTCAGAATGCTTAGTGTTACCAAAAAACTAAATACACAATTGTCATCAAAGGTCATTATTGAGAATGAACCTGTTCCCCTCAGAATGTTTTCCATAGTAAACATATCTACATTTTCCAAATGTTCCTTTGTGGTCACCTAATTCAGCTTCTTCTGTTGGAAGTGGTGAGAAGGCTTCATCTTCTGAGTCACTCTCTGAACCTGCCTCAAATTTTCCCTACAAAACAAAAAAGGGTTGTAGATACGAGAATTTAAGCAATTGTTGCCAATGGGAGACATATGTTATTCAACGATGCACACTTTAGTGTTTGTAATATTTTAAGTGCATAAGAAAGAACATAAAACACAGAGGACCAGTATTCAGTGAAACCAGATGTCACTAATTAATCCATATAAACTAATGAAAAACACAACAAGGTTTTCCAAAATGTTCACATGCCTCAATATTTATCTGTCTAACATGACCTCCATGAAATAAATTCTCCATTTTAGCTGACAGAGCCTTTGAGAAAGAAACTGTTTGAAAATTAAGTTTGTAGATTTGCAAAAAGTAAATACTTTTGGTCGTTGATGGTTGATTCTGTGGAAAACATTTAGACCCCAGATGTAAGAGGAAAAGTCAACAAATCTTATGAGGTGGATGAAATTTTGATTCAATTGAATATGAAGGTGTGTAGTTTTTCATCAAAAACTACTAAGAGCAAGGGTTCAGGCAATAGTTTCACATTCTTGATGAGATTTATGGTGTACTGATATCTAGAACCCAAGGGATAAGGTCCTGCGCCTCTTCAGCAATGTGTTGTAGAAGCTCACACTCTCAGGTCATTTGCTTTTTCTCCATCCAGGTAGTGGTATTAAAATGAAGTTGCTAATATCCAGATACTAAATTATCAGACAGAAACCTTCAGTAACAAGGGCCATTTTGCTTTCACAATTTTTTCACAGCCAGCATATTTCATGGAAATCCTTTCTCTTCCAAATCTAGCTGGATTTACTTGAACTTTGAAGGTTAAATTATTCTAATTTAAGAAGATTATCAATAGCCCATTTGTTTGTCTCCTTACGGTATCTAGGGGACTGTGGGAGCCAGTCCTTCAAATAGTTTTATAAGATAAGAAATTGCTAAAATCTATGCCAACATTTCTGGATTTGATATACCAAAAGGAGGGTCAAACATACATACTACATCCCTTTTAAACAGCTTTCTGATATCAGGTGGGGTCCTTTCTTTCAAATAATCGTCCTTTGCTTTTTATCAAATAATCTTCAATCAGCAGTTACAGGATATCATATATGCAATTTGTTGCATCATTGAAACCTGTTTGGTGGATTTTTAGAAACCTTAAACCAGACTTTCAGTATATTACATACCTTTTCAGACGATACCACTTTCATTAAAGCACCAACTCTTAATGCCTCTTTATGCTCAGTTTCTTTTACTGGTGTGGAATCGAGGAATTTCAAACTCGGAATCCTGTGTATGACATAGTACCTAAAGTGTAAAACATTGTATCATTGACTGTGCAGAATTATAGTTTATCAAATACCAACTGGATTGAAGATAACTGTTTTGTTTACAAAAATGTTGTTTAGTACTCAACTTTGCCCTAAATGTGGCAGTCCTTGTATGCATGTTTCACATGCATGCTCCACACATGCCAAAACTTCCAAGGCATGCTTTCTATCATATGTGCAGTTCCACATTTTGAATTACTTTTCTCTTTTGTTTCTTTTAATTTTCTTGTTTATTTTCTCTAAAGTAATTTTTAATTTATTTTTTGTGGGTTATGTTGATGGCATTTCCAGAGGCATCTTAACTTTGAAGGCCCAGTGTCCATTACTGCATTTTTGTATGTCTCTGTTCTCTCTCTGTGTTCTTTTCATATTTTCTTATACACATTACCCGGGGCCACTTGGTTTGGGTCAAAACAATAACATTGTTGTTTCCATTTACTCCATATTTATATTATTCATTGACATATCCTTTGCTCAAGCTCTTTTCAAAACTGAGCTTGAATGACTCCATTTTAGAATGCCTGTCTTCGCTTTGCCCAGGAAAAAGGCATGTATTCAAATGATTCTGTTTTCAGATGACTCCACCTTGAACAGCGATTTTTGAACAACTTTGGTTTGGTATCAAATGACTCTGTTTTTGAGCGTATTAATTGAACTCAAAATCTAAAACAGATTCACTAGAATCCGTTCTCTTCCAAAAACAGAGAAGTGGGAACAGGGTTGTATTCTTTTTGTAAAATTATTTTGTTTTCAAGAAACTTCTACTAAAATTCCATAAAAACTTTTTGGTTTTATGAAAACCTCATATGCTTTTCAAACACACCTTCTAAACCTTCTAATACAAAGATGACATCAGGTCTTCGAAAAAATCTTAAGGTCTCCATTTTATGGATTGCACCTCATCACACGCCAACACATGCCTAAACTTTTCAAGGCACGCAATTACCAGCATGCCAACAAATTTCATATTACCAGGACTGATGTGGTAACAGAAATAGATTTGAATCATACAAGGATACTTGACCATTTGCAAATTAAAAACTTAATTAATACCTGTATCTTTGATAGTCTGCATCATCTTTGTCCATGCTTATAAGCTGGTTTGGACAAGCTGGGTTGCCAAGAAGACTTAAATAGGATAATTTTGGGAGTTTTGATACTGTTTTGTCTAGAATTTTTTCAATATCATTAATCTAATCAATAGTTAAAGAAAATTTTATAACCGTGAGCTATATAAATCAAGAATTCAACACTTGTAACCTAAAGTGATTTCTTTATGAAGTGAAAAGAAAGTCTCATAATATGTTGATCATCCTTAGACAGTCCTTTTCGTTTAGCGCGTGCGATCGCACCCGCATACGCCTGCACACGCGCAAGTCAAATTGCACATGCTTTTCATTACACGCGCAAACATGTGTTTTTGCAGTTTTTTGTTAACATCAATTTCTCATGATTGTTTATCCTTTTCCCTTGTAACTTGATTAGCACTTTTGACCACAATATGATATTTTCCAATTTTTGGAAGTGATGTTTGGCTTTTGACTGAATTCTCTTTTCAACTTAGCGTCTCGTCTTTCAGCTAAGTCACAATTAGCATGTTAATTGTAATAACTGATTTCCTGTCAAAACGTAATTGTGCCCTGAAAGCAAGTAGCTGTTGGAAACAATTTTTATTTGCTCTTGTAACTTTGGAGAGTGACAACAACATTTGAAAGATTGCTCACGAAAAGGACTTCTTAGAGTAACAATCCAAATTCAAAATAAGTTTGTACAGATTATCCATATTAAATTAAAACAGTATAATGTAAACACATTGCTACTTTTCTAGCAGTTCACATCATCTATCATAATTTGTTCCGTCTTATTATTTTTCTGATTTAGAAAGATTTCTGACATTGTTATAGGTATGCATGCTAAAAAAGAAGAATAATTGCATGCTTCAACCAGAAAAGTCAATTGCTAAACTATAAAACAAACCATCTTGGGGTTTGCAGAGCTATATGGCTAAAGCCACAATATATACAATGATGGCCTACATCATTTAGATTTGTTAATTCTTCTGTAGCTCTAACATAAAAAGATTTAATAAAAAAATTCAGATTTTCTTTCTAAAAAACGTTTTCTCCATTGAAAAGTTTTATGACCAAAATAATGGAAAAACAGCCTCTATCCTTGATTGATTTTTGGCTGGTTTGCCCCAAGTGAGCGATTGAACTAGCTATCAAACAGTAGAATTCCTTCATGGTGTCATATATATATATGTTAAAATCTTTATTGAAAAGGATATCTTATTTTTGTTCAGAGTTAAAGTAGTCAGAGAGGGTAATTCAGGCAGCTCAATATCATCTTTCAACTGATTGTTATCCAAAAGCAACTCCTCCAGTACATTAAAGCCAACCAAACCTTTCAGAGATCTAGAAATGATATTTCAACTGTGATCAAACAAAATCTATGATAATCAAAGGGTTTGGGGGATCTTAGACATTTGGAGAGTTCAAGCGCATCAGAACTGAAATGCATTATCTGAACTGATTGGGGGTCATCAGCATTATATGTATTGGGGGCCTAAAACATTTTCAGGAGGTTAAAAAGGAATAAGTCAAAGCGTAATTTTTATTGTATAGTTGTGAGTACACTTTTGGACATTGTTGAGGGGCTTAAGCCCACACTTCTATGGACTCTGGTTGTACCTTAATCTTAATTTGTTTTAAAGGAAAATCAGAAAATGATGTTACATGAAAAACATTGAAAATTGTGAAGTACTTGGTCAAAGAATGAGAAGCATAATACTGACAGGGCAGTTGATGGCTAAAGAGTAAGTAAGTAGCTACTGTATGTGATTTTTACTTGCACTACTATGACCGTTACAAAAGAGTGGGGAGATTCCTCTCTTCCCTCCCCTCCTTAGCTCTTTTCAAAAGAATTACCTGAGGCGATTATAACTCAAGTCAAGCCTTTTTGTGACATTCCCATACTTCCTTGATAACCATGGAGGTATACATTCACAATCCTGACCAACAAAAGTTAGCTAAAAAATAAAAGCATTTGTCTATTACCTAAATAATGACTGGACTACCCTTACAAGATTTTTATACTTATACATGTCTTGCCTTAAGATTTAGAAAAAGGTTTATGTGTCAGTAATGAGCTCTCAATTGCTTATATGGTGTAAAAGAAGATTGTACACAATCATGCTTCTAGCAAAAATTTCCTGATGGCCTGTATAGAAAAGGCATTTAATACTTTTGGCTTGAAGATAGAATTTATAGACATGCCTCACAAAAAACTAATAAACACCTTGATCGATTTCCCTCAAGTTGTTGTCATCCAAAATTTTGGCATGCTTTTAAAAAGGTTTTAGGGGACGACTATGTAGACCAATGAAAGCATTGGGACCCTCCGGTACCCTAGGAATTACCTAGAACGAAGACTAACCAATCAGATGCATTGTTATTAAAAGTTCTACAATACTGTTCTGCTGATATGTTGTCAAACAAAAAATGTGATTTTGAAAGATTCCGTTTCCCTGCAGATGGTTCATTTGTAAGAATGTACTAATTCAAAAAGCTCATTTGTGATTTTAGATAATTCACATGAGGATTTTTAATCGATTTCCGCTATCTCACGGAATCTTAAAAATAATTGCTAGGTTAGTTATCTTCAGCAGGCCTTTTTTCGAATTTTTTTTGCTGCGTACTGTTTTCAAATAGATTCCAGAAACAATTTACTTTAATGTCTGAATCCATATGAAATTGAAACATTGGTTTGATAGGCACTGAAAAAGTCTTTCTTGGAACTGAAAAGCGGAATGTATCTAAAAAAACTGATGGCCTCTCCAACAGATTGAGACAGAAAGTAAATATTTCTTTACTCTAGGCTGAATAAATAACAAGTTGTGATTATGAATGAAATCTTACTGTTCCGTCGCTATATATCGTCTCCATCACACTTCACTTTCTTTGAATCCACACCAGTTCCTATAATTTTATCATGGCTAAGTATTTCCCAAACACCTCCATTACAAACAACGGAACCAATCATAAGCTGTCCTTGGTCTTGTGACTTGCAAATGGATGGTGCCTGCGCAGAAGCAGCTGTCTTGAAAACGTCATCATTTCGAAACCACTGCGAATATCTTTCCTTGATGGATTTTTGCATTATTATTTATTATACCCACGCCAGCAGCAACGCCAATGAACTCAGCAGCTTTAAATAAATATTTATAGTTCTACAATAACTTGCTATCAAAAAGGGATGCATCGCAGTGACATTTCTACGGATGGACAGGGGCCATGAACCCTCCACAATTTTTCTTGGCCCCTTGCTGGCCCACTAGTTTTGTACAAGGTCACTATTAACTATTTTTCATTTCTTCCATAGCAGTTCAATGGTTTTTTGCCTTTGTTGGAGTAGCTCTCTTCCAATTTGCTCAATACGATATTTATTGCATTTATTATTAGCTAGGGGCCTTGAAAGTTTATAATCGAGGTGAACATTTATGAAATTTCGATTCCTTCTTGTAGTTACCAGAAAATTGCATTCTTGACAACTGATATTCTCTTTTCATTCCAAATTTTACAATATACCGCTCCCTGGAGTGAAGTGCGCTGGGAATGTCCAAACCAAGCTTCTCTGCATCCCGTTGAAAACCCTTTTGGCGTAGGGAAAAGGCCCTCTAATTGAAAGTTGACTCGCGGATCGGAAATAAATACACTTTATTTTTAGCCCCCAAAAAAATTGCTCCTGCACCCGCAGTCTTCATGTGGTAACCTACTTTTTTAGAGTTTTCTTAAGAGCCACGCCCAATGTCACACCCAAACTTCAGAATTCCTTTCGCCTCTTTCCAAGTTCGAGGTTGCTAGTTTTCATGACAACCATACACAGCGCCATCTTGATAATTTTCGTGTTTTGCTGTGTTTCGTGTTTCGTGGTAGAGAAAATACAAATGGATTCTGAATACCTGAAAAAGCATGTCGGAGATGCACTTTCAAGGGGGCTTGTTGAAATCTCCCAGAAAAGGCCAAGTGATCCAATCGAATATCTTGCTTCCTGGCTGAGAAAGTATGTCGACAACAGGGAATATACGAAAAAGGTTTGAGCATGTTTTTTTTGTGTTTAGCACTAACAAAGGTTTCAGTTGCGCATATTTCCAGCGTAAGCTGCATGAATTCCACACTGGGTTGCTACACTTTGGCTGGACCAAAATTGCAAAAGAACATACCTTGGCTTTAGATCAGAAGTCTGAAAGTACCTTTACAATGAAATAACCCCCACCCCCCTCTTTCCTCTCTCCTGTGATGCAAGTGTATCATTGCTTGCATCTCCAATGCATTTTTGCTTGCAGAGGGTAACACCGATAGCGCGATTTTGCTCACATCTACCCATAGCCAAAATCATACATGTTTTCCAACCAGGGGCTTGCATAATACAATAAATTTTGTTGGGATTTATTTTCAGTGAAGCCGGGCAACCAAAAATTAATTCCACCGAATTTTTTCTTACCAGCATTATTTTTACCGAAATTTTCAAACACTAGAAAAATCTCGTTTTATAAGGATGGACTTTCAAAATAACAAAATTTTTTGCTTATTGCTAAGCATCTACAGCATAGCAATTTGCAGTTTTTGGTTTTCCTTCGTCATCAACAAAAAGATATCCAGCTCATCTTCATTTCTTTTCTTTCCCCCTCTACATCTAAAAAAATTGAGTTCTCTATGGACTGAACTGATGCTTCCACTGGCCCTTGATAATTTCTCTCAATTATTTCTTTTTAATGCTCCAGCCCTTTCAATTTGAATGCAGGCACCGCGGAGCAGGGGGGGCTGGGGCGGCTTTAGCTTTTTGTAAAAAATGCCTAATACTAAACTACCAGTAAAGCCTTTTTTTATAAGGTTTTAGCCCCCCCCACCCATTTTTTTAGACCCCCCACTTTTCTCAACGCCCGCGGTGCCTGGAATGCCTCAATTTTTAACCCAGAATCGATCAGATATTCTAATTCCCTCATTGTGACTAGTAAAAATAAAATTCCACTAAAAATAAAATAAACAGACCTCCTCTAAATAAGAAGTTTTGACATTCTTGTCTACTCTTCAGTTCCGTTTATTGGGCTGACAACAAATATTTGATTTTTGCAACTTTTATGATTGCATTCCAGGTAACTTTATGATGAATAAAGAAATCACTTGCAGAAAGTGCTTCATTTCACTGAAATTTTTTCTTTCCAACCAAATTTTTCAATTTCTCACCGAAATTTACATAAAAATCCCACAAGAATGACTGACTTTTTTTCCATCAAAAATTAACTCACTGAAATTTTTTGCACTGGATTTTCTGGTACTTAAGTTGGAGCCAGGGTGCACCAAGTGTATGTGCCACTCAAAGTTTGGAAAATTCCCTTTCCTAAGAGCTAACCCCTTTGAAATATTGCCGCCTTTTTGTCATATGGTGCCTCTTCCACTTTGTATGCCTCCAATTTCGAAAAGCATTCCCAAAGTGTGCTGCACATGTGACCAAAAAGATACACAACATGTCAGCTGCAAAAAGGTACTTTGTCTCTGTTTCTGAAATGTTTAGGGCACATGCCTGTTGTCTTTATACAAATGGTTGAGGATGATGCCTTAACTAAAATTTTAGGCTGTTCTTAACCTGGAATATTGCATTGTTTCTCTGCAGCCCACTTTGCCAAATAATATAAAACTAACATATTTTTCAGTTCATGGCTTTGTTGAAGCTGTCAAAGGTGCTAGTTGCTCTTTGTGAAACTTGGCTGTGTGAACATATTGTTACCCATTGACTTTAAATTGGTAATAATTTATAGCAGATTGGCTGGACAAATGAATGAAATTTAATGAAATGAAAATGGATTTTGTGTTTCAATGCCAATATCTTGATTTTCCAATAAATTCCCCTTTTCAAATGGGACAGATTCATTTTTAGAGGGTGAAGAATTTGAAAGATGGTAAAGATCTTAAAGAGGCATTTACTTGTGGGAATGCTAAAAGAAATGAAGGGTACTCCTTTGCATATGTGCATTTTTTAGGGTTAGGTTCTTATACTCAAATAAAAATTATTTTCCAATGATATGGCTTACCTACCATTTTTTACAGACATGTTAAAATATTGATCTCTGAAGTGACTGAAACTCTGCATGATGCACAAAAGCATTTTTAAAGGAGGGTAAACTAACAGCAGATAAATCCTTTATCACACAGGTTAATGAAATAAAACATAGACAAGGGGGAAAGTTTCCTGAGTCTTTGTGAGTGGCTATTTGGGAGTTTTACGAATTTTTGATGATAGAAAATTTTTGTATTTTTCTTGAAAGTGGTAAGTGGTAAGGGACCGTCTTTAAATATCAATAATGGGTTTCAAGTTTCCTTTTATAATTAAGTCTTACAATAAGTATCATCATTTTAAAGGGATTTCCTACAAATTTTGAGCGAATGGCTGAGAAAAAATGCAAATAAATTATTCAAATGTTAGTTGCCCAACTTAAACTCAATCTTAATAAATTTTGCACCACTGCCTAACACTAATGAAATAATGGCTGCTTGCTACAGACATAAAAATAGATTCTTGCTGTATTATTTGATAGTTTCTTACACTGGATATCATAATTTGGGATAAATATACAAGCTTTCTATTTGTTTTACTAAAGTCAATTTACCTTTAGAGCTCATACCTTGAACTCCAAAGAAGAAAAGTAGCAAGTTTGAGTGTGAATAATCACTGCAACATAATCTAAATCCCTAAGTGAAAATTGTGCTGGTGATAACCCCTGTACCTTCTTTTGGTTTTGCCATTAAAACTATGTTCTCAATACATAGAATGCAGTTTGAGCCCACCGTTCATCCCTTGCTATGGACCAAGTTGTACATGCACATTACAAGTAGAACCACTGCAATCAAGTCTGGGTACCAGTAACAACATTTGATTCTCGAGTTTGATATGGGTAGCGAATTTTTATCAAAGGCCTGATCCCTAAGACTTCCTATTAAAATGATTCTGAAAATATACTTTCAAGAAAGTTAGGCCAGCGAAAATTGATTCAGGGCCAGCAAAGGTAGGGGCCTTTGCCTCAATATTTCCTCATCTAGATTGTGAACAAATAACCCTAGTATTGGATACCCTAGTTTTCCATCACTTCTTTTTTTCTTTTCGTTTCTTTTTTCGCAATATCAAAATAGTATACTTCTTCTCTAGAATTAGATACGATTACCAAGCTCCCTTATTATTTCGTTTGTGAATATCCTTTATTTATGTTCTAGAAAAGTGAGGAACTTGCTCAACTTGAAAAGGAGAGGGAAGAATATGAAAAAGAACTACAAAGACAAAAGGCAATGGAGGAAGAGCAACGATTGATAGCAGAGCAAGAAGCACTCGAAAAAGCAGCCGCAGAACCACCACCCGTTGAAGAAGAAGCTAAGGATACACCCAACATAGAGACCGAAAATCTACCAACGGTTGCAGAAGGAGACGAAGAGGAGAAGAAGCCCGAAGATGGTAGGTTTGCTACACATGTAACTACACCAAATAAGAGGCCAAGTGTTGACAAGCCCACTACGTCTCTCTCTTCCATTCTCCTTTGCAGTTCCTTCCCTTGTTCTTCACCCTTTGATTTTTTTAGGCTCTGGCACCCAGGGTACAAGCTCACTAGCCATTGGATTGTGGCTTCACAATCTGGCAACTGGCTTTAGCATCTCGCAGTCAGGGCCCCCTCTTGGAGAGTAAGAAAGTTTTTTACCAAGTTTCGAAATAGGAGTTCTTATATGCACATCGCTAAAGAACAATTTTTAAGTCAGTGCGTCGCTGAATATTGCGATTAAAACTTTGAAGTTTCCAAACTGAGCCAAATAAAACTAATTTTGATACTGATCAGATACTAAATACTAAAATAACACGTATATACTGATCAGAAGAGAGAATGCTATTTCCTCATGCCTACTACAAAGGAAGCTGGCACCTCCGATCTTCCAACCTCTAAATTATTTTCCATCAAGTAGATCATATAAGGTGATGCTGGCAAAATATCAGTGTATTAAAAGGAAACTCACAAAAACTGTCCAGAACAACAAAGAAAAGGGTTGAACTTCATCTTATCAATTCCTTCATGGGTCAATCTTATTAGCAATTGTCAGTGTACATTTATTATTCATATTGTGTTTTGAAAATAACAGCTATGAAAACCTTTCTGTCGTTATTTTTGTCGAAATTGATTGATTCCTGAGGTGTGGGCAATACCTGATAGCGAATTTCATGCACAAACTCTTAGCGAAGATCTAGATATGATAAGCCTTGATAATTTGGTTTCTTTTTTTGTTTGAACTTAGAGCTATTTTTCAAACGTTTTCAAATATAGATGTAGAAATCTAAAGCCTTTTGCTATTGTGTATGTTTTTTACTTGGCAAGCACTGACTGATAGGAATTAATTTTGTATTTGTATGTGAAACGATAAGTAGTTTGTAAAAAAAACTGAGCAGTTGTACGGCTGGATGACAAAAGTGTTATTCAGTTCATTTCCACCGGCACCCCCTTGACTCGAACCTCTCGCGATAACATAGTTTCTCGTATTACAGTCTTCAACATTAATCTTCCCTTTCGACACTTTCAAATATTCCCTCTCTCCTACTTTGAAAAATTTCATTTATCGTGAACGGAATTGTAGCTTTGGAAGTTCAGGCTTTTCAAAGGTTCCACTGAGCACTTTGCTACAGTCCGCTTAAGCGATATTTGTGATTGATTTCCACAAACAAACGCTGTCAGTTTGTAAAACCTCTAAATATGGTTGGAATGTTCACTGCACACCGATTGTTTAAAACATTGACTTGATTTGTACACAGGTCGTTCATTGTAAACCTACTGTTTGCGACACTGTTCCTCGCTTCTTCATCAAAAAGGATTTCAACTTCTAATCTAACATTTCAGTTCTTACCAGAAGTCTTGTAACACCGACAGCATTTTTGTCACTCGCATTTTCAGTTCCCCCTCTTCCCTTTCAAACAATGTCAGACTATTCCATTGAAGCACTCCATTGTCTGAGCACTCCATTGAAGTACACTATTTGAACGTAAATTGTAATTTAAAAAAGAGATGGCTGTAGTGGAATTCCGACATTGTTATTTAGATATTTTTTAGGCGTGAGTTGAATACGGACCGAAAATTGACTGAAACTGCTAGGGTGTTTGAAGTAATTTTGGCAAGCATCGTTAGTCTGGCTGTGGGCAGCTGCTTCCATTTCAGTCTTATCTACCTCGTCATTATATAAAAAGTTTAATTACTGTTATTCATTCCAGGTGAAGTTGCTAAGGAGAGTATCAGTACAGAAACCGTAGGCGAGCAGCAGCAGCCCGAGGAACCTGCGAAGGAGCCAGGTAGGTTATTTCTTAGATTTGTCGAGTCATTTGTTTGATCAGCATTATTCTTGCATGCATCAAAGTTAACATAAAAGATTCTGTAAGAGATACATGCATACAAAGATACGAGTTTAAGGGAACTTATATTAGAATGGGGGTTAAGGAACTATTACTATATTAATGAACATTTCGGAACTAGTGTATCGTATGCAACAATATAATAAACTACAATTTTAGCAAAATATTAAGCTATGACTAACGAAGTATTGACTTAAGCGTTTTAATATTAATTATATTTAGCGTTCACCATTTACCAAATTTCTAAAATTGTGAATACGAAAGACTGTAAGAATCTCATCTGCAAAATATTGGGTTGAACACTGCAACTGACTAAATTTTGTGAATATCAATACGTAGATTTTATTTACAGTTTGTGTGTAAAGTTTCTTACTGTGTTTTAAAACTGAAAAATATGACTGAATTCAAGGGCAATCGATATATTCACACTCACTGATTGGTCAATTTTTGATTGAAATATCTGTCGAGTGCCTTTCACTTAAAAACTCTTTTGCATCTATTAAGGTAGATTTGTCAGTTAGGATAGGAAAGAAGATTATTTTGGCTTTTACCTGAGCTAGCTAAAGCAAGCAAGCGAGCAAATGGGCCAGCACGATTATTCTTCCTGAATCGAAGCTACTACATGACTCATTTTGTACTCGTCAATATAAATCCGTATGATTTTGAAAAGTGAAAATATTTTTTCATGAATATCAATCAGCTCCTAGAACAATCCATCTCAGAGATATGGTGACTTCGTACGAACGTAATTTGCATCGGAATATTTGGCTCAAATATTACCCATCGAGTTTTCTTACACCTCTCTCTGAAAGTATAGAATTGAAACTACATGTTAATAAAATCAACATAAAACTTACCCAAGAGTAAATTGTCAGCATTCTAGTCAAATGAACCCCTGCCCTAAAGGCACTCATAATTTCCGAACGAAAAATTGAAATTAAGGCAAATGTTGCCATTTGCAATATTGTGAGAGATATAACGTCATATGGGTGCACTAGAGAAGTGGTTTTTGTGTAATTTGTGAAGATTTTTCCGTTCAAATTAAAGCAACAAAAGAAAACATGTCCAAATATATCATATTGTTATCAAGTGCGAAACAATGCTATTTCTTTTGAGAATGTGAGTTATGGAAGACTGGAAAGGGTTTCCTGAAAAAGTTGTTGTTATCGAGGGGCAAATCATTCTTCAAAATGGTGCAAGAGATTAACAATCACTAGTGATTAATTTGTGATAAATATGGTTTTTTGGTGATTAAGGTGATTAGTCTTCAATTTTTGTGTGATTATTTTAATACTAATCACAGATTCAAAAGTGCCCTCAAGTAGGTTTCTGTGCAAATGAAACACACGTTTGAACAGGCCAAGATCGGTGAGATACACACAAAAACAATACATGACCCTAAATCAGGTCATAATTCAAATTAAACTAAAATATTTGATAAAGTATTTCAAACGATAAACTATCATGCTGGTTTGGCAGATTTTTAAAACATGATACATGGAATTGAGGCAAATTTATAGCAACCCTTTCATCAATGGTAGCAATGTACAAATAGATAGAAAAATGCTTTTTGAGGTTATATGGTCAAGATTGAACAATTCCAAAAATATATTTTGTGACATCATCATTCCGGAACTCTTTTCAAATGATTCTATTTCAAAAGGAAAAAAATCATTTTCTTAAAGACGTTCTCCAGGCTTTCAGAAACCGAAAGAACCAGTTCTAAAAAATTTAAATGTTTTTGATTGAATCTTTAGACAAGTTAAAGAAGTTATTCGAAAATTGCCTCTGTTTTTTGTTTCCTCTCAGTTACATCGACATGAAAATGAGGCCTCCATTTTTGCTGCTCATAAGAATATGCTAATAAAAATTTGGAAGAGACTTTCTATTTATTTCATTTTTTCATAACATAGGTGATTAAAGTGGTCAAAGTTTCAAATATTTTTTATTTAAGTGTCTGATGATATTTTTGGGATAAATGTAACTTTTGATGTTTAATTTGTGAATAAATTGTGATTATTTTCGAGAGCGTGCGTGATTTTAAACAGTGATCTGCCCCTCAGTTGTTATCAGTGAGTGAGAGAAGAAACAAGAGTTGTAGCGGAGAGAAAACTGAATTGTTATCTGCTTTTGTGTTCTTTCCTGCATGCTTTTTTACAGACCAGAAACGTGTTGTTCCACTATCCTTTTTATCAATTTAAAACAGAGCAGTCTTCAACAATAACCCCTGTTCCACCTCTTACCATTTTGCAAGAACAGGCTTTGCTTACCTTACATTGCCAGACTGTGCTAACCCCTTGTTGTGTGAACTTCTGTTAACGATTTAGAATGTTTAGGTGTTTATATATAACAACCAAGATCTGCTTACAAATGACAACCTAGAGTTTTGTGCACCTTAACGTTCGGAAAGATTGTTATTTGCTGTATCTTGCCTTGCGTAATATTGGAAGCTATGATTGGGCAGTGGGGAAAGGGGGTACCTTGGCCCATCAAATCTTGATGTAACTGCTTCTTGATTCATCGTAACTCTCGGTGGTCTTGCTTGTGAACAGGGATGTAAAGCTAGGGGGCTCAGGGGTGCTGCCCCCCTCTTGTTATTGTCGAAAAATGGCAAATTGCTACTTTTGCTTTCCTTTTTTTGGAGCATTTCGAGCAAGATCCTACCTTGTTATTTTGATAGCACTACACCCTTGCTTGTGACCCTATGTTTTGATGGCCGTAACCTGTCGCCCGCCACACGAAAACCAGTCTTATTGCTTTTTCAATCACTGATAAATCGTATCAATCAACAAACATAAGCTTGATAGAGAGCATTCTTCCAGTCGTCACGAATTTTGTTTTTCAAATTTTCTTTTGATCGAGAACTTATTAAGAAATACTTCTATTTTGTTCATTGTTTCCTTTGCTGTTCTTTTTATATAAACACGCTGTTCTATTAAGCTGAGGGCACAACGAGGTTATAACTCTGTATAATGTTAAACTTTGTGCGTGCAACCTTGCATATACTCCGTTGTTTAGACTACACACCGAGCTTTTATCGAAGCAGTATATCGTTCTTCGTATTCAGTAAGGGTCATCCAGAAACACATTAATTCTCGTTCTTTACGATTTAGACAAAGGCTCAGTTGAAAGAATTTATAGCAGCTTTTTTTGATCTGGCTACATGGTTCTGTGGTCCAATGTCATAGAAATCCAACATTTTGATAAGTAGATTAATATCAATTGAATCAAAGTTTTATGTTTAAGCCAATCACATGTTTTGAACGTCATACAGTGCCCTGTCAAGCATTAGCCAGATTTTAATTCCTGGCAGAATCTTATACTTTCCTCGTGTAATCACATGAAAACACTTTGTATCCGCTTAAATTAAGATAAAATATCAATATTTTTTATCTGTATGTAACTCAAAGCTCAAAATGTTTGCGTAAAAATAATCTCTACTTTGCCAACCAAGCAAAAAAATTTCATTACAAATGCTAAGGAATTGGCCAACCTACTTTCAACTACCTCCCTCAGTACGAAAAGAGAACTCTTTAATTGTGTTGGGAACACTCATATGATACCAAGCATGTCACCCAATCGATAGAGTTATGGCGATTCTAGGAATTTATCAGAGATCTCAAATTCAGAGAAGCCTTTAAAAATTGTTTTTTGGTTCATAAATGTGGCCTCCCAGTTTTTTTTCGGAAACCAGATATCTCCTGGGAAGGCAGTTTCCAGCAAGCCGTTAACTCTAACATTTGTCTTTAGGACAATATTCACAACCCTTCAATAAACATCAGAATTTGGCTGTAGACTTCTCTTTTGTTGAGGCAAATAAAATTGCTTTTGCTTCATCATGTAAAAAAGTATATCAGTTCTATCGAATTCATTTTGCAATATCAGACGATCTTAATATCATTATTTTTATTGCAGAGCCGGCTACAGCAGAAAAGGAAGACGATTCTTAGAATGGGACACGTTTGCATTCGTTATTGTATATTTATATATAAATTATGGTATTAAGTTGCATGTACAACGATTTTTATTCAATTTCTTTCTAGACTTAGCACTATAATGGCAAATTGACACTTATTGTTTGCTATTCTTTGCTTAGCCAATTTGAGATGGGTGATTTTGTCTGTAAAATGATACCACTATGTATCCAGATCAGCATCCCTTACCATTGCGATTTGTGTAGAAAATTCACTAGCTATCTCAACCAGTGGCGGATTTAAGGGGGGGGACTAGGGGCAGTTGTCCCTCCCTTAACGAGTTGAAGCAAGTCTGGCGCCCCTTCTTTGGGGCGCCCCTTTTGAAAAATGGGAATCAGGTGAAAAAGTTTTTGAGACCGATAGGTTAATTTGCTTCGAGGATTACCTCAAAGTTATGTTGTTTATTCCGAAAATGGATCTGAAATTGTTGTATACAGCGTACTCTCGTCATCAATTTGTGAAAATTTTTCAGCACCCCCACTACCAACTGCCCCTCCTTCAAATTTGCTCTGGATCCGCCCTTGATCTCGACTTTTGTGTTGAACCTCTTTCTATTTCCCTTAGAGAAACTTTCCAGTTTATCAAGCCTGTAATTTTGAACTTTGCAAATTCTTTTGCTGAGCCACACAAATAAACAGACCAACATTGTATTTGTAAGTATCAGATGGTTATTTAATCTTTTCTATTACACATGAAAAAACGTAAATTTTTACCCATGTCATGTGTAACATAACATTTCTCTTTTAACGGTTTGTCATATAGTGGTCCATGTTGTCTAGGCAATTCTGTACACACTTTGGTAAAAAACACAGTACGGCTCAATGTTTCAATGTGTAAAGAAACATGTAGATTCTTTTCACGACTCCTTCAAGGATCTCATGAACATATAGAGAAATTTCAAGGGAAAACTGAGAAAATTCCCCAAGACAACTGCTTTGGAAACTGAAGAAGGAATACATCCTGAACATTTGGTTAATAAAGTATTAGAGAAGAACCAAGAAGATGATAAAGTTTTATGTAATGATTTTATAACAAGGCCAGCAGCAGATTTTGAAATGCCACGAAGGAGTTACTTGTTTTTGAAAAACCACAGAAGTATAATGCATCTGTATTATGAGTTAGGCGCAACGTCATACGATATTGAAGAACAGACCCTTGGTCATTTATTTTTACATAGTAGACATTTTGGAACCATTGCGCATCAGTAATCATTTATTTCGTCCATTTCTTGTAACAAATGTATCACCTAGAAGTTTTCAAATGGTCGAATATTCAAAGCAAAGGTTGACCACTAGAAATTTCGAATGGTCAACCTTTGCTTTGAATATTCTCATCTCGAACAAATTTCAATTTCCCTTGAGAGTTTGAGATAGCAAAAGTAAACTTGAAGTGTCCTGAACGAATCTTTGTTGCATGGTTACATGTGACAGGAGCCTCTAAAAGCGAGACAAAATAAATGTGCACCATTTCAAGTTCACAAAGTCAAAGTGGGTATATTTGTGCGTGATTTTGCTTTAAAGCAACGAAGGAGTAGCTGAAACCAGCAAAAAAATGATGACTCGATGATGCAAGATAATGGATTTATAAAGAAAGATTTTTCAGATGAAGATGAGGATCAGAGTATGACATTACAATCAGTGTTTTGATTGCTGTTGCGAAGGAGCATGCTAGCCACATGTCATGACAACAAGACAATGCTTTGTTTAATTGGTTTCAGTCAGACAATCAGTAATCTTCCCTTTATCGTGTTTTCTTGTTAATATCCTTAAAGTAGACGAAGATTGCCCAATCATATTCTTTCGAATTAGAAAATTATAATACGCCATGCATATATATGTTTATTCCTATTATATTTGTCTGTCACCGTGATAAGCTTGTTTTGTTCTAACTGCTGTGTAATGTAAGATAAGTCTGACGCAAAGCGCCGGCAAACTTCCAACTCCCTGTAGACATCGGCATAGAGACATACCTACAGAATTGGCAGCTTTTCAGTGTGAGTATTTTGTATAATTCTAATTACGCATTCAAACTCTGGCTACGCGTCTTTCGACCAAATGCAGTTGTCGACTTTCACAATATAAATGAACGTCATTAATTTCTTATAAGCCTGTGTATTGTTTCCATGCACTTTGTTTAGATTGGCAGCTAAGTTTTCATTTTGAGATCAGATTTAATGATGGAAATCGTCAGAAGCTCGTGTCACCAATCACGTTTGGATAACCAATTGAAGTCCTGCCTAAATGTCGTAATTTTTGAAACACATAAACAGTAGAAGATTTGACATCAGACTTACGGTGTGCAGAAGTTTGCTCTCCATTGCATATGGTTTGTATTTTTATGTATTTTCAATCCATTTACAGGTTAAAGCTAAGCAGAGTTCAGAAAACGTCACAATCTTCTTCCGGATTAATTTTTGTCCTGTTAGCCTTCTTCAGAATTAACTTTTTATCTTTTAAATGAAAGTTTTTAAATATGGAATCGTAGTAAAATCATCTATTGCTTGGCCTTTACCCTTTGTCAGGATAAAAGTAAAGTTCAAGCACACCGGTAAATTTCTCTCACTTTATATACTCGTTGCAAGCTATGAATTGGCCTTCCTCAAAATTACAGCAACCTGAAATGATCTTCCTTGGGCCCACAGCCGTGGAACCGTAATGCTTTCTGAACTCTTTAGCTAGTAAACGATTTTAAGAACTGCTTATGCCTTCGTGGTTATTTTGTCATGTCGGGGCGAGCAACTTTCTCCAATCCGGACAGGAGTTGGTGATTATTTGAGTTTGCTTTGCATTGAGGTTTTAATACGACTTGAACTTTATGTGTGATTTAAGTTCGTTTTTTACTATTTATATTTCATAAATATCGTTTTTCTAATGTAAAGCTACATGCCCATGTTTTTTTAAATAACGGCTGGCCCAAACAAGTTTGAAATCGTTCTTGATACTATCTATCTAAAAAAATATTTCATCCGGAAAGATATTTCCAGACTTCACATTTTTTGTTGTCGGCCAAATTTTTTTTGTCTGGCGCCCAGGCATAAAAATCGCTTTGACTCGTAAGGAAGTGAGAGGTAATCCCTGATATGGCTTAATTAATCAATTTACCCTCTGCAATCTTTCTATTAATTCTGATCTGATTTCAAAATATCATATATTACTAATAGATTACTAATAAGTATAACATCAATATTTTTTCGAATTCGATAACCCACACGATTAACTACCAACTACACTTCTATGCTTGTAAACAGAGAATGTTCCTGGAACGCTTTCAAGAACTTACTCATTAAAAGCATTTACAAATTTGAACCGATTTCTGACTGAGGCACTGAAGCCTCGTCAATGTGCAAGCCTGTCTGCTGTGTGCGACCTTGCTGTTGCTGTACCAGTAACGACTATATTAATGCATTTTATTCGTCGTTAGCTGTGCTAGTGAAGCAAACATTGTTAAGAGTATCGCAAAATCATCCAAACACGTCTCACAGTGCCGTCGGAATAAAATTCGTATTGGGGGGGGGGGGGGTTGCCCATTGTTTTCCTTCTCGTTCAGTACACTGTTATAAAGGAAACATACTACAGTTTGACAATTATTGGGGGGCTAACCCCAGCCCCCGGTTCCGACGGGCCTGTCTCAGATTGCTTTATAGACCTTAAGTGACGCAGGAAGTGGCTCCTGAAGGCCGATCTCTGTTTTCTTTTGAGTGTTTGCTATGGGCGATTTGAAAATTCCCTTTATCTGAAGCATGTTGTTGCTTCGGTAAACCCTTTTTTAGAATAATAGACTTTTAAATAATATCTTTCAGAATATAAGAAAGTTCGATGTTAATGGATAATTGACCACGACATGGTGCTTCTCAATATTTAACCAGAGACTTACTGTATTATGACATACTGGTAAACAAAACTTTTTGTAAGCTGCACCAAGCAAAGCAATATGTGACAAAAACCTATGCTTATTGGCCTACCTCACCAGCGTCTTCATTCTAACACTGGATATGGCCTAATTTACAAAGGCTGAAGCTACACCTTGTAATCACACATATTGGCTAGGAGATACAAAACAGACGGGTGAACAATACATTTGGAATCGAATTAATTTGCAGCTTGTAATATTGATTGCTATCAAAACGTTTCTTTATCTCATTTTGTTTTCGGCTGCACGCACCAGGCACGCATCTGTCATATTCAAACAGCAATCTAAGTATCAAACAGGTGGCCTTGTAGCACCTTGTTATGCAACCATTTGTGAGACAGCGACTGCAGTTTCTTCAAAATTCCTTTAAGGCTAATTCATTGTTTTTGTCTTTAGTTTCTACGTGCTTGTCTTTTTGCAGGATTTGCAGCCTAAACAACAGGAGCAGGCAACAATGTGCTAGGTCATATGCCTTGAAATCTCTTCTTTTCGTCGCAAGAATGTATGGTCTTATCCTCCACAACTTGCAGTCTTTCCTTTTAAATGAGTTTGGGGAAGATATTTATCATCTCATTCGCCGAGAAGCTGGCCTTCAAGAGTATGTTTATTGCGTGCACAAGCGATATCCAGACGACGAACTCATGCAGCTCGCTGTCGCTGCCGCAAAAGTCACAGGCTGGTCCAAGGAAAAGATTCTTCATGGAATGGGCTTGAAATTCCCACGTGTTTGTGGCGAATATGGCTATCATAAAATGCTGAAAACAGTTGGAAGAAATCTCAAAGAATTTGTTAATGGTCTTGACTATATGCACGATTGTCTGCGTTTCTCCTACCCCGGAATGCGAACACCAAGTTTCTACTGCGATGAAGAAACGGAAGATGGACTAAGGCTCCACTATCGCTCCAAGAGAAATGGCTACACTTCTTATGTATGTGGCCAACTCGAGGAAATGGCCTTGTATCTTTTCAATATGAATATAACAGCCGAGGTTGAGGAGAAAGAAGAGAGTGCTGAAGGAACCCATGCCGTTTTCAGACTCCACTTCTTGAACAGGGTGGAAGGAAGAAAGGTCTCCACTGGTGTAAATGATGTCTGCTCCACGATCTCTACAGAGCTCATTCTTGGAATGTTTCCTTTTCATCTGCTGTTTCGTGAAGATATGAAGATGTTTGGAATTGGTGAATCTCTTGTCAAAGTGTTGCCAAACATCCAGGACAAGTTTGTGGACGAAATTTTCGTGTTAACTCGGCCAGCGATTCCGTTCACGTGGGAAAGTGTATGTGTTATCTTCAGTTCTAAGCCATTTATTTGTAAAAACGAGTTATAGGAAGCTAGAGGCATCAGGAAATTGAGGAAATTGGTTACTGCAGAAAGTCAATTAGATACATATACATGATGTTTTAAATATGTGTTACCTTTGACACTTAGTAACTGTTGGCATTTAGCGAGTCGTACACTGATATTTACAAGCAGCTTGAAATGCCATCAACAAGTTTGTAATAAATTTTATCTCAAGGATAGCATTAAATTTTTCTTGATTTTATTCTCCTACAAAGGCCAAAGAATTGTTTACTGTGGAATATTGAGATGCACTTGTTTGTGATAGCGTTAAAAAATTTTCGCTTCCAAATTGCTGCCAGGGGAAAATTTTGCTTCGCAGATCGTTTGCAGCTTAATTAGTTATTACTTTTGCGAAATACCTTTCAGAGGTATAACTCTAGCAGGTATCAGTTGTGCTATTCATATTGGCTTTATGAAAAGAACGATCCTCTTGGCCTACGACTACAAAATTTGATTTGCATTTAAATAAACAATCGTTAATTAGCATTTCATAGGAATAAACAGTTTTATAATCTAAGCATTTTAAATTTCGTTACAGATTCGATCTCATCCGAACTGCGTTTTTGAGCTGAATGCTCGTATCCCTGTGGTGAACAACAGTGACGTCTATGAAAACAGCGAGGGTGAAGATGTATGCTTTTTGCACTTGAAGGGGCAAATGAAGTACGTGCCAACATGGAACGCCTTCATGTATCTGGCATCACCTGTGTGAGTATTGATGACTCAAATACAGAAACAGTAATGTATTTTCCCCAGTAAAAGAAACTACACTAATTGATTTATGTTAACAGGTTTCTCGAATGGTTCCAGTGCGAGAGCAAAGAAGCAAGTTTAAAAAGGAATACAGTCTGAAACTAAGTTATACAGATAATTATAAGAAATTGAGAAAATTGTCCCCAAGAAATTGAGCCCTAATATGATCAAAAATTTTTAAAAACCATAGTTTATTCAAATTGCTAGAAATTCTTGTTTCATCGACAAAAATAATAGAACGAAAACCTTTTTTTACATAATTGAAAATTGCCCCCTACCCCCTGGATTAGAGCTGCTACCCACCAGATGATACTACTTCAACTTTATGCATCAACATTCCCAATGACCCGATATTGATATAACGTCAATGCTGGGCGGTTAGTGCTGATATTTTGTACCCCACCTTCCAGTTTAGTAACAGAATATAAACACGCAATCTTTGAATGGGGTAGTAAGGTGAGTTTGTGCCTATACAAGCTACCCATCATACGTTGTGGCGTTTGACTTGGAATATATATATAAAAAGCATTAATACTTGTCAGGTTTTTTCAGGATTTTTCTTTCGTCACATTCTTCCTATTAGTTATAGCCTGAAGTAAATGCAAACACTTTGTGTTTTTCTGTAAAAATTTAAAACAGGTACAATGCATATAAAGAAAGAATTATCATACCTTAAAACCGTAATTTTATGACAAAACACAGCAAAACACTTCGTGATGTATTTTACTACAGAAAATGCCTTTCATTAATTTTTGCCCGACCCAACTTTCAAGGGACAGCGAATTTTTCATCAATCGATAGAAAACTCAACTCATCAAACTTTGGCGTAAATATCAATAAAAATTTGTTGTTCTAATTTTGAAAATTTTTAAATACAAGGCAGTTGTTGTATCGGAGCTACACTGTTAGAATGCACGATATTGTTTTCGCAGTCACTGTAGCTGTGATCAGGTCTTGCAGTAATGATATCCTTAATTGTAGCCCTGATTGACTAGCCCTGATTTATTAGTGATTGCCCTGATCGTCTAACCCAGATAGTCAAATGATAACTGTGATTATAACTTATAACCCTGATTGTTTATGATAGCCCTGATTTTCAGCGATTGTCCTGACTGACTAACCCTGATTGTTAATAATAGCCATGACTGATTAGCCAAGATTGTTGATAATTGCACTAGTGATTATTGATTTACTTTTAATGCTTTTTTAGTCTAGAAGACCTCGATCACATGTTCAATATTGGACTCTACCTCAACGATCTTAGTTTGCACGATGCATCACGTGACCTCGTTCTCGTTGGCAATCAGAAATCTGCTGAACTGAAAATTGCGCTTGAGCAGGTATTTAAATATCTTTCAACGCACATAAACTGTGAGTTAAATTACGTGAAATCTAGTTTAAAGCCAGGTCAAGGTGTTTAGAAGGCAAAGCTACGAAGAACGATTGTTTTAACTAGCACACCATCAAACTCAAAATGTCTTTAACTGCTGTTAGAGTCTGATTATTTGGCAGCTCGGTAACTAAAATTATTCTAAATTAAAAAAAATGTTTTCTTCAGTTCCTGTTTAGGTCAAGATTAACGTGGGTTACTTTAAGCTCTCGCTGATTTTGAGCTTTCCATAACTTGAGCAGAATTTACAAGTTTTCATCCTTTTGTAAAAAAACTTGAAATATTTCTAAATGTTACGGAGCTTGTCGTGTATAAATATCATTGTGTATGTTATTGTGGGATTTTTCTAATCAGGAGCTGCAAAAAAGTGCAATGCTTGAAGACAGTATGAAGAAGCTCGATGTCGAAATGCAGAAAACAGACAAGCTGCTATATAATATGATTCCTAAGTCAGTTGCAGACAGACTGCGTTCAGGGGACCTGGCAGTCAATACATGCGAGGTATTTCATTAGCATTAGTGTAATTCTTATACAAATGTATTGTACCATGCAACATGGCCATTCAAACCGAAGGTTTTCTCTACATCTCCTTTCCTTCACAGTTGTTTGTTGTCACTGTTTCCCGTTTTAGCACATCTTGGCTCCAGTACTTAGTGCAAGGGATTCAATACTTTAGTTATATCATGGAAATTGGTCTTAGCAAAACAGTTAGATTGTTGAAAATATTTGCATTGAAATAATACTATTAAAATAGTCGATGCTAGCCCTGACAGTGAAAAAGGGTACATTTTTTCGATTTGTCGTAATTTGCCTCCACTTTAGAAACATCGTAGTCGTTTGCTTCTTGAAAACTTTCGTTTTTCATTGTCGATTACTAAACTTTGAAATTTCGTCAATTTGGTAAGAATTAGACCGTCTGTTCATTCAAACAACAAAGACAAGTGAAATTCTTGAGACACCCAGCATGTCTGAATTCACAAATCGCCTCTTTGTCGCAACGAGGCTTCACATTTTGTACGTTTTTGCTTCTTATTCTTGGTTGTCTGCCGCGAGGCAGGTTCAGCGCCACACGCGCCAACCATCAAGATCTTCAGCTCTACGCTTGATTTCTCCACATGTTTTCTTACGCCAATGATCGAACAATGTCATTATTTTCCTTCCTCTGCTCCTTTTGCCGTTTATCTTCCCTTCGATGACATTTCTTAGTATTCCCTGGTGTCTCATAACGTGACCAATCCACTTCTTCTGCCGGTTATATATGGTTGAGATAAATGTCCTGTTCTCTCCAATCTTTCGCAATACTTCCTCATTTCTCACTCTTTCTGTCCAGCTGATCTTCACCATTCTCCTCCAAAACCACATCTCTACACTTTCTAACCACATCTCTACACAAAACCACATCTCCAGAATTTTACCATTTAGCTTGATTTTGTTCCCTTAACTTGTTCCAGATTTTTACATTTTTACTATTTATTGGCTATTTTTACTCATCGGAAGTATTCTTTTACACATATTGCATGCAATGTTTCTTTTGCAGAATTTCGAAAATGCCAGCATCTTGTTTAGTGACATTGTTGGATTTACTAAAATCTGCTCACTTATTCAACCAATGCAAGTGGTCGAGCTACTGAATTCATTATACACAACCTTCGACAATCTAAGCGAAAAACATTCTGTTTATAAGGTAGGCACAACCTGAAAATAGCTATTTGGTCAAAAATGTTACTCTGACGATGTTCTTTTAAATTATTAAATATCAATTTTGCGTTGTTTGTTGACAGGATACCTCAGCATATGTAACGATATGCGTTAGGTTCGGCAGAGAGATGCGAGAGAGAGATAGGCAACGTGTTTCTTCGAGTGCTTCTCTTAATCAACTGAACTTTAATAAACTACAAAACAACTTAAAAGAAAGCCTTAATTACAGATCAACACAATAGGACGCCAATACAGATTAACACATATCACGACAATTATACTTGAACAAACATCACTATATTGGTACGACATAACTCATCACTGTAAAGTCACGAACATGTTACGATCAAATTCAATTCAATATACAACGTAAACATCCAAGTTCATATCTTTACACATATATCAGGCTAATTAATACTGCTAGACCTATTTAACATTAAAGTCAGAATGGATATTCTATTTTTTAACACAAATCTTTCTAAAGCATTGTTGGTTCAAGTATTTCAATTGAATACAAATTCACATACCTTGAGTACATCCCTTCAGCTTCCTTCATTGCTCCTATTCATTTCAGGTAGAGACCGTTGGTGATGCGTATATGGTTGTAAGCGGGGTACCAGAGCGAATGATGAACCATGGAGAGCGCGTGGCTGATATGGCACTAGCAATGCTTGATGCTGTCTACCATATTCCTGAACCATCGAATACCAACGGGCATCTAAAAATACGCATAGGTATGCTTTGTACATCCACATGTAGCAGCTCTTGATTACACAAACAGTGCTCGGCAAAAACTGTATGGGGGATATCAAACCCCTTTAGTGCAAGTTTATCCCACATTGGATCGTCATGTTTCAGTTCTAATCTTAAGGGTTTTTGCCTTTTCTGATCCATGTTACAAGTACGTCAAGATGATATCCAATTAAATATGTACGTTACATATGGCACTTCATCCAAACTAACGAAAAGTTAGCAAATAAATTAAGTACTAGAATAAAATAGAATGGTTTGATTGTTAAAAACACGACGTTTTGAGCAAGTACTTGTTATCAAGTGGCTAGAAAAGAAACCAAGATAGTGTTTGATCTATCATCAACTATTTGCAATAAATCTAAATAGGGCCAGTGCTGGATGCTGGTATGCGACTTAGCACAGGCCCATCATTTTTATTGTACTCAAAGGTCCATCCCCTCCCCAAACTCTGCCTCTAGACCAGCATTGTAAGTCCCTACTTGATGTTCACGCTGCTACTTGTTGTTACGAATTTTCCAACATTTTTGCCAGGAATTCATTCTGGCAGCGTCGTAGCTGGTGTGGTTGGTATCAAAATGCCGCGTTACTGTTTATTTGGTGATGCCGTCAATACTGCGTCAAGGATGGAATCCCACTCAATGGTATGCGCTAGCTTTTCTACTTTTAGATATTGTAGAAAATACCTAAAAAAGATATTGGCTGACTCAAGGTTTATGTCAAGGCTTTCACGAGCCCTGATTCTAGTGAGCACTGATTTCAGTGAGCACTGATTTTAGTGAGCATTGATTTTAGTGAGCACTGATTTTAGTGAGCGCTGATTTTAGTGAGCACTGATTTTAGTGAGCGCTGATTTTAGTGAGCGCTGATTTTAGTGAGCGCTGATTTTAGTGAGCACTGATTTTAGTGAGCGCTGATTTTAGTGAGCACTGATTTTAGTGAGCGCTGATTTTAGTGAGCGCTGATTTTAGTGAGCGCTGATTTTAGTGAGCGCTGATTTTAGTGAGCATTGATTTCAGTGAGCACTGATTTTAGTGAGCGCTGATTTTAGTGAGCACTGATTTTAGTGAGCGCTGATTTTAGTGAGCGCTGATTTTAGTGAGCGCTGACTTTTAGTTAGCAATATATGTTTTCAAATTAGGTACATACCACGTACAGTGTTGCGAAACGTGACGGTCGTTTATTTCAAAACTGAACAGCGGTCGACATGTACCGACATGCACAATTCGGGGTGCACTACAAAGTCTGACTTTCATTTAGTATCAAATAATTTCTAGCAGAAGATATGTTGTGGCAAAAAACATTTACACTAATATACTAGATTACGTGCGGCACAATATAATGCTAAGATAACGATGAATGCAAGTAAATTGTACCAGAAAAATTATTTTTAATAAAAAACGACGTTTCGAGCTTAGCCCATTATCAAGTGACTATGCTACACAAGTGATCAAATGTAACTTTTCAAATGAATCGAGTGTTTTTAAGGATTATACGTCATGTCTACAGAATTTTTGTATACAGAAGTAAAGAAAAAGTACTTGATGATTTTAGTTAAGAGGCTGTCTCTTTCTTTTATTTCCTAAGTATCTCTTTAAGTCCCCGTTTGCCATTTATAATTTGATATCATTTATTCGTGATCATAAATATATCGATTTGTTTTATATTTTTAGGCCATGTCAATTCATATGAGTGAAACAACAAAAAAAGAACTTGAAGGCAAACATTACGTCATCCGTAGAAGGGGCAGCATAATGGTGAAGGTAATGTTTCTAATTATTAGAACTTTCACTTAGGGTATATTTAAACAGAGACAGCTGAGCTTTGCCTGGGTCCCTGCTCTACTACATCCTCCCATGAAGCCAAAGGTTTGTTACTATAGGTGTATTGGGGACTGACAGGACACAACCCGCATGTACCATTTGAAGGTTGCATACGATGTGCACTGGGAGTGAGACAAGTGTAAGATGAAAGCAAGGCAGAGAGCGTTGAAACTGAGTACCTTTTTGTTATTATACGAATAGAGCCTATTGCGAAAATCGACAAAATTATCATATTGACAAGCAGAACCACTAGAATCTCAAGCACCTTGTTGATAAAAGCTCAGAATATGCAAAAGGTTTTAAGGTTTTAAGCCGATGTCCACATAGGCCAGTTCGTTTTTGCGCGATGCGTTTTTGCGCGGTGCGTTTTTGCGCGGTGCGTTTTTGCGCGGTGCGTTTTTGCGCGGTGCGAACTATCTTACATGCGCTCTTTCTTCCTTTCCTCGTGACTGCAGTAATGAAATTTCGATTAGATTTTAGTACTTCATCAAAGGTACTCCTGATTTAGCCTGCACACATACTGAATTGAACCCTTCACACAGACTGAACTAGTCAAGTCCGCATCAGCCTTCATGTCTTAAGCAAAGGCATGGATGTACAAGTTAAAACGTAGAGCGGCCTTTACCTAGGCACCAGTTCACGGTAAATGTACTTATACTTTCACTTTATGGGTACATTTTAACGCAGGGAAAAGGCTCAATGCAAACATATTGGCTTATGGGTAGAGGAAAACCTTTAACAGCAGTCTCTTGGCTGTCCCTTAAAGCCGTCGAGCAATCCGCGGGCCTAATCGATAACATGATGATGGACATGACGCCGGTCTTCGAAGAAACTCTCGACGCTGAAGACAATCCTCAACCAGCGAAAAAGAGGTTTGAAGAGCCGAGCAGCCATAATGGCGTTAAGAACGGTCATCATGGTGACAGCCAACATGGCTGCATGAATAGCCAACATGGCTGCAATGACAATGTTGAAGAACGGTCCAGTGACGACAAAGGCAAAGAACACTGGAAGGCTGATGACATGAAAACGAAAGAGGACCAAGTGGTGGACAACGTAAGTAGCACATCATCCAATGATGTTTCACATTACTTGCAGCTGAATGGATCGAAAAGTCATATTTCTACATCACAAACAGCCAAAGCTGTCAAAACCAACCGTGTTAAAAGTACTGCTTGTCAATTGTTGTAGCGAAATTTCAAGTGAGCTGGCGATTTTGCCCCTCCCAAATTTTCAAACTCGACATTTTTCAGGATTTGAATTAGCTGGTATTTCGTTTAACGTGATTGTGGAAGAACATGAGAACTTAACTCTAATTCTGCTTGTAAATAGATGACTAATTCGATGAAAAACATCGTTAAAGTATAGGTGTATTGTAATTATGATAGTGGCTTCTCCGTAGGTAGTTAGAATTTGTTTTTCTTATTATCAATATGACATTAATGAAGAAAGCCAATTTGAGGTTTGGGTTCCATGTAGAAACAGATATTGTACAAAATACACATGAATTTCCTACTATGCTTTGACTCTTCTAACTGCAGCCAGGATCGTATTCAGGTAGCGACTACATTTACTTTTGGTTTTTGATTTATGTTTAAATTTCAGTCTCGATATCTATTTGTCGCTATGAGAGGTTCCAATAGGGACCCGGATCCCGTTTCCCTGTCCTATTTTCCCTGTCAATTTTGTCCTTCATTAGTCTTAAATACTAAAATTTGATTTCATACGCTGCTTTTTTACCATCAGTTCCCATTTTCCATCATTCAAGATATTCTATCTCCCAAGAACTATCCCTGGAAAATCCAAAAGATCCCATTTCACCCTCTCAATGTTTTCCGTTGCTCTATCTTGAGCCAAAAACTTTCCTTCATTTTGAAAATGTAATGTTATTACGAACTGATGTTTGAAATTTACATGGCTTGCTTATATTTAAAAACGAGAATTTTTTTGCCCACTTTCGCTGCTTAAGTTACTAAATATGTTTAGGATATTTTTTGTTATGTTCATTTATAGAAAATAGTGAATTTTAATAGTTAATTGTATCTTGGAGTTTATAAATTATAGTTTCTCTGGTGAGTAACCCACTCAGGTTAAATTCTTTCAAGCCATTCATGAAGGTAAATCTGGCAAATGCCGGAGAATGATTCCTTTAAATGTTAGTGGATCTGAAGTGTAGTAATTTTCCAAGTCATTTTTGGGGCCGATTATCTTTTTCTCTTCAAATGTCGAATTTCCCGCTTTTTCGAGTTGAATTTGCGAGTTATACTGACCCTGGGGCTATTTTCTTTACCCCAAATCACCATAGTTTTCTCAACTGCTTACGATTATGAAAGAGTTTGGCATCTCCGCGACAAACTGTCATACTTTTTGGCTTCAATTTTTAGGATCTATCAGCACTGAAGCTTGGCTTTAGGTCCGCAATTTTTAAACGTATTTAAAACAATTTGGTTTCATAATAAAATCTACTCACAAGTTACTTCCATAGACTTCAAAAAACATAAAAGAACATCTTCTAAAAGCTCTTACAGCTCAACCGAAGTTTAAAACTGGTTCCACATCTTTATTCAGTGTTCTTTTCGATGTGAATTTCAAAAATTTATGATAAAATATTTCCAAATATCATGATGACTTTAAGAAAATGTTCATATCCTGCCTCCTGAAAACATACAACTTACCAAAAACTGCTATCTTTGCTGACATTTTCTTAGAATTCACACCAGCAAATTTAAAGGAATTTTAAGGAGAGTTTTAGAGCTGCACTTCTCAAAGTGCAGAATACTGTGGTTTACACGACCATTGTCGTAAAATTGACATATTTGTTTAATACAGGTATGGCGTTTCTATAAAAAAACTTGCGCTGATTGTACAATGGTTTGCAGATGGTAAAGAAGAGCTTATAAGTTTTAAATACCTGTATTTGAAGTACACTCTCCAAGATAGTAAAACAACTTTTGTCTTGACAAATAAACTGTTTTGTATCAGCTGATAATTATTCTGTTCACTTGAGGATCAGCGAGAAGATCGTTTAAACACCGTTTTACTTTTTCATGTCCTTTCATCTATAAAAAGTATAATGGTGTACATATTCTTAAAAAGAATATGGCCTACTGAAATGTTTTTTTTCATTTTCAATTCAAAGAAGTCTTTCATTTGTGACATCTAATGCCCCTTCTCAGCAAAATTCAGTAAGTACCTTGGCTGTCAATGTACTTACTGAAACTTTATTTTTCTCTGGAAGTTTTGCGAATTAACAAGAACAGAGCTAGACGAGAAAAACAACACAAACTAAGAAGGAAATCCCTTTTTAGAAAAGATGTTTTCTTCATAGTCTGATCTAGATAAAAAAAGCCATTGCTGTTTTTTATTAATCTAGTTAGTCATCAAGGAACAATAGATATTAGCAAATGGTACCGTAAAATTGTACAGGCTAAGCCAGCTGTTAATCTTTTTCTCCGGCAATGGCATTTCCATGAAGTCATCATTCATGTCCGGAATTGTTCGATTGTGTCTCCTTAATCCATATACAGATAGCTCTTAAGACTCTGCAAAGTGGTAAAAATCCGGATCAGCTGACGCTGACATCCAGTGACAAGTCAAAATTTCTGATAAAAATTGTACTGAATTCCCTGGGAAAGAAAAAAGAGTATTTCAAAAAGATTTTCAATACAGCGGCAAGTATTTGAAAGAAGACAAGCTTTGAATGAAAGACAAGTACTGGTCTATTTCATTCCCAGTATTCGCTAATAAAATTTATTTGCTTCAGTTCTTGTGCCATATCTTTTTTAGATAAAAGATTTCATCTGCCGTTATTTTCATATCGACAAACCTGTAGACTGCAACAGATACATTTAACCAAAATCTACAAGTTACAAAGGGTGATCCAAAATTTTGCCACAACGGGGGCTGGTAGGGAAGAAGCAAGTGGACAATTTCTAAAAATTGCTGCCCCCAGTTTAGAACATAGTTGATATAGTGTGAACTATGGTTTCACACTATATCAAATATGGCTTAAAATCACTGATCCTGTACTGGGAGGCCCAGGAATGTAAAATAAGCTCCTTCTAACCCCACGAACACCAATTGTAGCAAACATTTTGCTGACGTTGTTGTACTTTTGGACTTTGATTCAATGATCTTTTATTCGCCAAAAAGTGGACAGCGGGCCTTGGCATGTAACGATTGTCTTTGTGACACAATATTCCTTATAATTGCACTGGATTATCAATTTCGGTGTCGCTTAACTTTCTCCTACCCAAACTTTATAATTCTTTTGAATGACCGAGAGCAAAGTTTCGTATACAGAATTGATCCTCATTCTCAAACAGTTGAATAGCTCTATCTAATTGGTACAACATCAGAGCTATCTGATGAAGCAGCCAGATTGCTTTTTCTTTATAAAGTTTTCTAGACTGCAGAGTTTTTCAGTGTGATGTCACAAAAAAGCCATTTTCAGAATTTTTGCATTTTAACCGCATAGAATAAAACAACACCTGGAAGTACGAGATGAAATACTTCCAATTATACAAGATCAGACAAATATATCTCAAATCGGGTGAGATATGGCCAATGAAAGATTTGAAGTTTGCTAACGAATCAAAATCAAAAATTATAAAATTGTTTTTGTGACGTCATCACTTTGAACTCCGGTTTTTTTCGTCACTTTCCATTTGGTGGAATTCTAAGGTATATATTCTCTTATTCCAGAGCAATGGAATTTGGTTATGCTTTCGCTGTTTTTTTCATTCTTTAATTTTTGTTATCCATGTTTGATTATCTCATGTTTGCATTTTGGCATGCTTTCAACAATTCCGAAAAGCTGCTGTTGAAAGCGGAAGTGGACGCTAGCAGTTCCTTTTCTCGGAATTTTGAAGACAAGCTTCTGGACCGGAGCCACCATTGGCGCAGTTGAAATTAGCAGTGCAGTGGCGTTGGTTATCCAAGATGGCAACTGCCTCTTATGTTACAGTGCCGTTAGTGAAGGAAAATGAGAGATTTTCTAAACCACTAAAGCCTGTGATTGGTGTTGGTTTTATGTTTGGACCCCATGCAATCTTCGAGGCGCCATTGTCAATTTTATCCGTCTTGACATTTTACGTCTTGCTAGCGTTTATGCTCGGCGTGGCCTCCATCGCCGTTTTCCTAAGAAGCGACATCGATATCTGGATCCAGTTTTCTTTGTATATTGTTCCGCTATTCGCCATCATCTGTGCAAATCGATTTTTCAACTCGCTGGCTTTCCGCGAACTTCTGTATCGATGCATCCCATCACGTGCCATGTTGAGTTCATCGATTCCGGATGTTGAATTTTCAGCTGCAAGTGAACTTGCTGATGTCCATCGTGGTTCAAAAAAACAGAAACGCAAGTGGTTAAAAGTTATGGCCTACAAATCTTGTTTCTATCCCCTGTTCTATGAGGCAATTCAATGGGCAAGCTATTTGATATTCCAGAGCTATTCGAAAAGCGAAAAAGGAAACGACTTCGCAGGAAATGATAAAATAAAAGAACAAATATCAGAGCATTTGTGGCTTGGTTTTTATATTTCATTTTGGTCGATTGGTCTCTACATGGTCGGATTTTTCACTTTGCAGTTCATTCTTGTAACAAATATTATTCGCCGGGATGCTATATCTTTCATGAGCTTATTTGGCGACAGCCCATTCTTGTTTATCAAGAAATCACACCTAAACGATCAGAGAGAAACGTCTTATTTCTTTGGGGCGCTAAATTTTTTATTTGGTATCATCTTGATGGATGCAATAGAAGATAAAAACGATGTGACTAACTTCATTGGGAATTATGCAACAAACATAAGCAAAAAAAGGAGCACTCTTTCTAGAAACATTCCTGCTAGAAGTTATGATAGAGGCACCCCAGTGGCAGTGGAATGTAATGACATAGTTTCAATACCATATTCTGAAAAAGAGGAAGATTCAACAGCTATTACTCAAGAAGAGGCATCAAGAATGCTAGCCAATTTTGTGTCAGATATTGATGATATCACTCTGTATTTCACCCCCTTTACAACAGCTCTTCTCTTTTTCTCAGTCACAAACCTTGTCACCCATCTTTGTATCTTTGCATTGAATAAATCTGAAATCAGGTATATATGGACACTGATTCGAACAATTATTTGGCTTCTCATGACCGTGCGAATAATTGTTGCAACAGCAAGGGTAACAAACATCCTTGGTAAAATTTCACCCCATATCAAGTACCTCAGGGCAACCGGCGCTCTTTCTGGTGAAGATGCCAAATGGGAAAACTTTTTGTCACTGTCCGAACACTTCAATCTTGGCAATAAAACATTTGGTTTTCCACTTACCTTGAAACAAGTTGGAATTTTGGTGGCCTTTTTGAAAATGACTTTCCTAGTTGTATTGTCTCTGATGAGGGCTCCAGGGAATGATCTAATTTGAAAGTAAATATTCAGTTTAGAGAATTCTCTATTTTGCTTTGTTTTGGTATAGTTTTCTAATTTGCTTGTGCTCTTTCATAATATTCATTTATTTCATATCACAGTATTCACCTTTGCTGTCATCATATAAGAAAAACAAAACACTATGCTGAATGTCCACAAATCATTCAAAACTCTCAGTACATTTGCAATCAGTTGGTTTCTTTCTTTTAAATCTGCATGCAGAATTATCAGAGATGCAGGGTTAATTTTTCAAAGTATAGAAGAAAGGCAGGATTATTAGAGAGAGATTACAAGAGAGAATATGGTATTCAATGTTATGCCACACATCTGAATTTTAAGACTAATGATTATTTGAATCAACATTTCATATAGCATTGCACAACCTTTAATTCGTAGAAATATTCAGGCACAGTTGCCGTAGTAATATTCTTAATATAAATTAATTTCTTACTTAAGACAGTTGCAATTTATAATTCATAATTGAAGTGAGAAGGTAGAGAAAAGTACACATATTTTAAAAGAATAAATTTAAAAAGAGCATTGAGGGTCTACTTAGATTTACACCAATAACAAGTTATAGCAAGTCCCTCAAACTTTATCTAGTGCAGTTTGATTTATCATCTACAGAAGTTTAATATAAGGATGTTAGCGAGAAATCCGTTGTTGACATTAATGATATGTTGAAATTGTACATTTAGATCATACTCAAGGAAGAATAAACACTGGAATCATAGATTTCTTATTCTAAAGCGTGCTTTTGTTTTGATATTGTACCTGATAGTCTTCTGTTAAAATTACAATTTCTAACTTGTTTTATGTTCTTGGTTTGTTTTGTTTTAATGGTGATGCTAGACAGAAGCAAATGTTTGTTGGTCCTTACCATTTTATATGTTATTTTGCTTTAGAATAAATAAAGAATAATTTTTGGCCCAAAATTTACAAGTCTTTTAAGATAATTGAGGCTTGGCAAACATAAAGGAATGCTTCAAAAACCAAATGTTTTAAAACAAGAGTAGAGAAACTGAATGGTTTCTTTATTGAATGCTGGAAAATGAGTAAACAAGAGTTTTGTATTTTGAAAATGTGTTGAATAATTATGTATTTTAAAAACCATTGTTTTGAATCATGCAGCACCGAAAGGAATATTGTCATCTAGTGTTACTAACGGAATACCATTGGGTGAATTAAGATTATGTTTCTGTTGAATGTTTAAAGAAGATGCCAACCTGAATGACTAAAACCTACCCAAGTCTTTGCATGTGGACTTGTGTGTACAGAAACAAATTTATGACTCAAAATTTACTTGAAAAATTTTAAACATATATTTTTCAAGTAATTCTTAAGAATCTTGAAAGATATACTGCTATCAGCATTCCAGTCATGGAAGAGAATTACAAGAATTAACTCAAATTTTATTTGCAAGATCAATTTTTGTCCATCAACAACAAACAAATTGTTTCAATTAATGCAATACAAAAGATATCTTCCTTTAGAGTAACTTTGGGTAGTTGATTTTAATAGCACTGCATACAGTCTAACAAAAGTAATGTATAAATGTATATGATCAATATAAGATTAAGTTTGGGCTACATATTGTCTTTGTTGATGCTTTTTATCCTGAGCAGTCCTTTAACAAATGAAAACACTACATTGTTCTGTACTAATTGATCAATAATTGTAAGAACACATTGATCAATAGAAATTTCAACAATAACAAAGTAAACTTCAAAAGTGATTTCATTACCCTCAGAGCTTTCAAATATAAAACTGGTTATAGTTGTGTTAAGGTTCATTTATCATTTGGTGCATCTTTGATGAAAATATTACCAATGCTATGTAAATATTTTGTTATTTTGCCTGATCTTAGAAATTACATAAATTCATTGAAGAATCACTGCAAGTAGAAACTTAACCCATATTTTCCAAAATTGCTGTAAATAACTAAGAACTATTTGATGTTTCTTGTCACTCTGCGTGCATGCCCAGTTTTCATCTCGGCAAGGGCTTGTTCAAGGACTTCTGTTAAGTGAATGAGATTTACTGGATCTGTTTGAAGTAATTTTACATCCTTCTTTTCCCCATCTTTAATTGTGAATTTTAGAAGTATGTTTGGAGCAGTCTGAGATCTCATAGACCTACTTGCGACTTGAACATCTAGTCTCCATTCAAGATTATCATAATGTGGTAGATCTAAAGAGAGTTTTTGAAGAACACTTCTAATCTCATCTCTGTGTTCCATGTATAACCTCAGCAGGGTGCTTGTGAGCTCTTCAGAAAAGCCAACCATCATTAGTGAATCTTGAAAGTCTAACTCATTAACATACGACTTTGAAGTTTCAGTCATAAGAAACATGAGTCCTTCGACGCACCTTTTAACATTTTCCACGGCAATTTCAAGCTTCGAGGCGGCCGTCTGGTACATTTTCGGATTGACTCCATTACGGATAAACCCAACAGCAATTTTACAAAATTCCCTCGCAACGTTCTCGTCAAAATCACCAAGTAATTGCAAATCTGCTTTCTGCTGATCTCCAAGTACAACAAGCATTTTACCAATCCCTTTAGATATCGGAAAAACAGGCTAGCGTCGAATCGACAAATTTTCCCAGCTCTCGAGCAGCGGCCTAAATAAAGCCTGTTAATACAGCATCGTTTTCAGACAACAAGGAAGTCACCAATGCGACTTATTGATGGTAAGAAGTCTTCCTTATTTTGGATTTAAAGCTTTGCTCTTGAAAAAATCTTGTTCAAGTTGATGCGCGTTCTGGTTTCATTTAACACCCAGTTTATCCAACTCATTAGATTGGAGCACAATCTTGTGACCACTGGGACCCAAGAAGGGTTCCGATCTATGGTTCCGATGAGCATCTTAGATGAGCCTCTTTATGAAATGGCAGTTTAGGCCTGTCAGTTTTTGCAGTTGAAAGCTTATAAAAATGTCGGTGCTCAGAGGAAGACCGTTTCGTTTTCGCCTTCCAAATGACCTCAAGGTAAGATTCCAAAGAGAAAAAGAAGTGAATCCAGTTGGCCCACTTCTGACAAATCCCAAATATGACGTCGATTTTCATTATCACTACGCACCCAAAACAGTTTCATCCGGGATAGTGCGAACAGAAACAGCAAGGTATCTTCGAGATCTGGGCATAAAGTTCGGGGAAATTACAAACAAATCTCCAATGTCTGGAATTTCTTTATTCAGTAACTATGATCTACAGGCCACAAAGGAAGTTGTAGATTTCTTAAATGCAGCTGGGTTGTCTAACGAGCAGGTCTGTAACATGATCTTGAAACGACCTCATATTTTGCTAAGACCAACAGCATTTTTGCGAAAGAGGGTACAAGAGTTGAGAGAAGAGCTAGATATGACAAAAAGAGACACAATCAGCCTGATATTTAAGCAGCCAAATCTTCTGAATGATGCTGTCGAGCTCAAGGACATAGTTGTAAAACGCTTTCAGTTGAAAAGAAGCTTTGCTATATCAGATGATGAGTTTATGGGCATGGTAGAAAGGGATCCAAGGTTTCTGTATTATGAATGGAAGTCATCAACTGATCCCATTATTAAATTTCTAAAGTCATTTGAGTTTTATGATAGTCAGATAAAAAAAATTCTTACTTTGGCACCATCGGTTTTGGGAAGCAGCAATACCACAAAACTAGAGAGTCAAACTGATCTGTTCTTAAATTACATCGGATTCACCGAAACTGCCTTTAAAGACTCCATTCCAGAATATCCACATTTATTAGTTTACAGACAGAGACTTCTCAGGCTTAAGTTTGACATCATAAAGGAAGCTGGGAGATTTACTTGGCAAGATGTAGCCAGGGCCCCTCTAACTCTTGGTTACTCTGTTGAAAGAATTCATACAAGGCTTAGCTTTCTAAAGTATCTTGGTAAACTTGATGACACAAAATATCACTTATCAACAATATTAGCCCATCTTGAGAAGAACTACTTGAAATGGATGGCACAATCTGACCAAGAAACATTTGATGCATTCAAAGAGCAAGAAAAATTAACTGTAAAAAAGCTAAGGAATTCGATCAGGTCAAAGATAATCCATACTGAATTGGGGCTTCTTGATGATTAAGAAGACAACATTCCTTGATTAAAGGTATTTAAATAAAAGTGGTTTTGGTGCTTTGTATTGAGAAGAAAGGTTGCAAACATATGAAGTGAGAATAGCCAGAATGTTTTACAAAAACCCAATGAAAATTTTGTACATTAAGTAGCTATGAAAATACAAAATTTGTGTATATATATAAGGTAATTTTTGTCCATTTATTCAAAAGCAAAATGAAAGATTTGACTCAGCTTGTACATTGGTCATAAGCCCTCATAAGATTTTCCTGTTGATAATTCATCAAGGTTGATATAAATTTCCATCTATTTACAGTTATTTCTTCGCTACATTTTGAAGTTTATACCCCTCTGAATCTCATTTTACAGCTTCAAAAATTTGTTTTCAATATCATAGTATCTTGGGAAACTTTTTAATGAATTTTAAAACAAGCAAAATGAGAGTTTATTTAAAAGACATAATTGAATAGCAAGTGTGTTGGGGTGGTCCAGGGGCGGATCCAGTGGGGTGCGAAGGGGGCTCGAGCACCCCTCAGATTTGAGAACAAACTTTTTGAGGATTAAAGCTTATTCTACCGCAATTTTGTTTATTATTATTTAAACCATTTAAATAATACCGGGAAGTATGCACATCTCCTGAAATTGTTATTTCCGCTTCAATGCCCCGTCTCACAACTGTTCAACATTGTTATTTCATTCCATGCATTGAAGTGTTATGAAAATCCCCCTGGTTGTCCTGTATAGCATTCTACAGACTCGGAAAGCATTGTCTCCTCTTATATCCAGCCACTTAAGGAACCCGTGGCCTGTAAATTATACGAGTTTCTGCACCCGTGGAAGTGAATCTAGCCAATCACGGTGCCAGGTCGAGGGGTTCTAAACTTTGGCGCGAGAACCCATGGATTTCAAAAATCCAAAACATCAAAGAATACCGACAAACCAGGGGGAGTTTCTTCGCTTCAATCTACAGTCAAATGTATAAGTGGTTTTATGACCAGGGGGAGTTGAGGTTGACCAGGGGGAGTTGAGGTTGACCAGGGGGAGTTGAATTATGATACAGCACGCGACGAATGCTTAGGCGCAAATTTGCAATATGTTTTCGTGGATCTTTTGACGATCTTTACCTGATGCTCGATGCTGGAACGGCAGAACTTGTAAACGCTGTGGTTTATATAACAGAACGGTTTCAAGTTTCAACTCCGTGTTTCACGTCTTATTCATAGACCATGAGGTATGATTTATATTCAGAGGATAAAGCTTGCCCGAGCCCCGAGCCTTTGTTATTCTTTTTTTAATAATTCAAGAACTACATAAAAAACATCTCAAAAACTTGCCCTTACTATTATTGACCAAAAGGGGTTTCCTTTTTATACCTACTTATATTCCTGCGAATACTTTTTTCTCTAAGAATTTCAAATACATAAAAATACTCAAAACGCCAGGCCCATAGCGAAACATTCAGGGCCTTCTTTGTTTGGTTCGGCGTCATATGTCGATGCATGCTGTGTTTGAATCCCTGTGTTCAACTTTTGCACTGCACTTCAAGGGCTTCATTCCACCAGCCACGTTATTTTTTTGGTCAAGCTGATCAAGTTCTAATAAATGGCTGCAAAGAGTCAAAAATTAAATTTTGCTTTGAAAATTTGTGGGCTCGGGCCTTTTGCCACTGCGGGCCATCATATCATATTTGACTACAGTTTCTATACTTTTGTACCCTAAGTGAATATAAGAGGGGCGAGCTGCAAATTGCGTTCAATTGGCATAAAAGCTGAAACCAAAAATTACTATATAAATCAAGGCATCCAGGCTTTTTAGTTTATGGAAGACTTTCATTTCATTATGGCTTATTAGCAGGGGTACAGAGTTTGTGCATAGCAACACCCTGGGTTACCAAGCCTTACGTTTTAGAACCCCTCAGAATAATTTCTAGATCCGCCCCTGTGGTCCTATGGGGATGTGTTAGGGTGTGACAACATCCCCCCTCCCCTGCAAGAGTCATAAATCAGCTCTTTGTTTGAAAGACCAAGCATCTTCTAATGCGTACTCTGCAAAGTTGTTGGTTGGCATAAAATTAGATATCAATGATTGTTGGTGGTATATTTGATAGTTTTTGTTTTCATTTTGATTGATTTGATTTGAAACTTATAAGAACCAAACTCCACATTACAATGCTTCAGGGTCCTCTGGAGTTTTAAACAATTGTTGGGTATGATAATTGTCGTGCAATGCAGAAGATTTTTCCCAGCATAATCTGAAAAAAGAATGATTCAATTTGGTTGCTAGAGAATAGTAGCTATACATGTTTTCATAACATGATAGTGATGGTAGGCCAAGATGTGATGCCAAATAATTTATTTGACCCTCTTTTATTGATAACTGCCAACTGTCCTGACATCAGGAATTTAGACTGACCGTCCTATTAGAATGATTTTGTCCTGATCTAAAGGTTTACATGTTGCGTTTTCTATAAGCTTAAACATAACAAGGACATCAGGAAATTGATTAAAACCTTCAAATAGCTTTCTGCATTTTAATATGAATTCTAAGAGTTTTTCTAAATATTGCTTTGTGTCTAAATTTTCATAGACTGCTCTTGTCATTGTTTGTCTTTTTTGCATGGGAAGAACACAAAGCCAGAGTGAAACAAGTTTTGTAGCCATAAACTTGATTGTAAAACTGAGAACTAAACTTATTTTGCAAATTGTCATATTTTTATTTGTACAATTTTCAATTTTCTCAAAATAACATGAATTGTGTTGGAAAAGCATTGTTTTCCACTGGGGAAGTGATTAGATGGGTGTGTTTAGTCGTGTGAAATGAATATTGCAGCAAGTAGATAGCAAACAAAAGGTATAAGCAGAACTGTGATGTTGTGAGTGTAGCAAAGGATGCCTGTGCTATGGTGTAGCAATGTGAATTGAAAGTTTGAATAAGAAGAGAAGATAAGCTAAACAAGCCTAAGCAGTGGGGGTGCTGAAAAATTTTCAGAAATTGGTGACAAGTGTACACTGTTTACAACAATTTCAGACCCTAACTACTGACAGAAGGCTCTCCATTGACTTTGTAAGGGAATTTTCACAATAATGTTTGCATACATTGAGGTATTCCTTGAAGTAGATTAACCTGTATAAGGCTCAGAAACTTTTTCACCTGAATCTTATTCTTCAAAAGGGGTGCACAAATTCCAAAAAAGGGGTGCCAGACTTGCTTTAACTCAGTGAAGGAGGGCAACTGCCCCTAGTTCCCCTCCCTTAACTCCGCCACTGGTGATAACCTCGGGGTGTCTTATATATTTATCTAGCATGGGCCAGCTGTTATGATTGCCATCGAGTCATACCCCTACACAGAAATTTTTCTTGATATTTATATAGGAAATTCCAAACGCTCACCTAAGAGCCTCTTGCTCTGTTTTAATCGACCAGCCAAACACGTGCTTACTGATGACTCTTCTTGTGCTTCTATTTTTAAATCAGACTCTCAAAATAGTGGGCGTGGCTTTTGTGAGAGGACAGCTGAGCACATATAATGAGAACAATGTTTGCTTATTCTTGTTACTTCTTAAGATTGCTTATTTATGTCAGTGATGGCTTGTAAAACAATTAGCGCGGTCTTAAAATAAGATGCCACATGGCCAGTTCGTGTTATCAATGACTATCTGACGTCATCAATGCGACCTAGTGTTACACTAGATCAACAAATGTTTGTACTAGTGTCATTGAGAGGCCGTGAAGGAAGACCGAAAATTGTCAGCTGTTGATTGGTAAACAAATGCTTTACTTATCTATATATATAGCTAAACATCAAACTCATAAGCCTTAAAATGCGACTGAAACAAGTTAAAATATGTTGAAGTTTCTTATTAAAAGTTAGAGAATTATTTCAATAGGAACAAAAATGTCGTTTATCTATTTTGTTCAATTGTCGTATATGTCGTTGCACTCTTCAAGAACTTTGTTGCACTGCATGTTTTGTCCGCTGTGCCATTCTTGGATCAACCGTTAACGTACTTAAGCTTCATGCTGTTATATAATCTACCATCCAAAGGTTCTTAACATTTTGAACCATCATTTTGAACCCCTAGTCGAGGAATGTCGTCAAAATATAAAGATTAAATATACACTAAGCTCAACGTTACAAAAGTGACATTAAAAGAGCTTCTAAAACAATAAGAAAGATAATTACAGAAGCAGTACGGCTGCGAGTTTTTAAAGCACAAAGATCTGTACCGTAAAATCCTCGAACAAGCCCCCAATCTCTGTTATAAAAAGATCTGTAACGGTACAAACAACATCAACAAGAAATACTACAAAAACGCAACTAGATTTGTTTTATTAGAGGTGACAAGCATTTTTTCGGAATGTTAATCCATAGTTGTTTGCTATTGGTTTTGGTCATCGGGCTTTTGAACTTGAACATAGAAGGATATTTTGAATAATATAAGAGAGACATTAATTTTATTTTCTACAAGAGTTTGTTATTCTAAAATCATTTGAGAACGTCATAAAAATAACGAAGACCTGTTACGTAGGTGGGACCGAGTATGACGTTTGGCGTCGGAAACATTCCAAGTTTAGGGGGGCAAAGGTAGGAAAGGATACCATGTTGCAGAAATAAGGGTGCTTTATCAAAGAGCTTACTTCTTGAAAAAAATCATTTTCCCAAAAGTTTGGGTGCACTTGCCCCTTGTGCAACCCCTGTTTTAACGTTCCTGGTTTTGAGTTACAAATTATTCTGTAGATGTAGGCCAAAATCATTCAAAAAAGCACTTGAAATCGAGATCGAGAATACAAGGGGCAATTCACTCTTGCAAATAGCGTACGGGATTTTCCTTAAAACAAAAGGATTTCCGAGAATTTTTAGAGAAATCAATAGGATTTCCATCAAAGGTGTACGAGATTTTCTTGGAGTGATTTGCCCCTCGGAGGAAAACGTAGCAAAGTTCTTAATGACCTGAAACAGGCTTAACAGCTGTATTTGTATAGACGTGAAGACAAAAGTGATTTTACACATAAATACCAACTTTGTGAACATGATATGCCACGAAGATCGCGATGGATAGTTGGTGGATGGTGTTATTTTACGGCCTAACGGTTGGGGCTAAGGTTTTGAAATCTGGGAATGGTAAGATTACTTTGAAAATTTCACGATCATTTCAATTTATAAGATAACTTTGTCCACATCTTAATCAATGAGATCCATAATTCAAAGAACATGAAAACTTCTTTTTAACAAGAGCTTTGACAGGGTACTCGTAATGATTGTTAAGGAGGCTTGTCCATGTCTTGTTTGATTTCTAGGAATGGTTCAAGGATCTTATTTCTATGTTCAAGCCACAAGTTGGAATTATGGAGATTCTGCCCAGCGTTTAGAAAATTTGCAAAATTTCATAGGTAGTCGAACAAAAGCTTTCGAGTGAGGCAAATTTTAAGAAAATTCGTCGACGAGCCATTTCTCTCATTAATGACAACGAAGGACGATGACGATGGAGGTGATACAGTGGGACAGTACCACATTTTGTGACAGTACAGGAATCTTTGTATTAGAAACCATCTTCAAGAGGCCGTTCCTTAAGACAAACATGTTCTCGAAAAACATAGTAGTTACCACCCTCTACGTTAAGGAATGCCTAAATATCCACTTGTTAACAACTTGATCGAAAGGATTCTGTTCGACGATCAGGTACCTACATTGACAATAGAAAGAAGGGCAAATTGAGTTGGTGTTCTATTTCATCTTACTCTCATGTTACGTTTTGACATTTCAAAGGAGTAGGTCTTTAGCAGGTTTTATTTTGGAAACCTTTAAAAAGCTTTAAGTATCTGCTACTATTATCCTTCAGTACGAAAATAGACCTCGTAGATCTGCACAAATCAAGCTGCACATTTATTAAGTCTCTTGTGCTTTTAAAGCTTACAAATTTTGCCACACTCAGTATATGAAGGATCTGGGTAAACATTAGAAAGTATGTTTCAATTTTCTAAAGCAATATTTTAACCGCACTTAAAATGAAATCGTTTTTTAAATCTTTTTCAATTGTCATTGTTAAAGTGAGGAAGGCTCCGCAGCACGTGCCTCTTTAATAGCCTCGATAGCAAATTTGGTTCTCAAATAAAAAAGGGCACAATTATCTATGGAAATTACAAAGCCAAAGTTGACCCTCTTCTAAAAGGAGGCTTAAAAGTTTTAAGAAATATGAAGACTGACTGGAAAAGCGGAGAAACATTGAAATATTGATATAAAATTTGTCAAGTATCGACTTCAAACATAAACATGGTGCTAGCAATGGTTTGTAGCAATATCGTTACGAAAGGTTAACCCAAAGGTTAAGGCAATAAGGCGGATGAAAGAGATTCTAATACAGATGACGATGATACTTAAGTTATGAAAATTTTGTCATTTTACCCCTATTTTCGTATTTTTTCAATTTTTTGAAAATGGCCATCCATCCTCAATATTATTTTGAGCTGCTGTTGAAACTGTCTTCTTGAATTCCAGTTTAAGAGAATGCGCAGTTTTTTTCGCCCGTTTAGGTGTATGTTACTATTCGTTACTCTCCAGCATCATTTTCGGCGGCAATAACAATATTTTAGCAAGCAACTAACAGAACCATGTGTCCATTGCTAATTACGTATATATTTTATGAATTAAGGGATTGATACGGGGAGCTCCAAAACATTTACATCTAAAGTGTTTTTCTTTATAGGCCCACTTCAATCTATAGAAGGGTTCACCTTTGCACAATACGATGTCCGATGTGGAGGAGTGGTGATACTGCAGTGTGTCACAAAACATCACGTCACAAAATTCTCGTTTACTCCAGGCGATAGTCATAGTACAACGAAGGAATTTCATTTTGCCACGAATCCGACCCGTATTTCTCAAAGATACATCATATTTAAAGAGACCTTTTCGACACTTTTCAATGTCTACAGTTTAAGAATTGACCTTGTCAGTATTGTAGAAAACAGCAGTTTTTGGTGCTACACTTCAGATGGGAAAAAATTCGAGACTCAAGTGAAAGTAACGGGAACTAAATGTAAGTTACTTTTTTCGAGGGGCAATTCACTCTTGCAAATAGCGTACGAGATTTTGCCTAAAACAAAAGGGTTTCTGGGGATTTTCGTGTAAAACAAAAGGATTTTCACAAAAGGTGTACGAGATTATCTTAGAGTGATTTGCCCCTCGACTTTTTTGCATTACCTGTTCTTATTTTTAATATGAATTGCAAAAACATTAACTCAAAGTACAAATTTCTGAACTCAGATTGCTCCATTCATTGGAATTTCAGCTAGTTCTGGCTAGTAGATGAATTGTGACTTTATTTTGATTACAGGTTTGCTTCTATCTTCTCGCAAAGCGTCCTTCGTCAATTTTTTGAAAATTTCAGTTTCATTCTACTCTTTTCCATTCTACATATTCTACATCACTACTGGAAGTAAGCAATATGACACTATTGGAAGTAAGAAACGATTGTTGTTACATTTAGTAAAATAGAAAGTTCAAGGGGAAAAACATGTCCCAACTTCAAAACACAAAACTTTTTTAAGGGTCACGCAAATTACTCCCCGTCTCTTCAATGCTCGAGTCTCAACTACACAACTCCTATCAAATATACAGCCAACTTTGTGTACAAGCCGTTTTTTTCTTCTTCTTCAGGCCACAGAGTTCAGGTATCTTTTAGCCAGATGGATTATGTCTTCAAGAAAGGAACCAGTGCGCAGTTGTCTTGTATTCGTCCAAATCATCAAAGATTTCATTCGTTCAGTTTTCGTAAAGATTCATTTGGAAAATCGTCAGTCATCATGCAAGGCGTGCAAGGCTACCACTTTACTGACAAATACAAAATATACGAGGAGCTCACTGTTAACTACACACTTCTCAATTTCTTTATGTCCGATGAATCGAAAGTTGGCTTGTACTACTGCAATGCGGATGATGACGTCACAGTTACAAAAGTATCTATGGCATGTAAGTTCAATCTTGGTGCCAGTACTTTGCATTTTCTATCTCCTTCTTTTGTTTTAAATTCTGTTACTTAGACAGGGTTTTGAAAAATCATTCTCCAAACGCTCCAAGCGTTCACCTGACGAATTTAAGACGATAGTTGAACTCAGCTGCATGTAGAGCTACTCAGCCCTATCGCCAACACTACACTGAGCAATCGCTGATAAAAAAAAATTACTATTTGTGCAAAGGGTACTGCCTTATCTTCGAGGGCTACGTATTTTTGTGATGTTGAATGATTGTTTCGATATCGATTGACTATTTTGCCTCTGAAAAAAAACTAATTATATAGATGTTACCTTTAGGGCTGTCGCGGGCGGGGGAAGGGCCGTTGGGATGGGGATTGCAACCTTCTAGAAATTCAATATCAGCAAAGTTTTGTAACGTAGATTTTTTTTGGAAAAAGAAAATTAGTCGTTTTTGGACTTTCTCTTCAAGGAGACCACTAGGATTCCCAAAACAATAGGCAAGGGATTTGTTGAGAAGAAGATAGACAATAAAGACATGGTCCAAAGGTCCGGATCTCTAACCATGCCAAAATTCAATAAAAACACTGCAGGCATGACATGTACAAGGCATGATAAAAGAGCTGCAAGCCTTAGCATATCAGCCATGTAACAGGTGTCACGACTACAGTGTAGTGAAGTCGACAGACAGGTATAAAGATGACATCATTAAACAATGACGGATGCTTGGTAATCCAGGAATTGGACGATCTAGCTCCTTGAGAACATTTTCAACGTCTTGTTTAGATCTCAAGAAAGCTAATGTCAGTTAATGGTGTGGAATGTGGGGGTATTGGGGTGTTAGGGTGTGAGAGTGGTGGTGTAGGGGTGCTGGGCTGTCACCTCCGAATCTTCTTGAAACTCTTTGTATTAGGTGGAAAAGTTTAGAGTAGTTGGGAAATATAAGTCCTATTTTTAACTCTTTTTTACTTGGGGGTGAAAGGGGATACTTCCAATAAATGGGGAATATTTCAGATAGACTCCCAGAGCACGAGCAGAAAAGTGTAATTTGCGTAGCCTGATTTGCAGAAAATGTTAAATAGCAAAAGGCCTGGTTTACCTTCGGTCTGAAATCGGTATTTGCTGATTATTGTAACTCTCTTTGTCAACCCTGAGTGGCTTTAGGCAATAGGCACGTGGGTATAGAGTGCTGAACATTATAGTACTTTATTTGGCCCATCGGGATATACCCAAACTTGCTCACAATTTCTTTCATGAACTTAATGTTAAGAAATGATGAAACCTATCCTTTCGTTGGCTGCACCTGTTTTTCTGATGTTTTTTCGATTAGTATAACTAAGCATTGTTATCCACTTCTCTCAACCAGGTCAAGTATTAGACAAGTCGTTGAAGACCATTGCTTTGAACCAAGGAGAAATTGGGCACTTGAGAGTCAGATGGAGGGGAAGTTTGGTACAGCGTGCAATTTTGAGTTCTTGGTACAAGCTAGAAAAGTCTGCAGATTTATCGACATGGCAGTATGCAAAAAAGTCTGAACTTGCTTCCAGATATGGATCGTCTTTCTTTGCTGTCTCAGACAGAAAGTACCTGATAGAAGATGACGGAACCCTTATCATAAGAGACGTAAATCAGAATGACGCTGGTTTTTATAAATTCAAACTCATGTGTGGTTTATTTGGTGAAACTGAAATCTTAGTCAGAGTGATTGTAATGAACTAAAGGAATGAGAAGTGGCATGTTTTTTGTTTGTTTGAAAAACTTTAAGAAATGGAAAGAAATATTGTTTCTTTTTGCTCGCAAGGGATAGCATTGCTGGAAGGGAAAACGAAATATCCTGCATCTTCCATTTTAGTGGGGTCAGGAAGAAAAAGATAATAATAAACACGCCCGTTTTAGAGAAATGTTATCAGGAGTTATAAAGAAACGCTTTGAAAAAGTGCAAGGTAGACTTACTATGCTCTCATAATTCTTTCTACTGTGCAAATGCTTTTAAACAAAAATATATTCCGTTATACCTACAACAATTCAACTCTATATGATTACACAGCCTTAATGATTACACAGGACAGCACAGGGGATGGTATACCGCCGTTTAATAAATCCGATTACATGCAATTGATTAGTTGCCTTATTTTTTCTAGCAAGTTTTTCTGTACAAGTGTTATTTGTCCGTGTAGAATTGGCCAAATTGTGAAAATATGGCAATTTTTCATTTGACAATTTCAAATATTCAAACTCTTAGCATAAAATGGCAGGGAAAGCATAGAAAGATTGAAGGACCCTTACCGTAATGGTTTCCTGGAATTTTCGAATTTCCGTTATTTAGGAAATATCACAATATTTTGCCTTTCCTGTCGAGGAAGGAGAGATATATATAGAAAGGGATCCCCTCGTTACCCTTAACGACATACAGTGTATGCGTAGAATACAGTGCTTTCTTCCCAAAATTTGCAGAAATCTCTCATGTCCCGTATGTGACCCTGCTCGGTGCCCAAAAAACTTTCGTCTATTAAATTTAATTGTATCAGAACCATTCTCAATTGTTTTATGTACTAAAAGATTTAAATTGCTGATTGGAACAGTTTATGATTAATACTTTTATATTATAATTACTTATAATTTTACAATGTGCTGACAAATCAACATTTGTATGACTCTTGCTGATAAATCAACATTGGCGGGAAAAACATTGTTGATTGTAATTGAATTGAATAGAAATCAATCCGAGATCAGCAATACAGTGTGTGAGCAAGATGGCGGATGAAAACGGTGATGAATCTCCTGATGAAGGTTATGTATTTGTGTTTGACAGAAGAAATGTGGACGGAAAGTCGGTCAAAATACCACTTGGGGGACTTTTTGATTATTCTTTGTTTAAAACACGAGTTCTGGAGGTATGCGCAAAGTTTCTTTTTCATATTTAAGAAGGAAGACATGCATATGTCTATTTAAGATGTTCTCCTGATTCTGTGAATCTTGCAATTTAGTAATATTGTGGTATAGAGTAATATTCAAGAACCAAGCAAAACGATAAAAAGAACCCAACATCGATAAATAGATATTTGAATTAAATTAAATGTTAAACTTATATTTCGCCCCGGCGATAGGGCTTCATCCCAGAATGCATGTCAAATTAAGTGCACCCCCGAGATAAGATATTTTTTGTAAAATGTCCCTCTGCATTTTAAGATTGAGGCATGACATGGGTTTGTCTATAGCTGGGGCAAATGAAGAATTAAGTTTCTTCAAGAAAGACATAATATTGATAATATTGCATTGGTTTGATAACAAAATAACTATCAATCATGCACATGTTATACAAGTTAAAATCACCTGAAACCACCTGAAATCACCTGAAATTACATGTAAATCAACTGAAACCATCTGCAAGTCTCCTGAAACCATCTGCAAATCTCCTGACAGTTAGCTAGATACTTCCCAGAATTCTGAAATTCCCAATCTGTCATACATTATCACACCTTCAGATGGTGTGATAATGTTATCAGACCTGGTTCAGATAGAGTGTTATTCATGTGCCGTATTGAATAGACTCTATTTAGTACATGATTAATACGGCATCTGAATCAATTTGGTACATCACTTTTCATTTTATTGATGCATCTATTTAGTTCGACATTGTCTGCTGTATTATTTGTCATAAGTACAGTTCTAATTCAGACACCTTATTTTTCTTGTGTCCAACTTAATGCATAAATCATGCAAGTTGTTAAAATATTTCAGTCTATTGTTTTTGAGATGGGTTGGAACAAAGCTTCTTTTGTTCATTGAATGCGAAGTTAAAATGGTTGCCATCAATGATTCAAGAATGGCTGCTTTTTGAAGCTCCAGCATGTTCTGGATGCAGTTGCTGAAGAACCAGTCTTCATTCAGTTGAAGCCTGCAACATGACCTTGTGATGCAGGTGACATTACATCTTTTGATTACATATTATAAAAACAAAGAAGCTGGGATAGATAAACAGTGCCTGAAAACAAATCATCTCCTCAATGTGGAAATTTTTGTAGTATAGCTAAAGTTCTTTGATTTCTCCTATTTCGGTTGTTAATTGTTTTAACAGTACTAATTTTAATTGGTTCATCTCACCATCTTTTCTCACTTTCATTTTCTCACTCAAAAATGCTTCATTACCATGATTTTGAGTGTAAAACAATAGCAACCAAATAAAAAGGTTTGCATTTAGTACAGCATTTGAATCGACTGCTGTATTTTCTATTTGCAGGCCTTAGTTATGCAGCAACATTTTGATTATACTCTGCATAAAAAGAATTGCTCTCATCCAATAGCTTCAATAATGAAACGTTTATTCGTTATTGAATTTCCATTTTTTCTTTGAAGTCCCTTTCTGAAACAACAAATCAATTCCTTTGATTACCGAAGTCTCATTTGGTTAAAGTTAGATCAACGGAAGCTTGTTGTTTCATATATGACCTACCCCTATCTAATTTATTTTATCAATTTTTGGAAGAGAGTTAGATGAGTCTTTATAAGTCTCTTTTTGATAAGCCATTCCTCAAACTCATTGTAATCAGTGTAGACCAGCCGCCAAGGAACATTCAGGTATTAGAAAATATACTTTTTCCATATTACAATATGAAAGCTTGATAAAATACTAAAATCAGCCTAGTTGGCAATGTTGGAAGCAATTTGAATAGCAAAAAGTGTGCGAATTGAGAACTATCGATCACACCAATGGGATTATCAGGCCTTGATATGTGCCCTATTAATCAAAACAAGGCTAGATGATTTGTGATTGTTGTTAGTGGTTTCAGGTGACTTGCAAGTGATTTGCAGGTGATTTGCAGGTGGTTTCAAGTGATTTCAGGTGATTTGCACGCGATTTTAGGTGGTTTTAAGGCAATTGCAAGTGGTTTCAGGTGATTTCAGATGATTTTAACTTTTTTAACTTACGATCAATCATGTGCATTTTCTGATCTTTGTTTTCATGTCTATGCCAAAGAAGAAGAGATATCATATCCTAAAAATGGTAATTTGTATGTGCTGCACCAAGAAAGATCATAATATTCACTGGATCAAATATACGGTTTTTGGAAGAGGATCAAAAATTGAAACTTATAAAATAATTATTTTGAGTGTAAGACCCATAACTTCTAAATACCTTTGGCCAAATTAAAAAACATCTTAGAGGTATCAGACTTAAATCAAGGGACCAGAAATGAAGCTTGTGCTTGGTAATTCCAATTGGAGTTTATCATTGGTTTACCATGTACAAAAGGATGTTTATTGTCTAATAGAATTGGGTCAGATAATGGAGTTTAGCGAATACTTTATATTAGCCCAATCTTTTCATTTACCATTATTTTAGTAATACCAACTTTGCTGAAAATGTTTTGAGGGATGCATTCTCCTGCCCCCTTTCTACTATGGCCTTGTTATTGGTGAATTAAATCCCTTAATTTATAAATGATTTAGATGTATAAGAAAAGCTTGAAAAAAACAAATTAATTTTGCAAAATAGTTTTTTCAACAGGGCAACAATATAATACATTGCTCAGCTTTCCTTATCTCTGTTTGGCTGTTTTAGGAGTTTGAAATTGGGGAAGATGAGGATTTTGTTGTTGTGAGTACCAGCAGAATACCCATATTGGATGATTTGTCATATGGTGGGTTTGGTTTATCAATTATACTGTTATGAAAAAATTTATAACCTATGATAGTGATAGTGGTATAGACTTCGATAAAAGGTGCAAGATTTTCAAAGATTTCAATTACAATGTGTGAAGAAATATATTTACGACTATCTTAGCTTTGAGGTGTTCTGATTATCAAAAGAAAGCATATGTTTTGATATTGTAAGAATTTTAGCTATCAGATTAGAAACTTTGTTGTTAAGTGAAATTAAATAACACATTGGAACTTTGAATCTGGTAAAGATGTAGAGGTGTTATGAAAGTATGAGAGGAATCACATCAAGATTTGCAAACATTCTTTCTTTTTTTTCTTCTCATCATAGCTGTTGGCCTTTATTGTTTTGAGGCATGGCATTAGGCCTAAGAATTGAAGTGGCCCATCTGTCTATTTTCCTGCTAATCTTGTAGTGTCATGCAACACAGTGTTGGCACGATGGTATTGTTGTGTTTTACTGCAGGACCAAAAGACATTTCAATTTTACAATGTCATGCTTAGTGAAATAATAGCAATGATGAATTTCTACAGCACCACAAAACTTACTTAGTTGTGCCTAATACTCAGTTGTGCCAAACAGTTTATGTCCAATTTAACATATTGACATTGATAAAAATCACCTCAGAGTTTACTTTTTCAAGAATAAATTTCTACCTATTGCCTCAACCTTTATCCTTTATGTTAAGAATAAGATATTTCAAAAACAAAAGCCTCTTGAAGGTCGTGATGCATTCTCTGTTTATTATTTTACTGGTAAAGAATCCCATGTATCATAAGCAACTTTCATAAAAGGTGCTAATAAATATTATCTGCATACCTCTCTGTTGCATTGCAGAGGAGATGATTGAAAGTGGGGACACATTGTATTTGCTTAATGATGCCAAGCAAGAACTCCTGGCCCCTGTGCAAGAGCACATTGAGTATCTACCTCACTATGACACTCTTGTTAAAAGTGGAATGTATGAATACTATGCCAGTGCTGGACAGAGCCCACTACGTGAGATATTTTTTACATTTTAAAAGGGTTCATTTATTGATTTCTGTTGATTGGAAGGGATAGTAGTTTGCTAGAATAGAGCAGCAGATGATGATGTCATAATTTGGAAGCCTTAATATGCCCTTATAATGTGTGTTATCATTTATCCTTGATCATGGATTTCATCATAATGTGTAATTTGAATTTTCGGTATTTCCCTGGTTTCAAGTTGTGAATGTGCTATTGAAAAATGAATTGCTTAATCAGGAGAAAAGCCTTCTGACACTCTAGTTTACATTCTTGCTTTGAAAAAAGTACTTAAAACTCTTTTTTGTTAAATAATTGTTCCCATATTCTTAGTAAGACCAAAGCTTCAGTCTATCCCTACTTTCCATGATCCTAGCTAGTGCTTGTGATTTTAATTTTATGATGATAAAAAGTCAAATGTTTGATAAAGGATTTGACTATGATTTATGACTGATGGTGAAAAGTTTCACACTAAATCCTTTTTCCAGTGAAATCCCTAGTAAGTTTTCAAGCTGTATTTTGTAAGATAATCTACAAAGAAGCTCAAACAATATGCAGAAATGTATCTGGACTAAAAATCGGCACTAAATGAAATTGTATCATGGTTTTGAATCAAAGACTAAACTTTACGTAAGAAGCTTCAGGGGCAAAAATAAAATTAGTCATTCAAATGCAGATCCTCAAAGAAAATGAAAAAAGCAAGGAATAAATGAGAGTCAAGAACATAATGCCTCAGCTTCAGTCATAGTTGGTACCTTTACATTTTACCTGTGACAACGAGTTTAATGCCAGAAGCCTATGGCTGCATTAATTGAATCACAAATTTTGCTATCTAATTTAGGATGAATTTATTATAAGGTTAATATCTTGCATTATTATGTCTCTAGTATTGAAACTTTATTATGGTGTAATTTTTTATGAAATTGTTGCTTTTACATAACTAAGCCAAGACCTTATTTTCCAGCATTTGCTATTGCTGAGCTGATTGACAACGCACTTGCTGCAACAGTTAGTAATGATGGCCCAAGAGAAATCAAAGTTTTCTTGGTGAGTTAAAGTAAACTATGAGTTAAAATAGTCGAGAGCTATATGCACTTTTGTATTCTCAAGTAAATGACAAGATTGATGTCTCAACATGTTTGCTTTCTGCATATTGCACTGAAATCCTCCTTTTTTGAATGTAGCCAAGCTTACCCTTCTTTGAATGCAGTTTTGCTTACCATCATGGAATATAAAAAAAGTAATGCTAGACAGGCATAACCGAGTAGTTTTTCTATCATATTGCAGTGTTTTGAAAATACGCCAGGTGACAATTTGATATGCGTTAGTGACAATGGCCGAGGGATGACACCTAAAGATCTCAACAACTGGGCCATTTATCGACTATCAAAGTTCAACAGACAGATGCAAGCAGGGTGAGAGTTTTATCAATTTAGGAAAATATTCACATCTTGCACAATTTAATATACAGGCTTGTAGGTAGGAGGGTCGTTGGATGCGAATGACACCCCCTTTCACTAAGCTGTCCCTTCTAATTGGGCATATTTGGTAGTTGTCTTCAAAGTTCGTGAATTATAGGGGAAAATCCTCATTTGAGCGGCTATGACACTCAAAGTTACATCTCAAACTTGACTGAAACCCTCACTCCATCAACCCAGAACCCCTTGTAAAATTGTCATCTTCGCCTCTAGTGTATTTAAACTGAGAAAAAGTGAAAAAATATTGTTATTTCAGCTCAATGACAAAGTCTGCAAATGCAACACTTGAGAGTCTGTTTTGCCAGAAGAATATTAGAAAGTTTAACGGAGAGGATTTATTTTAGACGCCACACGCTTAAAATATAACGAGCTTATCGTTAGAAATGTATCAGTTGAGATGCAAAGCAATTTCTCTAAACATCGTATTGATGTATTGTTTATGGTGCCGAACCATCATGGAGGCTGTCGAAGTCCGAAAGGCATGTGCATCAGTACTTCAAAAAAGTGTGTCAGCGTGATTTATTCAAGGCTCTTGACTCTTAACTCTTAGATTTTCATCTTGATTTTGCAGCAAAACTAGTCCGATGAAAAAGAAGATACGTGACGAGCCCCGTTCTTTGAACAGCGATATAAGTTACTTTGGGGTTGGAGGAAAGCAAGCCATCTTTTTCATCGGCAATGCAACAAGAGTATGTTTTACTTACACATATTGATTATTGATGAATTAGGTCCTTGATAAAACATAGATTTTCCACGAAACTTTAACTATGGGACTTTTACGTGAAAGCAAGTCCGAGACAAACTACTCTAGTTTTCAACTTTTATATTTTGGCTGCAGGGTAGACACAGCTCCTGGGCGTGCCGTTTTATTTGTCAAGTACAGTTAATTTTGTAAACAGTTCAACTAGTAATATATAACTGTATTATGTCGTTGGATAGAATATGTAAAAATATAAGCCTTGTTCAAACCAGGGCCTATCTTTCAACCGTTTTTCTCAAGGCAGTCTGTCCACTCCATATCATTTGCATATGGGTTCAACAATTAGATTAAAGGTTTCTATACAAGTCACAATATTCTGTTCCCTTTGCTTCCAATTTTGTTAAGCCGTTTTTAAAGAAGTATCTATATCGTTTTATTCTTCCTTGAGTTTAATTAATTGACTTGTTTGTATCGAGAGGGCATTTGAAACCTCCATTTTGGCTACATTTTAGTATTTTATAGAAGTGAGATTTCCTAGCACTGTGAATAGGTAGTTCAGAAAAGTAAATTTGTTTTCAGTTTTGAGTGGAATTTTTAAGCCAGCTGCTTTTGTAAGCTACATCTGCTTAAATTCATTATTGAAATTAAAGATTAATTTCTGATGATAATGTAAATGAGTACAGAGCGTTTTTGCAGCCAATCTCGAGTAATTAAGTTTTTTTATATTCATTTGCTGATCACTGTAGCCTTTTTATTCCTAGGTGATCACAAAGACTAAAGGATCGAATGATGTTCACGAGCTTTCTCTCTCAAAGGCTGATTTTGAAAGAAAGGCCAAACTGAAAGAACCAATTTACGCAGGCTTTATAAACAATCGCAGGGTAGGAGTTTCGTGTCCTGCTTTCATCGACGAAAATTCGTCCTTTTTTCCAGAATCGAAAACTTTTACGTGGAAGGCAGGGATAATTTCAGTGATTTATTGAGTTTAGGTTGATATATGGGTGTCAAGCACGTCTCGGAGAAAATCTTTATCTACACAAATTTGATTTCTTAATTGTCTGAGTTAGGGGAGCCCTTTTTAACTCCTTTTTTCGCCTCTATCTTTCTATCTATCTTTCTCAATGTAATTTCGATGTTTTGTCGCTAGCTTTCTCAAAGTAAGATTCTGATATTTGATATTATCATAATGTCAAAAATAGTGTTGTTGGTTAGTGACAAGAAAAAAAGAAGCAAATGCTTTTTGATGTGTTTCCTCATCCCTAGGCATTGTAAATGCTCATGATCATATGTACCATTGCAAAGTCAACTGTTTTATCTTTTCAGATCGGTGACTGCTCTCATATTCCGCAAAACTGCAAAACCGAGCGTGAATTCGTCGAGAGCGAAAAAAACAAGAACAGTTTTACAAATATAATCATTGATGGTATCGAGATGGAGACAGTGAAATTCTTGAGGCAGAATTTCAAATGTCTCTGTAAACAGCTGAGCCACATATACCATTATTACCTTCACGGACCAATGGGCAAAGTTCCAAAAAGAAATGCTGGAGTCCGAATCGAAAGTCCTTTCAAAAACATTGATATCAAGGTGATTCTTCGCGAAAAGGGGTCTACGTCTCACCAGGTTTCTCTGAGTGATATTGAAGATGATCTAGAGTCGTTGATAGTAGATTCAGCGGCAAGCCATTTCGAATTCAACGCCCACGTGCAAGAAGTTGGTAAAGTGGAAGGGGTCTTAAGGTACCATCCCTTTTTATACGACAAGGAAACCTTTCCTCACAGTCCAAATGTCCAGTTTACAGGTATATGCTTGTTTTTGATTACGTCATTTAGCTTTCTGTTCTGTCTTGATGTCGTATAGAGGCTAAAGCTTCAAATTGTCATTAAATTTAGAATTTCTGCTATTAAAGCAAGATATGACCAGCCTTATGTCGAAAGAGTTTATGGTATTTTAATAGACAGAGAAATACGAGAAAAATGCAAAAAAGGTAATTTCAACGATGTCAGTGCAGGAAATTCTAGGGTTAAGAGACAGGAAATTATGCCTATTTTGAGTTACCTGGTAGGAAGGACACTTGACAGCTTTTGTCAGGAGCGACGCTTTCTTAAAAAGCAGGGTTATCTGCATTATTCGAGAGCAAACCTTTCTTAGGCATCAGAAATACCTCTTTGCTGAAAAGAACGTAAGCTCGTGTCTTTGAGTTTTGATATTGCAACTTAGGCTTTTAAGTATCATAGGAAATCACAGCTATCATGCCTATCTACACTCTCAAATAAAGACAAGCGAAAACCTTCTATTCTTTCCTACATCTCCAACTCTTACATACCCATTCAACCCATGGCACCGCTCCTGCTTTTCATAATGGTTTAGTTTTCAAGTAACCCATGTTTCAAATTTGAAATATCAGAAGTTATAGGATTGACCCTCCTATGATTTGATGCGATCAGAAATTTCGTTTAACCCTTTCAAAATTGGCTTTGATTTTCAAGGGGATCAAACTGGAGGTGATGTTGAGGAGGAGCTTAGGATAGACAGTCGTAGCCCACGAGGGGACAAGCCAATTTTCGAATGTTTTTGGAACGGAAGATTGATTCCATACACCACCATCGATTAGTGAGTTTTCTCATTAGATAAAGTTCTCCATGACGGTTTGTTTTCTTTGCATCTTGCTGACGTGTAAGGAATCCTATTCCGATTTAATGCAACTTATTGCCATTATGCTGATTGAAAAACATGCAAAGGTTAAGTGAAATATTTCCATTTGTTTTTGGGTTCGTTTCTCTTGATCTAACTATCACATACACTATTACCCCCGCCATGAAGAATTCTAACGCAATAGCCTGATTTAATATTAGTGACAAAACAACAGTTTCCCTAAATATACAAAGTTATCTTTCATTTTGGTTTGAAACTGGAGACGGGATTCTTTGAAAAATGGAATCTAAACAAATCATTTTCTTGAAAAGTCATGGCCGACAGTAGGTGCAACATCTTGAGATAATGGAATAAAGCTCTCTTGCAATTATCAACAAATTTGTAAAAATCGTTTTATTTTCAGGTCATTTTTCATAATGACAATAGCATTGGTAATAAATATTTTCTGCATCTTTAGCCAAAGGTACTCCAGTTTAAAGCACCCCTAAATTCATCTTTAGTCTAGATTGGTGTGCTCCACTGAAGAAGAGGTCTCTTGTTCCGACTGAATGTTATTACAGGTGAAGTAATTATTAGAATGTTTAAACCATTTCAAAATGTAATGTTCTGCGACCACATGGCATTTCTCTTCTTATATGTGTTTTCAACAGCCTTTGCAAACATGTTCTGACACTGTGTCTGGTTTTTAAGAGTCCTTGCAATCATGTTTTGCTACTACAGCCAGTTTATAACAGCTTCTGCAAACAAGGTAGTGCACCAGATGGCTAGTTTCCTACCAGTATTTATCTCTTTCAGCTTCAATAAAGAGTTATCAAATACTATTAAATTGAGAGATGTCAGTTTGTATTGATTGTGGCTATTAGGCAATAAGCGAGTGAAACCTATACAGTGACTTAAGTCACACGAAGGCACTTCAGGGGTCTTTGGCATTTGTAACTTGCGAGCAACAGTCACAATATAAGCATTTCTCAGCTTTACTTCTTTACTAAGCTAAGCTAAATACTTATTCTCATTGAATACTTGAGCTGAATCTCGATTTTCAACTTGTGCGTTCGTCGTCGATGAATTCACTGTCAGTTTTTCACAACCAGTATATCTAATGCTTTCTAGGAAACGTTTTTAGGTTATGCAGAGCTAGTACCCCTAAAAGAAGATGGCGGATTTTATTTTGAAAGATGTACCTTGAATATGTGCTTATGATTTGATGGTTATAGTCATACTCATAGGGGCTGATATAAGTCTTGTGATGATATGCTGTCAACTGACCTATTGCAGAGGGCTCCTTGTTCTGAGATTCGGGTTACCATATGACTTCACCAAAAATCAGACTCAACTTAATGATTGCACCAAGCGTAGAGGCAGCTTAGAACCGCACACTAAAGCTTACCTCTTGTAATGTTTATAAGGCTTTGTATGTTGTGGTACAAATACCTTTCGCTATGTAACTTTGAGCCATGGAATCAAGTAATAGAGATGAGTATATTTTCTGTTATTTAAGGGTATCGGGAGCTCTGTTCACCAATGATTCATTCCAAGTGAGTACAAACAAGTTGACTTTCATGGATCTGGAGGTGAAGCTAAGGGATCGCAGTACCGTTTTCAGCAAGGTTGTCATGGGACAGGTGAGTGAATCTGGTAAACAGCACCATTTTCGATGTATTTTCTGCAGCGTCACAAAGTCCTGGCATATTTGTGTAGAGCGAGAAAATGTGAGAGATTGGCACGACCATGACAGGACTCGATCCTGCGAAAGGTTTACTCTGTTCGAGTCCTGCCTGCGCTTGTCGTTTCATACGCTCACATTTGCTCTCAGAATGTTTCAACAAAGCCTTTTCTTCCATCACTAAAATTTTTATATGTTTTGGAGACGAATCTACCTTATCATTGTTTAGGAATTTTGTGCTTTCCATTTGTCTGAACCAATGATAAATCGCATCATATGGGCATGCGCATTAGGGCTAAGGCAAAGTTAACATCTAATGGCGTTGCACAGCATTTAACCAAAACTATCCTATGTTTTGATTGTATCGTATGAATCAGCGTTTCATTCGCATTGTTCTCAAGACACCCTTTTCTTCTAAATTCTCTTCGTCTTTTGATTCGCGACTGGCTTATTCCATAAGAGCCACGTATGTTCCTATCACAGTAAGGTATCTGATGTGAATCAACGTCATTGATTTAAACTGCGCATATGCATATGATGCAACATTTTAAAGGCCAATGGTCCTTTTAACAAATGCTGGTCCGTCTGCCCACAAGTACGCAATAGCAGTTACGTTGACTGTAAACGGCAGGCGTAAAAACTGGTTGATTAGCTTTGTTTGGGAACACTTTGAGATGGTAGGAAACTTTGTGCGGAAACTTCTCAAGTTTTTCTGTCAAGCCAAAAAGATTTTCATGATTGTTTAACTGGATCCTTTGTAGGAACAGAGAGTAAACATTGGCAGAGCTTTCAACGAATGGGTTAAAAATTGTCATGAAGTCTGTGACAAACAAGTGAGTTCATTTGATACAGTGGTCAGGCCCACGTTAAGTATCTTAGAAAGAACAGCTTATTAAAATCGTGTATATTACTTTTCTTTGTTTCTTCACAAGCCAATGTTTTTTTCAAAGCTTACATTATAAGTAACACGATACTTTAACTAAAGAGCTATTCAGTAAAAATCATGTGATTTCCCCAACTGATCTTGCACAAACGCTCTGAAAGTGATTTGTATGCCCTAATCTACAGATTTATTTTTCAATTAATATCCTAAGCAATGTTTTTGATAAGCACCCTTCACTTCTTATATTGGCTATGATATTGCTTTGCAGATAAAATTTTTTGGGCTTGATGGCAATATAAAACGAACTAACCCTGGTCAGAAGCGGAGTCAAGGAATATGGTCAGTTTACAGAGGCGTCGAATGGGACGGGAAGGTATTCAAGGTCGGCCAACTGGTATGTAGCCGTGCTGTTAAATCTGTGTTTATATGGCTTCTTTCAGCTATATTAAGTATAGCTAACTGCGGAGACTTACCGAATGCCAAGCTGAAAATAGCAGGATCTTCAACGTTATCATCGTCATCATTATCACAGTGGTCATTAGAGCCATAAGTCTATCCCCTGTCCATCAACTCCAGTTGATAATATTTCAATAGAACCTGCCATCTATTTTGAAACATCTTTCCACATTCATCAGCCTGTAGTGATGTTAAAAATACAGACTCATTTAAAAAAAAGCCCACTTACCGATGAAGCACACATAACACCAAGCCTGGTTTTGATGATTTTCTATACTGGTTGCTGTTTCCCGCTATATAGCTGATACCCTCGATCGGTAAACTGAATTTTTTTATGTGTTTTCCTTTTTCCCTAAGGTACGAACGACTAGAACCGTGCCAATTGTTGTTGGTAAACTAAAGCGATTTCTCCTTGCTGGAATATATGATGAAGATGAAGTTTTTGCGACAGGCGGTCAAATGGAAATCACACAGGTATTTTTTTAAGGTTACTGAATCGACTATACAATATTAAAATCACAATCTAATCTTAACATAATCTAACGTAATCTAACCTAATCTAATCTAATCTAATCTAATCTAATCTAATCTAATCTAATCTAATCCAATCCAATCCAATCTTTTTAGTGTATACTGCCTGTTGATAAAATAAACCGTGAAAATTGGAGTTGCAACCTAGAACCGTCCACTTATATACACCAAAACGTGAACAGGGTTTTCATCATTCGACCTTTACAGGTTTAAGTACTATACTGATATTAAAAAATCATGGGGACGAGCACAGCAAGAGTTATATAAAAAGCAAATTTTAGTTTTAATTATGCATTTTTTGTGTTATATGTTATAAAAATGACCAATTAAAGCTTTAATTAATGCTGTGTTGCCATCCTCGTGTTTCAAAATCAAATACAAGACGCAAATTTCTTATCTTATGTAAACTATTACCCTGGAAAAATGACAGTGGAAGAGCTATGTGTAGATGGTGAAAGAATCAATAAAGGACAAGATGATGACCACCGTAATTGTATTTTTAAGAGTGAATTTGTGCGTTCCTATCCACAGAAGATTCCATTTTGATTTGTTTGCATTGCAGGAACCTGAATCTATATTTGGTGAACTCAAAGTTTTCCCGTTAGCCAAGCTTGATAGAGCTCCTTCTATTTCAAGTCTAAAAGAGTTTGTTCAAGCTGAGGAACTCAGGTTCGCTTTGTAATATAAACTTACCCCTTCAACCGACGGCTACTGGTACTGCAATACATGAAAAACACACTGCTTGTGTTCTGACAAAAGAGTTGGTTCTCTTTCTATTAGAATTTACAGTTTTATGAGCAGTTAGGAGCCGTTAATTGATCGAAAGCATGGTTCCAGTCAGATGAGCCATCCTTCCTTACGTTACACCAGAAACGGATCTGGATAGAATTTCTGTCTACTTTTGGTCATTCTCCAAGTTTGTTTACACGGAGGATGATGAGGGGGGGGGGGGGGGCGGTAGGGTTGATGGAAAGCTATTACGTCAAGTTTCCAGTTTTCATGTTATTTTGAAACTTAACCTGGTTTTAATTAGACCTTTTCAATGCTATATTAATTGAACCTTAATTTTGTTATTGTTAAGAAAAATGATGAATGATTAATAACTTTATGGGCTTAAAGCTTCAAATTTGTCTCACAATTTGTCTTTTTTCATAATTGTAAGTAATTGTAAATCAGCATTCAAATTATACAGATTAATGCCACCAGGGTAACGAAAATATGCAGCAACCATTTTTAATACAAGTTGTGTATATTATCAGATGCCAGGTCAAAGTTTAACACAGAAGCCATCTTTTGTGTAATAAAACCTCCATTGACATTTGAAGATTCCTGAGGGTTGCTGGTAAATGCATGTTCTCATGCTTTTATGAGTAGGTTCCGAAATACTGATAAATCCTTAATCCTCTGTTTATCTTACTGATGGCCTCGATATAGTGGTGATCTGCAACTCAATGCGTTCGATTCGTTTATTCTAGGCTTCCTGCCTCACTTTCTGTTGAGTGGCCTGAAGGAAACAAGGTCAGCGAAGACGACAAAGTGAGCGCTGGCTCAACTATCGGTAAGTAAGGTCATCCTATACACACTCTATCTAATTCAATTTCTAATTGACGAGTAATGTAACATATCTGTGTGTTTGATTGTGATAAATTCAAAGCAATATCCTTATACCACTTTTTTTATTCTTAAAATCCTTGCTTCTTTCATGCTCATAATCGCTTGGGAAATGCTCAAATGTGATGCTTTGAAAGAATTTGCCATATGGGCAGTGGTTCTTCTGTCCTGAAATTCTGTTCTTTGAGTATTTCTGAAAGAACCAATCACTGCTTATAACAACATATCTGGTTTTTACCTTTTAACAAGGAAAAGCTGTTATGTCCTTCGATTTTCTTTTTAGGGCCACTCAGAGTTGACATTCTCAATGGTAGAGGAGAATCAGTGAGTTCTATGCCTGGAGATCGTCTTAGGAAGTTGCTCGTTGAGCTCAAAATTGTACAGCTTTGTAAGAGCTTATCTTTTTCAAAGTTAAGGGTATCTTTTTTCATTTGTTGTCTTCACTCTTTTTGAAGAGTCGCCTTTCACGGGGATTCAATGGATCAAGTAGATTATCAATGGATTCAATAGTGGTTTACTAGGATTAGCTAGATTCTGTGTACGTAGTAGATTCAAAAGATTCAAGGGATTCGGATTCAAGATCTCTCCAAATGCCCCCTAAGGGAACATCTGTTATTTTCGCAGGAAAACACACTTTTTGGACCAAGAACAGCAGCCCAGAGACACTCTTAAGATTTCTAAATTTTCTCTCATGTTCAAGTACAGCTGAGTTACAGATCAATGGATATCATATTCAAACCCATTTTAAAAACATATTTCACACATTGATTTGTGATTTTTTTTAAGGAGGGTCACCCTTCTGTATAAGCTGATTTTAACAATGTTTCAAAGTTAGACACATATTCGCAGACAAAAGGCTAATACACACACTACTTTAGTCTAAATTAGATCAATTTAATTAAATTTTTGCAAACTATTTATTTGACTATGATTAACACTAACGAAGAAAAACATTCCATGTAATCCATCCCAAGATTATTAGAATCAACAATAAAAGAACAGAAACCGTAGTCCGTAAATGTATTATTTATTCCATTAAGAGTGGTACCTGCATGATAAAGCTTTTGCACAATTCGAAATTTCCTTCTTAATTTTTAACTGTTGTTTTTTTTGCAGCCGAGACCAAAGGTGAAAAGACACTCGTGCAACACACCTGCTCACACGGAGGAAAAAGTTGGCCCTATTGGTTTCACAAAATGGGTAATTCTTTTACCCTCATAAATCCTTCAACTATCCACTGGAAACTCTATCCACTTTTATTTGCAACTATACTTAATTTTTTTATAGATGTATTAATAGCTCGTTCAAAATTATTAATATTTTCACCTTAAAGACTGCATAAGGAAGTTGTAGCATTTGAAAATAGAAATCTGAAAATAGGTTTCTTGGAAACTATGAAGCCATACTGATTGAGTTGCGCACTGGTATTTTTAATCAATTTGAGACAGCTAGTGGCTCCCTCTACTCTGAATGCAGGTTCAGGATATTTGTACCGGACATCTAACACTAACGGACACCTTCCAATAACGGACATCTCTAAACAGTGAAATTTTTTTAGAAAAATGTCTTTCTCTTTTCCATATGTATAAATGTTTCTCTGCAACTCTAGTCAAACAAACGATTGCAAAGATTAAAAATATTATTTTCTAAGCAAGCCTAAAAAGAGTTTATTTCAAACTACAACAGGACCTCTCTGAAAAACACTTCGGTGATTAGAGCTTCCTGTATAGACATTGTCATTATAATTATTATTATTATCATTACAGAATTCTAACATGCTAATACTTAATTATTGGTATGCTGTGCATTTTCGATGGTTCATATTTGATTAAAAATCTAGTTTTGTTAACTTTTCTAACCTTTATTTTGCCGCTCTAGCTAGTTAGGCCCCTTCTTTACTTGCGTGGCAGAGAATATGTATTTTTATCGTTATCACCTTTGCATGTATGCTCGTGTTCTGTGAATAAATATGAATTGAATTGAACCATTTCATCCCACTGTCAACATTGAACTCTGTACATATCTAGCTACTTGATTCTTTGTTGTAGAGAACTTAAAAGATGTTGGCTATCATGTTATCCAGCTTCGTACACAGTTATCCGATAATACTTCGACGCAGATAAAGTCACTCCCGTCCTTGGATATCAAGTTTTCTATAATAGAAGCGCAACCAGATAAGTTCACTGTTGGCTTGCTGGAGACGCCATTGAGGATTGGGTTACCGTTTCAGGTAATAATAATCATTTTGCACTGGGCATAGTGCAGCAATGCAGTTCACCGAATGATACAGAAAGAAGTAAATGTTTTCTTAAGACTTGTTTCTAGAGATCGGATGGAGGCAGTTAAAAAATGATTTCACTTCAGATATTGGCAAACAATGTTAAATTGACTGGTTAAAGTTTATTTGAGAACACAAACTTTCGTGTGCCAGTTCTCGTATGCACGCTGTTGCTCGCCATTTCTGTTAATCTTTACAAAGTTGATTTAGCGATTTTTAAGTTGATTTCGTCGGTAGAGAGTTGTTTTTGGGGATATTACATTACATTTGCTTCTTAGGATCTAAAAATCAAAGGATGCCCATTATTTATGATGCTAGAGTTGTAAACCACTCTGATCTAACCCTGCCTATCAGTAATATTGATAAGGTCATCTTTATAATCCTTAAGTTCGCCTGTATGTATTTCTTGAAGTAGCCTTTTTGCAAATTTCTGTCTCATTGTAGATCTGGCACTATCATTTTTATTTTTGTGAACTTGTATGTTTACCTAACACTTGAAAGTACCTTGTTTAATACTTAAAAAGCACCCGTCTTATCTACGTTGACTAATTAATTGACTTTGTTATCAGTAATCCCGTCACCAACAGTTATCTGAAGTCAAAGTCAGACTGAAATGATTCTGCTCCTTCAACCAGCGTAGAATACAGACCACTTGTACATTCATTTCGATGCTCTGTCTACTGTGTTTTATTTCTGAACACTAGAAAGCAACATCTGTTTCTTAAACATGAATGCGTCTTGTCAAGCAGCGTGTTTGATGTGTCAACGAATTTTCTTTTTTCTCAGATCCCATTACAACTACAAGATAAATTTGGAAATGTTGTCAAACCAAGCCAAAACTTTGGTGAACCGATTTTAACATCAAGGTAAATTTTCTAGAACTTCTTCCATATCCCCCGTTTCCCCTGACCACATTCGATGTTTGCAGATTTTGCCATTTATACAAGATATTATACATGATACAAGAAGCCTGGTCAAAGAGTCTTGAGAAGAACAATAACTGCGCCTTTTGTGTTCTTTACTGCTTTAGAAATATATAACTATTTGGATGTTGGTTACAGTTGGGAGCACGTTGTTACATTATTCAGGCACAAGTTTGACTTTGACATTTACTCTGATCTTGAGAATGCATGCAACGGTCTCAACGCACGTTCCTTGCATTCTCCAAGCATGGCTGTAGCTATCCCATTTGGTTTTGTGATGCACCAAATACATGTGAGGAAGCTATTTTTAATATTGCTACACCATTACCATTACCTTTTCTTGGAGAAATATCATGTCTGATTTCCCATTTTACTCTCAGATTGATTTGAGTTTGTGGCATCATAGCAATTCAAAAAAACTTCTTTTTGTTGAAATCGTTCTTTGCAGTGGTATGAACTTCACTTCAAGCGGGACTTGTTCCCGAGGTACTTCCCTTGTTATCAGAGATGTCGTTGCTATGGGAGCAATACCGTCAACTGGAGGGAAGGTAAGTGGACAAGAGCTTGAAGTACATTATGCTGCCATTGTTCCTGACCTGCAAGGAGGCATCCAACTGATTTAATTATTTTCTAAAAATTTGTAAATTAAGCCACAAAAATCAATTTAACCTTGGACTTTCGACGTTTTATTGTATCCCTAAAGACCCTTGCGCAACCGGCGTGCTTAGCGGCAGCTAGCTTTGAAAATTGAATGTGTTTTGCATTTTCATGCAATGCGATATTAGGCCGATTTCGAAAATATAGGCGCAAAGCATGTCGGTTTTGCAAGAGCCTTTAAGCTAACAATCGATATGACAGGTCACCCCACTTTTGGCCTCTTTCAGATGATCCTTGAACTGACTTTTGAGATGATATTTGGTTAAATGTGCGATACTGAAACGATTTTCGGATCAAACTTCAATGTATCATTTTACCCGACCCTTGGCATATGGTGTCTTTATATGAGATTGTGGCGCCCTTGATACCATTAATTGGGCATTTCATCTGACCTCTGGTGTGATATTTGACCTGACCTTTGAGCCGACCTTCCCTATTCTGAATTCTGTCATGGTGTAATTGTTCATAAATTCTTATCTTTGAACCATTCTTAAAGTTAACTCTTTTGACCCGACCCTATACTGCTTTCAATTGTGGTAATCCCTAATGCTACCTATGAAAGCTAGTTGACAATGCAAGAAATTCATTGCTTTCTTTTTGCAGGATTTCAACCTGATGATTCGTTTTTCTGGTCTGAAGGGAAAATCCCAATCAATACGAATTCGGTTGCTACCTGGTAATCTTTTTCGTCTATTCTATCTTTTGTAGTTTGATCCGTTGGCCAGTGCTATTATGCTCGTGTGTTAGCCTTCTTGATTGACAAGTTCTGGTATTAACTTGAATAGTACTCTAGCAAGGAATAAGGATTTTATCTTTGTTATATCTAGAAATCTTCGAAAAGCGTTTTATGACGAATGCACGCAAGAGTAGTAAGTTCCCTTTCTTTCTTTTCAGGTCTACCAAGTCTAATCGAGGTAACTGAAGGTCAAATTGTTGTGGAAAACGGTGAAAAATTCCAGTTAGATGTTGCTGTGAAAGACATAGCCGGGAATTTGACGTCACAGCCAAGAATGAATGTCTGTTGCAAGGTAAGCTGCGCAAAACTATCTTTGTTGCCATGACTTTACTTCGGTCATCATCATCATCATCATCATCATTATCACCATTATCGTCATCGTTGCAATCGTCATCATAATCGCAGCAATTTGTATTGAATTCTTATTTTGCAAGATTCTGACAAGAGTTAAATCTTGCTTTCTCTTTTAGCTGTATGGAATTCCAAACCTCCCTGTGATTATATGCGACTGCAGCTCAACAGGGAAAGGTACCTTGACCAGCCCACAATTAAAAGTCAAACAAACGGACAGTCAACAGAAAATTATTGCCAGGATCGACATGCAGGTAAATTTGTAAATAGTTTCCTTTTGAAATGAATAAATGTAGAAAATTACTTTTCTAGATATTTTTTCTCAATTATACCTCAGCTTTTCTTTTGAATTGAAGTCGAACTCAAAGTTCTTTAGAAATAGGAGCAATAAACTGTAGTTTTACTTAGCCCGTTCAAAGTTTTCTGCCTTGAGCCAGATTTAGCCTGTCTGCTTTGACAATGTTTTCTATCTTTGAGAAATAGACAGTAACACCGGACAGTAATAGATAGAATTATTGGACAGTAACTTCGTACGTTCCCTTCGGACAGTAACGGGCAGTAACTCCGGTCCTAGAAATTTCTGCTTTCCAAATGTTCCATTATAATCTACCGTTTATTTGTTTAATCTCCGTTAATTTTATTTGTAAACTACATTTATATATCACTTAATAATACTGTAATATATGCGATCCAAAAAGTATGGACTTATCTAGCTTTGGCCGTTAGCAAGAAGGTATAGTTAAAAAGTAATAGTAATAATAATAGTAAAACGTTACGTAACAGCAAAACGTAACGTAACAGCAAAACTTAACGTAACAGCAAAACTTAACGTAACAGCAAAACGTAACGTAACAGCAAAACTTAACGTAACAGCAAAACTTAACGTAACAGCAAAACTCAACGTAACAGCAAAACTTAACGTAACAGCAAAACTTAACGTAACAGCAAAACGTAACGTAACAGTAAAACTTAACGTAACAGCAAAACGTAACGTAACAGCAAAACTCAACGTAACAGCAAAACGTAACATAACAGAAAAACTTAACGTAACAGCAAAACTTAACATAACAGCAAAACTTAACGTAACAGCAAAACTTAACGTAACAGCAAAACGTAACGTAACAGCAAAACGTAACGTAACAGCAAAACTTAACGTAACAGCAAAACGTAACGTAACAGCAAAACTTAGCGTAACAGCAAAACAAGATTTGAGTAATATTTTTTTCAAGTAGAACAGGATAATATGGATAGTGACTTAAGTTTTATTTGTCTTTGATTTCATAAATTTGATATTTTGAGAACATTTGTTGTCTAAGTGATAATCTGGTTTAAGGGGCTTATATCTTATTTTGCTCCCTTACTATGCACCATTAATCATTAAACGCTCAGTCAGTTGTTTTTCTGGAGGTTATTTATTTAACGGGTTCAATTGTGAATCTCTTTCGTTATTCCTCACAGCATTATAGAAACGTTTCGATGACCAGCCGAGAGATCGTTGTTAAACCAAGTACCAAAGCCTCGAGGTTCGATGTTTTTTACACTCCGCCAGGAAGTGAGAAACAAGTGAAGATTGAAAACAACCAAGAGATTCAATGTTGTGCTGGAGATGTTGTTCAAGGCCTTTGTATGTACTTTTGCTTTTTCCATACGGTATTCGTAGATGAATTTAACTTAGAGCTATAAACAAGGTATATTTTCTCGACATGATGAATATGTGTGTTGATTCTATCATTCTTGCGCATGCTTTCTGATCCCCAAGGCCTGGCTAATTGATTAGAAGATTTATCTGGTTCGTAGACCCCACCCCCCCACCCCCCACGTTTCAAGTTTGTCCTTGCTGGGTGGACCTGCTCTTCGTTTTAATGCAACTTCTTATTCAAGAATTATCTTTTTTATTAACTGAAATCATTTGCAAATCTACATTTTTTTTGCTAGCGTTCATACTGTTTGACGAAGGCAATCGGCAGCTAAGCATTGATTCAAACGTGACCTCAAAATTAAAGGTATACTTGATCAACTATGTGTAAAATAACTTAAAAATCTTTGCAGATATCATCGATTTTCTACCAGAGAAACTTAACATTGAAGTAGAGAAGAAACACAAGACAACATACTGGTGTACCACCAAGTGTGAAATATACCTGTATGAGCATTGCTTTCGTGTTGTGATTCACCCTAGCATTGGTTTAATGGTCACATTTTTCTTTCAAGTTAACATTTTTATTTCAAATTCAGGTGAACTGGGTTGGGAGACTGAACAAAGAAGAAGTTAAGCGAGGCAGACTCCCAAATATTAAGGTTACTTGAAAATTTTTGTAATTACTGTTTCTTGTTAATAAATTTGTATATGTTGCTCTATCTCCCGTATATCTTATGTTTTCAATGTTAGTGTAAATCTGTTCGACCTTTAGGCGCCTACTGTAGTTGATGACGTCAAACGATCTGCTTCTTAGCTTGCAGAATTTTTGCATATTTTTGTAAAGCTTCATAGATTTCCATAATCCTTTTGTTAACCTACAGGCCCCTACTGCAGTCGATGACATCAAATATTGTCAAGTGTCCTTCAGCGTTGGTGATAACACCGTAGAGCATGTTTTCCATTTAAAGTAAGTTTAGCGTATTTTTAACGCTTTCTAGTGTGCTAGCATGTTCTTCCATCGATGATGAAGCACTTCTATTGACTATGGATGAAGCAACTCGTTAAGCTGTGGCTTAACAGGATGCGTTGTCTCTAGAGGGGTTCGGCTTGTTGGAACGTGTTATCTTTAGCATTTTTGATGTATCTAGGCAGCTGACGGAAACTCATCTCCGGCATTTCCGCTATACTGATGCCTCATTGTAGCTAAATGTAGAAAGAAATAAAGAGTTGGGATTCGCAATCCTCTTCCCTACCTCCTCCAAGCTCATGTTAATAAATCTACTTAAAAAACATACGTCCTGAATGGCTGATTTTAAACTATATATAGCATGCGGGTATACCAACTGGCATTTATCATAGCACCACAGCTTCGTCTAGTAATGTAAGCAGTCTTTTGTTACTGCCAAAGCCATCCTTGTCATCTAATTCAAGTTGTCCCTTGGCCTAAGATACGTAATAGAGACACCATTTTGATAATATCTCCTGATTTCTAAGATTATATGTTGAAATGTAAACTTCTTAACACTGCTTCTGAATCTTTCGTAAGATCAACCCATGCTGCCCCATCGACACTGAAGTCTTCCTGCGCCAATGTGAAGTTCAAAATGTACGAAAAATTATCAGCAGACATCGTAGTCTCTCTTTATGATGTTTACGGAAATATGATTAAACTGGTGAGTTGCTCTTTGTCTTTATTGGTATTTATGTGAAAATTAACTGTTTGAGCGATCTGCCATAAAGTGCTTGATGGCAGAAGCAGTATACGCTTTTCTATAAGGCAACCACATGTGTAAGAACAATTAGATGTGCGTTTTGGAGATGAGGTCGGCTTGCCATTCCTCGCTGCCTTGTGTCTCTCTATTTTGATGCTGGATTTACAGTAGGCAAGCACACCATTCAAGCGATCGATGCATATTGCCATTTCTTTCCTTTGAACGTATAGTGTTTATTTTATTTGGAACATGTAAACTAAGAGTCCAAAAGAGAATTATTTACAGCAAATTCTCAAAGGCATAGCGAATTAAGAACAAAGATGGACGCTGAGGTGCTGACATCATTGCCTTGTACTTTAGTAGTCAAACTCATTTTTTCCATCATGGGTGCTTACTTAAAATTGCCAAGGAGCTGTAGGGAGGTGTAAGTGTCAGTTGAAAGGCAAGTAGTCCATTTGGCCTCTTGCTTTTATTGACAAAATACTTAAGGTTTGACAGCATCTGAGCTACCATCCATTGCAAGAATTGTTCAAAGATTCGACTGCAGGAAACATTTTTGAACATAGTGTCGTTTTTAGAAATGTCTTCTATAGGGAGGTCGCCATTATCTAGAATAGCTTTTTGATGTAGTTTTCATTATTGGTTTGTGTTTTTCAAAATTGTTCGTAAAAATCATTCTCTTTTAGGATCCTAAAGATTTTACAGATTTCTCTGTATCTGGCGAAGGACTCATGCATTCATTCGTGTCTTTCATCTCACAGGCAGGAAATTTGAATTATTAAACACGTTTAGATTTCTGTTCTATGTTTTGATGATCGTATACCCAGAAATAGAAGATCATGTCATGTGTCATCTCTAGACGCAATACTATTATCATTAGCTGGCCAGTTCTATTCCAAATCTACTGAAGATGTCTTTTTGATATATGTTCTTCTTGCTGTTTGTTATGTAGTACTCTTCCAAATTCGTGGTATTGTTGGTATGCAATTGAAATGCTACTTTTGGAACTGAAATGATTTCATTTTAAAAAAAAATACTGCCATTGCAATATTTATGAATTTTAAGCTAGTGAAAGTCAGAAAGGGTTCACACCCTGGGATGGGGCAGGTTTTCAAAGAACAATGCTAGGCTAGATGTCGATGAGATTTGTCAACAGTACGATGAGATTTTGCAGTTTCCAGGAAATTGTACTTTTTCCGTAGCTTTCTTTCGTCTTCTCTGTTACTTAAAACTTCATCCTTGTAGGTTTTGTTTTTTACTACATTTTAAGGTGTTAAGGTGTTAGTATTTTTAGTAGTTCAGATTCCATTTTGCAAGAGCATATCGACAATGAGAACCTATTGCATTTCTATGTGTGAAACATTTTTGCTGATCATTGCTACTGACCATTGTGTAAACATGTTTAAATATGATCCAAATATTTCTATTATGAATACTATGAATGGTTGATATTACTTTAACTTTATCCTTTCGACCCTCTCCTTTTCAGGGATTTTTCAACATAAGAAATGTCAGCTTTGAAGCTGGTATGCCAGGTCCCCGAGAAGTCACCATCAAAATGAAAGAGATTGTATGCTACCAAAGGCTTGAAATGCTGCCAGGTGCTGCATCAAATTTAGTTCTCGTCGATTTGGACAATGAAGAGGTAATCTTTTGCTTTTTCATTGACAAATAAAACATACAAAGTATTCCTATATAAAGTTATGTACCTCTAATTGGCAGTCCTAGAGCGATGCCATCGATCATTCAATGAAGCAAGATAAATGTTAGAATTTGTCAGTTAATAACAATTTTATTTTGTATTTTATCCCGCAGCCTGTAGAAATATTGAATGGCAGTGAATTTCCTAAGCCATTGACAATTCAGCTGATAGATTCTGCTGGTAACTTGGCCAAAGAGAAGAACGTGAAATGTTTGTTAGCCAGGGATTCCGGAATCAAAGTAAGTGATCATCATGTAAATGGGCGTATCCCGTATTCACAATGGCTTGCTTGTTCACCTCATTACTAAAAGCAACGCCGTCGTGTTTAATACGTGAATATCAACGTCATTTTTGTCCTCATTGCTTTACTGTTTGTGGCCATAGCTAGCCATTTTTCTTTGATAGAGTACGGGAAAGAGACTATCTGTCCTTCCTCCAGATAATACCTTTGTAAATCTAATTTTGAGACCTAACACTATCTTTGAGAACCAGAGTCCAGAAAACATTACTATTCCACTACTGAGAGCCGGAGGAAGGTTATCCAACGATGCAGCAGCTTTGAGTCAGGCCAATGCACAACGTCATGAGAGTATATAAAGAGGGGGATTAACTGAAGTAACTTTTCTTTATTTCTGATAAGGCGTGAAGATCAAATCATATATGGTTTTACTTAAATTCCATTTCAAAGATATTCAATTTTGAGGAAAGTTTATACGAGGAAAGTTTTTGAGGAAGGCAAATTGGGCAAAATCTGGTCGGGAGGAAGGTTTGGACGTTTTCTGAACTCTGCTGAAAACCTTTCTTAGAAAACAGATATAACAAAACAGATTCTGGGCGTGGCACTTTAATTTATTTTCGTCTTGTGCCCGCCATGTTTATGGGATCCATCCTCTGAATTCGCAAACGGTTGCCAAATGATGTTTATCAACTACCAAAAGTTGCGGGCCTCATCTCTGTCGTATCTTTGTATTTTCCTCCATTTTATCTTCTGGCATTGTTTGTTTTCATTAGATTTCTGGTACTTTGTAGTATTTTTCGATTACTGGTTGGCTGGCTGACCTTTTGCTAGATTTTTCCAATTTCAAATTCAAGTGGCATTATCTTTTCTAGCCTGAATTTTTTATAGAGATATAGCTAAATATCTTAGTTGTTGTATAATCCATAAATTTCACTCAGTCGTATATTTGAAAATGATGAAAGTTCTGATTGATTTTCTCCAATTCAGCTAACTCCTCCGCCACCACAACAAAGAACTGATGCCAATGGACAAGCTACTTTCAACCAGTTTTCGATCAGTGCTGAACGGTATGTAAAAGGCATCTGTCAAAAAAATGCACCTACATTAAGTTCAAAAATTTTCAGCGGATAACATTTCGGGCAATTGAATTCGGCGAAAATGTTTTCGGACATATTTTTGGCATTTCGTGCAAATCAATTTTCTGCCAATTGTTGACTTATTTACAGGTTATTGATTCACATATATTTTAAAGATCATTTTTAAACTTTTTGAGAAACTTGTAAGAAACCCTGAGTACTGAAAATGTGATTATGTTAAGAACTTTCAGTACAAAAACATTCAATGGCGGTGACTTTTTGATAGACTTTGAGAACGACGATGTTATTTGCTTGAGAACAAATGGTATTTCTATTAGCTGGGAATTACAACTGTTTCAACAAAATTACAACAAAAATTTTGCAGATCTTCTCATGTTTAAAGATTGAGACCTTTTGATTGGTTTTATTTTGTAATGGAAAAACAGATTCAGAGATCCTTTGATTTTTGTTGTTTTTGTCAATTGACATTGCAGATGATCAATTTAGAGTAACGTTTTTGGCGTGACAAGCTTTTGAACAACTATCAACTTCGTACAAATACATTTTCAGATATGTCTCTGTCCCTCAAGTTTGTCACGCTGAAAACTTTTGCTCTTAATGTAATACATTATCAATCACAGCATAGTGGTCTGTTGAGAACCTACGCTTAGCCCTTACGGTATCTCTCACCGCTGAGCCAATCATAGCCTCAGACAGTGTAAACAAACTTTTAGGCCTAGCTAAAAAATTTGCCTTTTTACCATTCTTTATTTGCAAAACAACCTAAGAATTATCGCAGCAAAGTTTATATATGGTAATCCACAGCCCAAGTCACATTACCCACAACCTTTCAGTGAAAAATGACATCAAAATTCGTGTTGTATAAACAAGCGTTGCAAACCTCACTGCTAGAAACTGTACTTTAAGAGGAGTCTAAAATGAGCGTCAAAGCTTTAACATCAAAGCTTGTTTTTAAAGAAATATGATAGATAACGCAACAGTTCTTTAGTACAGCTTACGCAACAAAATAAGATATTTCTTCTTCTTAAATCATCAAAATTATACATTCCACAGGAATATCATTCATTTGAAGCTTTTCAAAAATACAATGCAATTCAGACTAGGGAAAGTTTATGATCCCAACTTTTCAAGCAAGACTTGTTGTTGACATAAACGATATGGACTTTAGCATACGTGACTTATTTATGATATTTTGACAAATTGGGTTAAACGATAAGGGGTTTTTTACAGGAATTATTTCAATTTCTTCTTTTCATGCGCTACCTCATTTTTAATGTTTGAATTTTTTATGATTCTCAGGGGTTTGTATCAGTTAGTTCCCAAAGCCATGTTGCCTTCAGGAACAAAGGAAGGACCGGTTGTGCTCGTTAGGTAAATCTCTATGTTTTTCTTAAATCTTGATACTAATAATCTAACAGGCCTCTCCATTGATATTTTGAAATGGATCGACGTTGAAGTACTTGTTTTAACTTGCTAAAATGTTACAGAAATAATGACTTTGTGACCGAGACGAAGAAATTAATGAAATTTATGTTGTTTTGTGACTTAAGATGTTTCCTTACAAGAAAGCTTTTATTTCAGCGTTGCACCTGATCGAAATAAGCCGGTTCATGTGGTTGCAAAATTTGATGAAACTGCTGCTTTCATTGCCGGAGAAAAATTTCCAGGTAAGAAAAAGGGTTTTTGATTGTATTACAAAATTACACAGAGTCAGTTGGCAAGACACTGCATCCTGCTTTGTATGTTAAAATCCCCCTTAGCATATGAATTTTTCTATAAATTTCTGCCTTAAATTTCAATATAAATTTCAGAATCTCCGTCTCCACTGGATTGAATGGGTCCATATTAAATGATCTCTAACCTTGCTGTAACGATGCATAGAAGATCGTTGTTTTTGAAGGGCTCGAAAGAACAAGAATGATTCCTGCTGCCATGTTTTGCTATGCCTACTCTCAGCACTCTTTCCATTCTCTTCACTACCCTCAACTCTCCCCGCCTCCCCCCTAAACAATATCGATATATGTTAGTCTAAAGTATGCTGTAAGTATTAATTTTCCTAACTTCAAACACTATAATTGTGTTGATAAGGCCAGTAAAGCTTATGTTAAAGAGATCTATTTCACAAACCTTTACACTGTCAAACCTGTCTTATATTAATTTTTAAAATTCCCGGTTAGTGCCTCCATCTTCATTTTATCGTTACATATTGCTACATTTATTTCTGCCAGAGAGATTGAGTAACGATTCACTCCTTTTTTATAAACTTCAGTTTCTTTTTTGGTTGAATTATTGAGCTTCAAAAACCTAATACACCAGACAACTGTTCACGAAGAACTCTTAGGTACCTCTCCAGGCATGCAAACAAATTCAATGTTAAACTGAAAACAATCTCCTGACATCTATTCTCATTGCCCTGTTAGTTGTTGAAGCCTACGTAATCGCTGAAGATCAGAACCCGTTGACTACGATCAAGAAGAAAGATCTTGTCCTGAAAATCTTTAGCAGTAAAAGCGGAAAGTCATCTGATTCCATGTCAAATGTGAGTTATTTTTTGTAAAAAGATTATATTGTTTTATTTGCACTCTCATCTTATATTTATATCTAATATCTTAACTCGACTGATGATAATATCTTAACTCGACTGATGATTGTCAGATCTTACAGGCTCAAACTGGTTTTTAACAGTGAATTGTAACCCTATATAAATTGTAACCGTGTGATTTATTGAAGTTTTTTTGCACGGATTGGCAGATGCTTCCTATTTTTAACTCAAAATCGTCAAATTTTTTCTTGAAATCTTGAGATCGACAAATTTTTTCTTGCTTGGACCGCAGAAAAGACATCAAATCATTTCTGTGATACAACTAGCAGAACAGCCAACTGCTCTATATAAGTTGAGCCTATCGAGCATTTGAATGCTGTTGACAATGGTCCTTTCCTTTGAATTTTTAAAAAGAGAATGCAGTATCCTGCTACTGCTTGCTCTAAAGCAACCAAATTGATAATTTTGATTTTTAAAGTTATATATATTTTAATATATATATATATATAAAATATTTTTAAAGTTTTTCCTTTGCTCAATCTGAGGAGTATCAGATGAAAAGCATTGTTTCGAAGCCATTATTTAGAAACCATATATAAGTTCTAAATGCCTACATTTTCTTGTTTAGCTTCTTTTTTGTTAGTATTTATTTGCTTTGTTCAACCGTGCCAGTTTCATTTGCACTAATGCAAAATTCTTTTCCCTAAAGGCTCCAGTTTTCACCTGCACATCTGGTTCTTTGAACAGCCCAAAGAACCATTTCTTCTTCAGGTTGGTGCATTTCTTTATTGTATTACGTCACTGCAGGAAGTTGATATGGTATCAAAATCTCTTTTTGTTAAAAGTACTTTTAGCAACATCACTTCTCTTGCAAGTCGTTATCGTAGTGACCATGTTAGTCACATTTTAAACGGTGCAACCTTGACTGCACTCTCTAGATTTAAGGGTTGCACGGGTTTACTGTATGTATGTCTACTAAACTGAGTCAGATAAGCATCATGCCATGAAGAATTCATATTTATCCAAAATCTATTAAGGTATCACTGCAAACCTTACTTTCCGAATTCTGTAAACCCTGTTCTTAGGTGCGAGGTGGGCGCAGTTGTTAGAGGCGCTGACTGCAGACCCAAGGGTCCGTGTTTCTAGTCCCTGGCATGACCAAACTTTCACCCAGAGTGGGGAGAGTCGCCAGCTCTCTGTTATTCCAGGCGTAGGAATCGCGAGGTGTGGTCACATCGAGAGGAAGGACCAGGACACTGCTCGATAAGCATAGTTTCTCAATGTCTTTAAACTAGCTATCTTCGGATGCTAGGTAACAAAATACAAGGAAAGGATTTGATTGTATACTCTGAATTGCATACGGTATGGGAAGTTTTTTGTGTATTATTTTCATTCGTGTTTGTCATTAAGCACATTAATCAACGGTCTTCGTCTTTTGCTCTTGCCTTTAGAGAGATTGTCTGCCCAGAAAAAGCTGGCCAATACAATTTGGTTGTCCAGTATATCGTTGACAATACGGTAATACTTGCTTCTAGAAAGGTATGTAAACATTAATTTTAATTTATATACTAGTCTCTCGAAATGAATAATTATACAAGTATAATTATTCAGCAAAACCTTTGCTTGGGGCAAATTTTTTTCAAAATATTTTCAGCAGATCGTCCGTTGTAATTATATGTGAACGTTTGTTAAACTTCCTTAGTCCTGGTTTTTCAGAATGACGATTTGTTAAATTTTTTTATGTAGTAATCTTGGCTACTAAAATCATAATTTGCGCTTTTGACCATAATCATTCAAACGATAGCTTGTTAAATTATGCATTTGATGAAACCAGGGTGAATGTCACTGTTAAGAAATACCTCTCGTGATTCATAATACCCAAAAATATTAGTGTATAGCCTCTTGTAAACACCAGGTGCATAAATATATCCTAAATCATTGAATATTTAGGCATTTCATCAACATTTGTGTATTCTTTCCACGATTACAGTTCACAATCACTGTGAATCCAAATGAGGCAGTGAAATTGGTTCCAGTTTCTGTCCCTGCGACGCCAACTGTCACAAATAACAGCAAATCAGCTAGCAGGCAGTTGGTGAGGAAACTCAAGTTCCAGCTCAAGGTGTTTACCATTCTTTGTTGCAAAGTTTCAGACAGATCTTGGTTTTTCTTATCTTGTAGCATGTATGGCCAATACTGTTTTTGACCATTGAACTGACCTCTCTGATAAAAAGGGTTAATCAGAATAGGCCATGAGAGATTAGGCAGGGTACTTTTATCAGATTTCTTTACATAGTTATTCGGGCGTTTATTGTTTAAAGATTCGTGTCTTTAGTATAATACTCAAGGATTTAGATTATTTTGCATGCAATAGCAGTCTTTTTGTGTGATATTTCGTTATTCTAGTCTCAGCGTTACGTTGACTTTTCTATTATGAAGTATAGTTGTGCTCTAATTTTGCTAAACCCAATGTCAAATCTGGTTATACTTTCAGGATAAATTTGGTAACACTGCCGGTACAGAGATAAAGGGACATCTGAAAGTGAATGTCGAGGCTGGAGACAAGGAACAGGTGCCGATGTTACAAAATGGAGAAACGAGTGCCTCATTTCAGTTAGAAAAGGGAAGTTCTAGCATTGAATCGTTATTGCTTCAATCTGGTTCGAAAGGTGTCGATGGGAAAGAATATGTGCTGTCTTTTGAGGCTGTGCTTGGCGATTCAGAGATAACCAAAATAGAGCCATTTAAATTGTCATTTCTTTTCTATGATGGTAAGTATACTTTTTATGATTGTCTAAAAATTAAATCATCAGAAATCATGATTGCTATCGGTTGTCATCGCCGTTATCATCATTCAATAAAGTCAATAATCTTCACGATAATCAATCAATTTTTAGCATCATCGTCATCAATCATGATTACCATGGATCATGATTACCGTCGATCATTATCATCAATCATTGTCAATCGTCTATTTTATCAATCATTATCATTATTGCTATTATTATCATCATCATCAGCAATCATCAGCATCATGATTAATCAATCCTCAGCATTTTCATAATCACTACGCCAACACCGATCACGAATCAATAGCCATCAAGACAATCACGATGTATCGATTAAGGTTTTGAGTTAGCATGTTTTATTTTCTAAATGTTAACTATTTTACCAAACAGATGTTGCAAAACAAGCAGAAATGGCCGAGATCACCAAGGACAGAGATCGACTCACTGAAAGTATTGATGCATACCGATTTCTTTTTGATGCTTTGTCGCAACTTTACAAAGAGATACAAGGTTAGTTTGTTTTATTTGCTTTTTAGATATGGCTTTCGTTTTCATTTCGCCTATCAAAAGATTTTTATGCCTCAAAGCCTTGATATTAAAATTCCACTTAACTACCAGTTAATGGTGAACAGAAGTAAACGTTCAAAAATCAAAATTCAAAAACCTGTTATCTTTAACTTATGCAGAGAAATATTTGTTTCTTTGAGTTGAACTTTTAAATATGGAATTAAACTTCCACAATTATACTTGGATTTATTCATGGTTGAAAACAAGTGATCACACGCCCACTCGTTGGATTAACTAAGATTGTAATCCCGGGGTTGAAAGACAAATCGCGCGGGTTGTTGGAGTATATATCTTATAGAACCGTCTTTTCAATACAGGGATCGAGAAAAGGATCCGACTGCAGCGTAAATTTGACTGGGGTTGATTGTGGGCAATTCAACACCCTATCAAAGATTTTTGTTATCCAAAAACTTTATTTCAAAATATGCTTTTGCACCCCTTACATTCATCTTAATCGGCCCGCCTCTGCAATTTTATTTCATTACCATCATTTTCTTTACAGCTGCGTTGCGAGAAGCTACTGCGGAGGAGAGAAACTTGAAAAATGAACTTCGAGTGAAAAATTTCAACAACGTGAATTCGCTGAAAACAGTCAGTATTTCAATTCAGTTGAGAGTTTTTTGCAACATTTTTCACAGGTTTATGAGTAAAAACGTTGCTGTTAAGTCTTTTATTTGGTATTGAGCTAGCGTGGCTCAATATTTGGCTAGGGTGGCATTTTTGAGCACGGGGAAGTGAGATGCATGTTTTCCTTGTTAAAGCTAGAATGCCTGTGAATGAGTTGAAGTTTTCTTACAGATTATATGTTTCAGATGGGGGGAAAGCCTGTATTAATGCGGGCATATCTCAGCAGGGATGGCGCCACCGGGGTGCAGGAGCCCCCCCAAAAATTCATTGAGCCCCCCGTCGGCAATTTCATAAATTCCACTTCGTGATTTTTTTAAATTTTTTTTCATTGTTTGATTTGTTTTCACTTTTTTTTCATTTTTTGAACTGGAATTACCACAGCGGAAATGGTGTTATATTACATCTTTGTGAGTTGTTCACTCACTGTCGGCACTCTGACATTACACCCCCCCCCCAGCATTTCTTTTCTGGCGCCTTCCTTGTATCTCAGGCAATTTGTAACAGATATAATTAAATATGCACATTGAAAGTATTTTATGGGGTTCTTTCAGTTTAAGGATCTAAATTCGAAAAATTAGTTTTTTGACGTCATCGCTTTGCCGCTTTATTAAAACGGCAATAACATCTGACATTTTCAAAAAGCCTCGTCTCAACCCTAGATTAAGCCCCGTTTTCAATCGTAACCAAAAAGGTTCGTTTTTGACCGTTTACACTAGAGAAAACAAGCACGATTTGGGAACGGAACCAAAGAGTTTCACATTTTAACGAAACCAAAGAAGAACGGAACCGTTCCCAAACTAGCCCAGAACCAAGATGCCTAGTGTAAATGCAAGGCCTATCGCCGCCTTTCAGGCACGGAACCCAAGAGTTCCGTTCCTTTTTCTGTGGTGTAAACGGGGTCTATGTTAGATTTGAAGACAATGTTACAAGGCGCTTAAAAAATTGGCACTTTGACCCTTGCATGTGGATTATGAAAGACCATGAATGTTTTCGTTCTTTATTATGAGCATTAATGTGGTTTTCGTGATAGAAAGAAGATAATGGTATCCACAGGGTTTCAAAGCCCTCTTGGCGCCTAATTGCACCACGAACTAGCTTATGGTTTTTAATTAAATATTTTGCCAGCTTATACTAGATTATTGTTAACAGATACTTAATACATAGTTTTTTCTATAATATTATAAAAGATTTTCAATTAAAAAATTTTTTCAATTTGAATATAGTTAAAAATGGAAAAAAATAAGAACTGATAAATTTTCTTTTTCTTATCTAGTACTCTCAGTATATATTTTTTTCGGAACAGAAAGAAGAGGTATCGAATGCACTTGCGCTCACGAGACAAAAGAAAGTGGATTTAGAGGCAATGCCGAGGAGGCAGTGTCGTCTTCCCCGTGGCCCAAGCGATAAGGATGTGATTGGCAAGGTAAGCGATAAGGATGTGATTGGCACTCACGTGTCCAGTCCTTTTATACAAATCAACAACATAGCTCAAAGCATTTCTAAACATTCAAGTTCAGGGGAGATATACTTTGTTCATTTGTTATGTCTAAAATGTACAGAATAGGTGTGCTTTCAGAATGACCAAATTCGATTTTGTGTGTCAAAAAACCAAACGAATTACAATGAATGATATATCATTCATTGTAATTCGTTTGGTTTTTGCTTCGTCAAAAATTCGCAAAAACCTGCCTATCGAATGCAAATGTTTGCATTCAAATGCTGTGCCTTTATCCTTTTCTGAAACCTCAACTCAAAGAAGTGTCGTGGTTTAAACAGGGGTACGATCGTAGATCTCCCGATTGACATGTGGTTATTTATGGATGTCATTTGTCAGAATAGAGGATTTAGTCCTCCGTATATCACAAACTAACTTCTGCACCAGAATTTCTTCTGAATCTCTGCCCTTTGTTATATGCTTTGTATCATGCCCTGCTTCATTTGCTACTACATCAGAGACCTCATGCCAAGCAATATATGATTTATATCAAGCTTAACAGAATCATTGTTTCGAAATGGCGCTTTCTTAATACTGTTTAAAGTACTCAAAAGATCCCGATTTTGAGTGTTCCAGATTTGGAGCTTTCTTTTTGTAAATCCCAATATGACTAGCATAAGCCACTTCATCACCTAAAAATGCCAGCACTATGACGTAACACGAGATTAGCTATCAGGCAATTCGATCGCCAGTATTTAGATTTTGACCCCTTTCTTTTCCAATTAAACGTTGATATCCCTGTACACACGCCTTAACTTTGAACAAGGGGTAGCAGTGGCCCTGTCTTTTCATGCTATCAGTCATATGTTAAGCTGTTGGTCTCAAACGCGTTGTTCGTGGTTGTGGGTACAGAAAAGTGTTTTTGTAAATGAGTCAGAGAATTTCGTCTCCTTGCAGGTAGCCCATTTGGCTGAGCTTCGCGATGACGATGTTGCCCGAGTTTTGTCCTGGCATTTAGCTTCTGACATGGATTGCGTCATAACAGTCACTCTTGAGCAGGTTATGTCATTTAAGTTGATACTAAACAAAATGCGTAACTATGTTGGTACTAAACAAATACAAGTTGGTACTAAACAAAAGCCATCGATTAACGCCTGAATAGGCCACCAATATTTGCTGGTTACACGCTGTCTATTATAATTATTATGACTAAGTCGATCCCATTTTTTTCTTTTTTTTCTGATACAAACAATGCTTTATTACACAAAAAAGTAACTGAAATAAAAAAAAGTCACACAAGGAAATTTCTTTGCCATTTATTGATGTTTTATTTTTGCTGTGTTACCTACTCTCCCCTTATCTCAAAACAGTCCAGTTCGATTTTAGCTTATCAAACTCGACATTATGACATTTTACTCAAATGCATTTTAATGTTTGAAATTACGATAAATCAAGTTATTTCCTGTTATGTTTGAGCAAGCAAACGCATCAACTATGTTTTGTTACATAAAAAGGGCCTCATCTTTTCTTTGAAGATCGGGAAAAAATAGCTTTTTCTCAGTGCTAAGACAGCCCGACTTATCACAAGGAGGGAGACATATCACAAGTGAATGCCAAAAAATTCCCTTCTACTGACATTTTTGGCCTTTGAAGCTCATTATAAAACAAGAAATACGTAAACGCCACTAAAAGCCTCGATTCTTGCCAAGGGTGATTCAAGTTGATTTAATTTCCTTCTCAACTCTATCAAAGAGGAGCAGAGGCTGTTAGCCTCTTTTCTTCAAATACATTAATTTGGTCTCTCTCTCACGATGCGTGGATATAACCAGTGTAGGTTTCCGTTTCAATGTTGGACCGTTTTCTTCATTTACATCATTTTCATACATACAGGCCAAACGGATTCATAAAGACTCTCGAGGGCGTCAACAAGTGTTACCGTTGGAGTCCATCTACAAGAAAGGGTTGTCCGACTGGAAAAAGTACATTTCGTTGTTTTTTTTTGCTGTAACTTTTTACTCAAAGCATGCCAAATCTTAATAGGTGAAAGCCGAAGACTTCTATATACCTTGAGATAATGCTTTGATTTAATCCTTGAAATATACAACTTGACGGTTCTATACACCAAACGTGTACAGCTCTCCCTATGCATATGGCATCGAGCATTATATGGCAGACCAGTAGAAAAGTATTATCGATGAAAACAATGTCAGATGAAAAATTATGCAGGCACTTACAGACAAGAAGGCTAATTCTAAAATCCATGAGTATGATCATAATAAACAATGGCAACACATATGTAGTTGGTTTAGATGAAAAAAGGAACAGCTCTAGAAATCATCTTTTCTCCAAAAAGGTTTAAAACAGAAGTAAATGTTTTTAAAGTAGTGTATCTAGAACGGTTTCTTTTGAACGGTTTTAATAAGAAGTGAATTTGGTTTGCAGCGACTGCATCGTTCGTAACAAGTGTCCAGTACTGTAATGCTTTAAATTTATTTTTTTCATGCAGGCCACTACCGCATATTCGCTACCCGGGTATTAAAAGCTCCGGATCCGTGGTCTACGCCCGGGATTTACTAAATTTCCCTGAACATCAAGAGCATTGCAAGACAGGTGAGATTACTGCAATTTCAGGTGCTACTAATCGTGCAACGCTCTGTTCAAAACGAAGTATTATGCCTGTCTAGTGATATTTTAGGCTTTAAAAAGAAGAATTAATGGATATTGACTTTTTGTAGATTACAGTATAATAATTTTGAACCATTTAATTGTTTATTAAGAACATTTTATTAAATTGTCGTAAGTATGAGGAATCTAGGAGTCTACTATCGATGAATTATTTATCCCATGTTCTGATATTAGCCAACAATTTTCATTGTAGTGTTTATAATGCTTCTTGGAGATACAATAATAGCAGACAACCTCGATGCTGCTAACAAATATCGGCAGGAGGTATGTAATCATTCGATATCAATCAGCGGCGTTTTACTGCTCAACTCTATCACCAATCACCCCCATAATCATCAACATCAATGATTAGCATACTTATGGTCATCAGCAATCATACTCAATCATCAACCGCGATTATGAAACCATCAGTCATTATTATAGCATTCAACTATGATTAGGCAGATGTCTAAGGCAATCATAGCAATCACTGGTTCCAAGCACAAGGAACAAATGGTCCGACATGCGATTAAAAGAGGCTATCAAGCATGGCTAAGGCGTCCTCTATCGACGATCGGCGATCCAAACGAGATTGAGTTCCTGGAAAGGCAATTAACAGTTCTTGCGCGCAAAATCCAAATCCTATTTTGTTTTCCTCATTCCTTGTAGTGCGCGGGGAAGATCTTCCGTGCCCCACCGTATCAGCTTTCAGGCACAACTATAAGACATCATAAGGGGTTGCAATCTCTGCTAATCCTAAAGGGGAGGTCTTGCAAAATTTTCCTGGGAGTGTTTACAAGTCACATTTTTCCTATCCTTCCCTCCTGTTCAAGTCAGATTTTTCGCTAGACCTGCACCTCAGCCAAATGGACTTCCCGAAATACAGAAATGCAGACTGGGTCCCTTACTTGTTCTTTCAGCGGAGTCCTTATTTCGTTACGATTGCGTGATCAACCAAATTGCGGCTAAATGAGTAAAGGGTTTGTAAATTGAAAACGATGCGGCTTTGTAAGAACAGTCATAATAATAATCATGCTCCATCGTCCTCATCAACCATGTTGATAGTCATGACAATTATTAGGTCAAATGCTAACTTGGTATCATAACATTGGAATACTGATGCTTTTGCGTTGCAGGTTGTGAAATATACGTACTGTCCTACAATACTCACCAGAACAGGAGATAGGATCCGCAGCAATGGTTAGAGGTTCTTCATTTACCTTTTCGATCACATTGAATATTGTGAACATTTTACCTTATCTAACCGTGTATAGAGTACCAAAGTGTGACGTCATGAAAAATCTATTTTTAGAATTTCTTAATGTTGACCACATAATTTGAAAGAACGATATAAAAAACTTCTCAATATGCAGAATCAGTTAGATATGGTAAAAATGGGCGAGATATGGCCAATGAAAGATTCCAAGTTTGCTAACGGATTACTGTTATTCTGGCCTGGTTGATGAGGTTACGAACCAAGAACAGAGGTTTGATGGGGCATGAGCATGTGCTTACGTGGCTTTATCTTAGCCAATTTGTAACAAATCAACTAAATTGGCATATTTGAAGGTATTTCAAGATGGTCTTTCAGGTTTTGGGATCAAAAGTGAAAAAATTCTAAAAAATAGGTTTTTGTAACGTCATCACTCCGGTACTCTAGAGAATGCATTCAAAAAATGCAATGCTGTTATGCAACCATTTCAACTAAGGCTGATTTTCGGCATTAAATTCAACAAATAATGCCTCTTCTGTTACCTAAAAGTTTTTATATATTGCGATTGAGTCAATCTATATGGTTCGCATGTTTGTATGTAAAACTGTCCTTCACTAGGTTGCTACCCCGAATCTACGCCCCCGAGTTTTATGACACCCAGAACTTTGCAGCAGATCGGCTAACTGTATTGTTTAATATCTGATATATTTTCCTTTTAGGAAAATTCGGGGGTCTGCAGAACAGAGCACCTCCGTTGGAGAGGCTTAGTGGTGTTGTGTTTGCAAGTCCACTGCCGTCTGATTACCACGACGTCTGTGCGCAACTAGGTGAGGCTTGTACCATTTCTATCGTTTCTTCTTACTCGTCCTATCGTTTTTTTTACTCGTTTTATCGTTTCTTCCTACTTGTTCCATCGTTTCTTCCTACACGTTCAATTGTCCTCCCCAACTCGTTCAATTGTTTCCCCCTACTCGCTCAATTGTTACCCCTTAATTGCTCCATTGTTTCTACCTTCTCGTTCCACTCTGTCTTCCTACTTGTTCTATTGTGTCTTCCCTCTCGTTCCATTCTTTCTTCCTTCTCGTTCCATTCTTTCCTTCTACTCGTTCCATTCTTTTTTCTACTTGTTCCATTCTGTCTTCCTAATCGTTCTTGTGCGTCTTCCTTCTCGTTCCATTCTTTCCTTCTACTCGTTCCATTCTTTTTGTCTTTATGTTCCATTCTGTCTTCCTAATCGTTCTTGTGCGTCTTCCTTCTCGTTCCATTCTTTCCTTCTACTTTTTCTTTTTTCTCTTCTTGTTCCATTCTATCTACCTACTCGTGACTGAACTATCATGACTATAGTAATTTTTAACTCTATTAACAGAATTAGTAACGAAAAAAACTCAAAAGTAGACATTGTTAAACTTCATTATGCACTGTTATCATATCTCTTAGATCTGTTCTAAATAAAAGAATGCTTTAAAACCAGGCATTTTCTTGCCAAATTTTGTCTAGTGGGGAGATGAATACCAGATAGAAATGCAATTTCAAAACCCCGCCTACAGATTATTTTGCCAAGTGGCTCGTGCTAGCTTACTTTTTACCCATTGACCTTTCAGTAGACAAGGTAAAGCACAAGTAATTCAAGCATTTGGACATTGCGTAAAGTTACTTGACGAAGTTGATCAAACCAGCTCAAGATCTCAACTGCAGCAATTCTCGTTACCCTCTAAATTCTATTTGCTTTAACGTTTGTGTGAATTAGTAGAGTCGACGTCCATATTTAAAGAAAAAAAGTCATTAACAGTGATAACTATTAACTTAAGATATATTTTGCTGATTTATGAAGCAGTCAGTTTATTAGGCTTTGTCTGTATCTCAAACGTACCTACTATCAAAATATTTGATGTATCCAGCGACTGCTATATAACCAACTTGCCGTGGTTTAATGACCCATATTGCTCTTTATCTTTCTTAACTTTCCGGTTTATTTGGCCGAAATTTCCCGCCTGTTGGTTGTCACTGAAGTGCCTGTAAATTGTACTTTGTAAAGTACTTTTCACTATGATATTTCGTTTATAATGTATTTAATGAGAAAGTTTCTTCGTCTAGATCTTCTGTCATCTTTGGAGGCTGCAGCAGGCAAAGTTGAGGGGAAGAAAATGGAACTGCAGGTTTATATTCGACATCCTCCTTGTTTACAAAAGATGTTTGATTTTATTTGTCTTAAATAACACGCTAATGAACAATGATCAGTGTAAAACGGTGGGTCATCAGCGTAGGCCATTTGCCTGATACGTTAACCAATCCGGTCACTGCTGATATAAAATGAACCAATGAAATACCTTGTCCGATGAGCGTACGAAGGCTTTGTGATCTTATTTGACCAAGTAGCTTATACAATTTTAGAAAAAAAGATTTTGCTTCTCTTTTATCGTTCTCAATAGAGGATACATTTAAGTTTTAAATATTGATGGGAAGACCAAGATTCATTGGTTCATATATTTGACCCTGGTATTCTTATATTTAGCTGCTTTGGAACTTTTCTTGTCACTTTAACGTGCGTGAAGTATTCATTGTATATCTTCAGTTCTGTAAACTTTAGTCAATAGAAAAAGCGGTTAAGGTTGGTTATGCCAAAGTTTTTTTCTATTGACGATGTGTAAATACAAACTGATTATTCCTTAGGCTCATATCGAACATTGTAACTCGGAAAAGGTACAAAAGGACTATCAGGAATGTCTGGAAGCCGAAAATCAATTACAAAGCATCGAAAAAAGACTTGGACTGACTCCAAGAGTAGGCCGCCTTCCACCAAGTCTGTCCGAATTCCTAAGGAGAAATGGGGCAAACTGTGATGACTATAGAAGCGCTAATAAGCGTGCATCTGTAGCTGACGTCATAAATGAGGGCCCATCACCAAGCAAAAGAGGGCGCACGACTCCTGGGCCACAACATAACGCAAAGAAATCTTTCGGTCAGAAGCGAAGGTGACACCTTAATAAGAGCGTTAGGAAAACTCTGAAAACATCTTTGCCTAACCTCTTCAGTAGTTACATTATGCTACTAACCATCTTCGAATGGCTGGGTCTTTACACGAAATTGTGATATCAGGCATTGTCCAGTTTAGAAGTACGGGTTATTATTACAACAATTAAAGGAGAAATCATATGCTGGAAAAACTATAAAGAAGAATGTTTACAAATCAACACTGCAAAAACCACAAGTTTTTTCCGCATCGATGACTTTTCTTCGCCGATCTTTATACAACTTTTTTCTAGTACAATAAAATTTCAAACAAAAAAGCTTATTGGAAGACAAACTGCAGTTAATCCTTCCAAAGAATAATTCAAAAATGAAGGAACTACAGTCATTCTGCTGTAAAACAACGTCTGTTTAAGAACCCAGTTCAGCCAGATAAAATATATATTTTCTTTATTTTATCCATTGCCCTTGAACCATTTTCAGTAACCGCTGACCCAAATAATTGGCCTAGGTCAACATCAGAATACATGTATTAGGCAAGAACATGGTGTAAGAATCTTGTGCCCTGCAATTCCCACATGCACCTCTAAAACCAAGACCGCAAGACCAAAAACTGGCTGAATCTGGAAAGAATTTGTTCTCCTTAGGCAGGGATTTTCTGTATTTAATGAAAGTGGACTTTTTCAAGGGTTCCAGTATTTAATTTATCTCCATAGAAGAAAATGTTACCAAATAGCTCAATAGTTATAGGATTATTTAAGCATGTTAATTTGATTTTAAAGGGTTTAAAACAATTAATGTGATATTAAAACTGACTTTAGCAGAATACGTTTCCAATAATTAACACTCTACTAAGTATACGAGATTTCACCAACAGCTGTAAATATCTAATGATCTTAGCACATTTGCTAGATATCATTTTTGTAGAAATGTTTCCATGCTTTTTATGTTTTGTTTAATATATTTGCAGCTGTTTCAACTATTCGTTTATTAGTATGATTTCATATTGTAAGATAATCTGTTTGCTATTAACACATTTACCAGATATTCTTTTTCTCGATCCTTGCACTTTCTGTCAATGTTTTTTCTCAATTTATATAAGCACTCTCGGACAGGTGTAAATTTTCAAATTGCTTTTCAGACGATAGGCTTTTTGTTTACACCATTTCTATGGTTTACACACAAGAAAGTAGCTTACTTTGATCATTTTCCGTTTCAGAATAGCATAGAATAAGAATAATATGTTTCCCATATATACAAAAAACACTAAGCTTACCCTTCTAGAAGGCTAGAAATAGAGCGCTTCTATCGGAAAAAGTAACTTAATTTTGCCAATTTGCTGTCAAACCAAATATGTTTGTATTATACAGTTGTTGAAAGATGTTGAGACTGCCCAGTGCTGTCAGAATTTTGGCACCACCCCCATCGTTTCCCAAATTGTGTGTTGGGTGAGAGGGTCTTATACTGGAAATAACAGTTCCTACTTTCTTCACAGATTACCCTCCTCCAATAAAAATGTTCTTCTTATATCTGTGCAGCCAGTGGCGTACCCAGGGCTGTAGCAGCGGGGGGTCTGGGGCGCAGCCCCCAAATTTTATTGGACCATACCCTTCAAACACTCGCAGATGTGGGGAAACGCCCTTTTTGCAAAATTTCCCCCCATTATTTGATTCATGTTAGCTACGGTGAATAGCAAAGTATTTTACAATTGTTATCGACACAAGCATACAGTATACTACACCCCCCCCATGAGTTTTACATCGCTTTTGGATACATCTCGAAGATCATATTTTAGAAAAGTGGGGGGGGGGGTTCGGACCCCCCTATTCCCCCCCTTGGGTACGCCACTGTGTGCAGCTGTAATTAATTTTCTGATTTCATCATCAGTTTAGTTCATTCATAGCGTAGAATTACAACTGTAGAAGAAACGACAAACAAATGGACTCAAGTGGTTTTATATTAACAATCAAATGTTAGTCATTAAGACATTCCATGAGCTGCAAAGCATCAGCCTTCAAGCTTCAGAGGTTGACGATGGCCCGTATGCTAGAATGGAAGAGTAAAAAATTAATCAGATTCTAAATAGGTCACAAAGACAGAAGCTAAAATGAGTGGAGCTATAAACATTATTGAGGAGCTCAAGTTATCACCTTCAACTGGTGTTCTACAAATTGCAACAGACCACCCACTTGTGTGTGCTGCAATGGTATTTTATATTGCTATTCTATTAACAGGTAACAGTGATTACCTTTTCCCTTCATGCATTAATTGAAATGCATGGTTGATCTCTTCAAGTTTAACATGATGAGTAATGAATTCATCAATCTTCAACTTGCCGGCCAGATACTCATCGACTAGCTTTGGTACACTTTCCCTGCTCTTCCAGCCTGTCCAAATTGAAAACAAGAGGTTAACCAATTTAACGATAATAACCCATATTTGTCAAAAATGACTTTTAAATAAGTTTACATGAAACAACATAGCCATATATAATAGATGCCCCCAGATTTTGCAAAAAACATCTTTATTGGCTTTCACAGTTATTGGCAGCAGGTTATTCCTTCAAAGATGAAAGCAGTAAATATAAAAGTTTTTAGGCTACAAATGGCCAAATCTTTGATCATGGTTACTCTAAGGGAAACACTTCCATGATAGAATTATTTCTAAATTATCTGCAGTTGATATGATACACTCTTTTTCAGGGCAAATTGCAGTGGAGACATATCACTCAAATTTTCAGGTATTTGAAGGTATTACTATTAGCACAACAACTGAAAAAGTAGTTGAACATTCAAAGAAGGTAAGAGTCAAAGATTTACCTCCAAAAGCACTGCCTTGCCATCGCCTACCAGTCACCAACTGGAACGGACGGGTGCTGATCTCCTGCCCAGCCCCAGCAACACCAATGATAGTACTGACTCCCCAACCCTTGTGACACGATTCTAGAGCAGCACGCTGACAAGAAAAAAGGGACTTATAAGAGAGGGGAGGCTTAATTGAGAGTGGGGACCTAAAAGATAATTTACGGTAAGGCAAACCTCTAAGTTGTATCAAGATAATGTTTTTGGATTTTACATTTCTGGGTTTATAATTAAGCAAAAGTTTGCATAAACTTAAACAACAAACCATCTTATAAGCCTTGACTTGCAACTACTTTTCGCTAGAAACCATTGCAAAAAAAGCAAGAAAATATATTGATTGAATCACTATCAAGAATGCCAAAGTGCTCCTTGGGAAATACATAAAAAACAATAGTAACACCAGCATGCATAAGACGAGATAATGTTGGGAAAGGGGTGATATTGTAGAAGAGTATTGCTTGCACCATGATATCATGATTTTGACACTGTCTATACATAACCAAAAATTTGTCATATATGTTCTCAATTGGTAAAATTAGTGTTCCTGGTTGGTAAAAGAGCAATTTATAACGGGAATTGCCTAAATTTTCAAACTTTGTTATCCTAAAAACCTAGTGGCCACTGTCTCTTACCATTGTATGAATATTTCCAACACATTCAAAAGTGTAATCAAAACCTCCATCAGTCATTTCTACCAAAACCTTTTAAGAAACAAAAAGAAAGTACCTTTTACAACATATTTATGAAACAGACTTATACAATTAGTAGTGCAAAACCACTTCCAAGTAAAATTCAAAATGGCATCTTAATGACAAAATACTGTAAGATTATGACGAAAAACTAGCCCCTTGATATCAATAAAAACCAAAGCATTTTACGGCCTTCAATTGGTTTTTAAACCTGTCATTAGATTTTCTCATTCTTTGACATTCATAGTGTAGTGAATATATAGTTTTTCTTTGGTCATTCAAAGAAATCAAGACAAATTTCTTCCATCAAAAGTGTATGACAATGACCAACAGCCTTTGATAAATTTGATGCACTGAAACATATTTCAGCTTTGCTTTAAAGTCTTAAAGCTTTCTTCAAAGCTTAATTATATTTTCTTCATTTTTTTTACTTTTCAAGCATCAGTAGCATTTACCTTTTACCACCCACAAACTAAAAGTGTTTAAGTATGTAAGAGATAAATATATTAGTAAGCAAGTCAGCTTCTGGGAACCAAGCCTTAATGATTCCAAATTATTCTGGTCAATAAAATTTTGAAATGCTCCTTAAAAAACATAAATAACTCTCTCAAAATATGTTCATTTGCATTTAGATATCTTTTAAAGTAAACTTATGATATAATGCAACAGTTTATAAATAACAAAGCATTTTAATGTAATCTCAAAGGCTCAATAGCTTAATGCTAAATGATGATACCTGCTGAATGGGTTTGGAATCATGATCTTTTGGGTTGACAAAATCAGTTGCACCAAAGTCCTTGGCTAGGATTGATAAGGATATAACCATAAAAAACAACTAACAGGTAGCTTTCAGTGTTACAAAAATGCCAAAAATAAGTTGCAAACAAGTGAGCTACTCTAAATATAATTGAGAATCAAATTTTGGAAATAACTTGCGTTGTTAAATGATATCATTGTCAAAAGTTGATTGAACAAAAAAAGTTTGGGCACAAATTATTTTACCTAAATTTTCTTAATAACCCATTAAATTTCTAGAAATATGACAGCTACTTTCATAATCAAGCAACCCTTAAAAAATTTTAGCACAGTTAACTAGCAATTGAAAAACCTAAGCAATTTCCTGCCACACTCACCCATTTTGAATTTATCTGGATTGATGTCAATAGCATAGATTTTTGATGCACCAGCTGCCTTGCACCCCATGATCACTGCTAAGCCGACAGCACCAAGGCCCCATACAGCACAGGTAGATCCTTTCTCGACATTTGCACTGTTCAATGCAGCTCCATATCCTGTGGAAATGCCACAGCCAAGAAGACATACTTTTCCAAGGTCAGCTGCATCTGAAACCTTGAAATAGACACCATTTCAAGTTATTCAAGTGATTGTCAATCCTTTTGTATTCTACAGCAAAAAATTCATTAAAGTTTGATTATTTGGCTCATCCATTCACTTTGCAGAACAGGCAGAATAGGGAGAGAAACATCAATGACAAGGAGTCTGAACATTGTATCAATTGTAATACAAAACATAATTAATGAAATGTAAGGTAACCAGACTGTTGTGTACTGTACAGTTTACCTACAATCAGTTATCATGTAAGGCAGTATCAACAAAGCATCACTTGTTTTATCATTATGCAGATATTTGAGTCATTATTAGACTGGGCTGTTCGAATAGGTTTAAGATTATCTTTTTCTGTCCCAAGGACAATATTAAAAATAATGATAACAAATTTTGCATCAATTTGTCTTAAATTCATAAACCTCATGCTTGTTGCAAATTTAACTGATATATGTGAACTGAACTACTTTAATACTAAGATCTATACACAATCTTAGTTTATCTAAGATTAACCAAATTATTTTTCTTTAGCATAACAGTAAAAAGGCATTTTTAAATTTAAAACATTATAGTTGCCAAAAATGAACAATTTACAATATTGGTTGCTTCAAAAGCTTAAAAGTTACAAATTGTGGCATTTACCTTGCAGCAAGAGATCTCTGCAACAACAGTGTATTGACTAAAGGTGCTTGTTCCCATAAAATGATATGCTGTTTGGCCTTTCACTGTGAACCTGCTTGTTCCATCTGGCATAACACCATTTCCTTGAGTAGATCTAATGACACTGCACAAGTTAGTTTTGGGATTCTTGCAGAATTTGCAGTTGTAACATTGTGGAATATACAATGGTACAACATGGTCACCTGAAAAATCATGATAATTTGAACTTTATGCAGGAATAGGTGCAAAAACTGTCAATATTTTGCAATATGTTTAATATAAACTATTGTAATTTCTCTGATATCAAGTATCAAATCTCTGATATAAAGTTCAGATAGCTAAAAATAAATTTACCAGGTTTTAAGGAAGTTACTCCTTCGCCAACACTCTCCACTATTCCACCTCCTTCATGACCAAGAATAACTGGAAATTTTCCTTCAGAGTCTTGCCCACTCAGAGTGTATGCATCGGTATGGCAAACACCAGTTGAAAGGACTTTGATTCTAACTTCTCCAGCTTTTGGTGGTGCTACTTCAACTTCTTCAATACTCAGTGGTTTCTTTGGCTCCCAGGCTACTGCAGCAAGGCATTTAATTGGCTACAAAAACAATTTTATTGATGAATCTGTGCCTGCAAACATAAAACAGAATACATGGTACAGGCCGTCGGAACTGGGGGGCTCAAACAATTGTCAAACTGTAGTATATTTTTATTATATAACAGTGTACTAAATAAGAAAAAATACAATAGGCAGCCTCCCCCTCCCCCTCTCCCCCTCCCTCCCTTTCCCCTCATCCCCCCTCAGTCCCCCTCCCCCCATATGAATGTAAACGTTTGTTCATTTAGAAAATGTGTTGAAAACAATGCATTACTGTTAGATATTGCATTTTAGGGGTCTTTCAAGGAAGAGAGTTTTTTCCAAGGGGCTTGCCCACATAAACCCTTGTGCTTGCAAATATTGTGGTATTTGGTTGTTTTATAAGATAATGTGCATATGCAAAAAATGCAACTGTTAAGTTATTTCAAAATCAAAAATCGCCTCTTTTGCAATACTTCACTTTGCTATTTTTTTTCTACACTCCAATCCAAAGTACAAGGTACGCACTGACATATTTTGCAATACCATTTCGGCATCAAATAATACACGCACTATGAAATATAACACTTTGTAATTCAACACCTTGCTTGCTTGCTGCCGGAGGCTGGCATGTCATGCACCATTATCTATCAAATTGAGCATAAAAATACTTATGTAAATTTGTACTGAGCCATTTTGCAGTTTTGCTCAAATCTCTACTATATTTAAAAAACATGGAATTCACGAATGTAAACAAACCATGGCAAAACACGTGCAATTAGTTCCACTTCTCCTCTATCATGTCGCAATGTGCGTACGGATATCGGAGATAGCGATGTTTCTCCCAAGAAAAAAATAAGCTTTGCTGTTAATCTTTTTAAATACCAAAAAGGTTGTACTAATGCATACCTTTCCAGCTGTATCAGACATTGTTGATCGTTAGTAACTGGCTTGATGTCCTTACAACTGTGTACTCTTCATACGTTAGACAGGCCTTTGAGTGTTGGGAAAGGTTGAAAATTTGGTTGCCACAAAATGTCTTGTGCGCTAGTTGCTGTTGTTGTTTCAAGTTCCGGTCCTGAAAAGATCCCAGGGCGGCAAGTCACTATTTTGTGTCCAGGGCCCAAAAGTTAGCTGTGTCCACTAATAACTGTGACACCAGCTGACAACGAACTACGGTGAATATCTAATGAGAAATTTGGGAAGTTAAAAGGAAAATACCTCTTGCTTTGTATGTACGACATAGCGTCAGAGGTGGCGCCAGCTACTGCAGAATGGGAGGGTAATGGACGTGGCCTTTGATATCACACCCTTTTTGCCTCATTTCAGTACGTTGTCATAGGCTAATTTTCCTTTGGAAATATGATCTATCCATACCTAGCACTTTTTAATGCATTTATAGAAGAAATATGTATACCATGTTTTGATAAAAGTGGGGTGGTAATTAACCCCCCCCCCTATACCGCCCCTTAGCGCCGCCACCGCGAGCCTCTCTTAACAAGAAAATTAGGCGGCAATTTTGCCCAGTGAAACAATTTTGTCGCCAATTTAGCTCAATGTTAGCCTGCGTGCAGACTCAAAATTTCCTACGTGAAATAGTAGACGACTACTTTTCCCATAGTCGAGTCTGCACGCAGGCTACTCAATGTTGACCTCACTGGGCGGCAAGGGCTTCGATATATTGTATCAAAATTTATTCACATTTTAGCAGTATACATTGCTAGATAATCATAATGATTGGAATCGACCTTTCAACTGGCACCACCTACTTCACGTTACGTCATTATTTCGCGTTTGCTTAAATTTCTTTTAATGTATGAACATGTATGAATAATGGCAAAAGGATAGATCAGCTTTTAAAAGAGGATTACGCTCTAGGTAGATACAAACTTTCCTGGACAATCCCTAACGGAGCTAGAAAGTTATGTAAAAAGATGTAGGAACCGGAAAGGTGCAGTGGGGAACATGTCCTCACAAAAAATTTACGTAAAATTTCCCTTTGCAGCTTACACTTGCAGAGTTTCCCCTTTTGCCAACTGCATAACCAAAAAGTATCTCGAAAATGCTTATGTGTTATACGAAATGCGCCAAGTCTGCCGAGAGGGGGTAGAGGAAGGAAAACTGGTTTAGGGCTTCGAAGGTTTCGAGGGCCTCAAAAGTATTGAATCCCATTTTAAGAAGACAGTTATTCAGAGTAACAAACTTGTGGCTAAAAGTTGCACAATGTTTTAAACGATTGCAAGGAAATGACTGTAAGGAGTTTCCTGGAATGGATTGTAATCAAATCTAAAGGGCGTGGTGTTTAAATTTTCTGCTCGCTTCGTTTGCATGGGGCTTCACAATACTGTTTTTCGCTAGGGCTTTCGAAATCTCTCGATGGCACTGCCCAAAACTAAGCCAGAGAAAGATGCTTATCTTGCACTTTATAGAAACCTCATGAAGGTGTCCCTTGAAACATGCGCCCCTTCCCCACTTTTGCACTGTTTCCCATGTCCTTGGTTATGTAATATCAAGTAATGCGCCATCTTTGCCGCCCAGTGAAAATTGCTTAAAAAATGCTATGTGTAACAGGGACAATTTTACCATTGGTCAGTGGTGTAGAGCTGTGTGAATAACAATTAGGACTCTTTTACACAAAATGCTGGAAAAGACAATAGCAAAAGCAGAAATTAGACCATAGCATTATTAGCAAGGCGCTATAGACTATAGTTCTGGTAGGTACCCACTACAGAAATGCATGAAATGAAAATATAGAGTCAAGATATCATTCAAGATCAATATAGGTTTTTTCATGAGTAAGTATCTATTAAATTTTACTAAGAATAAAAACTAATTATCATAAACAAGAATAATGTTAAGAACAAATATATATACATACATAGGTATGTATTACAAGTTAAACAAGCCACATACCTCTAAACTGAAATGGCAGGGATTGCATGAGAATGTCAAAAGATCTTGTTCCTACGTCCCCCCAACCTTTTTACTTACAGATTGATAGAAAGAAAAGGGATTGTTAATTTGAAAAATCATATCCTCTTAACCTTGTTGGGGGCTATCTATTGAAATATATTGAAAGAGACTTAAAGCTTGACTCTGTCAGGTGGCTATGTTGGTTTGAGTTGTAAATCTTGGGAAGAGGGGGGGGGGGGGTAACTAAGCTTAATTCTAGATGAGGATGTGCCATATTTGTTAAAAAATTTGGACTCATAATTCTGCACATGCCTGAAAATAATTCCGCAAACATGATTAAAATTATGCCCATAATTCCGCAAAGCAAATAGCATTAAGGCACAACAATCATGAAACAATTTTTGCATGTCCTCTTTCCTAAATTCTCAATATTACACATATTTCATAATTCTATTTCTAACTGGGCATTCATTTTCTTAATGCTAAATATCCCTCATAATAGTTTTGCAATATTTTTTCAAAATGGCACCCATCATTCTGCATGTTTCTTCGAATGGTACCCATAGCTCCGCACATATTTCAAAAACCTGTACCGATAATCCCCCCCCCCCCGAGTTGTAAATGAAACCAACATGAACAAGCAGTATCTCTGCTATGTTTTATCAATCCATTTAGACGCCAAATCCCACGTCCCCTTCCCCGGCGGTGGCACTCTCACATTTTTTAAGATGAAAATATTTTTGCAAAATCTTGTTATATTTCTTTACTTTGCGTTTAGCTCTCTCCCTTTTTGATTTGTTTCCTTTCATCAATAGATTATTCGATGTACCATCAATTTTGCCCTAAAAGTCTCAAATTTGCAAAGCTATTTCAAATCAGGACCTAAAAGGAACATACATCAATATAAAACTGATTTCTATTTTGAACATTTCATCAAAGATTTTTTAAAATAATTTCTTATAAGCAAGTTGCAGAATATCTTGAAAATAATGCACAGAAAACATTGACGCAATCTGGTTTCAGGAAAGGATGCAGCATTGAGTTTGCAGTTCCATGATTCACAGATGTCATAAGAAGGTTTTTTGATCGGGAGAAATCTACAGGTGCGGCATTTGAGAAGCTGCAAAAACTTTAACACCGAGGAGCATTCATCCTACTTCAATTATTACCATTATACAGTATTTGTGACGCTGAATCAAGCTGGATAAGAAGTTATTTCAAAGAGAGTTGACAGTTTTTACAGTATGATAGGAAGCGCTCTGAGTTTGTAGAGGTAGGATATGGTATGCTACAAGGATCTATCTTAGAGCCACTGCTATTTCTTTTGCATATCAATAAATTTGCTAAATTCGTAAGAAATTTCCATAGTGTTCAAATAACGCAAAGGAGAGAGCTATCTATACTGCAAATCGAAACATCGCCGAAATTGAAAGGGAGTTAACCAAAAAGATTGACAATGTTTTTGAGAAGTATTTCACGATTTTGCATAGCGTACGACATTTTCATAAAAACAAAAAATTCCAGGGAATTTTAAGATAAAGCAGTAGGATTTCCATCAAAGGTGTACGTGATTTTCGTAGAGTAGTTTGCCCCTCGAATGTTCCTAGATAGCTAGAGCGCTAGACACTATGTTATTGGGTACAGCTAAACAATGTTCAAAGATAACATGGTCAATAGATGACAGAAAACCTTCTTGGAATATAAGAATGCATACAGTAAACTTCAAGTAGCTAGTTAGCTACCGACAGTGTTTTTTAAGCCGTTATCCAACCGGGAATCTGTTTTATGAACTACTCTCGCATTCGACAGGAGAAAATTGCTCCAAAACACTCTGTCGCTACACGAAATTATTCCAAAACAGAGCCTTGTTGATTATATAAGGAGTTTATAAAGTTTATATAAGGATTATGTAAGGTTGTCTTTTGGGAAGAACAACTATCGAATTCAGGAACACAACCACACGTAATAAAAAGCATACAGCTCGAAACCTCGATAGTCAAACAGAGGCGGGTAAAAGGGTTTCCATACATTGCAAGCTACTTAGGTGTCCTGCAATAAGTTTGTGTGTAAAATGGCAATTTAGATATAAGTCAAAATCTTATTTTCATCATTTATCTACTTTTGTTTAAAAAATGCAGAATATAAACAGGAATGACTCAAAATGATGAAGGGAATGTCCTGTGGTATGTGATGCCGTGAATGACGTAAAGGGATGTCATGACGATGGCTTGATCAGTGAAGGAGTGGGAATATGGCCTATTTTACCATATTAGAATTACTACAGTTGCTATGGTGTTATAAACGACACAATTCAATGTTTACTCGAGCATTGCAAAAATTGTAGGTTGTACGCTTTGACAGATTACGAAAAAAGGCCTCCCTCTGAAGTTTTTGATTATCAGACCTTCTAATCAACCGTTGCCTTCGACTTGCTATACGGCTAGTTGTCATTTTGTAAACTAGTTAAACAAGTATTGACATTCTTTGTCAATAGAAATCGTGGCTTTGTGGTTTTGTTTTGAAAATCAGCGGACACACCAGCGATGACGTTTCTTGATTATCGACCCAGTCTCCTATGTTGAGAAAAGACGCGAAGATTCGACGTTCAATCACACGAAGGAGGTGGACGAATTCGGAACATTGGGAACTGAATATTTGAAAGCTGTACACCTGGATGTTTCATAGAAAGAATCGTGGCTAGCAGGCTGGTTGAAAATAGCATCGAGATTGCCTTACGATTGACAGATTCAAGGCCTCTTTTGGTTGGAGGCAGCAATTATATACCTAGGTCTGTTTACTGGCCTAAACTCAGAGCCGAACGCAGTGCAAAGGTTGCTGTAATAGTTTGGGTGCCGTTCTCGAAACACGCCATAATTTAAATGTCTACTGTGAGAATCAAGGCGATTTTGAACTTACAAAAAACTATTTTACTCTGTCTTAGAACTAATATAAATTCAAGGACGTTTGAAAATTTAAGAGCCAAGTCGGGATCATGAATAGAACGGCGTGCAGGCACCTCGTACCGTCCCTTCGCAGTCTGTCCCGTCGGTACTTGACAAAATGCACCAATACAACAAACATGTCGGGAATTTGTCACAAGCAAAATGTCATTGTTACCAGATCTTTGTCTTCAACAGTTAATTTGGAGCCGTTTTTAAATGGCAGTAGCGGGAATTATGTCGAGGAAATGTACGAAGCGTGGAAGCATGACCCAAAAAGCGTCCACAGGGTGAGCACCTCGGTTTTTCTTTTTTGTTGTTGTTTTTCCATTTTTTAAAGCTACAAACAAACATAATCCAATCTTTAACTTTTTAAAAGATAAATTTGGATAGTTTTGCTAAATTTAAACGTCAAATCTTGCTTCATTAACGGTGTCGAAACATTGAGCTGGAATCCCTATGTTGTTAGTTGCTTTGGTAAAATACCGCAAAGTCCTACCTACAACAAATTGCCCAAATCACAAATTCAGTCTACCTTCAAATTTGTACATACGTTCTTTAAGAAACTTAAGACCGGTTATTGTTGCGGAACCTGTTTGACTCTTACCTTACGCGGAACCTGTTTTATGAATGGCCAGACCTGCAAAAAGTACCGGAACCTGGAAACTAGATTCCCAGAAATTTTTTTGGCTTGACAGAAATTTTTCAGCAAAACTTGGTAAAAACAGCTGTCTTTTGCATTAATAGAAAATTTTTTCTTGACTTTTCACAACAGATCAAAGTTTATACAAATAAAAAGTTTATACAAAAGTTTATTCATGTAATTTTGAAACTTTTATAAAAAATATTACTCCTTTGTCAAATATCACAAAAACTTGGAAGCAACCTTCAGCTTCCTTGTCCAAGACTTTTTTAACAGATAAAGCTGCAGACCTGAAGCAGGCAATTTATATGCTTTGAAAATTGCTGTTTTAGTTGCCTTATTATATCAGGCTACGATTTTGGATCTTTACAGATCAAAAACTATGAAAATTACATGCATCCTAAGGTTTCTTCTTGCTAGCAATACAATACTTGACTTGAGTCTTGACTGAGGACTTGATAAACTTGGCAAAGCGTTGGGTCTTGTGTTGGGGCAAAATCAATGAATTGTCAATAGATCATTAATTCATTAATTGCTAACTGATGTTGTCAATCAATCATTAACTTAGCAGAATATTTTAAAAGATGAACTTAAGGCTACTTTTGTATCAAATAGGAGTTACCTTGAATTATGTTGGTTAGCACTTATAACTGCAAACTTCAAATAAACTAAGAAAAACGAAAGGAATTTAAATTGAGATTCAGTAACTTTTGTGCCTCTCATAACTATTTACCTATGAATTTATAGTATGAATCTGCATAATCAGCTACATTGATCCAGTCCTGATGATATTAATATTAGGCGTGCGATTGCACGCACACACCTCCACACATGCCTAAAACTCCTGTGGGGTGCTTTCTATCGGACACACAGTTCAATGTTTTGAATTACTCTTTTTCTCTTTTGTTTCTTTTAATTTCTTTTATTTTCTTTAAAGTTATTTGTAATTTCTTTTGTGCGGGTTATGTTGATGGCATTTCCTGAGGCATCTTAACTCTTTAAGGCCTAGTTTCCATTACCCTGTTTTTGTATGTCTCCATTCTCTCTCTCTTGTTCTTTTCATATTTTCTTGAACACATTACCCCGGGCCACTCTCTTTTGGTCAAAATGATAACATTGGTGTTTCCATTTACTCAATATTTTTCTGTTCTCATATCCTTTGCTGGGGCTCTTTTTGAGACTGAGATTGAATGACTCCGTTTTCGATGTTCCCAATAAAACGACACATGTTCAAATGATTCTGTTTTCGGATGACTTCAATTTGAACAGCATTTTTTAATAACTTTTATTTGGTATCAAATGACTTTAATCATATGTTTTTGAGCGTATTAATTGAACTCAAAATCTAAAACAGATTCACTAGAATCCATTCCATACAGAATTGGAGTAATGCTATCAGGCCTAAAAACCTATATCCTTTTGTTATATTATTTTGTTTTCAAGAAACTTCTTCTAAAATTCCATAAAACTTTTTGGTTTTATGAAATTCTAATACGCTTTTTCGAACAGTGTTACACACCTTTTAATACAAAGATGACATCAGGTCTTCATAAAAACCGTAAGGTCTCCATTTTATGGATGGTGCCTCAGGCAGGCCAACACACGCCTAAACTTTTCAAGGTGCGCGATTACCAGCACCCTAACAAATTTCATATTACCAGGACTGACTGATCCTACCTTTCTTGCTTTCTATATCCAATTTTGAAATTTCAGTTCTTGTTATTTTTAATTATGTCAGTTCATTCTTTTTGTTTTAATGTATATTTGATCTTTGTGAAGAACAGGTGTGAGCCAATGATAAGCAAAGATTAATAAGAGTGCATTGAAATTAACAGCTGCCCAACAAGTTTGTAAATCATATATCAGAAGGCTAATATGCATGCCCAATTGGCAAAAGTCTGTGTAAAAGCCCTACTTTACAATGACCAATGTTTTGTAAACAGAATGAATACTTTCTTAGTTCACTTAACACAACCTTTAGGTATTTCTTGAACTAAAACCTCCCCCCCCCCCCCCCCACCTAATAACTCCTAATCAACTTGGTTAACATTCATTTCAGGTGTTATTAAAAGCTTATTTTATGCCCCAGAATAATATGGCAACTCGTCTCATACTTAAATGTATCTATATGGACTTTGTTTAAATTTCACATTTTCATAGTACTTCAGGTGCTCTGACTTAGACATTTAAATCAGTATCGTTATGGTAATCAATTCAGTTTTTAAATCTGGTAACTTTTTTAGTCATGATAGTATGTTCACATCATATATCCCAACATTATGTCCCATGTTTTGGCTTATGGCAGTAAGGATAAGATCAAGGAGCATAAATAACTTTAGGGCGCATTAGTTCCATAACTAAGACCTAGGATAATGAAAGGGCACCGGAAATATTTATCCATGTTTTCGACTACACTTAAACTCACCTTGTATTCAAAACTTTAAATGCTCTTAAAGAATATAACTGAGCTTCCCCCTAGTTATCAAGAAAAATGACATCTCGTCACACTTTGCTGTTGTGCTTTACATGCTCAACACCCTTGGATTTGACCTTCTTGCAGTCTGTACACAGGGATTTGCCTCTGTTTTTTCTAAGAGCCCCAGGTGCCTGTGTTACGTCACTGATAAGAACTGTCTGAAATTGACATAGACAATGTATTTTGTTATATGCTGTCCACATTGTAATTGTAGCTAGCAGGTACCAGTGATTGTCTTTAACAAGATACATATTTCTTCTAATCATTCTTTCAAGAAGGATGAATAACTCAATATGCTCTGTTATATACTCTAATTGGTTTACTTTAATTGGTTTAATTAGACCTGTGTATCTTAGATTTATAGCCTTTCACAGCAATGAGGTCATCAAACATTTATCTTTTGTAGTCATGGGATGTTTTCTTTAAAAACGATGCAAGCGGACTAGGACCTGGTTTGGCTTACCAGTCCCCTCCTGGAATTGCTCCAAAGGTCATACCATTCTCAGATGTTTCTATTGCAAATGGCAAGTCACAACAAAGAGATATCAATATGGATCAAATTGATATTCATGATTTGATCCAAGATCACTTGGCTGTATTTTCATTGATTAGAAGTTACCAGGTATATCTTAAATTTTTCTTTTTAAGAATTAACCATATTCTGTTGTTTCTCATGGTTTTGTCAGCTAAGTGTTCAATTTTTGATATTTCTGAAGATTATTGTTATGCTTAGTATAAAATATTAAAAAGAGTTGGAGTAAGATGTTTAGATGGCCCAACCAAAACATTTTCTGTTTCAGCTCACAAGACAAGATTTTTCTCCAGCCAAATTTTTGTTGTTGTGATTATCACATATGTTCCTTGAGAGAATGACGAGGCTTATGAGTGCTCAAGTTAGTTTCAGGGAAAACATTCAAATGAGATATGTTGCTTTTCAGTAACTTCTTTGGTCTACCTCTTTAAGATATTGCAAGAAACTTCAAGATTGAAAAGCCATGATGAAAATGGTATTAGACTGTCGTGAATGAAATTGCATTGTAGGACCCAAAGTTCACCACATATCAAAAGGTTAACTTTAGATGTTTGTGCCAAGAAGATTTTAGCGTCATTTGGAAGAGATCAATAAAGTCTGAGCAAATTCTAAGGCATGTTTTGTTGTAGCATTTTCATCTCTGTTTGCAGATCAGAGGACATAATGTTGCAAATCTTGATCCTCTTGGCATAAACAATGCAGATCTAGATTCAACAATCCCCGAGGAACTAATTCCAGCCCATTGGGGATTGTGTGAGTATTCACTTATTATTTTTGTGTTCATGATTTATTTTTGTAAAGAACAACAATAGGTTTTATTAACGGAAAACATCACTTTCTTTCTAACTGCAGAGATGTTCAATGTATTGGTTGATACCGTACATTCAAATCATTAGTTTCTTTAAGCTGATGAAGCTGTGAAAATTTTCATGAATTATAAAATGGTCTACTGTTTGCTATTCACAGTCAAACAAAAGTGGGAATTCACTCAAATTCTCTTTTATTTAAGCTGAGCAAGATCTCGACAAAACGTTCCAGTTGCCTAAAACAACATACATTGGAGGAGACGAGGATGGCTTACCATTAAGAGAGATCTTGAGAAGGCTGGAGGTATTTAGTGAATCCACAATTTTTATCTGTACTGATAAAAGTTTTTATACCAACGTTGTACGCAGGGGTGGACACTTGATCAAATATTGGGGGGTAAGCCTATTGTGTTGATAAGATGACGTCACATGTCCCTTTGTTCTAGAACAAAAGCCCATTGTCCTCTAAAGTATTGGGTGGGCTGTCGCCCCCCCCTCAAGTGTCCGCCACTGGTTGTACTACAGTAACATGCCATCTTTTACGGTTTCGAGTTCATAAAATCTTCTTGCAAAATTTTCATTACATTGATTCTATTTTTAGGAAACATATTGCAAGCACATTGGTGTAGAGTTTATGTTTCTGCAAGGTCAAAAGAAAAGTGAGTGCAAAAATCTGATTGATAACTTCTTATTATAAAGATCTTGTTAAGTTGGAGCTGAGTTGAGGGGGTTCCATGGAGCTTGGAACAATGTCCCTAATGTTAGGTACTTCTCTGACTACAAAAATGAAGAAAAAGAAAGTAAAATCTGTCTCATTTTATTATGTTTCCAGCTCAACAGGATAACTTGAAAAGTAAGTTATGCCTGAAACAAGTGACAAACTAGATCTGAATCTCTCAGGCTTTCCATATGCACACCTGGAAAATGTTCACAATTTGCGAACAAGGAACTCAGCCCCAATTTAACAGATCAAAACTGCATATAATTGTTGACTTTGATGAATTTTTATAATGAATGATGTATCTCTTGAATGTCTTGAATATTCGTAGCTAAGGGTCAGGTTTCGTGAGGTTTGCTTACTTATGGGAAAGCATATCTGTGTGGCCACCATAAAGTCTTGGCAGCACACCAGAGTGAGTATGAATGGACTCAGGTACGATATTTTGTTATTTTATCATTAGCCGGTTGCACGTAACGCTGCCAGTAAGACAGGTTTGAGCAAAAAGAAACTGCACTTGTCAAGAATAAACTTTTTTCCTTCTGGAGTGGTGGCAATGTCACTCATTTCTGGGGTATTGAAGGGGTGAAAGCTGCTTGTGGATGATTGTGATGCTTTTGATTTATAGCGAATTGGATAAAAAAGCATTTTGAAACACCTGGCGTTATAAGCTTGACTGATGAGGAAAGGAGAACTCTGCTTGCACGGCTTATTCGCTCTACCCTGTAAGTCTTGTTGCTGAATTTTCGTTTTCATTTTGCAGTTATCCGCCTCTATCTTATTTTAAACTGTATAAGATAGAAAGAAATTGAACTGAGCTGCCCATATATTCTCAGGGGTGAGGGAAAGTTGCTGAAATCTTGTTGCTGAATTCTGAAAAGTTGCTTTTAATTCCAGTTATACGCGAATGTTTAATTTTTAACTGTATGAAATAAAAATTGAACCGAGCTGCCGATTACCTAGTGAATATTTGGGGAGGGGTGAGGTGTTAGTCTTTGCTTCCGATAAAAGCTTATTGTGCTTGAATTGTTGCCCCATGATTGCAGGGCTATTTAATATTGATATTTTATACGCTAAAGATGGCATATCGTGATCCAGAGAGAATTGCTCAGGGCTAGCACCTAATTTTTTCATTTTGTCGTTATTCCTCCCTTCAAGGTTGTCTGGTATTTTATGACATTGCGAAAGTCTCTCCAGGCGTTCTGTTCAGGTGTGCCGTTCTCAGAAGTTAGAGTTGGGGTTGTTGTGTATATGAATCATTTAAACTTTTGCTGGCTTTAAAAGAATGATAGAAATTTTCCTTCCTGGAAAATCAATTGCGTGATTATTAGCTAGTCTTATTTGAAAGCTAAGGAAATCGCCCAACCAAGCATATAATAGCCTGTTTAGGAGGGCTGAGGTCCCTCAACATCTCTCTGAATTTTAACAAGGGGTGCTGAGCGCTCCCGACCAACATGAAAGACCTCTAAATATTTCTATTGTTTAGAACAGCTAAAAATAGTGAGTACGGGAACAACATAATATGTTTTTGCAGGTTTGAGAACTATCTCAGCGTTAAATGGACGTCGGAGAAAAGATTCGGTATTGAGGGGTGCGAGGTAAGGGACGTTTTCAGTCACTGAAACGTAAGAATTAGCCAGAATAAAAAGAAGGCGGCAGCATCGCCATTTGCGAGAAAATTCAAGTAGACAGGGTAATGTGGTTTGATTTTATCATTCTCTCACACTTTTTATCCGGATTTCTTTGCGGGCTCAGGCTATTGGAAAATGTACATGCTTTTACAATTACAAGCTAATATGGCCGCCATGGTATGTGAACAAAATCAAACTTAGTTTAGACTCAATGTGTTACAATATTATTGGCATGGTACCCTTCTGAAGCTGTCTGCAATAGTCTAAAAAATCCTTGTAAGCTCCTTGTGTGTATAAATCTTAATGCAAACCCTATAAAAATATTTTAAGTGTTTTTCTTCTGTCAATAGAAAGCCTTAAGATCTTTATCACCTTTTTCCTTAATCAACGTTTTGAATCTCCCAGGTTCTTATCCCTGCTTTGAAGCAAATTATTGACGTGTCTAATGAACTTGGTGTCGAGAGTGTCATTATGGGGATGCCGCATAGGTATGCTAATATTATACCTGATGTCATGTTATCCATATTTCCTTTGCTGTTATCCATCCAGATACGCACTAGCAGCAGAGTAATCTTGCATTGTATCATAATAATAATAATGTTTACGACCGTGATCAACGCCAGCAGTCAAGCTTCTTTCTTATCAATTTTACAACCTTGAATTTCTATTCATTTCCATACGGCTCTGTTTTGGATTACTTAAAGTTGTACTATAGGAACAGCAAAAGCAATGCAGCCTGTTAGCACCCTTCACTACAGAAGATTTCTTTGTCTGTATAAAATAACATCATTTTCAAAATACAGACCATTATTGCTCTAAAGCTGACATGTGACCCAAACAAATAGTTAGTAGAAATGACAACAGAAATTCTCGCGTCAGTGTTTGAAAACTTTTATGTACATGCATTTATCAAAGATGGTGTGTCTTAGTGTCTTTAGTTGTTGTAACACACTAACATACTGTCCCTTCCAGTTTTTGTTGGCAACAAAATGGCAAAATTTTGTTCATATGTTATTTTGAACTTGTGCCAAAAAGGCTGAAATTCAGTGGTAGGATAGTTTTGATAATAAATGCTAAGTGAGTGAATTGCGGCGATATTTCGTTTTGTCTCTATGCCAGGGGTCGATTGAACGTTCTTGCTAACGTATGCAGAAAGCCATTGGAACAGATATTCACACAGTTCAACCCCACGCTGGAAGCTGACGATGAGGTAACCCAACCTAAATGAAATTCCAAGTCATCATTTTCACGAAATGAAGATATCATTTACATCATGTTTCTTTATAACAGTATGGATTTAGATAGGTGGCAGTTTTATGGCTCTACACTGACACAAAATCAGACTTGATTGCAGGATTATATCTCCCCTAGAAGTGTATCCATCTGTTATTTAGATTTTTCTCGACGTTTTAAGGTTTTGCTATCCAGCAAAGTTATGTATCCATATTCTGCAGTCACAGACAGAGAAAAGAAATGGCCTAGATGAGGTCTTTGAAAGAGATGGACACCTGCATGATCTGGCACAAAATTTTTGTCAGAAGTTTTTAGCAGTTTAAGGAAATTAAGGGGCAAATATAGAAGTCAAGTTTGCATTAACCTAACGGAAGGTAAAAATATGCCCCATGCTGGGCCCTTATAGCTTTCTGTCCCTAGCTTGTTCATATAACAGAGACAGGCATTCTAGATGGTGAATTTTTTCCAGGGATCTGGCGATGTCAAGTACCATCTTGGTATGTCTCACGAAAGACTTAATAGAGTCACAAACAAAATCATTAAGCTTGCTGTCGTCGCCAACCCGTCCCATCTTGAAGGTAAATGAGTATATAGTTTACTCTCTTTATTTTTCTCGTAATGGTTGCAATTTTTACAAAACCACTTTCAGTTTATGAGTTTGCTTATGGTGATAATGTTTTTGTCCTGCCCAAAGTATCCAGATTTATGAACGGGCATTCTTGATAAACTTCTTCGACTCTGTTTATTTAATGCATGTTTTAAACATTTTAGCTGTGGATCCTGTTGTACAAGGGAAAACAAGAGCAGAGCAGTTTTATCGCGGAGATAATGAAGGCAGAGAGGTAGTATTACGTCATATTAAATACAAACAGGTTTCTTGTGGGGGAACTAGGAGTAAGGGAAGAATCGAGGCTGCTTAGAGTTGAACTTCAAAATTTAAGGACCTTTTCTTGACAAAAACTCTATAGCTATTTATTTGTCTTCTCACTGTGTTGTCGACGTCTGAACGTTGTTTTCATTATATGTTACTTGACATTTGTTGGACTATTTTCATCCCGTTTCAAATAATCTAGTTGCCTTTATTATATATTGTTCTTTAGACAAAACCTATTTTCCCTTTCTAGTCCTAAGATTTTGCCAGCAGTCAAATACCCAATTGTTGGTGTCAGTTTTCAGAAAATTTTAGAACGCAGTCACTTGTCTCATTTAGGTGATGAGTATCTTGATTCACGGTGACGCGGCCTTCTCTGGACAAGGCGTCGTCTATGAGACGTTTCATCTTAGTGATCTTCCGCACTATACAACCAAAGGCACTATTCACGTCGTGGTCAATAACCAGGTAACACCGTCCCCATTTGCGTTGTCATTTTCGTAGATATGGTAAATGTAGTGATGTGCTTTGAACCGCACCGGTTAAAGAAAATACGATGCGGTGTCAACAACATCGGCTCTCTAGTTCGGAAATTTTGGCTACTTCGGAAATTTTTGACCAATTCTATGCCGATATGACCAATTCTATACGTCAATAGAATAGTATTTTATGGCCTATGGAAATGACCGTTTTCTTGAAAAAAATTGCGTATTTTCAAACAATAGAATCATAGCTACATTGAGTATGGAACGTTTATGAAACAGAGTACTTTCATTGTGAATGTAAGGCACGATACAGGGAGTTAATTTTTGTTTCTTTTTATAAAAAAATAGAGAGCCTGCTGGAAACGTTTAAAGATGTCCATATCCAAGACTTTCAATTTGAGAGTCGCCCAAAATATGTAGAGACAGTCCTTATATTAAAGTCACCTACTCTTTCCAGCATCACCTTCTTTATTTGAAAACCCCAAGTTATCTTATGATGCAGATATCAATGTCTTTGCAACTCCTGTTCGCTTTTCTTATTGAAGAAAAATTTCTTTCAAATTTTGAATCTTTTTTTGGTATGCCAAACATAAAAGAAAATCAGATTGGCACTGAAAAGTCGACCATGAATGTAACCATGTCAGCTCATTTACGTCGGCATTACCGAATGATCTGACTTATGTTTTCTGATCATATCATCGCTATTTATTGTAGCATTGTCATCATCCCTAATGAATTTAAACTTCAAGCTAAGCTTAACTGACGGTGAAGTCAGTAGATTGGCGATGCAAAAATTACTTTTTTTCAAGGTAACTGTCTCTTAAAACAGCAACGATTTGTTTTGTAGATTGGTTTCACAACCGACCCACGCTTCTCAAGGTCATCTCCATACTGCACTGATGTTGCCAAGGTTGGTCTTAACGATTGATTCGTGTTCACTTTCCTCTCAGCGTATTGAAAGACTGTTAATTGAGAGTCATTCCTTTTTTCGTCGAATTTCTTAAAGAACTGCTAGATTTGTCTTTGTTAGATACCTTACGTATCTAACAAAGTTCTTTGTATTTTCGATAAACACTGAGACGCTGATCGACTTTGCAGGTCGTTCAAGCACCAATCTTCCACGTGAACGCTGATGATCCAGAAGCTGTTATGCACGTTTGTAAAGTTGCTGCGGAGTATAGAAATGAATTTGGAAAAGATGTTGTCATTGACCTGGTATGCTTGTGGATGCTTTTCAATTTTATCATTATTTCGTTGTTCATTAGATTTTTTCCGATCAGATGATTTGTTTTCGTTTTGGCAATTCAGCCAATCAAAGGGCGCTATTTCTAAGTTGATTCGTTCAATGACGGTTAGAAAATGATATGTGCTAAATTATTAGTATTTCTGAGAAAATTTATTTTTCTCGCTAACAAAATAGTGGGTAGTATTTTTAACTGTAGCTCCAATTGCCCGCGCTGTTCTAGCTGCCAAATTTGAAGAGTGATATTTCATAAATAGGACTGGATGTGCTGGACAGTTTTTGACGTTTTTATTTCCAGCTTTAACTCCTTAATACCAGGTAATTTCCCTAGAATTGTTATTCTTTATTATCGAATGGCAACGAAGGCCTGGTCTTTTTCTAGGTAAGCTATCGCAGAAACGGACACAACGAAGGAGACGATCCAATGTTTACACAGCCACTTATGTACAAGAAAATAAAACAGCAGTCGCCAGTTATGCATTCCTATGCGAAAAAGTTGATGGACAGTGGCATTGTCAGCCAGCATGAATTCAAGGTATCCCAATCGACTCTATTTTGTTACCCTTTTTTTTATAGATCATTTTATTGAGTGGTTTTTTGCAAGATGGCGATCTTTGAATGTTTTCTTTTGTGCCGAAATATTTTTCATCATCATCCACTGAATGTTGGTCGAAATTTAATGAACGAGTCCCTGTGATCATTAAGCATCACTGATCAAGTGTGCATGCCCTAACTGAAGGATGTCTCGGCCAATGTCAGCCTACCCTGAGACATTCTGATACCAAATATCATTAGGTTGAGCATTAGGTAAACCGTACCCCATCTCTGCTCTAAGCCAACCACCTAGGCTACAATATGATGTTGTGCATCGCCTTGTATTTGACGTGCGGGAACAGGCACCGCAGAGCGGGGGTATAGAAAAAGTGGAGGTAGGGGCTGAAAACCAAATGAAAAGAGGCTTTGCTCTATTTAGCCATTTTTGTGTCAGTCTGCCAACACACAAGCCCCCCTCCCCCAACCCCCCTCCTTGCTCCGCGGTGCCTGAGAAAACATGTCGTTCATATTCTAGACTATTTGTTACAAGTAACTTTCACTCACATTGACATAAATTTATATCCTTTTAAATGAAATTTTAATATCTAGTGTTTGCAGTACAGTTTTAGGGCCTTTTAAGCGAAAACCAATGGAAGGAAGGGCTAGGCAGTTTATGATATTGATGAGAAGAAAGACAGGGAATCCTGCTTTGAGAGATAACCTCTGTTTAGAGTGCCAGAAGTGAATAATTAAATGTCTAAAATCTAATCGCAGTGCAATAATAAAGTCAGTTGGTTTCGCAGTGAAAATAGTGCTAAAACCTTATATACATAGAAGACAGCTACAATTTGATTTTGTGAATGGCCGCAGTCAGTTTGTAAACAACGGGCATGTCATAGGTTACTATCTCGGCCGGCGAAGGTACTTGATAGCTACGCTCAGAGATTAATGGTCGGTTATCATGTTATTATGAGAATGCGAAGGAGGCCTCTCAGTGTTATGCATATCCGCTGAATACCATCAAGTTCATCTTGTAAAGGCACGTGAATTTCCCATTAATAACTTTGTCTGATATTCATTGCTTTAGGAAACTCAGAATTCTTACGATAAGATTCTGGAAGATGCATTTACAAACGCAAAAGATAGAACAGAGATTCGACTGAGAGACTGGCTTGATTCGCCTTGGAAAAGTAAGATATCACATCGCACCACTTTAACTAATAGTTTTATCAGTTCTGATGGTTTTGTGTTTATTTTGAGTTTTATATTCGTGTTTATCTCGGCAGTATTTTGCATGTTACCTGTTATACTCTTAACATTGTTCATGTTGCAATGTTCTAGTCTGCTCTAAATAAAGTTTACAGCCCCATGTTCTTAAACTGATATCAATCACCCCTTCTGAATTAATTCCATTTTCATTTTTTGACATGAACTTACTTTCCGAATCTCAACTAGACTTTTTCAGAAAAGACAACACCTTGGCTCCCAGGCCTCTAAGTCCAACCGGGATTGATGCAGAAACGCTCAATTACATTGGCCAGGCTTTTAGTACACCACCACAGGATTTGACCTTGCACTCAGGTATGCAGAGACTTTATTCAGTTGGTACAATAGCTGCTCTTGAATGGGGATCGGGAGGGGGGAGGGTTGCAGTGGTCGAAGGGGAGTGTTAGTTACTTTCAGACACTTGGCAAAATATTTGGGGGGGGGGGGAAAGCAAAACTAGCAAATTATTTTAAACTAGCAGATACAGACTAGCAAATTATTTTAGGTGGCAAACTGAAATGGTGTTAGGTCTTTGTGTACCAATTTCCGCAGAAAGTTGCGCCCTTAATCGGTTTCTGTCAAGTAATATTTGTTAAGTGATTGTTCTTTTTCCTTCCCATTATTTTGACCAACTCGAGTTTTTGCACGTTAAGTGGTTTTTCGTTTAAAAACAGGTTTGATAAGGCGTATCTTGAAAGGGCGAAAAACAATGCTTGATGAAGGCGTGGCCGACTGGGCGATGGGCGAAGCGTTTGCTTTAGGGTCATTGTTGAAAGAAGGAATTCATGTTCGGTTGAGCGGACAAGATGTGGAGAGGGGTACTTTCAGGTGAGAGGGTTGTTTTTAGAGTATTTTGTGACTACCTCGTGCACTTTCAGTATAGTTTTATGAACCATTTTATTGCTTGGAACAGCTCGAATTGCATTTTGTGCATGTGTCATTTGATTCAGCATAAACGCTTTATAAGTCTACAGAGGGTGAACCAGTAATTCAAGTTATATCAGGTTTTTCAGCCAGTTTCTTGGGAGTAGGTTACTGTTTCTTTGTAGCCAAGGAGATTTCCACCCCTGTTCAATAATGTTCATTAATGTTCTCCCCATCGACAGCCACCGTCATCACGTGCTGACTGACCAAAATGAAGACAAAAAGCGATTCATTCCTCTCAACAACTTGTATCCAAACCAAGCGCCGTACTCTGTATGCAACAGCTCCCTGTCAGAATACGCTGTGCTGGGTATGTGATTTGTTTACTCATTCTACAGTATAATAGAATTATAGGTTCTTAACATTCAATGATCACTTTGGACGTGTAACACTCATTCACATCTTGAAAAAATATACTTTTACAAATGCGACTTGTTGCTAACACATACAATCTCAGCATTTTTACCATCAAAATGCTTCCCTGTTTATTCAGTGTCTCGTGGAAGATATTCATATAAGACCTGTTCATCTTCACATTGACATCTCACTGTAAAATGCACTTATTCTTCTTTAGGATTTGAGCTTGGCTACAGTATGACCAACCCGTATGCTCTTGTGATGTGGGAAGCCCAATTTGGCGACTTCATGAATACAGCTCAGGTATTATGCTAAGGTTTTGTTTCAGGAGTTTCACCAAAGTTCTTCCGCGAATATTTAAGCCCTCACACACTTAAGTTTCTTAGAGTTAATAGAGCACATCAACGGCTAGGAATTGCCTCGTTTTGAAGCATGCATCGTCTCGTGTTGGCTCGAAGATAATGCATAATCTCTCCCATCGTGTCAAGACTGCCTAACCCTGCATTAGTCTTATTTTTTATATGTGTTTGTGTTATCCAAAATAATGTTATCAGCAATACTATGTAAACAAAATGAAAATCCGTTTATAAAAGTTACGAATCACGACAGTTTTGAAGTTGCCTAACAACGAAAATAACAGGATTTCTTAAACAACCTTGGTATTTACCATTCTTGATGTCACCTGCTTGTCCAGCTGTGTCTTGCATGAGGTTTTTGATGTTAAGCAGGTCTAATATGAATGCTTTTTCTGATATATGAGTGTCTCTGTACCTTTTCAGTGCATCATTGACCAGTTCATAAGCAGCGGTCAAGACAAATGGGCACGACAAAGTGCCATCGTTCTACTACTCCCCCATGGTTACGAAGGAATGGTAAGTGCAGGGGTCCTTCTTTCTCCCTAATACATATGCCCGGGCCAAATAAAAGCCAGCTCTGGCATAAAGTCCCTCTGTTTTTACATGTTGTAAGATTATCGTAGAAGATCCCCCTATTTGACTTGCAAGCGATTCGAATATTGAAATGCGTTGGTTTAAGAACAGATTGAACCTATACAAGTTCATAAATGTATTATTTGTTCTGCTCAACAATCTAGATTTCAGTTCAAACGGACATACGCCATATTATTTTGACATTTGCCGAGTCCAAAGAGGGATTGCCCTTGGCCCTCTTCTTAGAGGCTCTTCTTATAGACCCTGCTTCAATTTATATGTTGCACAGGTTGCAAGGGCCATTGTGATATGAAATACATGGCCCTTTCAGTAATCTAAGTGTTAAATTTCCAGGAAATATTTATATTTCATGGACAACCCTATAGAAAAATTGTTCGAAAATTTATACCAATGATTTCTCGCACAAATGTTTGCAGTTTCCCAATATATGGCTGTTAATTTCTACGTTTATTCATATATGATACGTTTTTATTCCTCGATTTTCAAATCTTTAACTTGTTTACTAAGCATAGTTGTTTAGAGATTATTTATTTGTAAAAGATTCTGGAATCTGAAAGCTATATAGCTGATGCATTAAGCTTTCCTGTCATTATTCACATGTGTCGTATTCTCAAGTTAAAGCCATGTCTAATTTTTCAGGGACCGGAGCATTCAAGCGCCCGATTAGAGAGATTCCTGCAGCAGAGTAATGATGATCCGGATGTTTTTCCGGTAAGGAAATGATTAATTTCATTCCGTTGGCCGGACAGGTTTCAAAGCAGTTTTCTAAGAAAAACGAATTCATTTACACCCCTGTCGAAACTCAAACAAATTCGTTGTATATGCTCACTCAAAATGCTTTTATTATGTGACATTAGCCCAAAGCTTAGTAGTCTGCTGTAATGAAAGCCCTATTCGTTACTCACCTAACAAGAGCACATATTGTTCTAGACAAATTTTTGGTTGGTGCAGAACAGAATGTGCTTTTGCTTACCCACCTTCTTTGTGCATTGTTCACAGTTTTTAAAGACACATTTTCTTCACAGTCATTGGTCTTTATCAGTTGAATTCTTTGTACAGTAAAAGTGACCAAGCATGACGCAAAGTTTTGTTTAAGTAGACGAATACAATTCTTTTGATTGACTAATAAACATAACTTAGTTCTTTTGTTTTCAATAGTCGCGTATCATTTTGACATTCAGATATGCTGTAATAATTTCTGAATTGCCTTAAACAGTAAATTGTTTAATTGTCCTCCAGTAGTACCGAATTCGAATAAAAAACCTTTTTTAAAAACCGAATTCGCTCTTCTGTTCTTCAGGATTTTGCCGAAGACGAATTTGAGCTGAAGCAGTTACACCATTGCAATTGGCAGGTTTGTGGCTTTGTTTATGTTGTTGTGTAGATGGACTACATTAGCCAACAAATATAAGACTAACAGTAAATCTATCCTTAGAAAGTTAATTTATATGAGTGATATAATGAGTGCTAGCTCTTTTATTTTGAGATATTGTTGAGAACTATCTGTTACTTTTGCAGATTTGTCCCCCTTTTTATATTTTAACGCGATTGGAGCTGGAAATTGATTATTTTTTCATCCCCATATCTCGCAAATGTATTATTCTTCTTGCTTACAGATTGTGAACTGTACCACACCAGCGAACTATTTCCACGCGCTCAGACGACAAATGAACATGGACTTTCGTAAACCTGTAAGTAAATTCTTAGGTAACACATTGCTGCTGGCCGGATACTATTAAACTTTGCCCTTGAAGCCCCAAAGACATTCGGATTTAAATAAATGCGAGTACTTATAAAAAGTTTCAAATTGCTTGTCGCTCGCAGCATGATTTTTGGAAATACAGTAACCGGAGAAAATAAACCTCTGACTCATAGTTTAGGATGTCATACTTTTTTGTGTATAATCTATTTTCATCATCTTAGCCTTTTAAAGATTGCAATAGTTACTTTAATTATTTTTATGTTTTTCCTCTAAAGCAGTTACATGAATACAGACGTAGCTCTTGTATTAAGAACAGTATGCTATACAGCTGTTCGACTTTCATTTTTGCCATCTCTCTGTCTAATTATATATCTTGGCAACCTAAATTTATTCTATACGAAAAGGACATTTATTTAAAGCAACAAATTCCAGTATCTATTTGCATGAGTTTTGTCACCAAAGCCAGTACTTTTGTAATGCTCACAAGGAGGCTTGTTTATATCGCATATAGCAAAAGTTTTGATTAAGTTCCCATTTCCCTCCATTGCAAAAATTACGACCTCTATTTCTCGTTTATTTTATTGATATCTGTTTTTCAGCTTGTCGTCATGTCACCCAAGAGCCTCCTCCGTGCCAAAGAGGCAAGGTCTCCCTTGTCAGAAATGTTGGAAGGAACCTATTTCACGCGCATGTACCCCGAAGCAGGCCCGGCAGTCGATGATCCAGAGCAAGTCAAGAAGCTTGTATTCTGTAGTGGAAAAATTTACTACGAAATATTAAAAGTAAGAATGTCACTTAACTTTAACAATATCCTCCAGTCTAAAGCAAATTGATCTTTAAAGGCTTGGACCCATGTTGTCTCGAAAGATTTGGTCAAATAATGGATAACTTCTATTTGTTGCAGAGCTTCTATTTTTTGGGTTATTAGAACTTTGATTCGAGTGAAGTTTTTTGTTTCTCTGCTCAGTATGGGAGTCAAATTATTTTGGAATGATTAGATGCTTTGTGCAAACTTTTTGAAGTTTTCTTGGGTTTCAGGCTCTAGATTTTAATATTCTTCTTTATTTGAAGGGCTTGTTTCTATGTTTTGTCTGTTATTTGTCTCCAGGAACGCAAAGCTCGTGATTTGGACAAAGATATCGCCATTGCTCGAGTTGAACAGGTAACAACATTGCATTAGACAGTATGACATGAAGAGCCATAATTCGTTTTAAGGCGTGATTCCATCGGAGTACCCCGATCCCACTTGTCATGTCACAAAGTGAGACAATTTTGACATGTAAAGAGTGCTTGAAATTATCACTACAAGTATTTGCTCCTTTCGATCTTTAAATCGACTTGTTTGCGAGGAAGCTGTCGCTTTTTTGAAGAAATGTGTATTGGTATTGTTTTGATATTGGAGGTGACGGAAACCTGTAATTCTTTGCAGATCTCTCCTTTCCCATTCGATCTGGTGAGAGCCGAAGCAGCAAGATACCCAAACGCAGTAATTGAATGGGCACAAGAAGAGCCAAAGAACATGGGATCATGGTTTTATGTACAGCCAAGAATCATCACTGCTACAGACAATACAAGAACAGTCAAGTAAGTATCGGAGACTGTTGCGGTGACTGTTGCGGTGACCGTTGCGGAGGCCGTTGCGGACACCGTTGCGGACACCGTTGCGGACACCGTTGCAATATCAAGAAATAAATTTCCCAACTGTGACATTTTTTAGCTCCCTGATACTTAATGTCGAATTGCCCATAATCAGACACGGGTTAAGGCAGATCAAGCCCAGATAATTTTTTACGCTTGGCTGTTAACAACTTCTCAATTTTTGATGAGGTAACATCGTATCCTTCATTGAAGCAAGGAAAAATTCGCATAAAAACAGAGGTTTTCCTATACACTGTTTTTCAATACTATTCTTGTTCTTTGCCCTTGACTCTTGGAAAAAAAATGTTTCTGAAACTTTCAAGCAGAGCCAATTAGCAGTTTACCAATGATTGCGATTTCTAAATTTTTACTATAATTTCTCTGTGTCCAGCACTGTCTTGTTTGCTTGTGAACCCGGATAATTTTGAGGCCTTTGTGAAAGGACAAAAACGATGCATTAGGCTAGCGACTACCAAGTTCTTATTTGCTTCACTGATTCTAGAAATTATGGCTTCTGACATCTAGCAACAGGGGTACCATGCTTTGTGTTTTTCTATTTTTCAGTTCTTTCCCCACATTCTACCACTTCCACGCCCCTTCCTCCCCCCAGAACAATGCTGATATTCTAGACAAATATAATTCAGATCATAACAAATAACGTTCTCTATTATTGTCTTTAGTATCTCAAGACCTTTGACAGGGATTGTAGATGCAGTACACGTTTTTTTATTTGTAAGAAACTGGTCTATAAAAAATTATTACTAAGATGCCAAAAAAAATTAAGAAACTTCAGTACTAGACTCACGAAAACTTAAGAAACAGTAAAATTTTCATTTTTTTTAAGAAAATTCATAATTTTTTTATTTTGTTAGTTTTTCTTTGGAAGACGTAGCAAACTGAATTTTTGAAGGTGGCACGAAATAGCGGAAACATTTCATGCCGCCATCTTCAAAGTTCGTTGTACACTATGGATTACTTATTGATCTGCAGAGTTTTTTCGTGACGATCGGCTTTATATTATTACAAAAACGCTCAACTTCAAAACAATAAGGAAATTTTAGGTCCCAAAATAAGAAACCAATTAAGAAACTTTGACAATTAAGTAACTAAAACGCCAAAATTTTGATGCCAAATTAAGAAACTTTTAGTACTTAGTGCTGATCCAAGTTTTTTATAAAATTTAAAAAACGTGTAATGTTGCCATATATATAAAATATTTTCTTTTGTTGTAAAACAGATACGTTGGCAGGCCACCAGCTGCTTCTACAGCTACGGGAAACAAGAAACAACACAAAGATGAGCAACAAGCTGTCATTACAAATTCTCTTGCGATTTAATGAAGAAATGAACACACGAATTTGCTTGTTTAGTATGCATCTTAATATTAAAAATAGAATCTATGTCTGATTTCTTGTACCGGACACAGTCCAATTTTAAGCTTATTTATCCTTGATAATTTTTTCTGTATGATTGCGATGTAAGTTTGCATTGTTTATTGTTTTAATAGAAGCTGGCTGTTTTGTGATAACAGTTTTTATTTATAACTAATATATTCAATTGTTTCGATCTCTGCTCTGTTTTACTTTTGGCGTTAATCTTGTTGTGAAAAAAGCTCTTCGAATCTTGCCTTCAAATCGGCCTTGGTAATAAGTTTTCATGGTGAATGTTGTTTTTAATTGTTAAAGGCCTGTGCATAGATATATCTCAAAATATTCATGCAAGAATGACATTCAGTTGATGATGGCCCATCTAGTGACTCATGCAACCTGTGGCTTATAGCGAAATATACAATCGGTTGTATTAAACTGAAGACAAATAAAGATCTTGAAAAGTTGAAGGAACTAGCACAAGGCAGGAAGAAATGGAAAGAACTGTTAATCAGGATTTAAAGAACCAATAAAGCAGAGAAGAACTTAAGTATTTAGGGTTTTCAATGCGAAATAGCTTCTATAAACATGGGCTCCGACACTGGTTGGGAAGTGGGGGGAGAGGGTGGGCAAGGGAATATATATCACCCATAACAAAGACTTTCTATTCCTTTGCAAAAAAGTTGGGGGTCCTTTCTCCAGAGGCCCTGATTGATATATATATTATACAAGCTTACCATCCCTCGATGGAGTGGCGATCAAGCACGGCACCAGGCAAGTGCTTCGGCTGCGTTTTGGCCTAGCTTGGTGTTTATTAGTCCCTCAGCGAATTGGGGCCATGTCACTGGACTATGTTCGAATTCTGTAAAACTGTACAAGCGTTTTTGAAATTGTCGTAAAATGCATGCAAGTTTTCCCTTGGTCGTAAAATTTAGATAATTCCCACTGGATAACCATGACCATAATTCATGCAAATGGGAACGAGGCTGTATGAATATGTTGTTTTAGAACCACTAAAACTCGTGGCTGGATTTTGGGGGAAGAAATCAAGGAAGTCTGACAGATCATGGCAACTGTAAAGGATGCTGGGGTATCTCAACATGTTCTCAAGACAAGGTAAAGTGATCTAGTAGTGTTAATGATACTTGCCCAGGCTTTGATCATGATATGTCCTACTTTCCTGGAGCACTCAAGTGACGGCCTAACAATTAGACTAGGTTTCAAGCAAAGAAAGTTGACCTATAGATGCACTTAATCATTGAATCTAAATAGACTGGCCTTTCTGTTTTATCCAATTTTAATTAGAATTTTGGAGTATCTTTTGCTAAAGGGCACGTGGCTTCCTATCACCTCCACATTTTTTTGCTTTATCATCGCTTTATCTTCCTATCATCTCAAATTTGTTTGACTGATATGCGTACATGCATTGGTTTGATAGATAAAAAATAACTGTCAATCATTTTTATTTTCTTATCTTTATTGACATCCTTGGAGTCTAGAATTTAGTTGTTCAAACTATAAACACAATTGGTGTGCACACTTACCAATATGGATTCCATGGCAGCTTTTTAAGTTACGAGTCCACTCTTGCACACGCGAATATGGGCGTTGATTGGGTGTGGCTCAAAATAGTTTTTTTCAAACATGGCAAAATGTGGAAATCTGAAAAAAACCCCTTGTGAACGAAGCGAGCAGAAAATTTTTCTGACTTTTCGTGCTACACATCAGAATATTTTTTGCAGTCATTCTCTTGCAATTGTTTGAAATGTTCTATTATTTTGTTAGCCTTAGTTCAAGACCCAAAACTAAAAGTATTGAGTCAAATGTGCACATTTATCATAAATGCACTCTTGTACTCCCAGCTAATAGATTGTGCACTCCCAAAATCTCATCAAAAACTGCCACGAAATCCAGACTGGTACACTTATGCCAAAGTGCACATTTGCTCACTTTAAATTTTGCTCCTGTACACCTGAGATCTTGTTGGAAACTGCCATACTCTGCATTCTTGGAATGATTTTTACTGTGCTGAATCAGCTGGATCTGTTACAAACTGGCCAAAATGTGACCTGTGAAAAAACAGAAGTTTCATAACAGGCCACTCAGTTTGTTTTTTACTTGGTTTGTGAAGTTTAGAATCAAGCCTAAATTTGAATGATTTTAATTTCTAGTTTCAAAGTTGAAAGCAAGTTAGAGGCATTTTATACGGGAGGCAACATACAGGTAAGTTTATAATTAGTGTATTAATTTTCAGTATATCACTTAATTAGGGTTACATCATATTTCTGCAAACCGTTATTTGATCTTTGTTTGTTTACAAGTATGATGTTTTATCAATTGTTGTTTAAATGTGTTCTTTCCTGTACCAGATCTGAAGTTAATCCTAAAAAATTATTGTCTTGTTTAAATATTTTTGCCCCATTAATTAGAAATGGTTTTTAAAATATTAAGTTATTGTTCAATGTTTAATTCACAGTTCACTTCCACTGGAAGCAACTACTTCTGTGGCTGTGGAAACAAAATCCAAATCATTGACACAAAGTCAGGAAGAATTGCCAAATCACTTCAGGAGGTTTTTTTTTCGTCCACTTATTTCTACAGAGTCAATTTTTGATATATCATTTTAGAACTATCACAAATATATATCTCTACATTGATAATTCATTCCAGGATAAAGGAGTTTTTTATGGTACAATGCTCTCTTTGATGCTTTTGTCACCAAAAATTGTTAATAAGTTATGGTTTCATTATTTTCAAAATCCATTTTGCTTTAAAAAATTTACAAAAAGGCTTGAATCTGTGCACCTTTTTCATCCTTTGCTTTTCTATGCTTTTTGTACGGTTATAAATATCAATTTAAGTATTATAATCAAGTAATATAAAAGTAAGTAATATATCAATATCAATTCTTTGCCAGGATGAAGATGAAACCACATGTTTCATTCTGAGCCCAAATGATGAGGTAAGGTTAAATTTATGATCAAAATGTTCATTACTTTTTGTAGAATTATTTTTATCCATTGACAGCTGACTGCTAATTTTGTTTGTTTTGAGAATTCTCCAAAGGACTCTCTTAAGCCAATGAAAAGTTGCATTTACAAAATACAATTTTTCTTGCCAAGATTCCTGATGGAAAAATTGCATTTATTTGTAGATTCTTGTGACAGCTAGCAGAAGTTTATTACTAAGACAGTGGGATTGGGTCAATGAAAAGGTCACTAGAAAATGGAAGGTTTGTTCAATTTTTGATATTGTGTGAAAAATTGCACAAGGTTGAATTCATCGTTGTGATTTCAACAAGGTCCATTGTTTATCAATAAAATTAATTTCATTCAAAAAGTATTTTTTTTCCTAAAGAAATTCCTTGGTCAAAAAAATAAAAGAGTGGCCTCTATCCACTGTAAATTTTATGCTTTTTTGCTCCACCTGAAGGATTGGAATTTGCTACAGAACAATAGAATTCCATCAAGGTATCCTGAACTCCGAAATGGTCTATGATTGTGTTGGAACGCTGACATCATATACTAACCTTGTTGTGCATTCACATTATTGTTATAATGCTTACATGTTTTAAGGGGTTGACGATTCATTGTAAATATTCATGATCTGTTCAGCAAGAAAGTCCAACCTTGCAGTCATTGTTTTGCTTACTCACACTTTATATAGGCACTTTCTTTCTTTCTTCCTCTATCTCATTCTAGAAATGACTGAATTTCAACCCACACAGTGTTATGTCTTTTGCTCTTTAGGCTATCCATCATGCACCAGTTGTCAACATGGCATTTGATCCAACATCAACATTGCTTGCGACAGGTTAGTAACTTCCAGTTTAATTACAACTGAACACATTCATTTGTTTCTTGTATTTTGATGTTATTTTGAAAGGAGGATATTTGTAATTAAGTGTGCTTTGGTTAACTTACATGGTTGCTACTTCTTGAGGATATTTCAAAGCCTTTATTTCATAATTTCTCTTGCTTCTTTTGTTTTCGTTTTTTTAATGTTGAATATTTATAATGCTCCCTTGATAGTGTTACAATGCAAAAATGACTTCTATCTAATCCCCCCCCTCTAAAAAGTCCCATATTTTAAAAGAGAAAGCTGCTGAGGAAAGCTAAATAACTGTAATTGCTGAGTCATTTCAATTAATTGTAGTCAAAATATATGGTTGCAATCCTTTTTCTTAACTCTTAGTAAGATTTTTTCATAAGGTTTTTTTGGTTTCTTTACACAGTCTTGTTAATGGCTTTAATTTTATCTTTGTCAACAATCATGTTAATGGCTTTATTAACCGTCAACTATTAAAAACAACCCTCGTTTAAATGCCTCTTCAAATGAACCTCCAAAAGCATGGAAAATTTAAAGAATCCAAAGAGAGTTTTCTGAAAATAATCGTCGTTTTATTAATAGTAAATAATCGTTTTATTATTGGTTTTGCATTACGATGCAGTCGCATTTTGTATTTGAATACCATGCCAAAATTCATTTTTTTTATTTCAACTCCTCAACTAATAATTGGACATACTCTTTCAATAAATGAGCATTGTTTTGTCTCTGGTAAATCTATTGTAACACTCACAGGCTGTCATTTAAAGTTTTTCATTGTTGCAGGATCATCGGATAGTACCATAAAGATTTGGGATATAATTAAGCAATATTGCACTCACAATTTACGTGGTTCTCAAGGAGTTGTACAGTAAGTGCCTAATTGTGGTATTTTTAGTAAATTTTTGTGTAAACGATCATGCTCTTTACCTGAGGTGCAGTGTTTTTGATAAGTTCTGACCATGTTAGCTGTAGCTTCTTTGTCAATTACCCGGAAGTCGACTGGAGCCCAGATGTGTGAGATCATATGAATAATTAAAGTGTCTACTGATCAAAAGCTGCAGTGTTCGCTTCTTGTAAACTGGATAGCCAGGGATAATTTATACTGCTATTCTCGTTGTGTCTCTAAAACATCACAATTTCTGCCAATTTTTCAAAACAACAGATTTTTAAATTCGATCCTTTGCTAAAACCTGTAAAGTTCTTAATAGGAAAACTGCGTTTGATCTGTGTATGAATGCCTGGATTGATCGGAACTTTGCAGCCATTAGTTAAACAGATCAACCAACACACCTCACAGATGTAACAATATGTTCCAAGTCTGCCCTCAAGCCCCAGTACTTGGCTTTGAAAAACCAAAATTATTTGCTTTCCTACTTTTCTACTTTGTTTAGCTCTAAAATTCTAAAAGTTTTTATGATTAGACGGATATAGTCTTCGTTTTAGCTTTCAGGTCAAAACAGAGCTGATTTTTTAAGAACATTTGTATACAAGGAATTTAAGGGCTTTTAAAGGCTGTCATAAGTTGTATTAAGCAGCGTTGGCCAGTCGTTGTGTCTGACGTAATAGAAAAACGATGTTTTATTGCATATCGACTTTAAGGGTATATTAAACATAGTGCATTGTTGAATGAAATGAATTGAATTGAATTGAATTGATTGAATAAAAAGGGATTGAATTGAATTTCACTGCACACAGTCTCGTTATTCATGGACACTTTTCTACATGTCTTATCAACTTATAAATGATTCTGAAAATGTAGAAGCAATTTCAATTTTTATTCAACATCAAAGCTTCATTGTTTTCCGTTGTGCTTAATATTGATTTATATTCTTATTTCTTAGCTTGGTGCAATTTCATCCTGATCCGACAAAACTGATGTTGTTCTCATCGTCAGCTGATAGTTGCATTCGGATTTGGGATCTCAGTACTAGCACGTGAGTGATGACGAAAGAGGCAGCAAATGCTATGTTTATGTACTGCACGTTATGAGTTTGTTATCTCTAGCGAAATTTAGGTTGTAGGGTTGTCTATGGCGAAAAGCGGTTTCCTGAGAAGGGTGGAGCTTGGTCATTTGCGCATTGAAAACTGGATAATTTTACATCTTTTTATGTTTCTTTTCAGTGAAATTTTGATATTATTAATGGGTTTATTATAGATAATAAGCATTCAAGAATCTAGACATGGAAAATCACTTGAATGTGTGCACGCACTTAAAATTTTGGCTCTATGAGCGCAAGACAAAAGCATTATTGTTTCGTTTTCTGTAATTCCTAGATGCATTTCGACGCTAAAAGGCCACTACAGTAATGTGACTTCTCTATCATTCTTCGAAGACAACGAAAAAATGATCAGGTAATGTTTTAAAATGTCAAGATGTCATGTCATGAAGTTTGCCTGGTATCTTTAAGTCGGATCAGCATTGCAGAGACCTAGTACCTAGGATAATCAATTAGAGTGAAGTCTCTTTGAGATAATAAGTTTTAAATGGAGCTAGGGAACTAGGAGTGAAAGAGTAAAAAAGATAATATCATTGGACAACAGGGTCAGTATGGGCGACTGAATAGTCTATGAAGTGAGCCAGTACTGTTGGATCACAAAAATAACAAATTTCAAAACTAATTGTTAACTATTCAATGGTCCTAACAGGTTTATGACTTAGTATTCTGTGTTGAGTCTATACTTTGTAGCATTTACCGTACAATTTTGTTTACTACAGTGCTGGACGTGACAAAGTTGTAATATTGTGGGATCTTGCCACAAGGAAATCATTAAAAACTATACCAGTCTATGAGGTAAGGATTGTTTCTTTTAACGAGAGGTAACAACGTATTTGCGCTCATTAGAACGTGTGGAGTCGTATAAAATTGCCAAACTTAAATGGGATCACTCACTTAAATGGGATTTCTTAAATGGCCCTATTTATTTAGAATGTCCCAGTCAAATGAAATGTCCCACTTCGTTGGGAAAATTGAACAGCCCTTAACTTAGGCGAGATTATTAGTTCTGAATTGAAGTAAATATTTTGTTAAATGTTTCGTTTATTGCTCCTCTATTCCTTCTTCCAATCCCTGTTGGAGGTTCGAGGCCCGAACTTTGTTTTTTTTGATTTGCCAAACAAGAAAAATTGTTTTCAATAAGTAAAGAAGCCAAGACTTAAGCAAGAACGAGTCATGTTTTTTGACTGAAAAATCTTTGATACACAAACTCAATTTAATATACAAATGTTTAAAAATGCCATCTACAAAAGACTTATTGAGATATTAAAAATTCGACACATCAAATAATTGGAAAGTTAAGTATATTAAAATTTTGGTTTCTTCAAATTGCGTAAAGGTGGCAACGATCTTGGTTTTGCCCCAAGTGCAGGCAACAGCATGTTTCTTCCTAGTGGTTTTGGTGACGTAAGAGATGGACTAAACAAAAGTCCACTTTGCTGTGGTTTGATGCCAGTGTCTGAGTCGCTGCCTGAATCTGAGGGGCTTGATGCGTCTAATGAACTGGAACTCCCAATGGCCTTTTTGGTTTTTTTGTCACCTTTGCTTTGGCTCTCGTCACTCATTTCGATATCTGATATGAGATCGTCGATTTCAACATCGTCGTCAAAACCCAAATCTTTAGCCATCTGCTTTTGTTTAGATGGGATTTTTGTAATCTTTGAATATGATTTTGTCTTTTTTGTCTTTTGTTTTGCCACGAACGAGCTAAGCATGTCATCTTCCTCTTCATCAATTCCAAACTTGTTTGAACTAACTTCTGTCACAAGGAAATGGTAAAAAAGATCATTCAAATCTACAAGAACAACTCTTTGCCAGTTCTTAATGCAGCAAACGTGAACATGTTTTTGCTGAAACTTATTGTTAAAATGCTTCTAAACTTCTTTATTATCGTTTTAGTGTCACAATGGTGATGCACATTTTTTGACAAGCAAATACAGCCTCAAATTGTTCGCTGGTCAATAGTAGCTGTCAATAAAATTAATAACAATACAAAAATATAGAGGCAATATGACAACTACCACAAGTATTCCATTTCTAGTTCCAGTTTTCAAAATTTTTAAAATATCACAAATATCATTATCCTGACCTTCTTTTTGCTCTTGTTTTCTCCCATGTCCTCTTTCTGCAGCGTGATTTTCGTGAGGATTAACTTCATTGGTGTTCTTTTCAGCTAGAGTACAGTCCTTGACGGGGGTGTCTCCAAGTTTCTTCTCTTGCTTTTCATCTTCCTCCAGTGGCTCTATAGCTTCAACAAAATCATATTCATCGAGATGGTTGGCAAGATAATCTTCTTCTACTGTAATGTCTTCAGTGACATTATATTCGCCCTCAAACTCCATAATTTCTTCGGACATGTCCAAAAAAGCGTCATCGTCGCCAAAAGTCACATCTTCCTTTTCACTCGATTTTTCTGCTGACTTTTCTTTATCAGAGGCGCAATCTTTTACTGATTTTGTTCTTTCATCATTGTTGCTTTCTTCCGAAGACTGGCTATCTTCTTCAAAGTCAGATTCGTAACTACTGGAAAAGCCCTCTTTGTTGGCCAAATTCTCTTTAGTGCTAAAGGTAAAAATTATAAACGTTTATCAAACAAGTAGATTTACTGATTTTTATTGGCATAAGATAAAGTAACATTTAACAACATGGACTAATATGTACAAATACGAATGATGGTATATAGGGATGGGCGTAGTTAAAACTGTAATGTCCTAGATATTGAAATATGATTGGGATCAGAATTGGAATAGGCACCAAAGAACCCTCCTCTTCATCTCCATTTTAACTACTGCAAAACTAATTAAGCCAATCTCCCATTGTCAAAATGTGAAATAAGCCCTATTTTTTTCCGACTCATTAAATGACCTTAATGATTCTGATGAAGATAAAAACATTTTTATTGACTAAATCTTGGTTGCAACATTCTCATTCTCTATAATCAATAAATTGGAATATTAAAGGCGTCAATATTAATCTTTTTCAAAGATATTTATCAGAGATCTCTTTTTTAAGCATCCTTCCCTGGAGCATAAATAGATAGTTCCCCTTCTCGTGGCTTTAATCAACTTTTACGGACTATCAACAAAGACTTAATAAGGAATTTCGTGGACAAAGACGTGGACAAAGATCATGAATATAAAGCAAGTCTAAAGAATACATTTATAGACATCTTTAAAGCACTATATTCTGACTTACTTTTCAGTTTCAACTGTCTGGTGATTCTCCATTTGACTGAGTGTTGTTTGAAGCTGCTCGCATTTTAAAAGCAATTCTTTTTTCTCGGATTTCAGCTCGTGAATCTCATCATATGCTTTCTCTAAATCGTTCTCTGTGTTCTTGAGAATCCGAGATGTTGTCTTTTGCTTCTCCAGCTGCTTTTCGAAGACTCCCTTTCCTTGTTTCAACTCATTGTTGTCTGTTTCAAGCTCTTTTGTCTTCCTCTTTAATTCAGTAACTATTCGTTGCAACTTTTTCGTCTCATCGACTAATTTTTTGTTCTCCTTGTCAAGCTGCTGGATACTTTGATTTTTTGCTTTTAATTCTTCTGCCCTTTCATCAACCATTTTAGACAACAATTCGTTGTTTTCACTTCTTTTCTGCATCAAAAGCAGTTCTGCCTCTTTTTCTTTCAGCTTAAATTTGGCAGTTTCAAGTTCTTCCTTTATGTGTTGCTTCTGTGCCTCCAAATCTTTCTCTTTTGCTGCTGACCTTTTAGCAATCATCTCTATGTTAGCTTCAGTATCGGACAAGGTAGAGGCAAGATCATCAAATTTTCTTTGCCAGTCCTCAGCTTCTTTCTTCAAAGCATCCATGCTAGATATGGCCTCATTTTCCTCACCTTTCTTAGCTTCCAGCTTTAAATTGAGGACTTTAACTTTATCTTCCAGTTTCTGTTGCTGAAGATCTTTTGCATCAAGTGTCTTCTTAATCTCATAATTATGCTTCTGGATTAGCTTTTCTCTTTCCTTCATCTCTTCAAGTTTCATAGACAGCTCTCGAAGTTTTTCAGATAGCTCGTTTTCCTTTCCAGCAACAGTTATGCGATGCTTCTGTTTTTGCTCGCAACTAGCGACTTGTTCTTTCAGTTTCATGTTTTCAGTAAGCAGTTCTTCTTTGCTTTTTGTCAGCTCATCAATTGTTGATTTAGCTTGCTCCAAATCTTTCTTAGAGTTGTTTTGCCAATGCATTTTTTCTTGTTTTGCTTGCTCTTCTGTTGCAGAAAGCTTTTTCTCAAGCATGTCACACATATTTTCTCGGTCTTTGATCTTCTTAAACAGGTCAGCTTGCTTTGCATAAGACTGTCTAATTTCTTCTTTTTTTGATTTCAACTCTGCTTTCAAATTTGAGCAGCTGCTTTCTAACTCAGTAACGCGACCATTTATTTTCGCTATCGAAGATTTGGCAGCGTCTTCCTCTCTGTTTTCTTCTTGTAGCTTTTGGATTGTTTTATCCAGATCCTTAACAATCTCAGTTTCCATATCAAGCTTTTCCTTAAGATTGATGTTGTCCACCACCAGCTTCTTTTCTTGTGACCTTGCTTGTTGAATCTGCTCATTTAATTTTTGACTTTCTATTTGATGATTTTGTTCCTTGGTGTGAATATCTGCCTGTATTTGCTCGATCTTTTTCATTAGATCTGATACTTGGCCTTTGGCAGACACCTTCTCTTTTTCAAAGGTCTTAATCTTTTCCTTGATATCTTTCGAACGCTCTGTTGCTTCTTGTTTCTTTGCTTCGAGATCTTTCTCCAACTTGATAATCTGAGCCTTAAGTGCAGCAACTTCATCAAGTGATTTTGCAAGGTCATCCTTAAGTATTTTGTTCTCTTCAGTCAAAGGTGCTGTTGTTACCTTGGTATTTTCCTGTATTTCTTTCAAAGATGTCTATAATGTTTTGATTGTTGCATTTTTCTGTTCCAAAATACTCTCTAGGTCGATGCAGCTTTTCTCCAGATCAACATTGGCATCAAGAACTTTGTCTAACTTTTCATTGAGATCTTCTTGCTCTTCCTTGAATGATGTTTGAAGATTTTCTTTCTCCTTCAACAAACCTTCGATTTTAGAGCTTTGATTATCGAGTTGATCCATGACTGATTGAAACTTCTCCCGCTCGATGCTGTTGTCAACTTTCTCTGTGAGTTCTGTTTTGAGTAGGCCTGTGCTTGAACCTCTGCATCTGTTAATTTTCTTTTCAAGGAAATGTTCTCCTGCTCAAATTCGGCAAGACTTGTTTCTAATTTTCTTTCTTGCTCTTTTGTTGATTTCACATTCTCCTCGTGGCTCAATTCTTCATGGAGCAGTTTTCCTTGAAGCTCTTTCAAAAGTTGTCTCAACTCTTCATTTTTCTTATTAAGGTCTTCAATCTCCCCTTTTTTGACTAGTTGATCTTTCTTCAATTGATTCAACTCTTCTTTAAGCTTTAATGTTTCTTTGTCAGGATTTATGTCTTGTGGTTCCTCTACTTTTATATGCAGTTGCTCGATCTCCCTGCATTTCTCTAAAATTAGTGTCTCAGAGGCATCTAGCTGCCCATTGCCGTCTTCGTAGCTGGTGAAGTTTTGAAATTGGCTTAGCTGACTTTCCTTTTCTTTCAGATTGCTTTTTAGCTCACCATTCAAAGCTTCTAAGCACTGCAGTTTTGCCTTTTTGCTCTTAAGGTCGACTTTCAGGGCCTGTTTTTCTTTTAAAAGTCTGTCAATATCATCTTGTCTGTACAGAACAACAGCTTCCAACTCAGATTGAGCTTTTTCTAATTCTGCAGCAGTTTGCTCAAACTTTTGCTTGAATTCTTTAGCTTCGAATTGATATCTTTCAATTTCATTACCAAAATCAGCTCTCACCTCTTGAAATTTTTCCTCCATGAGTTCTTGCATCAAATTGAGCTGTTGTTCTGCTTCTATGACTTCACTTCTGTCCATCATGGAGTTATAGTCGGAGACAAGAGACCTGTTTTCGTCATGAAGTCGTTCAAGATCATGATGATATTTTCTCAACTTCTTTTTGATTTCTTCATTTTCTAACAGCAGTTCGTCAATCTCAGCCTGACATTCTTCTTTGCTCTGTTTGACTTCGAGCTTCAAGCGTTTTTCAACCATCAACTCTTGCTCCAATTGCTTCATTTTCCGTTTGATGATAATAAGCTCTTCGAATTCATTTTCCCTCTGTTTTGACATCTGAATGCGAGGAAAGTTTGGTCTTTAGACTTTAGGTTCTTTTTACAGGAAAAAGCAAGATATTTGTATGGATACTGTGAATTATTGTAAGTGACTCATCTATACATAGGAGGTGTTTCTTCATATTGAGTAATTCATACAATGTTCATCTTGTATTTAAGATATACAATAGCTATCACTCACCAGCTTCTCTTTGTCAAGTTCCTCTTGCAGTTTGATTATCTGCAATTTCTGCGACTTCAGAAGACTTTCCATCGATTGCTGCATTTGTATACGTTGTTCCCTTTCATGTTCAATGACCCCTAAAATGGCATTGACGTGAAGTAATAGGAATGTCAATAATAGGAATATTATCACGACTGGACAAAATAATAAATTTTTTTGAAATCTTCCTCTCCTTTGAAATTAGATCGTTGAGGCACGTTAATTCACGAAAGATACACGTGTGAAACTAGTCTATTTTCAGAAAAATTGGCAAGTTTTGAAGAAAAATCTTTAAAAGAACCAATAATTTTCGTGAAATTGAAGATTGCTCGTCTCCTGTTCCGAGGATCCTACTAATTTTTGCAATATTAATCCACTTCATGTAATTTTGAAGCTAAGAATGATTTTGTGACATTTCCTTTGTTATGAAGCAAAGTTTAGTCTCTGAAATCTCTGTAACATCTTTTAGATTGCTTAAAACTGTCGAATACGCGTTATTCTGCTTACCCAGTGCAAGGTGAAGCTCATTTGTAGTTTTATTTAGTTGCCTTTTAGCTGCTTCAAGTTTCTCTTGCAGTTGTGTTTCTTTGACCTGAGACTCAGTCAGGGTCATTTGGGCATGATCGAGATCTGCTTGCAATTTCTTTATAACCGCCTTTCTAGCATTGATCTCATCTTGAGCTTGTTTGACTCTGTGTAAAGGATGTTTAATTTAGTTAAAGTTGATTAAATTATAACATGCTAAAAAAGAGTTCATAGCTGACCAGAAGATGTTTAAAATGAATTGATTTACCTCGTGTTAAGTGACTTGATTTCGTACTCGCGAAAATCGGGTCCGTTTTCAAGCCATTGATCAATTTTAGCCAAATGAAGGCCTTCTGGGGTATCCGCTGTTCTCTCCTCTTGGAAATATAGTTTCCTTCTGAGAGTTTCAAGTTGGTTGAAACATGCTTTGCCTAACTTTGTAGGCGTTGCACTGCTGCTTGAATGATACCCTAAATTGAGAAAAAACGTTACATTATTGCTATAATTGGTAAGGGATTTTGGTTATTGTTCGTTATTGCTCATAAAAACAGGCCTTTAGATATTTTAAATGCAGTAGTATAGAAAATTGTTAGGTTTATACATTGAAATACCAATGTTTATCATTCGTTCGAAAATTCGATGCGGTGGTGTCTATGCAAAGGTTTCCTACCTGCTTTCATTTCGATTCTCGATTAACTTTCGTGAGACAAATTTTACAAGGTAGATTGATCTAATATACAACGAAAGACGTACTTACCGTTAATATTTGTGGTATGAGATGCATATCCCTTGGTATACCAACGATAACTTGCATCTGTGTTTCCATTATTGTCCTGGGAGTAACGTGGTGCGTGCACCGTCTCCTCGTGAACTTTCCGTGCGGCATGACCGTTGAAAAACCGATTCTCGCCGTTCCTCATGCATATCCAACAACGGACGCTACCGTCCGAACTGAAACTCGCCATTTCACCGTGTGCTGTGTGCTGGTAAGAAACACAAGAACACGAAACCAAGTGCAAATCCACAAGTAGAATGCACCGATACTCACAGTTGTGAAAACTGAAGCATGATTTGTCTAATCATGGTGCGCCCTTTTATACATGACGGTGGCCGCCTCCAGATGATTGTTACGTCAAATTGATATTTTGTTACGGGAATTTGGGACGATTTTGGATGAAGTATATTGAAAGTTAACTAAACTAATTCTAAGCTAGTGAACCTGTTATTTTTCGAAAAGCTTGCTCTGTTAAACTACAATCTTACCAAACGTTGTTGTAATGGCTGGCGAATTGTAGTCTTTTTGAAAAAATGCGCTCCCCACCCCCCACAGTCAATGTTGATACGCTTATTTCTACTCATTTCGATTGTCGTTACTTTGGTATTTTCGAGAAAACCAATTTTGCTGCAGGGGTGGGGGGTTTTGATAACTTTATTGGGGTAAAGTTGCAGTTTTATTGGGTTTCTTCTCAAGTCCACTAACCTTTTTGCCAGGATTGTAGTTACATCAAGACCCCGTTTACACTACAGAAGAAAGAACGGAGCTCTCTGGTTCTGTGCCTGAAAAAGCGATAATAGGCCTTGCGTTTACACTAGGCATCTTGGTTCCGTGCTAGTTTGAGAAGGCTTCTTTGGTTTCTCTGTCGCTAACATGCAAAGCACTTGTTTTCTTTAATGTAAACGGCTAGGAACGGAACGTGAGGGGGGGGGGTAACTTTAGTTAGTTAATTCGAAATGGTACTTTGAAATCATTACTTGCTTCCTTTTTTCCACAGGCAGTGGAATCTGTGATTGTTCTGCCACGTGACAAGGAATTAGAATGGTGCATGACATCAGAAGAGGAACAAAATGTCAAGTTTATAACTGCCGGTGAAAAAGGTGAATATCTTTGGTCCAATTTGTGGACAATGTTGTGTAAAAATTCACTCTATAATTAATCTCTGCAATATCGTCGAGACATATCATTGGTTTTCTGTGCGCTGTAAAACTTTCCATTAACCCAATTTACTGTAAACACAAGAAAAGATGTTAGTTTTTCTCAATATATAATACTCGCTTATCAGACCCAAAATTCTCAGAGTATGACACAAGTTGACTGTTTGCATCAAATTTTCAGGCATCATTCGGGCATGGAGTGTTCGTGATGGCAAGTGCATCTTTGCCCCAGAAAGATCTGCAAATAAAGCTGTGGACAGTATTTGTGAAAACCCTGCTCCTTCATCAACGGTTATCCAGTGTGTCCTCAATGAAGCTCTTAATTGCATCGTTACTGTTTCCGATGACCAAAATATTGTCCTTTATGACTTGAATTCACTGAAAATCTTAAAACAGGTAACTTATTTTGTCGTTTTTGTCCCTTAGTTGTATCTCTACTTTCGTTGACATAATAATTCAAGCTTTTATTATTGTTTTTTTCTCTCATTCTGCCTATTTAAGAGAACACCCTAGCTTTTTTAACATAATTAGACAGTAATCGACTCTTTCTATTTTGTTGATGAATTTTTCTCGTGTATAGTTTGTCGGACACCTGGACGAAGTTCTGGACTTAAAGTTTGTGGGGGAAGATCATTCCCTTCTCTCGGTCGCATCAAACAGCCCTGATGTTAAAGTTATTGACAGAGAAACCATGGATTGCAGAATATTGAATGGACACACAGGTTTGTTTTAAATTGAGATTTTTGACAGTGGAAACGCTTAGAACTTCCATTTTAATTTTTAAATGATTTCAAGTCTTTGGTAAAACATTAGAGAAAACCTTGTTTGTTTTTGGTAAAACTGCGATTTAATGATTTTAGTGAAATAAACCCGAAGTACAATATTTTGTGTGTATGATAGCAGAATGTATTTGCAATACTGTTTACTTTGGTTATTTAATTCAATTCCTGTTGTTTGTTAGCTTGTTAATTGTGGCAGATGATAATTTTCCGTTCTAGATACAATAATGGCACTAGATGCAAGTTTCGATGGCAAATACATCGCTTCGTGTTCAAAGGTAGGCTCAACATGTATTATCTTTTTCTAAAATGTCTACTCTATTAAATGAATGCTTCTTTCTAATTTAGAATAGCAGAGGAGTAAATAAGCTTGATATGTAGTACTTCATTTTGAGAGGGCCTTTTTGCTTCCTAAGTAAATCATTTACTGATCTTCCAATGGCTTTATCTTGCACTTGAATTTGTTCTCACATTGATAATTAAGTCTTTTCTCCTATTTTATTTTGCCTTATTTATTAAAGGATAACAGTCTAAGGATCTGGAGACTGGGCGATGACAAAACCTTTTCATGCGTGGCCTTAGGTGTTGGCCATACGCATGCAGTTGGAACTATTGCTTGGCCGAAGTAAGTAATGCAGTTTATAGAAAGCAGTGTCTGGATATTTTCTCCATGACTTGATCTTTTCTTTACCTTCTGTTGCTCACAGTATATAAAGAGAGCAGTGTTAACATTGAAATTTTTTTACTATCAAACTTTACACAGGCTTTCACATTATATGCATTATCTCTTTGAATGAGGTACGAGCTATGTTTTGCTGCTCCTATCTGCTTGTGTTTTAGTCAATATTCTTTCATCGTTTATAGAGATCAGTGTTCATTCAGTCTGTTTGCATCTCAAACCTAGGGTAACATTTGAAGTCCCTTTTGCTGTTACTCGCAAGGAGTTCCCATTTGGGATTTTGTTGTTTGCCAAGCAGGGGTACTTTGTCGGCAAGTTATCCCATTTTATGCACCTTCATTAGATGAAATCAAACTCTATAGGTCATTGCTAGAACAGGAAGCATTTATGGATGATGTTGCACCTTTAAAATCATTCAACACATTTTTGTGTTGCTCTTGCTCGTTTTTGTTTATGTTTAATATATTTGAAATAAACAGACTTTATAAAATGATTATAATTGCATTAAAGTTAAGGTACATTTTCTACTTGTTTCAACAGAAGAAGCACAGATCATTTAGTAACCGGAAGTCAAGATCTAACTCTGAAGTGCTGGAAAGTCCCACAAATATTCGAGGTGATACCATAGGTTTATACTCTTAAGATGGAGTTATCCAATGCAAACCAAACATTACTTAGAAAGCACATTAAATCCTGTTTTCCTTTGAAGGCAAGAAATCATTTCTGTGGGCTGAGTAAACCATGTTTACTTTTGGAAAAAAACAAAAAATTGATGCAAGTAAAAAATGTTTCATGGAGGGTAGAGCCTCGTCCATTAAAAAAATATTTGTTCTAACCTCATCCATTCATTGAGTTAGTCTTTATCATTTCTATGAATAAATTTGACAGGATAATGGTTTATCAAAGATTCAAGCTGTATGGACTGTGAAAGCCCATGATAAGGTTTGTCACGATATTTTTCTTTAGTTGTTCTCAGAATTTACAGCGCATGCTGCGAAAGAACACGAATGCAAAAAGTTCCAATTTTTGTCGACCCACAGCATTTAAGTGTGAATATGATTATTTAAATACACTTTACCCATTTTTTCTCATATCAAAAGGAATAAATTTACTGCAAAAGCATTTGATACTTAAAAAGATATGTAATTTCAAATGTATATGGCCTCTGGAGATACTGCGGCAGAAAGATCTTTTACGTTTAATTGCAACTTTTTTCAGGAAGGTTATTCTATATTGCGATTTCTTTTGTTGAAATAAACTTCATACAAAAATATGTTTTTAGGACATCAACTCTGTTGTGTTTTCTCCAAATGACAAACTCATCGCTTCGGGGTCTCAAGATAAAACAGCAAAGGTAGGCCATCAAACCTTTTTTGAGACAAAGAGGAAGCTTTATCTTTGATTGGCTTGGTAAAATATCAAAAGAAGGCCAAAGCTTCTAAAATTAAAAGTAAACCTAAAGATCATTTTGATTTGAAACATTTTTTGGCAATTTTTAAATGATTCATCAGCTTCTTTTGGATTCTAGTTATGGCTTGCATCCGACGGAGGCACGTACGGGACGCTGCGTGGTCACAAACGAGGAGTTTGGTGCGCAGCGTTTTCTCCAGTCGATAAATGCCTAGCAACAGCATCAGCTGACTCGACAATAAAGCTATGGGCAATTAAAGATTTGACTTGTGTGAAGGTGGGATTGAGAAATTTGCTAATGTTTGCTTGACTTGATAAGATACTTTGGTCAGAGTAGTTGCCCTAAAGTTCACCCAAGCCTAGATTAAGTTCATCCAAGCCTAGATTAAGTTCATCCAAGCCTAGATTAAGTCCACCCTAGCCTAGATTCAGTTTATCCAAGCCTAGATTATAGACGATGTGGTAATAATCAAAATTAGAATTCAAGATGAAAAAATGTAGATATTAAAACCCATATACCCTTAAGACATATTTTTCCTTGTCAGAAACAATTGACGGAATCAAATGTTAATAGATATTGGAATTTAAAAAGCAATTTTTCGTTTTAGACACTGGAAGGTCATACCAATTCGGTGCTGAGGCTTGAATTCATGACACGTGGGATGCAGATAATATCAAGGTATTCACAAATTATTGCCTTGCTGCTATCAATCACTAACGTACATGGAATCCCCTGGAAGATTGTGGTTTTTTTTTTAAATAAAGAATCGGATTTCTAACATTTTGGAATGACAATTATTGCAAAGCATCCCGGTATTGTTTCCCTTCCGACAATCAATTTTACTTGATTTTGTTGATCAAACTTTTTCTTCACCTTTCCGAGACAACTTTATCTTATACCTTTTAATGCACGAAAGCAAGTCTAGTGAATGGATAGAACTTCAATAACTTCTTTCTCTAGTAGCCTTCTCATAACCTAGTTAGCAAACGTGATTTATTTACGTTAAATTTGCAAAACTTGCTTTTCATTTTAGTGGATCGGACGGCCTAATCAAAACATGGAATGTGAAAACCAACGAATGCCTAAATACTCTGGATGGGCATGCAGATAAAGTGTGTTTTTCAAAGTTTGCTTTGGCTCTGTATTGTAGAATCTATTAATTTCTTCAAGTCGTCAATCTCTTTGTTTTAGTTAATACGATACTTTTTACAAAGTAGCTTTGCAATTTCGTTCGAACAAGTCTGTAAAGATTCTGACGTATAACTCGTCGAAGTAAACAACACTTTTGATTTTTTAAATCTATTTGTAATATTGTTCTTCCTATGAAAGGCAAGTAGATTATTGAAGTTAAAAAACCTTCGACGCAAGGTCCTTGAACCATAAACGATGTTTTAGGTTTGGTCGTTGGCTTTGAACAAGACTGAAGACACTCTTGTTACAGGAGGAGGAGATTCTGTGTTGAACATTTGGAAGGTAAGTGAAAATGTCACTACACCAACAACAAATAAGTATATTCCTTGTTAATATCTTAAAAAGTAGAAGTTATTAAATCGTTGACAGTGTCATAGTTGAAACTTTAGAAAATGATATAAAGAGCCCGTGATGTTTGTTGTCTTTATATGTTTCTTTCTTTCTTTCAAAGTAAACCGTACCATTACTTTCCATTCTTTGATCTTCGTTTCAGTTTCAATGTCACTGTACTTTCTTTTGTGAAGCTGTTTCTTATGGTACTCTAGTTGTTATCAGGTTTACAATCATTTTCTGTTAGGATGTTACGGAGGAAGAAAGATTAGAAGAAGAGGCAAAGCAAGAGAATATGATTCTGAAGTAAGCAGTTACAGATAGAAGTTGGATGTTGCTTAAACAGAAAACTTCGTGGGCCTATGATGTTTCTGTTAGAGTATGAAAATATTGCGGGTGACAACTGTTAGAAAGATTGTGCATAGAAAGTTTGAGCTGATCTCTCTTTCAAAATAGGCTTTTTGACAGAATTATATTGAAAAATTTCAAGTATTGCGTGGTGATACACGAATAATGAGCCACCGGGATGTTAAATTTCTTTCATTTTTTATCAGAGTTATTTTTTTAATCAAGTATTAAGTATCGGTAATGGCTAAGTATTAAAGAACTCAGATCTATATAATTATATTACTTTGTTTTACAAAAAGAATATTGTAGAAATGGCACTTGGAGTTATTGTTTTAGCAAATGGGAGCAGTGTTATTCACATTTTAGTGTTGATATTTTTAACATTTGGTTTTGTAAACATTTGGTTTGTTTATTGCTCTTTTAGAATTTGGGATTTAATTTTACGATAGGAATCTTGTCACTGTTGTTTGATTGTTTTAAGGATATGTTCCACTCTTTTGATAAGTGATGACTTTCTCCATTTCTCGTACAATTAGGTAGTAAGAAAGGAGAAAATGAATTTATGGCGGAGAAAAATGAACTTTCCTTGTCTATTCTCTGCCCAGATTTTGAAGTTTCTTGGTAATTTGAGTCCATCAAATTAAATTTAAGGTATAAGGTTGAATAAGATTGATATTTGTAATTCATTTTATCTTCAAGGGACCAAGAATTATCAAATTTGCTTGGCAAGAAGAAATTTACGAAAGCCATCGGCCTTGCGCTATCACTTGAAAGACCGTTTACAGTGTTGTCAATTTTGAAAGGTAAGCACTTTAAAATCAGTTGGTATTAGAACAGAAAATTTCTTGACATTTTATATTGCTTGACACTTGTGTATCTCCTCTAATGAAAAGCATCGCTGAGTGGGGTCTACTAATTAAAAATTAAGAGAAAGGGGTTCTCTGAATAAGATGCCATTTTATAGTGCCAATTGGCAATCTCTACTACTTTTAAGGAATGCTTCAAATGACGTCACTTTGTTGTTCATTGCCTTTCAGAATTACTAGCTGATGCCAATGGAGAGGAGAGGCTAGCCTCAGTCTTGAGTGGGCTACGGAATGATCAAATAGGTTGGTGAAATTTACATTGACTTTTTCAATTTTGTTCTCTTTGTCTGTAATGCGAAGTGTTTCAGATTCTAGATTCTGGAGCAAACCAGTAAAGAACTGAAGGCAATCGAAGAGGCCGTTTCGAAAATGTTTCGTTTCGATAAGGAATTGTGACTAAACTGGCTGTTATCAAAGTTTTGTTAATCTTTGTAAAAACAAGTCATTGATGATACAAACAAAAAATAAACACAGATTTTGACTTCCTGCTCCTCCAAAAGGGACCTGATGAATATTCTTTGGCCTTTGTCTAATTCGCGCTTGTGTCACCGAATTCTCTCAGAATTCGAATTGAAAGACGTTTTTCTGTATTTTCTTTCATTTTCTTCTTTGAATGCTTTTGTTAAAAATATTTACCTATATCGCTTTTCAATTTTATAGATTTGGTTCTCAAGTATATGCGAGACTGGAACACAAATGCCAAAAATTGCCACGCTACCCAATCAGGTAATTTTCACCTTGAAAGGAATTCTTCGAATATTTTTAGACTTTTGGATTTTTTGGTTCAAACTTTATTATCCAAAAGATCTAATCTACCAATAAAGAAAGAAGGCGATGTTATAACAAAGCGATGTGATAACAAAGTCATATCTCTCCAGTATGTACGGAAATATAGCAACGAGGGTATTTGCTCTTTCCTTAGCAAACTGCCTTTATTTGGTCTTGGTTTTCATAAAATAAATGAATTCCTGAATTTATCATCCAATCCAACTAACCCGTTCACTGTCAGTTTTATAAAGTCTATAAATTGTTTTGCATATTTCAAGGAACTTTTTTTATTAACTTCAGGCAAAATGTATTTTGTGACGTCATCATTCCCATGCTTTTTTAACTTCTTTGCTCAATTTCTTCTTCATGTGCATGTTTCTTTGTGCTGACTATTTTCGCAATATTTTTCTGAATCATCACGTGACCAAGCAATAGTTGCTACCAACTTGGTTTTATTCTTCTTGCAGCACTGTCCATTATCCTGAAGTTTAAATCACCCGATGAACTGACTCAGCTGCCAGATATGAAGGACAACATCGAAGCAATTCTTCCATACACGGGTATAACAGTTTTCGTAGTTCAAGAAACCTAATATAATATGCTGGTTTTCTTTGTTTGTTTTATTAAGAACTTCTATTTCTTCCTTTTGATTGTATTTCATTTTTTCTAATTGGTGACTTTTAATTTTAGAACGGCATTTCAATCGGCTGAATCGCCTTTTACAGGTAAGATACGCATTTTTGTGTCTACAATATTAATGTTGTGAAAAGTAGTATGATATTTTCAGTCTTATAAACAGTCTGTATATCGTTTCAATATAATTTGCTGATGGCCTAAGATCAATTATGCACACTAAACATAAAAATATAACTTAAACATTATTGGATTGTACCTTCTCACATTTCAAATAAATTCTGCATCATTCTCCCGCTAATACAATACCCTTATTGATTCATATCTACACTCGATTTTGTACTATAAAACAAAAACAGACTTTCTCACATTTAATTGACCTCTGCATATTTCTTTACTAAATATAAACTGAATAGAAAATTGAAATTTAAAATCAATGATTCACTTATATCTGATAACATAAATAAAAAAAAACTGAAATTTCTTCATAAAATTCCATTTAAATTCATGTCAAAGAGCATTTGCATTACTCTTCGGTCTGTTTCTGCAGCAATCGGCATTTCTCGAATACACATGGGAATCCATGCGACTTTCTGTCAAGGATGTCGACACTAAAGCGTGAGTGAATAGGATATATTTCTTTTGACGTCATTAGTTACCATACCCTTAACTACCTTTCGCAAAAAGTTGAAATGGTATTTTCGCAGTTTAGTTGATACAGCTATGCAGGTTAACAAGGAATTTTCAGTTTAATTACTACCCACTTATTCCGAGGAGCCAAGTTGTCTTTCTCTTCTCCTAGATCTGAGCAGTTGGAAATCGATGAAGAAATTAATGCTGAAAAGAAGAAACATAAATCCGTTGGCCAAGCTTCTAACCAGCAAACAGAACATCTCAGTGATCTCATCGCTATGGATACATGGGATCAGCACCAAAGTGAGGCTGCAGATGGAACGGAGGAGACGATTCATGAATCTAAAACCCAAAATAGTGAGCCCTGCGAAGGAGATTCTTTGTTAGAAACAGAACCAAGTCAAGAAGAGAACAAGGAGGTAATTATAGTTGAAAGTGACGCAACGATTTACATCTGCATATTTCGTTACTTCAAATAACATATTTATATTCTTAAAAAATATGTTTTGTAGAAAGACTTTGAATTGCTATATGTTATTCCTTCTCTTGATAATTCTCCAATATTTTTTGAAATAATTAACCTTGCTTTTCAAACTCCTTTGTATTACTAATTTTTATCCTTTTGTTTTAGAACCACAAAACTACGATAGTTAGAGATGAAAGTTTGATTGAAAAAACCCCTGGCCCAGGGAAGAAGAGAAGGACTTCAGAAAACGGAAAACATTTAAAAACTGGCACCGCAAAGAAAGTAAAAACGAGAAAGAATAAACCCCTTTGATGTATTCATACTGAAGTTGGTTTTTAGGAGTAAAATTCTTTTAGAAGAAAGAAATCTACTTTATGCATTACGGTATTATCTTTGCAAATATTTTAACTTTTATGAAACCAATGTTTACAAAGAAAACCTGCCTATCACACCATTCGCACGCCCGTTAGTTAACTTTAAAAGCTGTTAACTATCAATCACAAAGGTTTGCTTATGGAAAATCCTATTTTTGTTTGCTTGGAACTATTACTCACTCATACTTGACAACTTGCTTTGTGGAGGAGACAAAGTCAAGGGACTCGGTCAATCAATCCTAAACACAATCTCGCAGTCCATTCTCGATCAAGCAACAGAGTACAAATGTGTTACGTATGAACATTCGCATTTTCAATTATTTTAATGTTTTTAGCTAATCACATCGCTATATTGAGCAGACTGCAGTGTGCAGTATGTTATTTAGTGTTGTCGCACTAAAAGGAGAAGGTAGTTTATGCTGAGTATAGTGGATTTTGCCCAGTAGTGTGGGGGGCATAGAGCCTTCCCTATATTCTATACAAAATGAACGTTTCAGTTGTTTTCGTTTTCATGGCCCCCTATATATCAATTTCTCTACCTGGTCTACCTGTTACTTGAGTAGAAAAATCTAAAGATGTAGAATTTAGATTAACGATATTTTGCCAGCTTTGGCAGCAAGACTTTTCAGTTATTTAGAGGGCTAGTCACACATGAATCCAAATTTCAAAAAGGAATATCGGTTCAATCAAAGATTTGATCCTGGTGGAAATTAGCTATGATATTTTAGAATTGCCAAGAAAAAAGTTTTGAGGGGGCGCAGCTCCCCTTCTGCTCCCTTGAGCCCCCCTATTTAGAAAACTTTTTCTTTTCCTGAGATAATACTTGTGCTGCATATTATATCTTTTTGTATCGACATCAATTCTTTCAAGAGAAGCAATCAAAACAAGAAATAGATGGAGATTCAACGCTGTATAGAATCGATTCTTAGAAGAAAATTCAGTCTATTGAATTGTATGGATCAGGTATACCAAACAATGGCTACAAACTAACGCCAATAAAAAAATTAATATTCTATCAAATTTTTCTTTCTGACACTTTTTTCTTGGACATATACAAATGGTGCTGTACGAGGCAGTGCAATGACAGTTGTGTGGTCTCCTCTCCCAACTCCGTTCCCCTTTAGGATAACTAGGTGATGTAATAAAAGGAAGAGGCGCTCGAGCAGCAAACGATCTAATGCTAACCAGGGGGATAGATATTCCCAAAATTGGAATCTACTTTTTGAATGATGCAAATGATGCAGAATTAACTCTTTGTTCCTTAGTTTTATCCATTTGTGATTTGGAAAAGTGGAACTGTTTTCTCAAAACCTAGCTGGCATCCAGAAAACTGATGCTGCTTGCCTGCAGTCTGTACAGATAATTTTTCAACACTGTTAGGTGTATTTTAGGCATTTAAGCTTTTGAATTTTAAAGTACATATTAACCCTGTGTCTCATCTCTTTCACCAAGTCGAAATTTCGAAACTTTGATTCGAGTTGCCTTAATGACTTTTTATAAGTATCCTTGTCCTTAATATTGATTAGACGGATAGACGGATATTGTCTTTGTTTTAGCTTTCAGGTGAAAAACAGAGCTGATTTTTTAAGAACATTTGTATACAAAAAATTGAAGGGCTTTCAAAGGCTCTCATAAGTTGTATTAAGCAGCGTTGGTCAGTCGTTGTGTCTGATGTAATAGAAAAACGATGTTTTATTGCATATCGACTTCAAGAGTATATTAAACATAGTGCATTGTTTGAATGAAATCAATTGAATTGAATTGGTTGAATGAAAATGGTTGAGTTGAATTTCACTGCACACAGTCACGTTATTCATGGAAACTTTTCTACATTTTCAAGGCCAGTATGTGTCTTATTAACTTAAACATGATTCTGAGAATGTTAAAGCTATTTCAATTTTTATTCAACATCAAAGCTTCATTGTTTTCCGTTGTGCTTAATATTGATTTATATTCTCATTTCTTAGCTTGGTGCAATTTCACCCTGATCCGACAAAACTGATGTTGTTCTCATCGTCAGCTGATAGTTGCATTCGGATTTGGGATCTCAATACTAGCACGTGAGTGATGAAGCAGCAAATGCTATGTTTATGTACTGCACGTTATGAGTTTGTTATCTCTAGCGAAATTTAGGTTGTAGGGTTATCTATGGCGACAAGCGGTTTCTTGAGAAGGGTGGAGCTTGGTCATTTGCGAATAGATAATTTTACATTTTGTTTATTTTTTTCAGCGGAATTTTGATATTATTAATGGGTTTATTATAGATAACAAGCATTCAAGAATCTAGACATGGAAAATCACTTGAATGTGTGCACGCACTTAAAATTTTGGCTCTATGAGCGCAAGACAAACCCATTATTGTTTCGTTTTTTGTAATTCCTAGATGCATCTCGACGGTAAAAGGCCACTACAGTAATGTGACTTCTCTATCATTCTTCGAAGACAACGAGAAAATGATCAGGTAATGTTTTAAAATGCCATGTCATGAAGTTTGCCTGGTATCTTTAAGACGGATCAGCAATGCAGAGACCTAGTATCTAGGATAATCGATTAAGGAAAAGGCTCATTAAGATAATGATTTTTAAATGGAGCTAGGGATCTAGGAGTAAAAGAGTAAAAAAGATAATATCATTGGACAACAGGGTCAGTATGGGCGACTGAATAGTCTATGAAGTGAGCCAGTACTGTTGGATCACAAAAATAACAAATTTCAAAACTAATTGTTAACTATTCCATGGTCCTAACAGGTTTATGACTTAGTATTCTGTGTTGAGTCTATACTTTGTAGCATTTACCGTACAATTTTGTTTACTACAGTGCTGGACGTGAATAAGTTGTAACATTGTGGGATCTTGCTACAAGGAAATCATTAAAAACTTTTCCAGTCTATGAGGTAAGGCTTGTTTCTTTTAACGAGTGGTAACAACGTATTTGCGCTCATTAGAACGTGTGGAGTCGTATAAAATTGCCAAACTTAAATGGGATCACTCACTTAAATGGGATTTCTTAAATGGCCCTCTTTATTTAGAATGTCCCAGTCAAATGAAATGTCCCACTTCGTTGGGAAAATTGAACAGCCCTTAACTTAGGCGAGATTATTAGTTCTGAATTGACGTAAATATTTTGTTAACTCTTTCGTTTATTGCTCCTCTATTCCTTCTTCCAATCCCTGTTGAAGATTCGAGGCCCGAACTTTGACCAGATATGTTTTTTTTGATTTGCCAAACAAGAAAAATTGTTTTCAATAAGTAAAGAAGCCAAGGCTTAAGCAAGAATGAGTCATGTTTTTTGACTGAAAAATCTTTGATACACAAACTCAATTTTATATACAAATGTTCAAAAATGCCAGCTTCAAAAGACTTATTGAGATATTAAAAATTCGACACATCAAATAATTGGAAAGTTAAGTATATTAAAATTTTGGTTTCTTTAAATTGCGTAAAGCGGGCAACGATCTTGGTTTTGCCCGAAGTGCAGGCAACAGCATGTTTCTTCCTAGTGGTTTTGGTGACGTAAAAGATGGACTAAACAAAAGTCCACTTTGCTGTGGTTTGATGCCAGTGTCTGAGTCGCTGCCTGAATCTGAGGGGCTTGATGCGTCTAATGAACTGGAACTCCCAATGGCCTTTTTGGTTTTTTTGTCACCTTTGCTTTGGCTCTCGTCACTCATTTCGATATCTGATATGAGATCGTCGATTTCAACATCGTCGTCAAAACCCAAATCTTTAGCCATCTGCTTTTGTTTAGATGGGATTTTTGTGATCTTTGAAGATGATTTTGTCTTTTTTGTCTTTTGTTTTGCCACGAACGAGCTAAGCATGTCATCTTCTTCTTCATCAATTCCAAACTTGTTTGAACTAACTTCTGTCACAAGGAAATGGTAAAAAAGATCATTCAAATCTACAAGAACATCTCTTTGCCAGTTCTTAATTCAGCAAACGTGAACATGTTTTTGCTAAAACTAATTGTTAAAATGCTTCTGAACTTCTTTATTGTTCATAAGCAAATACAGCCTCAAATTGTTCGCTGGTCAACTATAGCTGTCATTAAAATTAATACCAATACAAAAATATACAGACAATGTGACAACTATCACAAGTATTCCATTTATAGTTCCAGTTTTCATACTTTTTAAAATATCACAAATATAATTATTCTGACCTTCTTTTTGCTCTTCTTTTCTTCCGTATCCTCTTTTTGCAGCGTGATTTTCGTGAGGATTAACTTCATTGGTGTTCTTTCCAGCTGGAATACAGTCCTTGACGGGGGTGTCTCCAAGTTTCTTCTCTTGCTTTTCATCTTCCTCCAGTGGCTCTATAGCCTCAACAAAATCATATTCATCGAGATGGTTGGCAAGATAATCTTCTTCTACTGTAATGTCTTCAGTGACATTATATTTTTCCTCAAACTCCATAATTTCTTCGGATATGTCCAAAAAGGCGTCATCGTCGCCAAAAGTCACATCTTCCTTTTCACTCGATTTTTCTGCTGACTTTTCTTTATCAGAGGCACAATCTTTTACTGATTTTGTTCTTTCATCATTGTTGCTTTCTTCCAAAGATTGGCTATCTTCTTCAAAGTCAGATTCGTAACTACTGGAAGAGCTCTCTTTGTTGGCCAAATTCTCTTTAGTGCTAAAGGTAAAAATTATAAACGTTTATCAAGCAATTAGATTTACTCATTTTTATTGGCATAAGATAAAGTAACATTTAACAACATGGATTAATATGTACAGATACGAATGATGGTATACAGGGATGGGCGTAGTTAAAACTGTAATGTCCTAGATATTGAAATATGATTGGGACTAGAATTGGAATTAGCACCAAAGAACCCTCCTCTTCATCTCCATTTTAAGTACTGCAAAACTAATTGAGCCACTCTCCCATTGTCAAAATTTGAAGTAAGCTCCATTTTTTTTCCGACTCATTAAATGACCTTAATGATTCTGAAGAAGATAAAGACATTTTCATTGACTAAATCTTGGTTGCAACATTCTCTATAATCATTAAATTAGAATATAAAAGGCGTCAATATTAATCTTTTTCAAAGATATTTTTCAGACACCTCTTTTTTAAGCATCCTTCTCTGGAGCATAAATAAGTAGATAGGTCCCCTTCTCATGTCTTTAATCAACTTTTACGGAATATCTAAAAAGACTAAATAAGGAATTTCGTGAACAAAGACGTGGACAAAGTTCATGAAGATAAAGCATTTCTACAAAATACATTCATAAACATCTTTAAAGCTCTATGTTTAACTTACTTTTCAGTTTCAACTGTCTGGTGATGCTCCATTTGACTGAGTGTTGTTTGAAGCTGCTCGCATTTTAAAAGCAATTCTTTTTTCTCGGATTTCAGCTCGTGAATCTCATCATATGCTTTCTCTAAATCGTTCTCTGTGTTCTTGAGAATCCGAGATGTTGTCTTTTGCTTCTCCAGCTGCTTTTCGAAGATTCCCCTTCCTTGTTTCAACTCATTGTTGTCTGTTTCAAGCTCTTTTGTCTTCCTTTTTAATTCAGTAACTATTCGTTCCAACTTTTTCGTTTCATCGACTAATTTTTTGTTCTCCTTGTCAAGCTGCTGGATACTTTGATTTTTTGCTTTTAATTCTTCTGCCCTTTCATCAACCATTTTAGACAACAATTCGCTGTTTTCACTTCTTTTCTGCATCAAAAGCAGTTCTGCCTCTTTTTCTTTCAGCTTAAATTTGGCAGTTTCAAGTTCTTCCTTTATGTGTTGCTTCTGTGCCTCCAAGTCTTTCTCTTTTACTGCTGACCTTTTAGCAATCATCTCTATGTTGGCTTCAGTATCGGACAAGGTAGAGGTAAGATCATCAAATTTTCTTTGCCAGTCCTCAGCTTCTTTCTTCAAAGCATCCATGCTAGATATGGCCTCATTTTCCTCACCTTTCTTAGCTTCCAGCTTTAAGTTGAGGACTTTAACTTCTTCTTCCAGTTTCTGTTGCTGAAGATCTTTTGCATCAAGTGTCTTCTTAATCTCATAATTATGCTTCTGGATTAGCTTTTCTCTTTCCTTCATCTCTTCAAGTTTCATAGACAGCTCTCGAAGTTTTTCAGATAGCTCGTTTTCCTTTCCAGCAACAGTTATGCGATGCTTCTGCTTTTGCTCGCAACTAGCGACTTGTTCTTTCAGTTTCATGTTTTCAGTAAGCAGTTCTTTTTTGCTTTTTGTCAGCTCATCAATTGTTGATTTAGCTTGCTCCAAATCTTTCTTAGAGTTGTTTTGCCAATGCATTTTTTCTTGTTTTGCTTGCTCTTCTGTTGTAGAAAGCTTTTTCTCAAGCATGTCACACATATTTTCTCGGTCTTTTATCTTCTTAAACAGGTCAGCTTGCTTTGCATAAGACTGTCTAATTTCTTCTTTTTTTGATTTCAACTCTGCTTTCAAATTTGAGCAGCTGCTTTCTAACTCAGTAACGCGACCATTTATTTTCGCTATCGAAGATTTGGCAGCATCTTGCTCTCTGTTTTCTTCTTGTAGCTTTTGGATTGTTTTATCCAGATCCTTAACAATCTCAGTTTCCATATCAAGCTTTTCCTTAAGATTTATGTTGTCCTCGACAAGCTTCTTTTCTTGTGACCTTGCTTGTTGAATCTGCTCATTTAATTTTTGACTTTCTATTTGATAATTTTGTTCCTTGGTGTGAATATCTGCCTGTATTTGTTTGATCTTCTTCATTAGATCTGATACTTGGCCTTTGGCAGACACCTTCTCTTTTTCAAAAGTCTGAATCTTTTCTTTGATATCTTTCGAACGCTCTGTTGCTTCTTGTTTCTTTGCTTCGAGATCTTTCTCCAACTTGATTATCTGAGCCTTAAGTGCAGCAACTTCATCAAGTGATTTTGCAAGGTCATCCTTAAGCATCTTGTTCTCTTCAGCCAAAGGTGCTGTTGTTACCTTGGTATTTTCCTGTATTTCCTTCAAAGATTTCTCTAATGTTTTGATTGTTGCTTCTTTTTGTTCCAAAATACTCTCTAGGTCAATGCAGCTTTTCTCCAGATCAACATTGGCATCAAGAACTTTGTCTAGCTTGTCATTGAGATCTTCTTGCTCTTCCTTAAATGATGTTTCAAGATTTTCTTTCTCCTTCAACAAACTCTCGATTTTAGAGCTTTGATTATCGAGTTGATCCATGACTGATTGAAACTTCTCCCGCTCGATGCTGTTGTCAACTTTCTCTGTGAGTTCTCTATGTTTTTCTTTCATGTCTAAGAGCTGTTTTGAGTGTGCTTGTGCTTGAATCTCTGCATCTGTTAGTTTTCTTTTCAAGGAAATGTTCTCCTGTTCAAATTCGGCAAGACTTGTTTCTAATTTTCTTTCTTGCTCTTTTGTTGATTTCACATACTCCTCGTGGCTCAATTCTTCATGGAGCAGTTTTCCTTGAAGCTCTTTCAAAAGTTGTCTCAACTCTTCATTTTTCTTATTAAGGTCTTCAATCTCCCCTTTTTTGACAAGTTGATCTTTCTTTACTTGATCCATTTCTTCTTTAAACTTCAATGTTTTTTCGTCAGGATTTATGTCTTGTAATTCCTCTACTTTTATATGCAGTTGCTCGATCTCCTTGAATTTCTCTAAAATTGGTGTCTCAGAGGCATCTAGTTGCCCATTGCTTTCTTTGTAGCTGGAAAAGCTTTGAAATCGGCTTAGTTGACTTTCCTTTTCTTTCAGATTGCTTTTTAGCTCACCATTTAAAGCTTCTAACCACTGCAGCTTTGTCTTTTTTCCTTTAAGGTCGACTTTCAGGGCCTGTTTTTCTTTTAAAAGTCTGTCAATATCATCCTGTCTGTACAGAACAACTGCTTCCAATTCAGATTGAGCTTTTTCTAATTCTGCAGCAGTTTGCTCGAACTTTTGCTTAAATTCTTTAGCTTCGAATTGATATCTTTCAATTTCATTAACAAAATCAGCTCTCACCTCTTGAAATTTTTCCTCCATGAGTTCTTGCATCAAATGATGCTGTTGTTCTGCCTCTATGACTTCACCTCTGTCCATCATGGAGTTATAGTCGGAGACAAGAGACCTGTTTTCGTCATGAAGTCGTTCAAGATCATGATGATATTTTCTCAACTTCTTTTTGATTTCTTCATTTTCTAAGAGCAGTTCGTCAATCTCAGCCTGACATTCTTCTTTGCTGTGTTTGACTTCGAACTTCAAGCGTTTTTCAACCATCAACTCTTGCTCCAATTGCTTCATTCTTCGTTTGATCATAATAATATCTTCGTATTCATTTTCCTTGTTTTTGGACATCTGAATGCAAGAGAAATTTGGTCTTTAGAGTTGAGGTTTGATTTACAGGGAAAAGCAAGATATATTTGTATGGATACTGTGAATTATTGTAAGTGACTCATTTATACATCGGAGGTGTTTCTTCATATTGAATAATTCATACCAGGTTCATCTTGTATTTAAGATATAGAGTAGCTATCACTCACCAGCTTCTCTTTGTCCAGTTCCTCTCGCAGTTTGATTATCTGCAATTTCTGCGACTTCACAAGACTTTCCATCGATTGCTGCATTTGTATACGTTGTTCCCTTTCATGTTCAATGACCCCTAAAATGGCATTGACGTGAAGTAATAGGAATGTCAATAATAGGAATATTATGACGACTGGACAAGAATAAGAATTTTCTGTGAAATCTTCCTCTCCTTTGAATTTAAATCGTTTAAGTTAATTTACCAAGGCTACAGGTGTGAAACTAGTCTATTTTCAGAAAAATTGACAAGTTCTGAAGAAAAATCTTTAAAAGAACTGGTAGTTTTGGAGAAATCAAAGGTTGCTCGTCTCCTGTTCCGAGGAACCTACTAATTTTTGCAAAATAAAACCACTTCATGTAATTTTGAAGCTAGTAATGATTTGGTGACATTTTCTTTGTTATGAAGCAAAGTTTAGTCCCTGAAATCTCTGGAATATCTTTTAGATTGCTTATAACTGTCGAATACGCGTTATTCTGCTTACCCAGTGCAAGGTGAAGCTCATTTGTAGCTTTCTTTAGTTGCCTTTTAGCTGCTTCAAGCTCCTCTTGCAGTTGTGTTTCTTTGACCTGAGACTCAGTCAGGGTCATTTGGGCATGGTCGAGATCTGCTTGCAATTTCTTTATAACCGCCTTTCTAGCATTGATCTCATCTTGAGCTTGTTTGACTCTGTGTAAAGGATGTTTAATTAAGTTAAAGTCGATTAAATTATAACATCCTAAAAAGAAGTTCATAGCTGACCAGAAGATGTTTAAAATGAATTGATTTACCTCGTGTTAAGTGACTTGATTTCGTACTGGCGAACATCGGCTCCGTTTTCAAGCCATTGATCAATTTTAGCCAAATGAAGGCCTTCTGGGGTATCCGCTGTTCTCTCCTCTTGGAAATATAGTTTCCTTCTGAGATTTTCAAGTTGGTTGAAACATGCTTTGCCTAACTTTGAAGGCGTTGCACTACTGCTTGACTGATACCCTAAATTGAGAGAAAATGTTACATTATTACTATAATTGGTAAGGGAATTTGGTTATGTACGTTATTGCTTAAAAAAACAGGCCTTTAGATATTTTAAATGCAGTAGTATAGAAAATTGTTAGGTTTCTACATTCAAATACCAATGTTTATCATTCGTTCGAAAATTCGATGCAGTGGTGTCTATGCAAAGGTTTCCTACCTGCTTTCATTTCGATTCTCGATTAACTTTCGTGAGAAAAATTTTGCAAGGTAGATTGATCTAATATACAACGAAAGACGTACTTACCGTTAATATTTGTGGTATGAGATGCATATCCCTTGGTATACCAACGATAACTTGCATCTGTGTTTCCATTATTGTCCTGGGTGTAACGTGGTGCGTGCACCGTTTCCTCGTGAACTTTCCGTGCGGCATGACCGTTGAAAAACCGATTCTCGCCGTTCCTCATGCATATCCAACAACGGACGCTACCGTCCGAACTGAAACTCGCCATTTCGCCGTGTGCTGTGTGCTCGTAAGAAACACAAGAACACGAAACCAAGTGCAAATCCACAAGTGGAATGCACCGATACTCACAGTTGTGAAAACTGAAGCACGATTTGTCTAATCATGGTGCGCCCTTTTATACATGACGGTGGCCGCCTCCAGATGATTGTTACGTCAAATTGATATTTTGTTACGGGAATTGGGACGATTTTGGATGAAGTATATTGAAAGTTAACTAAACTAAATCTAAGCTAGTGAACCTGTTATTTTTCGAAAAGCTTGCTCTGTTAAACTACAATCCTGGCCAAAAGTTGTTGGACTGGCTGGCGAATTGTTGTCTTGAACAAATACGCTCCCCATCCCCCACCCCCCACAGTCAATATTGAAACGCTTATTTCTACTCATTTCGATTGCCGTTACTTGGGTAGTTTCCAGAAAACCAACATTGCTGCAGGGTTGGGGAGTAACTTTAGTAAGTTAATTCGAAATGGTACTTTGAAATCATCACTTGCTTTCTTTTTCCCACAGGCAGTGGAATCTGTGATTGTTCTGCCACGTGACAAGGAATTAGAATGGTGCATGACAGCAGAAGAGAAACAAAATGTTAAGTTTATAACTGCTGGTGAAAAAGGTGAATATCTTTGGTCCAATTTGTGGACACTGTTATGTAAAAATTCACTCTATAATTAATCTCTGAAAGATCGTCGACAAATATGATTGGTTTTCTGTGCACTGTAAAACTTTCCATTAACCCAATTTGTTGTAAACACAAGAACAAAATTTCAGTTTTTCTCAAAACATAATGCTCGCTTATCAGACTTTAATTCTCAGAGTATGACACAAGTTGACTGTTTGCATCAAATTTTCAGGCATCATTCGGGCATGGAGTGTTCGTGATGGCAAGTGCATCTTTGCTCCAGAGAGATCTGCAAATAAAGCTGTGGACAGTAATTGTGAAAACCCCGCTCCTTCATCAACGGTTATCCAGTGTGTCCTCAATGAAGCTCTTAATTGCATCGTTACTGTTTCCGATGACCAAAATATTGTCCTTTATGACTTGAATTCACTGAAAATCTTAAAACAGGTAACTTATTTCGTCATTTTTGTCCCTTAGTTGCATCTCTACTTTCGTTGACATAATAATTCAAGCATTTATTATTGTTTTTCTCTCATTCTGTATATTTAAGTGAACACCCTAGCTTTTATAACATAATTAGACAGTAATCGACCCTCTTTATTTTGCTGATCAATTTTCTCTCGTGTATAGTTTGTCGGACACCTGGACGAAGTTCTGGACTTAAAATTTGTGGGGGAAGATCATTCCCTTCTCTCGATCGCTTCAAACAGCCCTGATGTTAAAGTTATTGACAGAGAAACCATGGATTGCAGAATATTGAATGGACACACAGGTTTGTTTTAAATTGAAATTTTTGACAGTGGAAAAACTTAGAACTTCCATTGTAATTTTTTTAAATGATTTCAAGTCTTTGGTTAAACATTATAGAGTTCCTTGTATGTTTTTGATGATTCTAATGATTTTAGTGAAATAAAGACGAGGTACAATATTTTTTGTGTATGATAGCAGAATTTATTTGCAACACTGTATACTTCAGTTATTTAATATAATTCCCGTAAATTTGTTAGCTTGTTAATTGTGGCACATGATCATTTCCCGTTCTAGATACAATAATGGCACTAGATGCAAGTTTCGATGGCAAATACATCGCTTCATGTTCAAAGGTAGGCTCAACACGTATTATTGGCCAGGCTTTATCTTTTTCGAAAATGTCTTCTCTATTAAATGAAGGCTTCTTTCAAATGTAGAATAGCAGAGGAGTAAATAAGCTTGATATGTAGTACTTCATTTTGAGAGTGCCTTTTTGCTTCCTAAGTAAATCATTTACTGATCTTCCAATGGCTTTATCTTGAACTTGAATTTGTTCTCACATTGATAATTAATTCTTTTCTCCTATTTTATTTTGCCTTATTTATTAAAGGATAACAGTCTAAGGATCTGGAGACTGGGCGATGACAAAACCTTTTCATGCGTGGCCTTAGGTGTTGGCCATACGCATGCAGTTGGAACTATTGCTTGGCCGAAGTAAGTAATGCAGTTTATAGAAAGCAGTGTCTGGATCTTTTCTCCATGACTTGATCTTTTCTTTACCTTCTGATGCTCAGAGTATATAGAAAGAGCAGAGATGTAAAGAGTAACATTGAAGATTTTTTACTATCTAACTTTACACAGGCTTTCACATTATATGCATGATCTCTTTACTAACCCAAAACCTCTCTTGATGAGGTACGAGCTTTGTTTTGCTGCTCCTATCTGCTTGTGTTTTAGTCAATATTCTTTCATCGTTTATAGAAATCAGCGTTCATTCAGTCTGTTTGCATCTCAAACCTAGGGTATCATTTGAAGTCCCTTTTGCTGTTACTCGCAATGAGTTCCCATTTGGGATTTTGTTTTTTGCCAAGCAGGGGTACTTTGTCGGCATATTATTCAATTTCATGCAACTTCATTAGATGAAATCCAACTCTATAGGTCACTGCTAGACCAGGAAGCATTTATGGATGATGTTGCACCTTTAAAATCATTCAACACATTTTTTGTGTTGCTCTTGTTTGCTTTTCTTTCTGTTTAATATATTTGAAATAAACAGACCTCTTAAAATTATTATGATTACATTAAAGTTAAGGTTTATTTTCTACTTGTTTCAACAGAAGAAGCACAGATCATTTAGTAACCGGAAGTCAAGATCTAACTCTGAAGTGCTGGAAAGTCCCACAAATATTTGAGGTGATACCATAGGTTCAAACTCTAAAGATGGAGTTACTTAATGCAAAGCAAACATCACTTAGAAGGCTTATCAAAATCCCGTTTTTCTTTGAAAGCAAGGAATCATTTCTGTGGGCTGAGTAAATCATGTTTACTTATAGAAAAAAAAGAAAGAAATGTATAAAAGAAAAAATGTTTCATGAAGGGTAGACCCTCGTCGATTTAAAAAAAATTTGTTCTAACCTCATCCATTCATTGAGTTAGTTTTTATCATATCTTTGAATAATTTTGACAGGATAATGGTTTATCAAAGATTCAAGCTGTGTGGACTGTGAAAGCCCATGATAAGGTTTGTCACGATATTCTTCTTTAGTTCTAATTTTTATCGTTCCAATTTCTTCTGAAAAGTTCAAATTTTTGTTGATCCAGAGCATTAAAGTGTGACTAAAATTATTTAAATACGCTTTACCCATTTTTCGTCATTTCAAAAGGAATAAATTCACTGCATAAGGGTTTGATACTTAAAAAGATATATAATTTCAAATGTGTATGGCCTCTGGAGATACTTCGACAGAAAGATCTTCTACGTTTAATAGCAACTTTTTTTAATAGTTTATTCTTCATTGTGACTTCTTTTATTGTAATAAACTTCATGCAAAAACATGTTTTTAGGACATCAACTCTGTTGTGTTTTCTCCAAATGACAAACTCATCGCTTCGGGGTCTCAAGATAAAACAGCAAAGGTAGGCCATCAAACCTTTTTTGAGACAAAGAGGAAGCTTTATCTTTGATTGGCTGGGTAAAACATTAATAACTAAAGATAATTTTGATTTGAAACATTTTTTTTGGTAATTTTTAGATAATTCATCAGCATCTTTTGGATTCTAGTTATGGCTTGCATCCGACGGAGGCATGTACGGGACGCTGCGAGGTCACAAACGAGGAGTTTGGTGCGCAGCGTTTTCTCCAGTCGATAAATGCCTAGCAACAGCATCAGCCGACTAGACAATTAAGCTATGGGCAATTAAAGATTTAACTTGTGTGAAGGTGGGATTGAGAAATTTGCTAATGTTTGCCTGACTTGATAAGATACTTTGGTCAGAGTAGTTGTTCTAAAGTTCACCCAAGCCTAGATTAAGTTCATCCAAGCCTAGATTAAGTTCACCCAAGCCTAGATTTAGTTTATCCAAGCCTAGATTCAGTTTATCCAAGCCTAGATTAAGTTCATCCAAGCCTAGATTAAGTTCATCCAAGCCTAGATTAAGTTCACCCAAGCCTAGATTTAGTTTATCCAAGCCTAGATTCAGTTTATCCAAGCCTAGATTTAGTTTATCCAAGCCTAGATTCAGTTTATCCAAGCCTAGATTAAGTTCATCCAAGCCTAGATTAAGTTCATCCAAGCCTAGATTGAGTTCACCTAAGCCTAGATTTAGTTCATCCAAGCCTAGATTAAGTTCATCCAAGCCTAGATTATAGACGATGTGGTAATCATTAAAACTAGAATTTATGATGAAAAAATTTAAACATTAAAACCCATATACCCTTGAGACATATTTTTCCTTGTTAAAAACAATTGACGAAATCAAATGTTAATAGATATTTGAATTTAAAAAGCATTTTTTCGTTTTAGACATTGGAAGGTCATACCAATTCGGTGCTGAGGCTTGAATTCGTGACACGTGGGATGCAGATAATATCAAGGTATTCACAAATTATTGCCTTGCTGCTGTCAATCATAAAGCACTAAAGTACATGGAATCCCCTGGAATATTGTGAATACCTGTTTTTTGAATTAAGAATCGGATTTCTAACATTTTGGAATGTCAATTATTGCAAAGCATCCCGGTATTGTTTGCCTTTCGACAATCAATCAATTTTAGTTGATTTTGTTGATCAAACTTTTTCTTCACCTTTCCGAGACGACTTTATCTTATACCTTTTAATGCACGAAAGCAAGTCTGCTGAATGGATAGAACTTCAATATCGTCTTTCTTTAGTAGCCTTCTCATAACCCAGTTAGCAAACGTGATTTATTTACGTTAAATTTGCAAAACTTGTTTTTCATTTTAGTGGATCAGACGGCCTAATCAAAATATGGAATGTGAAAACCAACGAATGCCTAAATACTCTAGATGGGCATGCAGATAAAGTGTGTTTTTCAAAGTTTACTTTGGCTTTGTAATGTAGAATCTATTAATTTCTTCAAGTCATCAATCTCTTTGTTTTAGTTAATACCATATTTTTTAGAAAGTAGCTTTGCAATTTCGTTCTAACAAGTCGGTAAAGATTCTGACGTATAACTCGTCGAAGTCAACATCACTTTTGATTTTTTAAATCTATTTGCAATATTGTTCTTCCTATGAAGAGCAAGTAGATTATTGAAGTTCAAAATACCTTTGACTCAAGGTCCATGAACCATAAACTATGTTTTAGGTTTGGTCGTTGGCTTTGAACAAGACTGAAGACACTCTTGTTACAGGAGGAGGAGATTCTGTGTTGAACATTTGGAAGGTAAGTGAAAATGTCACTACACCAACAACAAATAAGTATATGCCTTGTTAACATCTTGAGGAATCGAAGTTATGAAATTATCCACAGTCTCTTAGTTGAAACTTCAGAAAAAGATATAGAGAGCCCGTGATGTTTGTTGTCTTTATATGTTTCTTTCCTTGAAACATGTTCAAAGTAAGCCGTACCATTACTTTCCATTCTTTGATCTTCGTTTCAGTTTCAATGTCACTGTACTATGTGTTGTGACGTTGTTTCTTATGGTGCTCTAGTTGTTATCAAAGTTACAATTATTTTCTGTTAGGATGTTACGGAAGAAGAAAGATTAGAAGAAGAGGCAAAGCAAGAGAATATGATTCTGAAGTAAGCAGTTACAAATAGAAGTTAGATGTTGCTTAAACAGAAAACTTTGTGGGCCTACGATTTTTCCGTTAGAGTGTGATAATATTGAGGGTGATAACAATTAGAGAGATTGTGCATAGAAAGTTTGAGCTGATCTCTCTTTCAGAATAGGCTTTTCGACAGAATTTTTTTGTGAAATACGAATAATAAACCACCGAGATGTTAAACTTCTTACATTTTTTATCAGAGTTATTTTTTAATCAAGTATTAAGTATCGGTAAGGGCTAAGTATCAAATAACTGAGATCTAAATAATTTTATTAGAATTAGTTTTACGAAGAATATTGTAGAAATTTCACTTGGGGTTGTTGTTTTAGCAAATGGGAGCAGTATTATTCACATTTGAGTGTCGATATCTTTAACATTTGGTTTTATAAACATTCGGTTTTGTTTATTGGTCTTTTAGAATTTTGGATTTAATTTCACAATAGGAATCTTTTCACTGTTGTTTGATTGTTTTTTAGGATATGTTCCGCTCTTTTAAGAAGCGATGACTTTCTGCATTTCTCGTACAATTAGGTAGTAAGAAAGGAGAAATTGACTTTATGGCGGAGAATAATGAACTCTCCTTGTCTATTCTCTGCCCAGAGTTTGAAGTTTCTTGGTAATTTGAGTCCATCAAATTAAATTTAAGGTGTAGGGTTGAATAAGATTGATATTTGTAATTTATTTTATCTTCAAGGGACCAAGAATTATCAAATTTGCTTGGCAAAAAGAAATTTACGAAAGCCATCGGCCTTGCGCTGTCACTTGAAAGACCGTTTACAGTGTTGTCAATTTTAAAAGGTAAGCACTTTAAAATCAGTTAGTATTCGAACAGAAAATTTCACATTTTATATTGCTTGACACTTGTGTATCTCCTCTAATGAAAAGCATCGCTGAGTGGGGTCTACTAATTAAGAATTAAGGGGTGAGGGGTTCTCTACATAAGATGCCATTTTATAGTGCCAATTGCCAATCTCTACTACCTTTAAGGAATGCTTCAAATGAAGTCACTTTGTTGTTTATTGCTTTTTAGAATTATTAGCTGACGCCAATGGAGAGGAGAGGCTAGCCTCAGTCTTGAGTGGGCTGCGAGACGATCAAATAGGTTGGTGAAATTTACATTGACCATTTTCTATTATGTTCTTTTTGTCTGTGATGCGAAGTGTTTCAAGGCTAGATTCTGGAGCAAACCAATAAAGAATTAAAGGCAATCAAAGAGGCAGTGATGTTTCATTGATGGTTGAAAATATTACTGTTTCGAACATGTTTCGTTTCTATAAAGAATTGTGACTAAACTGGCTGTTTTCAAAGTTTTGTTAATCTTTGTAAAAAAGTCATTAATGCAAACAAAACAAAATTTGAATTCATGCTCCCCAAAGAGGGATTGGATGAAATTTGGCGCTTGTGTCACCGAATTCTCTCAGAATTCGAATTGAAAGACGTTTTCTGTATTTTCTTTCATTTTCTTCTTTGAATGCTTTTTTTAAAAATATTCATCACTATCGCTTTTCAATTTTAAAGATTTGGTTCTCAAGTATATGCGCGACTGGAACACAAATGCCAAAAACTGCCACGCTACACAATCAGGTAATTTTCATTTTTAATCTCATCGAATTTTATTTAGATTTTTTGATTTAAACTTTATTACCCAAAAGGACCTTATATGCTAATAAAGAAAAATGGCGATGTGATAGCAAAGTTGGATCTTTATCGAATATACGGAAATATAGCAAAAATTTCTGCTATGAATATAAAGACAGTTGCTTAACAAGAGCTGCCTTTATTTGGTCTTGGTTTTCATTAATCACTTCAGGCAAAATGTTTTTTGTGACGTCATCGTTTCCCTTCCTTTTTTACTTTATGTGGTCACTTTCTTCTTCATTGTGTTTATGTGGTCACTTATGCGGTCCCTGTGCTGACTATTTTCTCCTTACTTCTTCGAAACATAACGTGGCCGATCAATAGTTGATACCAACTTGGTTTTATTCTCCTTGCAGCACTGTCCATTATCCTGAAGTTTAAATCACCCGATGAACTGACTGAGCTGCCAGATATGAAGGACAACATCGAAGCAATTCTTCCATACACGGGTATAACAGTTTTCGTTGTTCAAGAAACCTGATATACTATGCTGGTTTTCTTTATTTGTTTTATGAATAACTTCTATTTCTTCCTTTTGATTGTATTTAATTTTTTCTAATTGGTGACTTTTAATTTTAGAACGGCATTTCAATCGGCTGAATCGCCTTTTACAGGTAAGATACGCATTTTTGTGTCTATAATATTAATGTTGTGAAAAGTAGTGTGATATTTTCAGTCTTTCAAACAGTTTTTATATCGTTTCAGTATTATTTGCTGTTGGCCTAAGATCAATTATGCACACTAAACATAAAAATATAACTTAAACATTAAAGGATTGTACCTTCTCACATTTCAAATAAATTCTACATCATTCTCCCGCTAATACAATACCCTTGTTGATACATATCTACACTCAATTTTGTACTATAAAACAAAATAGACTTTATCAAATTTTAAGTGACCTCTGCATATTTCTTTATTAAATATAAACTAAATAGAAAATTGAAATTGTAAATCAATGATTCACTTAAATCTGACAACATAAATCAAAAAACTGAAATTGCTTCATAAAACTTCAATTAAATTCTTTTCAAAGAGCAGTTGCATTACTCTTCCGTCTGTTTCTGCAGCAATCGGCATTTCTCGAATACACATGGGAATCCATGCGACTTTCTGTCAAGGATGTCGACACTAAAGCGTAAGTGAATAAGATTTATTTCTTGTGACATCATTAGTTACCATGCCCTTAATTACCTTTGATTTCTGAAGAAGTTTGCTTGATTTTTCTTCTGAGAAGAAAAAGTTGAAATGGTATTTTCAGTTTAATTACTACCCAGTTATTCCAAGGAGCCAAGTTGTCTTTTTCTTCTCCTAGATCTGAGCAGTTGGAAATCGATGAAGAAATGAATGCTGAAAACAAGAACCTTAAATCCGTTGGCCAAGCTTCCAACCAGCAAACAGAACATCTCAGTGATCTCATCGCTATGGATACATGGGATCAGCACCAAAGCGAGGCTACTGATGCAACGGAGGAGACGATTCATGAATCTAAAGCCCAAAATAGTGAGCCCTGCGAAGGAGATTCTCCGTTAGAAGCAGAAACAAGGCAAGAAGAAAACAAGGAGGTAAATATAGTTTAAATGACGCAATGATTTACATCTGCATATTCCGTTACTTCAAATAACATATTTATATTCTAAAAAAATATGTTTTATAGAAACACTTTGAATTGCTATATGTTATTCCTTCTCTTGATAATTCTCCAATATTTTTTGAAATAATTAACCTTGCTTTTCAAACTCCTTTGTATTACTAATTTTTATCCTTTTGTTTTAGAACCACAAAACTATGAAAGTTAGAGATGAAAGTTTGATTGAAAAAACCCCTGGCCCAGGGAAGAAGAGAAGGACTTCAGAAAACGGAAAACATTTGAAAACTGGCACCGCAAAGAAAGTAAAAACGATAAAGGATAAACCCCTTTGATGTATTCATACTGAAGTTGGTTTTTACGAGTAAAATTCTTTTAGAAGAAAAACATCTACTTTATGCATTGCGGTATTATCTTTGCAAATGTTTTAACTTTTGTGAAACCAATGTTTACAAAGAAAACCTGTCTATCACACCATTCGCACGCCTGATAGTTAACTTCAAAAATGCATCAGAAAGGTTTGCTTATGGAAAATCCTTTTTTTGTTTGCTTGGAATCATTACTCACTCATACTTGACAACTTGCTTTGTGGAGGAGACTAAGTCAAGGGACTGGGTCAATCAATCCTAAACACAATCTCGCAGTCCATTTTTGATCCGACAACAGAGTACAAATGTGTTGCGTATGAACATTCGCATTTTCACACTGCAATTATTTTAATGTTTTTAGCTAATCACATCGCTATATTGAGCAAACTGCAGTGTGCAGTATGTTATTTAGTGTTCTCGCAGTGCAGTGAAGTACATTACTAGGAGAAGGTAGATTTATGCTGAGTATAGTGGATTTTGCCCAGTAGTGTGGGGAGCAAGGAGCTTTCGCTATATTCTATACAAAATGAACGTTTCACATGTTTTCGTTTTCATGGCTCCTTAAAAACCAATTTCTCTACCTTGTCTACCTTGAGTAGAAAAGTCTAAAGATATAGAATTTAGGTTAATGATATTTTGCCAACATTTGAAGACTTTTCAGTTATCTAGAGGACTATTAAGGTCACACATGAATCCAAATTTCAAAAATTGATATCGGTTCAATCAAAGATTTGATCCTGGTGAAAATTAGCTATGATATTTTAGAATTGTCCAAAAAAAGAGGAAGGGGCGCAGCTCCCCTTCAGCTCCCCTGAGTCCCCCCCCCTATTAAGAAAACTTTTTTCTTTTTCTGAGATAATACTTGTACTGCATATTATACTTTTCTGTTTCGACCTCGATTCAATCAAGGAACAATCAAAACGACTAATAAATGGAGAAGCAACGCTTTATAGAATCGATTCTTAGAGAAAGATTCAATCTATTGAATCATATTGATCAGGTATATCAAACAATTGCTACAAACTAACGCCAATAAAAAGATTAATATTCTGTCAAATTTTTGTTTCTCACATATGCAAATGGTGCTGTACGAGGCAGATCCCAGTATGCAATGACAGTTGTGTGGCCTCCTCTCCCAATTCCGTGCCCCTTATTAGATAACTAGGTGATGTAGTAAAAGAAAGAGATGCTCGAGCAGCAAACGATCTAATGCTAACAAGGGGGATAGATATTCCCAAAATTGGAATCTACTTTTTGAATGACCCCGAAGTCTGTTCCATTGTTATGGCGAAGAATTATATCTGTAAATAAATTGCCAATTTGAGAGTAAACATTCATTCTATTTCGTGTTGAAAGCTAATACACAAAGAGTCATATCTTCGAAAGTGATGCAGAAGTAACTCTTTGTTCCTTAGTTTTATCCATTAGTGATTTGGAAAAGTGGAACTGTTTTTCTTAAACCATCTAGCATCCAGAAAACTGATGTTGCTTGCTTGCAATATATATAGATAATTCTTCAACACTGTTAGGTGTATTTTAGGCATTTAAGCTTTTGAATTTTAAAGTACATATTAACCCTGTGTCTTTTATCTCTTTCACCAAGTCTAAAATTTGAAACTTTTATTCGAGTTGCCTTAATGACTTTTTTTAAGTATCCTTGTCCTTAATATTGATTAGATGGATATTGTCTTCATTTTAGCTTTCAGGTGAAAAACAGAGCTGATTTTTTAAGAATTATTGTATACAAAAAATTGAAGGGCTTTCAGAGGCTCTCATAAGTTGTACTTAGCAGCGTTGGCCAGTCGTTGTGTCTGATGTAATAGAAAAACGATATTTTATTGCATATCGACTTTAAGAGTATATTAAACATAGTGCATTGTTTGAATGAAATCAATTGAATTGAATTGGTTGAATGAAATTGGCTGAGTTGAATTTCACTGCACACAGTCACGTTATTCATGGACACTTTTCTACATTTTCAAGGCCAGTATGTGTCTTATTAACTTAAACATGATTCTGAGAATGTTAAAGCTATTTTAATTTTTATTCAACATCAAAGCTTCATTGTTTTCCGTTGTGCTTAATATTGATTTATATTCTTATTTCTTAGCTTGGTGCAATTTCACCCTGATCCGACAAAACTGATGTTGTTCTCATCGTCAGCTGATAGTTGCATTCGGATTTGGGATCTCAGTACTAGCACGTGAGTGATGACGAAAGAAGCAGCAAATGCTATGTTTATGTACTGCACATTATGAGTTTGTTATCTCTAGCGAAATTTAGGTTGTAGGGTTGTCTATGGCGACAAACGGTTTCTTGAGAAGGGTGGAGCTTGGTCATTTGCGCATAGAAAACTGGATAGTTTTACATTTTTTTATGTTTTTTAGTGGAATTTTGATATTATTTATGGGTTTATTATAGATAACAACCATTCAAGAATCTAGACATTGAAAATCACTTGAAAATGTTAACGCACTTTAAATTTTAGTTTTATTAGCACAAGGCAAATGTATTATTGTTTCATTTTCTGTAATTCCTAGGTGCATTTCGACGCTAAAAGGCCACTACAGTAATGTGACTTCTCTATCATTCTTCGAAGACAACGAGAAAATGATCAGGTAATGTTTTAAAATGTCATTATGTCATGTCATGAAGTTTACCTGGTATCTTTAAGTCGGATCTGCAATGCAGAGACCTAGTACCTAGGATAATCGATTAGCGAGAAGGCTCTTTGAGATAATGATTTTTAAATGGAGCTAGGGATCTAGGAGTAAAAGAGTAATAAAGATAATATCATTGGACAACAGGGTCAGTACGGGGCAACTGAATGAAATGAACTTTGAAAATAATATGAAGAATCCATACTGTTGGATCGCAAAAGTAACAAGTTTCAAAACTAATTGTTAACTATTCAATGGTCCTAACAACTTTATGACTTAGTATTCTGTGTTGAGTCTATACTTTTTAGCATTTACCACACTATTTTGTTTACTACAGTGCTGGACGTGACAAAGTTGTAATATTGTGGGATCTTGCCACAAGGAAATCATTAAAAACTATACCAGTCTATGAGGTAAGGCTTGTTTCTTTTAACGAGTGGTAACAACGTATTTGCGCTCATTAGAACGTGTGGAGTTGTATAAAATTGCCAAACTTAAATGGGATCACTCACTTAAATTGGATTTCTTAAATGGCTCTACTCATTTAGAATGTCCCAGTCAGATGAAATGTCCCACTTCGTTGGGAAAATTGAACAGCCCTTAACTTAGGCGAGATTATTAGTTCTGAATTGAAGTAAATATTTTGTTAAATGTTTCGTTAAATTTTGTTAAAAGCAAAATAATTTTTTTTAGTTTGCCAAACAAGAAAAATTATTTTCAATAAGTAAAGAAGCCAAGACTTAAGCAAGAACGAGTCATGTTTTTTGACTGAAAAATCTTTGATACACAAACTCAATTTTATATACAAATGTTAAAAATGCCAGCAACAAAAGACTTATTATTTGAGATATTAAAAATTCGACACATCAAATAATTGGAAAGTTAAGTATATTAAAATTTTGGTTTCTTCAAATTGTGTAAAGAGGGCAACGATCTTGGTTTCGCCCGAAGTGCAGGCAACATCATGTTTCTTCCTAGTGGTTTTGGTGACGTATAAGATGGACTAAACAAAAGTCCACTTTGTTGTGGTTTGATGCCAGTGTCTGAGTCGCTGCCTGAATCTGAGGGGCTTGATGCGTCTAATGAACTGGAACTCCCAATGGCCTTTTTGGTTTTTTTGTCACCTTTGCTTTGGCTCTCGTCACTCATTTCGATATCTGATATCAGATCGTCGATTTCAACATCGTCGTCAAAACCCAAATCTTTAGCCATCTGCTTTTGTTTAGATGGGATTTTTGTGATCTTTGCAGATGATTTTGTCTTTTTTGTCTTTTGTTTTGCCACGAACGAGCTAAGCAAGTCATCTTCCTCTTCATCAATGCCATACTTGTTTGAACTAACTTCTGTCAAAAGGAAATGGTAAAAAAGATCATTCAAATTCACAAGAACAACTCTTTGCCAGTTCTTATTTGCATTTTGTCTTTAAGAAAAGCCCGTTGAAAATTCAGCAAACGTGAACATGTTTTTGCTGAAACTAATTGTTAAAATGCTTCTAAACTTCTTTATCATCTTTTTAGTGTCGTAATGGTGATGCTTTTTTTAACAAGCAAATACAGCCTCAAATTGTTCTCTGTTCAACTATAGCTGTCATTAAAACTAATAACGATACAAAAATATACAGACAAGATGACAACTACCACAAGTATTCCATTTCTAGTTCCAGTTTTCATTCTTTTTAAAATATCACAAATATTATTATACTGACCTTCTTTTTGCTCTTCTTTTCTTCCGTGTCCTCTTTTTGCAGCATGATTTTCGTGAGGATTAACTTCATTGGTGTTCTTTTCAGCAGTACAGTCCTTGACGGGGGTGTCTCCAAGTTTCTTCTCTTGCTTTTCATCTTCCTCCAGTGGCTCTATAGCCTCAACATAATCATATTCATCAAGATGATTGGCAAGATAATCTTCTTCTACTGTAATGTCTTCAGTGACATTATATTCGCCCTGAAACTCCATAATTTCTTCGGACATGTCCAAAAAAGCGTCATCGTCGCCAAAAGTCACATCTTCCTTTTCACTCGATTTTTCTGCTGACTTTTCTTTATCAGATGCGCAATATTTTACTGATTTTGTTCTTTCATCATTGTTGCTTTCTTCCGAAGACTGGCTATCTTCTTCAAAGTCAGATTCGTAACTACTGGAAGAGCTCTCTTTTTTGGCCAAATTCTCTTTAGTGCTAAAGGTAAAAATTATAAACGTTTATCAAACAAGTAGATTTACTGATTTTTATTGACATAAGATAAAGTAACATTTAACAACATGGATTAATATGTACAGATACGAATGATGGTATATAGGGATGGGCTTAGTTAAAACTGTAATGTCCTGGATATTGAAATATGATTGGAATTAGAATTGGAAAAAGCACTAAAGAACCCACATCCTTATCTCCTTTTTTAAATACTGCAAAATTCAATTAAGCCACTCTCCCATTGTAAAAATTTTAAATAAGCCCCATTTTTTTCTTCTGACTCATTTAAGGACCTTAATGATTCTGATGAAGATAAGGACATTTTCATTGACTAAATCTTGGTTGCAACATTCTCTATAATCAATAAATTAGAATATTAAAGTCGTCAATATTAATCTTTTTCAAAGATATTTATCACACACCTTTTTTTAAGCATCCTTCCCTGGAGCATAAGTAACTAGATAGGTCCCCTTCTCGTGGCTTTAATTAACTTTTACGGAATATCTACCAAAACTAAATAAGGAATTTCGTGGACAAAGACGTGGACAAAGTTCATGAAGATAAAGAATGTCTATAAAATACATTTATAAACATCTTTAAAGATCTATGTTTAACTTACTTTTCAGTTTCAACTGTCTGGTGATTCTCCATTTGACTGAGTGTTGTTTGAAGCTGCTCGCACTTTAAAAGCAATTCTTTTTTCTCGGATTTCAGCTCGTGAATCTTATCATATGCTTTCTCTAAATCGTTCTCTGTGTTCTTGAGAATCCGAGATGTTGTCTTCTGCTTCTCCAGTTGCTTCTCAAAGACTCCCTTTTCTTGTTTCATCTCATTGTTGTCTGTTTCAAGCTCTTTTGTCTTCCTCTTTAATTCAGTAACTACTCGTTCCAACTTTTTCGTCTCATCAACTAATTTTTTGTTCTCCTTGTCAAGCTGCTGGATACTTTGATTTTTTGCTTTTAATTCTTCTGCCCTTTCATCAACCATTTTAGACAACAATTCGTTGTTTTCACTTCTTTTCTGCATCAAAAGCAGTTCTGCCTCTTTTTCTTTCAGCTTAAATTTGGCAGTTTCAAGTTCTTCCTTTATGTGTTGCTTCTGTGCCTCCAAATCTTTCTCTTTTGCTGCTGACCTTTTAGCAATCATCTCTATGTTAGCTTCAGTATCGGACAAGGTAGAGGTAAGATCATCAAATTTTCTTTGCCAGTCCTCAGCTTCTTTCTTCAAAGCATCCATGCTAGATATGGCCTCATTGTCCTCACCTTTCTTAGCTTCCAGCTTTAAGTTGAGGACTTTAACTTCTTCTTCCAGTTTCTCTTGCTGAAGATCTTTTGCATCAAGTGTCTTCTTAATCTCATAATTATGCTTCTGGATTAGCTTTTCTCTTTCCTTCATCTCTTCAAGTTTCATAGACAGCTCTCGAAGTTTTTCAGATAGCTCTTTTTCCTTTCCAGCAACAGTTGTGCGATGCTTCTGTTTTTGCTCGCAACTAGCGACTTGTTCTTTCAGTTTCATGTTTTCAGTAAGCAGTTCTTCTTTGCTTTTTGTCAGCTCATCAATTGTTGATTTAGCTTGCTCCAAATCTTTCTTAGAGTTGTTTTGCCAATGCATTTTTTCTTGTTTTGCTTGCTCTTCTGTTGCAGAAAGCTTTTTCTCAAGCATGTCACACATATTTTCTCGGTCTTTGATCTTCTTAAACAGGTCAGCTTGCTTTGCATAAGACTGTCTAATTTCTTCTTTTTTTGATTTCAACTCTGCTTTCAAATTTGAGCAGCTGCTTTCTAACTCAGTAACGCGACCATTTATTTTGGCTATCGAAGATTTGGCAGCATCTTGCTCTCTGTTTTTTTCTTGTAGCTTTTGGATTGTTTTATCCAGATCCTTAACAATCTCAGTTTCCATATCAAGCTTTTCCTTAAGATTTAAGTTGTCCTCCACAAGCTTCTTTTCTTGTGACCTTGCTTGTTGAAGCTGCTCATTTAATTTTTGACTTTCTATTTGATGATTTTGTTCCTTGGTGTGAATATCTGCCTGTATTTGTTTGATCTTCTTCATTAGATCTGATACTTGGCCTTTGGCAGACACCTTCTCTTTTTCAAAGGTCTGAATCTTTTCTTTGATATCTTTCGAACGCTCTGTTGCTTCTTGTTTCTTTGCTTCGAGATCTTTCTCCAACTTGATTATCTGAGCCTTAAGTGCAGCAACTACATCAAGTGATTTTGCAAGGTCATCCTTAAGCATTTTGTTCTCTTCAGTCAAAGGTGCTGTTGTTACCTTGGTATTTTCCTGTATTTCTTTCAAAGATTTCTCTAATGTTTTGATTGTTGCATTTTTCTGTTCCAAAATACTTTCTAGGTCGATGCAGCTTTTTTCCAGATCAACATTGGCATCAAGAACTTTGTCTAATTTGTCATTGAGATCTTCTTGCTCTTCCTTAAATGATGTTTCAAGATTTTCTTTCTCCTTCAACAAACCTTCGATTTTAGAGCTTTGATTATCGAGTTGATCCATGTCTGATTGAATCTTCTCCCGCTCGATGCTGTTGTCAACTTTCTCTGTGAGTTCTCTATGTTTTTCTTCCATATCTAAGAGCTGTTTTGAGTAGGCCTGTGCTTGAACCTCTGCATCTGTTAATTTTCTTTTCAAGGAAATGTTCTCCTGCTCAACTTCGGCAAGACTTGTTTCTAATTTTCTTTCTTGCTCTTTTGTTGATTTCACATACTCCTCGTGACTCAATTCTTCATGGAGCAGTTTTCTTTGAAAGTCCTTCAAAAGTTGTCTCAACTCTTCATTTTTCTTATTAAGGTCTTCAATCTTCCCTTTTTTGACAAGTTGATCTTTCTTCAATTGATTCAACTCTTCTTTAAGCTTTAATGTTTCTTTGTCAGGATTTATGTCTTGTAGTTCCTCTACTTTTATATGCAGTTGCTCGATCTCCCTGCATTTCTCTAAAATTAGTGTCTCAGAGGCATCTAGCTGCCCATTGCCGTCTTCGTAGCTGGTGAAGTTTTGAAATTGGCTTAGTTGACTTTCCTTTTCTTTCAGATGGCTTTTTACCTCGCCATTCAAAGCTTCTAAGCACTGCAGTTTTGCCTTTTTGCTCTTAAGGTCGACTTTCAGGGCCTGTTTTTCTTTCAAAAGTCTGTCAATATCATCCTGTCTGTACAGAACAACTGCTTCCAATTCAGATTGAGCTTTTTCTAATTCTGCAGCAGTTTGCTCAAACTTTTGCTTGAATTCTTTAGCTTCGAATTGATATCTTTCAATTTCATTAACAAAATCAGCTCTCACCCTTTCAAATTTTTCCTCCATGAGTTCTTGCATCAAATGAAGCTGTTGTTCTGCCTCTATGACTTCACCTCTGTCCATCATGGAGTTATAGTCGGAGACAAGAGACCTGTTTTCGTCATGAAGTCGTTCAAGATCATGATGATATTTTCTCAACTTCTTTTTAATTTCTTCATTTTCTAACAGCAGTTCGTCAATCTCAGCCTGACATTCTTCTTTGCTCTGCTTGACTTCGAGCTTCAAGCGTTTTTCAACCATCAACTCTTGCTCCAATTGCTTCATTTTCCGTTTGATCAAAATAAGCTCTTCGTATTCATTTTCCTTTTGTTTTGACATCTGTATGCAAGAGAAATTTGGTCTTTAGACGTTAGGTTTGTTTCACAGGGTAAGGCAAGTTATTTGTATGGATACTGTGAATTATTGTAAGTGACTCATTTATACATAGGAGGTGTTTCTTCATATTGAGTAATTCATACAATGTTCATCTTGTGTTTAAGATATAGAGTAGCTATCACTCACCAGCTTCTCGTTGTCAAGTTCCTCTCGCAGTTTGATTATCTGCAATTTCTGCGACTTCAGAAGACTTTCCATCGATTGCTGCATTTGTATACGTTGTTCCCTTTCATGTTCAATGACCCCTAAAATGGCATTGACGTGAAGTAATAGGAATATCAATAATAGGAACATTATAACGACTGGACAAAATAAAAATTTTGTGTGAAATCTTCCTCTCCTTTGAAATTAGATCGTTGAGGCACGTTAATTCACGGAAGGTACACGTGTGAAACTAGTCTATTTTCAGAAAAATTGACAAGTTTTGAAGAAAAATCTTTAAAAGAACCAATAGTTTTCGAGAAATTGAAGGTTGCTCATCTCCAGTTCCGAGGCTCCTACTCATTTTTGCAAAATTAATCCACTTCATGTAATTTTGAAGCTAGTAATGATTTGGTGACATTTTCTTTGTTATGAAACAAAGTTTAGTTTCTGAAATCTCTGGAATATCTTTTAGATTGCTTATAACTGTCGAATACGCGTAATTCTGCTTACCCAGTGCAAGGTGAAGCTCATTTGTAGCTTTATTTAGTTGCCTTTTAGCTGCTTCAAGCTCCTCTTGCAGTTGTGTTTCTTTGACCTGAGACTCAGTCAGGGTCATTTGGGCATGATCGAGATCTGCTTGCAATTTCTTTATAACCGCCTTTCTAGCATTGATCTCATCTTGAGCTTGTTTGACTCTGTGTAAAGGATGTTTAATTAAGTTAAAGTCGATTAAATTATAACATGCTAAAAAAGAGTTCATAGCTGACCAGAAGATGTTTAAAATGAATTGATTTACCTCGTGTTAAGTGACTTGATTTCGTACTCGCGAAAATCGGGTCCGTTTTCAAGCCATTGATCAATTTTAGCCAAATGAAGGCCTTCTGGAGTATCCGCTGTTCTCTCCTCTTGGAAATATAGTTTCCTTCTGAGATTTTCAAGTTGGTTGAAACATGCTTTGCCTAACATTGTAGGCGTTGCACTGCTGCTTGAATGATACCCTAAATTGAGAAAAAACGTTACATTATTACTATAATTGGTAAGGGAATTTGGTTATTGTTCGTTATTGCTCATAAAAACAGGCCGTTATGCAAAGGTTTCCTACCTGCTTTCATTTCGATTCTCGATTAACTTTCGTGAGACAAATTTTGCAAGGTAGATTGATCTAATGAACAACGAAAGACGTACTTACCGTTAATATTTGTGGTATGAGATGCATATTCCTTGGTATACCAACGATAACTTGCATCTGCGTTTCCATTATTGTCCTGGGAGTAACGTGGTGCGTGCACCGTCTCCTCGTGAACTTTCCGTGCGGCATGACCGTTGAAAAACCGATTCTCGCCGTTCCTCATGCATATCCAACAACGGACGCTACCGTCCGAACTGAAACTCGCCATTCCGCCGTGTGCTGTGTGCTTGTAAGAAACACAAGAACACAAAACTAAGTCCAAATCCACAAGTGGAATGCACCGATACTCACAGTTGTAAAAACTGAAGCACGATTTGTCTAATCATGATGCGCCCTTTTATACATGACGGTGGCCGCCTCCAGATGATTGTTACGTCAAATTGATATTTTGTTACGGGAATTTGGGACGATTTTGGATGAAGTATATTGAAAGTTAACTAAACTTAATAGAAGCTAACGAACCTGTTATTTTTCGAAAAGCTTCGAAAATCTTTCGATGCCGTTACTTTGGTATTTTCCAGAAAACCAATTTTGCTGCAGGGGTGGGGGGTTTTGATAACTTTATTGGGGTAAAGTTGCAGTTTTATTGGGTTTCTTCTCAAGTCCACTAACCTTTTGGCCAGGATTGTAGTTGCATCAAGACCCCGTTTACACTACAGAAAAAAAGAACGGAACTCTTTGGTTCTGTGCCTGAAAAAGCGATAATAGGCTTTGTGTTTACTCTAGGCATCTTGGTTCCGTGCTAGTTTGAGAAGGCTTCTTTGGTTTCTCTGTCGCCAACATGCAAAGCACTTGTTTTCTTTAATGTAAACGGCTAGGAACGGAACGTGAGGGGGGGGGGGTAACTTTAGTAAGTTAATTCGAAATGGTACTTTGAAATCATTACTTGCTTCCTTCTTTCCACAGGCAGTGGAATCTGTGATTGTTCTGCCACGTGACAAGGAATCAGAATGGTGCATGACAGCAGAAGAGGAACAAAATGTTAAGTTTATAACTGCTGGTGAAAAAGGTAAATATCTTTGGTCCAATTTGTGGACACTGTTGTGTAAAAATTAACTGTATAATTAATCTCTGAAACATCGTCGACAAATAACATTGGTTTTCTGTGCACTGTTAAACTTTCCATTGACCCAATTTATTGTAAACACAAGAAAAGATGTCAGTTTTTCTCAATATTTAATGCTCGCTTATCAGACTCGAAATTTTCAGAGTATGACACAAGTTGACTGTTTGCATGAAATTTTCAGGCATCATTCGGGCATGGAGTGTTCGTGATGGCAAGTGCATCTTTGCCCCAGAGAGATCTGCCAGTAAACCCGTGGACAGTAATTGTGAAAACCCTGCTCCTTCATCAACGGTTATCCAGTGTGTCCTCAATGAAGCTCTTAATTGCATTATTACTGTTTCCGATGACCAAAATATTGTCCTTTATGACTTGAATTCACTGAAAATCTTAAAACAGGTAACTTATTTCGTCGTTTTTGTCCCTTAGTTGCATCTCTACTTTCGTTGACATGTTAATTCAAGCGTTCATTATTGTTTTTTCTCTCATTCTGCCTATTTAAGAGAACACCCTAGCTTTTTTAACATAATTAGACAGTAATCGACTCTTTTTAATTTGTTTATATATTTTTATCGTATATAGTTTGTCGGACCCCTGGACGAAGTTCTGGACTTAAAGTTTGTGGGGGAAGATCATTCCCTTCTATCGATCGCATCAAACAGCCCTGATGTTAAAGTTATTGACAGAGAAACCATGGATTGCAGAATATTGAATGGACACACAGGTTTGTTTTAAATTGCGATTTTTGACAGTGGAAACGCTTAGAACTTCCATTGTAATTTTTAAAATGGTACGAGGTACGTAGTAGGTAGGTACGAGCTATGTTTTGCTGCTCCTATCTGCTTGTGTTTTAGTCAATATTCTTTCATCGTTTATAGAGATCAGTGTTCATTCAGTCTGTTTGCATCTCAAACCTAGGGTATCATCTGAAGTCCCTTTTGCTGTTACTCGCAAGGAGTTCCCATTTGGGATTTTGTTTTTTGCCAAGCAGGGGTACTTTGTCTACATATTATCCAGTTTATGCAACTTCATTAGATGAAATCAAACTCTATAGGTCACTGCTAGACCAGGGAGCATTTATGGATGATGTTCACCTTTAAAATCATTCAACCCATTTTTGTGTTGCTCTTGTTTGCTTTTCTTTCTATATTTGAAATAAACAAACATTATAAAATTATTATAATTACATTGAAGTTAAGGTACATTTTCTACTTGTTTCAACAGAAGAAGCACAGATCATTTAGTAACCGGAAGTCAAGATCTAACTCTGAAGTGCTGGAAAGTCCCACAAATATTTGAGGTGATACCATAGGTTTAAACTCTTAAGATGGAGTTAGTTAATGCAAAACAAACGTCTCTTAGAAAGCATATCAAAAATCCTGTTTTCCTTTAAAGGCAAGAAATCATTTCTGTGGGCTGAGTAAACGAAGTTTATTTTTGGGAAAAACAAAAGAATATATAAAAGTAAAAATGTTTCATGGACGGTAGAGCCTCGTCCATTAAAAAAATATTAGTTCTAACCTTATCCATTCATTGAGTTAGTCTTTATCATATCTATGAATAAATTTGACAGGATAATGGTTTATCAAAGATTCAAGCTGTGTGGACTGTGAAAGCCCATGATAAGGTTTGTCACGATATTCTTCTTCAGTTGTTCTCAGAATTTACTGCGCATGCTGTCAAACAACACAGATGCAGAAAAGTTTCAATTTTTATCGACCCAGAGCATTAAAGTGTGAATAAAATTATTTAAATACGCTTTACCCATTTTTCCTCATTTCAAAAGGAATAAATTTACTGCATAAGGATTTGATACTAAAAAAAGATAAATAATTTGAAATGTATATGGCCTCTAGAGATACTGCGACAGAAAGATCTTCTACATTTCATTGCAACTTTTTTCAGGTAGTTTATTCTATATTGTGACTTCTTTTATTGAAATAAACTTCATGCAAAAATATGTTTTTAGGACATCAACTCTGTTGTGTTTTCTCCGAATGACAAACTCATCGCTTCGGGGTCTCAAGATAAAACAGCAAAGGTAGGCCATCAAACCTTTTTTGAGACAAAGAGGAAGCTTTATCTTTGATTGGCTGGGTAAAACATTAATAACTAAAGATAATTTTGATCTGAAACATTCTTTTTGATAATTTTTAAATAATTCATCAGCCTCTTTTGGATTCTAGTTATGGCTTGCATCCGACGGAGGCACGTACGGGACGCTGCGAGGTCACAAACGAGGAGTTTGGTGCGCAGCGTTTTCTCCAGTCGATAAATGCCTAGCAACAGCATCAGCTGACTCGACAATTAAGCTATGGGCAATTAAAGATTTAACTTGTGTGAAGGTGGGATTGAGAAATTTGCTAATGTTTGCTTGACTTGATAAGATGCTTTGGTCAGAGTAGTTGTCCTAAAGTTCACCCACGCCTAGATTAAGCTCATCCAAGCCTAGATTAAGTTCACCCAAGCCTAGATTAAGTTCATCCAAGCCTAGATTATAGACGATGTGGTAATCATCAAAACTAGAATTCAAGATGAAAAAATTTAGATATTAAAACCTATATATACCCCTGAGACATATTTTTCCTTGTTAGAAACAATTGACGGAATCAAATGTTAATAGATATTGGAATTTAAAAAGCATTTTTTCGTTTTAGACACTGGAAGGTCATACCAATTCGGTGCTGAGGCTTGAATTCATGACACGTGGGATGCAGATAATATCAAGGTATTCACAAATTAGTGCCTTGCTGCTGTCAATCATGAAGCACTAACGTACATGGAATCCCCTGGAAGATTGTGCTTTTCCTTTTTAAAATAAAGAATCGGATTTCTAAAATTTTGGAATGTCAATTATTGCAAAGCATCCCGGTATTGTTTCCCTGCCGACAATCAATTTTAATTGATTTTGTTGATCAAACATTTTCTTCACCTTTCCGAGACGACTTTATCTTATACCTTTTAATGCACGTAAGCAAGTCTGTTGAATGGTTAGAACTTCAATATCGTGTTTCTCTAGTAGCCTTCTCATAACCCAGTTAGCAAACGTGATTTATTTACGTTGAATTTGCAAAACTTGTTTTTCATTTTAGTGGATCAGACGGCCTAATCAAAATATGGAATGTGAAAACCAACGAATGCCTAAATACTCTGGATGGGCATGCAGATAAAGTGTGTTTCTCAAAGTTTACTTTAGCTTTGTAATGTAGAATCTATTAATTTCTTCAAGTCTTCAATCTCTTTGTTTTAGTTAATACCTTTTTTTTAGAAAGTAGCTTTGCAATTTCGTTCTATCAAGTCTGTAAAGATTCTGACGTATAGCTCGTCGAAGTAAACAACACTTTTGATTTTTTAAATCTATTTGTAATATTGTTCTTCCTATGAAAGGCAAGTAGATTATTGAAGTTAAAAAAACCTTCGACGCAAGGTCCATGAACCATAAACGATGTTTTAGGTTTGGTCGTTGGCTTTGAACAAGACTGAAGACACTCTTGTTACAGGAGGAGGAGATTCTGTGTTGAACATTTGGAAGGTAAGTGAAAATGTCACTACACTAACAACAAATAAGCATGTGCCTTTTTAACATCCTCAAAAGTAGAAGTTATAAAATCGTTGACAGTGTCATAGTTGAAACTTCAGAAAATGATATAGAGAGCTCGTGATGTTTGTTGCCTTTATATATTTCTTTCCTTGAATTATGTTCAAAATAAGCCGTATCATTACTTTCCATTCTTTGATCTTCGTTTCAGTTTCAATGTCACTGTACTTTCTTTTGTGAAGCTGTTTCTTATGGTACTCCAAGTTGCTATCAAAGTTACAATTATTTTCTGTTAGGATGTTACGGAGGAAGAAAGATTAGAAGAAGAGGCAAAGCAAGAGAATATGATTCTGAAGTAAGCAGTTACAGATAGAAGTTAGATATAGTTTAAACAGAAAACTTCATGGGCCTATGATTTTACTGTTAGAGTATGAAAATATTGAGGGTGACAACAACTAAAAGGGTTGTAGAGAGTTTGAGCTGATCTCTCTTTCAGAATAGACTTTTTGACAGAATTTCATTGAAAAATGTTAAGTATAGTGTGGTGATACACGAATAATAAACCACTGAGGTGTTTAACTTCTTACATTTTCTATTAGAGCTATTTTTTTCATCAAGTATTAAGTATTGGTAAGGGCTAAGTTTCAACTAACTGAGATGTTGATATAAATAATTTTATTAGAATTAGTTTTACAAAGAATATTGTAGAAATTTCACTTGGGGTTGTTGTTTTAGCAAATGGGAGCAGTATTATTCACATGTGAGTGTCGATATCTTTAACATTTGGTTATATAAACATTTGGTTTTGTTTATTGGTCATTTAGAATTTGGGATTTAATTTCACAATAGGATTCTTGTCACTGTTGTTTAATTGTTTTTAGGATATGTTCCACTCTTTTGATAAGTGATGACTTTCTCCATTTCTCGTACAATTGGGTAATAACGAAGGAAAAAATGACTCTATGTCGGAGAAAAATGAACTCTTCTTGTCCATTCTTTGCCCAGAGTTTGAAGTTTCTTGGTAATTTGAGTCCATCAAATTAAATTTAAGGTGTAGGGTTGAATAAGATTGACATTTGTAATTTTTTTATCTTCAAGGGACCAAGAATTATCAAATTTGCTTGGCAAAAAGAAATTTACGAAAGCCATCGGCCTTGCGCTGTCACTTGAAAGACCGTTTACAGTGTTGTCAATTTTAAAAGGTAAGCATTTTAAAACCAGTTGGTATTCGAGCAAAAAAATTTCTTGACAATTTATATTGCTTGACACTTGTGTATCTCCTCTAATGAAAAGCATCGCTGAGTGGGGTCTACTAATTAAAAATTAAGGGGTGAGGGGTTCTCTACATAGGATGCCATTTTATAGTGCCATTTGCCAATCTCTACTACCTTTAAGGAATGCTTCAAATGAAGTCATTTTGTTGTCCACTGCTTTTTAGAATTATTAGCTGACGCCAATGGAGAGGAGAGGCTAGCTTCAGTCTTGAGTGGGCTGCGAGACGATCAAATAGGTTGGTGAAATTTACATTGACTTTTTCAATTTTGTTCTCTTTTTCTGTAATGCGACGTATTTCAAGGCTAGATTCTGGAGTAAACTAGTAAAGAATTAAAGGCAATCAAAGAGGCAGTGATGTTTCATTAATGGTTGAAAATATTGCTGAAACGAACATGTTTCGTTTCTATAAGGAATTGTGACTAAACTGGCTGTTTTTAAAGTCTTGTTATTCTTGGTAAAAAAGTCATTAATGCAAACAAAACAAAATTTGAATTCATGCTCCCCAAAGAGGGATTGGATGAAATTTGGCGATTGTCTGATCAGCGCTTGTGTCACCGAATTCTCTCAGAATTCGAATTGAAAGACGTTTTTCTGTATTTTCTTTCATTTTCTTCTTTGAATGCTTTTTTTAAAAATATTCACCACTATCGCTTTTCAATTTTAAAGATTTGGTTCTCAAGTATATGCAAGACTGGAACACAAATGCCAAAAACTGCCACGCTACCCAATCAGGTAATTTTCATTTTTAATCTCATCGAATTTTTTTTAGATTTTTTGATTTAAACTTTATTACCCAAAAGGACCTTATATGCTAATAAAGAAAAATGGCGATGTGATAGCAAAGTTGGATCTTTATCGAATATACGGAAATATAGCAACAAGAGCTGCCTTTATTTGGTCTTGGTTTTCATTAATCACTTCAGGCAAAATGTATTTTGTGATGTCATCGATTCCCTTTAAATTATGTAGTCACTTTCTTCTTCACGTGCTTGTTTCCCTGTGCGGACTATTTTCTCTTTACTTCTTCGAAACATCACGTGGCCGATCAATAGTTGATACCAACTTGTTTTTATTCTCCTTGCAGCACTATCAATTATCCTGAAGTTGAAATCACCCGATGAACTGACTGAGCTGCCAGATATGAAGGACAACATCGAAGCAATTCTTCCATACACGGGTATAACAGTTTTCGTTGTTCAAGAAACCTGATATACTATGCTGGTTTTCTTTATTTGTTTTATGAATAACTTCTATTTCTTCCTTTTGATTGTATTTCATTTTTTCTAATTGGGGACTTTTAATTTTAGAACGGCATTTCAATCGGCTGAATCGCCTTTTACAGGTAAGATACGCATTTCTGTGTCTACAATATTAATGTTGTGAAAAGTAGTATGATATTTTCAGTCTTTCAAACAGTCTGTATATCGTTTCAATATAATTTGCTGATGGCCTAAGATCAATTATGCACACTAAACATAAAAATATAACTTAAACATTAAAGGATTGTACCTTCTCACATTTCAAATAAATTCTGCACCATTCTCCCGCTAATACAATACCCTTATTGATACATATATACACTCAATTTTGTACTATAAAACAAAAACAGACTTTCTCACATTTAATTGACCTCTGCATATTTCTTTACTAAATATAAACTGAATAGAAAATTGAAATTTTAAATCAATGATTCACTTAAGTCTGATAACATAAATCAAAAAACTGAAATTGCTTCATAAAATTCCAATTAAATTCATGTCAAAGAGCATTAGCATTACTCTTCCGTCTGTTTCTGCAGCAATCGGCATTTCTCGAATACACATGGGAATCGATGCGACTTTCTGTCAAGGATGTCGACACTAAAGCGTGAGTGAATAAGATTTGTTTCTTGTGACTTCATTAGTTACCATGCCCTTAACTACCTTTCGCAAAAAGTTGAAATGGTGTTTTCGCAGTCTAGTGCACACCTGTGCAGAAAAACAGGGAATTTTCAGTTTAATTACTACCCACTTATTCCGAGGAGCCAAGTTGTCTTTTTCTTCCCCTAGATCTGAGCAGTTGGAAAACGATGAAGAAATGAATGCTGAAAACGAGAGCCATATATCCGTTGGCCAAGCTTCTAACCAGCAAACAGAACATCTCAGTGATCTCATCGCTATGGATACATGGGATCAGCACCAAAGTGAGGCTGCAGATGGAACGGAGGAGACGATTCATGAATCTAAAACCCAAAATAGTGAGCCCTGTGAAGGAGATTCTCTGTTAGAAGCAGAACCAAGTCAAGAAGAAAACAAGGAGGTAATTATAGTTGAAAGTGACGCAACGATTACATCTGCATATTTCGTTACTTCAAATAACATATTTATATTCTTAAAAAATATGTTTTGTAGAAAGACTTTGAGTTGCTATATGTTATTCCTTCTCTTGTATTAATTCTCCAATATTTTTTGAAATAATTAACCTTGCTTTTCAAACTCCTTTGTATTACTAACTTTTATCCTTTGGTTTTAGAACCACAAAACTACGATAGTTAGAGATGAAAGTTTGATTGAAAAAACCCCTGGCCCAGGGAAGAAGAGAAGGACTTCAGAAATAGGAAAACATTTAAAAACTGGCATCGCAAAGAAAGTAAAAACGAGAAAGAATAAACCCCTTTGATGTATTCATACTGAAGTTGGTTTTTAGGAGTAAAATTCTTTTAGAAGAAAGACATCTACTTTATGCATTACGGTATTATCTTTGCAAATATTTTCATTTATGTGATACCAATGTTTACAAAGAAAACCTTCCTATTACACCATTCACACGCCTGACAGTTAACTTCAAAAATGCATCCAGCTATACATCAGAAAGGTTTGCTGATGGAAAATCCTTTTTTTGTTTGCTTGGAATCATTACTCACGCATACTTGACAACTTGCTTTGTGGAGAAGACAAAGTCGAGGGACTCGGTCAATCAATCCTAAACACAATCTCGCAGTCCATTTTTGATCCGACAACAGAGTAAAAATGTGTTACGTATGAACATTCGCATTTTCCACACTGCAATTATTTTAATGTTTTTAGCTAATCACATCGCTATATTGAGCAAACTGCAGTGTGCAGTGTGTTATTTAGTGTTCTCGCAGTGCACATTACTAGGAGAAGGTAGATTTATGCTGAGTATAGTGGATTTTGCCCAGTAGTGTGGGGGGCATAGAGCCTTCCCTATATTCTATACAAAATGAACGTTTCAAATGTTTTCGTTTTCATGGCTCCTTAAATACCAATTTCTCTACCTTGTCTACCTGTTACTTGAGTAGAAAAATATAAAGATATGGAATTTAGATTAATGATATTTTGCCAGATTTGCCAGCAAGACTTTTCAGTTAACTAGAGGGCTATTAAGGTCACACATGAATCCAAATTTCAAAAATTGATATCGGTACAATCAAAGATTTGATCCTGGTGGAAATTAGCTATGATATTTTAGAATTGCCCAAAAAAAGAGGAAGGGGCGCAGCTCCCCTTCTGCTCCCCTGAGCCCCCCCCCCCTATTAAGAAAACTTTTTTTTTCTGAGATAATACTTGTACTGCATATTATACTTTTCTGTTTCGACATCAATTCATTCAAGGAACAATCAAAACGAGAAATAAATGGAGAAGCAACGCTTTATAGAATCGATTCTTATTAGAAGAAGATTCTATCTATTGAAACATATTGATCAGGTATATCAAACAATTGCTACAAACTAACGCCAATAAAAAGATTAATATTCTGTCAAATTTTTCTTTCTCACATATGCAAATGGTGCTGTACGAGGCAGATCCCAGTATGCAATGACAGTTGTGTGGCCTCCTCTCCCATTTCCGTGCCCCTTGTTTGATAACTAGGTGATGTAATAAAAGGAAGAGGTGCTGGAGCAGCAAATGATCTAATGCTAACAAGGGGGATAGATGTTCCCAAAATTGGAATCTTCTTTTTGAATGACCCCGATGCCTACCAAGTCTGTTCCATTGTGATGGCGAATTACAGAATTACAGAATTACATCTGTAAAGAATCGAATAAATTGAAAGCTAATAAATTTCGTGTTGAAAGCTAATAAACAAAGAGTCATATCTTCGAAAATGATGCAGAACTAACTCTTTGTTCTTTAGTTTTTATCCGTTTGTGATTTGGAAAAGTGAAACTGTTTTCTCAAAACCTAGCTGGCATCCAGAAAACTGATGCTGCTTGAAAACTGAAAACTGAAGCGGTTTCCTGAGAAGGGTGGAGCTCAGTCATTTGCGCATAGATAACTGGATAATTTTACATTTTGTTTATTTTTTCAGCGGAAATTTGATATTACTAATGGGTTTATTATAGATAACAAGCAGTCAAGAATCTAGACATGGAAAATTACTTGAATATGTACACCCACTTCAACTATTAGTTATATTAGCACAAGGTAAATGTATTACTGTTTCATTTTCCGAAAGGCATTTAGACGCTAAAAGGCCACTACAGTAATGTGACTTATCTATCCTTTAAATGGAGCTAGGGATCTAGGAGTAGAAGAGTAATAAAGATAATATCATTGGACAACAAGGTCAGTACGGGCGATTGAATGAAATGAACTTTGAAAATAATATGAAGAATCTATACTGTTGGATCACAAAAATAACAAATTTCAAAACTAATTGTTAACTATTCAATGGTCCTAACAGCTTTATGACTTAGTATTCTGTGTTGAGTCTATACTTTGAAGCATTTACCGTACAATTTTGTTTACTACAGTGCTGGACGTGACAAAGTTGTAATATTGTGGGATCTTGCCACAAGGAAATCATTAAAAACTTTTCCAGTCTATGAGGTAAGGCTTGTTTCTTTTAACGAATGGTAACAACGTAATTGAACAGCCCTTAAATTAAGCGAGATTTTTAGTTCTGAATTGAAGTAAATATTTTGTTAAATGTTTCGTTTATTGCTCCTCTATTCCTTCTTCCAATCCCTGTTGGAGGTTCGAGGCCCGATATGTTTTTTTTGATTTGCCAAACAAGAAAAATTGTTTTCAATAAGTAAAGAAGCCAAGACTTAAGCAAGAAGGAGTCATGTTTTTTGACTGAAAAATCTTTGATACACAAACTTAATTTTATATACAAATGTTTAAAAATGCCAGCTACAAAAGACTTATTGAGATATTTAGAATTCGACACATCAAATAATTGGAAAGTAAAGTATATTAAAATTTTGGTTTCTTGAAATTGCGTAAAGAGGGCAACGATCTTGGTTTTGCCCGAAGTGCAGGCAACAGCATGTTTCTTCCTAGTGGTTTTGGTGACGTAAGAGATGGACTAAACAAAAGTCCACTTTGCTGTGGTTTGATGCCATTGTCTGAGTCGCTGCCTGAATCTGAGGGGCTTGATGCGTCTAATGAACTGGAACTCCCAATGGCCTTTTTGGTTTTTTTGTCACCTTTGCTTTGGCTCTCGTCACTCATTTCGATATCTGATATATGATCATCGATTTCAACATCGTCGTCAAAACCCAAATCTTTAGCCATCTGCTTTTGTTTTGATGGGATTTTTGTGATCTTTGCAGATGATTTTGTCTTTTTTGTCTTTTGTTTTGCCACGAACGAGCTAAGCATGTCATCTTCCTCTTCATCAATTCCAAACTTGTTTGAACTAACTTCTGTCAAAAGGAAATGGTAAAAAAGATCATTCAAATCTACAAGAACAATTCTTTGCCAATTCTTAATTCAGAAAATGTTTTTGCTGAAACTAATTGTTAAAATGCTTTTAATTTCTTTATTATCGTTTCAGTGTCGCACTGATGATGCATATTTTTTGACAAGCAAATACAGCCTCAAATTGTTCGCTGATCAACTATAGCTGTCATTAACATTAATAACAATACAAAAATATACAGACAAGATGACAACTACCACAAGTATTCCATTTCTATTTCCAGTTTTCATACTTTTTAAAGTATCACAAATATCATTATCCTGACCTTCTTTTTGCTCTTCTTTTCTCACGTGTGCTCTTTCTGCAGCGTGGTTTTTGTGAGAATTAACTCCATTGGTGTTCTTTTCAGCTGGAGTACAGTCCTTGACGGGGGTATCTCCAAGTTTCTTCTCTTGCTTTTCATCTTCCTCCAGTGGCTCTATAGCCTCAACAAAATCATATTCATCGAGATGGTTGGCAAGATAATCTTCTTCTACTGTAATGTCTTCAGTGACATTATATTCGCCCTCAAATTCCATAATTTCTTCGGATATGTCCAAAAAGGCGTCATCGTCGCCAAAAGTCACATCTTCCTTTTCACTCGATTTTTCTGCTGACTTTTCTTTATCAGAGGCGCAATCTTTTACTGATTTTGTTCTTTCATCATTGTTGCTTTCTTCCGAAGATTGGCTATTTTCTTCAAAGTCAGATTCGTAACTACTGGAAGAGCTCTCTTTGTTGGCCAAATTCTCTTTAGTGCTAAAGGTAAAAATTATAAACGTTTATCAAACAAGTAGATTTACTGGTTTTTATTGGCATAAGATAAAGTAACATTTAACAACATGGATTAATATGTACAGATACGAATGATGGTATATAGGGGTGGGCGTAGTTAAAACTGTAATGTCCTAGATATTGAAATATGATTGGGATCAGAATTGGAATAGGCACCAAAGAACCCTCCTCTTCATCTCCATTTTAACTACTGCAAAACTAATTAAGCCAATCTCCCATTGTCAAAATGTGAAATAAGCCCCATTTTTTTTCCGACTCATTAAATGACCTTAATGATTCTGATGAAGATAAGACATTTTCATTGACTAATTCTTGGTTGCAACATTCTCTATAATCAATAAATTAGAATATAAAAGGCGTCAATATTAATCTTTTTCAAAGATATTTATCAGAGATCTCTTTTTTAAGCATCCTTCCCTGGAACATAAATAACTAGATAGGTCCCTTCTTAGTGGCATTACTCAACTTTTACGGAATATCTACCAAAAAGAAATAAGGAATTTCGTGAATAAAGACGTGGACAAAGTTCATGAAGATAAAGCATGTCTACAAAATACATTTATAAACACCTTTAAAGCTCTATGTTTAACTTACTTTTCAGTTTCAACTGTCTGGTGATTCTCCATTTGACTGAGTGTTGTTTGAAGCTGCTCGCATTTTAAAAGCAATTCTTTTTTCTCGGATTTCAGCTCGTGAATCTCATCATATGCTTTCTCTAAATCGTTCTCTGTGTTCTTGAGAATCCGAGATGTTGTCTTCTGCTTCTCTAGTTGCTTTTCGAAGACTCCCTTTCCTTGTTTCAACTCATTGTTGTCTGTTTCAAGCTCTTTTGTCTTCCTCTTTAATTCAGTAACTATTCGTTCCAACTTTTTCGTCTTATCGACTAATTTTTTGTTCTCCTTGTCAAGCTGCTGGATACTTTGATTTTTTGCTTTTAATTCTTCTGCCCTTTCATCAACCATTTTAGACAACAATTCGTTGTTTTCACTTCTTTTCTGCATCAAAAGCAGTTCTGCCTCTTTTTCTTTCAGCTTAAATTTGGCAGTTTCAAGTTCTTCCTTTATGTGTTGCTTCTGTGCCTCCAAATCTTTCTCTTTTGCTGCTGACCTTTTAGCAATCATCTCTATGTTAGCTTCAGTATCGGACAAGGTAGAGGTAAGATCATCAAATTTTCTTTGCCAGTCCTCAGCTTCTTTCTTCAAAGCATCCATGCTAGATATGGCCTCATTGTCCTCACCTTCC